CCGAACGTGAAACTAATCCACCTCCCGACAGCTGACGTCAAAGCGTTAGGGGACATGAAAGCAATGGAGTGGGACTCTGTTTCGGTTGTGTGTGGAATCCAGTCCTGCCACTTGTGGCAGTGTACGCGGTCCGACACTTCACAACACAGTAAACGCAGAAAATATATATCTTTGAAAATAAAGTCTCCTATGGCTGCGAAAAGCAGATCGAGGTCGCGAGCTTGCGCTGCCACTGATAAGAAACGAACAATGATCGCTGCACGCAAAACGGATTGGGGGCGGGGTGCCAGGAGATCCTCGCCATGACCGACTCAGGTCAGCGTCCGGCAGAAAGAATGCACGCGACAAGCGCCGAATGTGTACACAGGATCTTGATTCATTGTACCGCTGGTCATTGTACTGCTGGCCTGATAGAACAGATTATGAGCCCTGACCTTTGAAAAGTAGAAGAAAAATTAAGATGGCCTTCATTTTAAACAGATTTTCAAATTAGTGAAAAATCGGTAACCTGTCTACATTTCAGAGTATTTTTTTCTTTTTCTTAGAAAGGTTATTGTTTGCAATTGCAATTACAATTTATGCGAATATAGAACAAACGCGTCCAAATCAGGTTAGAAAAATTGAATTTTCAGTCTTTTAAGATTCGTATCCATAAAGCTCTGAATTGCTTCGTAATCGATGATACATGTTTAGCTCCTTTTATTTTATGTACAGTCTCTGCACAAAAAAAAAAAAAAAAATATTAAACGTAAGGCCGACAACAGTTTTTTTATATATATATAAATATCAAAAAGGACGGTTTCACCCAAGTAGCAAAAACGTGCGCGTATACCGACAACAACTTCGTGATTTTCGTTCCTCAAGAGAACTTTTATTTTCCGCAAAAAAAGACCGAATATGTTTTTGCGGTTGCACAATGAATAAAATATATATTTTAATTTTTAAAAAAAAGAGTCTCGACCGGACATCGTCGTTTGATCCCACCTGAAAACGCCCAATACAGACAATATCAGTCAATCGGAATGCTTTTTTTTTCTTTTGTTTACATATTTTTATTTTTTACGCGTTGTGCGGCCGCCTCCGCGGCGGCAGGCGGCGCAGCTTCAGGTTCTGCCGCGCCCTACCTCCTATATCATGTTGCCGCCAAGGTTGTAAGCTGATATGTTTACAAAGTCGCTCCGGTAGCTTCCTCTACGTCGCTGTTGAAACAGGCACCGCGAAGCACGTTACAGGGTGGTGCACCTCGATCGCTCCGGCCCATGGGCATTTTTGGGTCGGTTGTACGAAAATGCGTTAGGAATTTTCTCTTCAAAACTACCGTCGACCTCTGTGCTGTCAATTTGTCTTTTCCTGACCATCCCGTAGAATTTTAACGATTTTTAATAATGATGAAATTGTGAACAACGCCCCCCATTTACGGCAACCGCGTTAGCGTATATTCGGCCATATTTCTCGCTGTATAACTTCAAAGCCACACGAATATTGCTGCTTTTGCAGGCTCTGTTAGTACATATTATACACGTTAATTTCAGAGTTTAAAGAATACTAAAAATGGATTTTTTTTAATAATGCATATTTAGTTAAATGCCCCTGTGTGAGCAATTCTTGTAAATTTCTCCCGCTAACAAGGACAGCAATATTTAATGAAAAGATGAACAATATACAGGGCAACACACTGACAACGTTTTAAAACCTTAACTTTTATAGACACGAAGAAAACAACCCTTTAATCCAGAGCGTCATTGCGCCATGTCTCGTGTTTGCGATTTTTTTTTTTTTTGTTTTTCTCAGAATAACGATTACAATACTCGGTGATTAATACTTTTGCCAATCTTTCCTATGCCTCATTTGTCAGGAAATATTTCTAAATAAATAACCAGAACAGTTTTTTTTTTTTTTTTTTTTGGGGGGGGGGGGGGGGGGGGGGGGAAGCGGGGAAGCCGCCCGAAATGTCAACATCGCGTGATACGCAAAACGCGCACGTGACTGAGAGGGTGTTTACAAATTTTTTTCGCAGACATTTTTTTGTTTCGAAAACAAGGATTGTTTTTATTTTTCTGGGCAGGGAGCCAGCAAAATATTTCTTTTCTTTCATCAAAATTAGAATGGTCACCAGATATGGTTGTTCGATCTTATCTGAAAACGCCCAGCATGTTTATTTCCATTCTTATTTCCTAACATTGCATCGAAACATGCAATATCTGCACGATAACTTGCCTTTATTCCGCCTACGACGAATCGACATGTCACGAATGGACCGTATTCCATTTCTATCACTCACCTGAAAAGTAATCGCTGCAGATATCAGCGCCATTTTAGACAGAGCGCCAAAAGTCTATGAAAAAAATTACTCGGGACCATATTGTCCGGGACCATATTGTCCTGCACCCCTTCTGCATATGTTAGGTTGCAACGAAAAGGTGCGAATGATTCTTCCAGCTCCCAGTGGGAACTTTTTTTACAAACGCTACCAAACAACTAAGTAGCGATGTTTATTTTTATTATATAGGATGCGATGATCCCCGAGTAACATGTATACTTTACATGTAGCATGTAACATGTAATGTTTGGGAGCTTTGCCCGAGTTGGGGTACAAAGCCCAGCAGTCGCCGCGTTCCTGAGGTCACCGGTTCTGGAACCCCTCCCCGTCGTTCTTCATGATAAGGGCATTGTATTGTGGGTTTGATCGCGTGGTCTCTTGTAAGGTGCAGGTTATCTGTTTCTGAAAATGCTTTCAACAAAAGAAATTTTTGCATAGAATGTGGTTTACGGTATTGTAGGTTGGACCGTTTGTTCTCTTGTGAATTTATGTCCTTTATACTTGAGAGTGCTTTCAGCAAAGGAGATCTCAGCGCAGAAGGTGGTTGAGAGTGCCTGCGTAGGTGTATATCGGATGCTTGAGAAATCAACCAGTTAGCTGAGTTCGAGACGTTCCCTTCTGTGTCTGTTCCTTCGACTAAAAGTTTTTTTTTTTTTTTTTTAACTTTTTTGCGCTACAGTGATTAGCTACCACCAGCTCGCCTGCGCACATAATCTTTTCAGTAACATGTATGCTTGGGCAAATATATTGAGCTTGAGTTTTCGAGCTCTTGTTAATGTGAATGTCGCGTTGTTGAATATATGGGATTAAACATGTTTACTATAAAACGACTGTCTAACATTTCAATAAAACAAATGATTAAAGAAACCGAAAAACACACACACACACACACACAAAAAAAAAAGAAAAAAAAAAGGGTTTTAGGAACGGCATCCAAAACTGTAAAAAACCGAAACGTTATATTTTTCGGTTCGAGGCCCCGATCAAATTACCATATGTGATTTGACAACGGGAAATATTAACGAGAGTTGTGGGAAAGTATACCATAAAGGACATATTGACTTTATGTGTAGGATCAAGGTAAAAATCAAAACCACAAGTTGTAATAAAGCTGTTACCATAATTGACCACCACCGCAATGCATTTGACACCTACGCAAAGTTGCGTACGACTGCGTTGCGACTGCGAAACACCAGGGCATCCCTGCTTCTTATGTCGCGTGCCAAGCTACTCCTTGAATTGGATTCCACGCTTTATACGAAGCCCAGATGTGCCGGTAACTCGCTTTCGTTTCTGATCACGCCACAGCAGGCGCTGTGGCGTGATCTGGAGGTGACGTAAGCACATGACAGCTACACGTAAGAGTGCGCAGTGGAGCGATGCGGGTTATTTAAATTTACTGTGAAGCAAAGTTACCCATAAGTAATCACAATTTTTTTTTCTTTCTTTTTAAATAGTTTTGATGCGCGCTTGTGCACCATCCCGCACTGGAGGAGGTTCCCACCCCTGCCCGTTTCGATCTGAATGAGCATCGTACCGGCGCGCGGTCGAGTAACATTACTGCGTGGTGCACGTTTAAAGACCCCAGGCTAGCGGCTGTACTGCACTGGCTGAATTGCTCGTCTACAGCGAGTGACTCGTCGAAACTTTGAAATGGCTGACCAACTACACGCTGTATAAATACCTACACAACCCCAATTACTTTTCTGGGGGAGGTATTTCCCTCTTAGTTCGAGGTTGCGCTGCGGCAAAGTGACTAGGCCCGAAAACCGGACGTCTAGGACGGAGACAGATGCTGCACATTCAGCGTATCACGTAACCAGCAAGGACTTATGAAAAAAAAAAAAACTTTCAGCCTTTCCATTCTAGTGAAGGAAAACCAGGTCTCGAGGTCGTCCTCTAGGCCGATGCCTAGAGGACAACCTCGAGAACGCCGCCTAGGACCTCAGGGACGACGTCTAGAACAACCTCAAGGACAACATTAAGGACGACCTCAAAGATGACTTCTAGGACGACCTCGAGGACAACCTTTCGGACACCTAGAGAAATTCAGCCTTTCCACTCTGGTGAAAACCAAATGGAAAGGCTGGAAAGGTTGCCGCCATCTACCGTCACTTATAGATGGCAGTAGCTGTCCAGAGTTTTGCGCCCTTAACAGCTCTTGTTTCAATGCTATCTTGTGTACAATACTTTATTAAAATAATCTCTGTATTCAAACCAATCAATTGTTCATTACACTTGCATTATTTTATATAACCTGACAAACCAGAAAAGAGAAACGTGTTGTCCTGTTTTCGTCCTATGTTATTCTCCACAAACACCGTAACTTAACCAGCACGCTCCATTCCCACGAGTAAAAAAAAACTTCTTAGGAATTATCTTATATCAAAGCACCCAATTTTCGAAAACAAAACCCGACAACGAAGGACCCTATGTATAAACCATGTGATGCTAAAAGCAGTTGGGACAGCATACATTGGTCATTAAGCAAGCAAAATGTGGGTTTCTTGAAATAGCGAGCAAAGTATGCTTGAAGCACTTGCCACTTCAACTGTCCAATTAAAAAACTTCATGCTGCATGAATTTTAAACAATGAAATATCCACCATCGCATTTCGCTCGTACAAGGTTGGCTCCTGTACACGGTGAGACTTAGCAACCACAAGGACCCACAACAGGACTTCAACAATGCATCGTTCCATTTATTATACAGTTCACACTCGCATACCAAGCACACTCTTTACAAAAGAAAACCTTGTGAAGGGGAGAAAATATTACAGAGATGACGATGAAAAAGCCAGTGCTCAAACCCAAAACAAGACAAAGGGGTCGAGCCATGGGAGAAAAAAAAAAAAAACGAGGAAGAAAATCTGGCCCATGGACCCTGGGAGCCCTTGCCCAGGCCCTCGGCTGCCGGTAGTGGACGACTCTTTACGACTGGCTCTTGGAAGCTTGCCTGCGTAAGAGGATGTAGATTTTCTCCTTGATCCAGGCCTTGTTGTAAGGGGCATATGTGTTGGTCGACTTCTGGTAACTGCAACAGAAAAACAAAACAAAGGATGCAGGTGAGACACATCGCAACTAGGAATAGACCTTTTCTTCTAAGATTCAGTGTCGCCACTTCAATAAGTATTACCACCCTAAGGCTGGCTCACACATGTGTGCTTGAGTGCAACCATGTACGCTACGCCCACTTGTTACCGCCTACGTGAGAATACATTGGCGTCCTATGTTCACTGACAAAGTGAGAGCGGTGAGGATCTTCAGTTCTCTGGCCTCAAGCGCGATCGTCCAACTTTGGGCAACGCTTTGGCACCGTGTGCACACCTTGGTTTATAATTACTGTCATCCCACCTGACCACAGCGCTACACAAAACGCTTGGGGGGACCGTTGGGGTAACTTTTGTTTACTCAAGACCTGAAAATTGAGAATGCAGATCCCCTCTATGCGCTGGCGAAAAGTGCCGCAATTTTCTCAATAACTGCATCCCTACTCGATCCGCCAGCGAGCAAAGAGCAACTGGATAATTAGAGAAACGAAAACCACATATCATGTAGCTTTTATCAATTACTGGCACAGGTGAATGTTGTCCCAGCGATTTCGAAACTGTCAAACACACCAACGTTTCGTAGGGGTGTCTTCAAGCACAGATAAACAAAAACATATTGCAGTCTGTTGCCGCCCACAACTGAACTGCGAAGACACGATTGAACCCGAACAACTTTGACGGGCTGGTCAAATGACGTAAAACACATACAGAGCAATGCTGGACACGGTAGGTTTCGAAATTCGAGGTGCCATACCTTCAGTCCTGAGCTAGATCGAGAAATAAGACGCAAAAAGACGCTGTGGGCGCATCAGGATAGGCTGGAGCGAGCAGCGCTTCACCATGAGGCGTAACAACGATGCTGTTATCGGTGGCATTGCCAACCTGCTGCGAAAGCGCAGCGGCGAGCGCCCCTATCGGTGTCGCATGCTCCCAATCCTGTCTACAGTGCAGTCTGTGTAGTCTATAAATTAGGAAATATATATGCCACCTGAAGCAGGCCTCAGCAACACAAGGAATGAAATAGTCAAACTGGACTTCTCCCTGTAGTACAAAGACCAAACAAAAGTTAAAAAAAAAGAAGGAAAAACACTAACATAACCTTTCCACCAAATGTTTTGTCGGTGCATATTCTACAATGGCGAGACCTGCATGCATTCTCAGGGTGTCTACCTTCTCTGAAATGCCCAGACTCTTCTAGGTTTTTCCCTGAATATTTTTGATTCAATTCCCCGACCACCACAGAAGAAAATGCGGAGGATCAGCCTGCAGTGGCTGTTTGTGCTAGTCTCTTAATCCGGCGAATCTTATGGTAGCTTACACTGCCTAGTGATGCCTCGGGCAGCTGTTACGCAGCCCAAAAGCCATCCACGCCACTAGATACCATGCCCTCTTGCTTCGATGTGTGTGTCACTGCGTCGCCCACATCGGCCATTTTCCTCGACATGACCAATTTGCTGACGATTTCCCTAACGATTCCAGGTTGGTGGGCACCCCGATCCTCTTTATAACTGAGAGACGAGCTACAATTTAATGTAGTCACGGGGACTACATCCTCACTGAGAATATTAAAACTTGCTATCAATGCAGTCTTGCGGCGCCAACCGTACAAAGCAAAGCGACTTGTTAAGAAATGTGAGTTTTATAGATGATTGCAAGTACGGCCTCTGAGCACTGCCAACCTGCTGCTAATGAGGGTAAAAAAAAGAAAACAACTGACATTTAATTATTTAAGCACCAAGCAGTAAATACAAAACTTCACTGAAATGCAATTATTTTTTTCCTTGGACACTTTTATAAATACATTTTGTTCTAATTTCAAACATATATTTATGGTACAATATCAACAAGTTAGATTCAAAATTAATTTCAATTTACATCATATTACGAAGAATTCTGTGACAATCTGATGCAGTGGTTCTCAAATGGGGGTCCGCAAGACCCTCAAATTTTTTTTTTTAGTTGGGCGTTTTGATGAACTGATCAAAATGAAGTGATGTGGCACCTTTGTTTTATGTTTTTCTGCTACGTAGCAATAAAAGGCACCTGTTTCATGCTCCAGATGTGTTAACCTACTAACGTCTCCGCCCCCCCCCCCCCCCCCCCTTGCTGGAAGGGGTCCTCCATCACTGCCAGCGGTCCGCAAGGGGTCCCCGACACAACCACTGATCTGATGCATCACATCAGCACTCAAAAGACGTTCCCAATACCCTATCATGTCTAGAGGGTCGTTGGCATCGAGGTCTACGTAAACATGTGCATGGCAGAAGAGGAAAAACTGTGAAGCGCCAGCGGAGGATTTGTCGTGTCCACTTTTGTCCAGAGGCGGGCAGAAGCCCGAAAGCTTGTCGTAGCTGAAGACCGAATACTCCAGAGTTTACAAACTCTTCTGTAAAGTCATCACTCCTGTCACTATCAGCTAGTGCGAAATCACCAACATCCAAGTGAGAAAACTCTTCAAGGGGCAAAGATGTGCACTTTTAAAGGAGCTGTGCAACGATTTTAACGTAGAAAGAATTGGCATCTTATGCTTTTGATATTGTTCACCTTGTCACAAATGGCAGAAAACACACCTCCTTCCATCGAAATGTTGCTATTCCGCCGTGTAATAGCGAGGCAAAACTTAGAATATTCCCCGACCTGCAGCCGCGAGCGCCGCCCATGAGAAACCTAAATCTTGTAGAAAGATAGCAAGTTGTGCCAACACCTGCTCGATAAAAGGTAACTTTTCTATAAATCTTGTCGTTCCAACATATATATAAATGCGTCAAAAACCTGGTATCATCGACAAAACTTTTATTATACGGAGTTTTAGTGGCGCCATCTATCCTTGGTCCACAAAACCGTCAGCTCTCTCTGCTACCGCGAACAGCCGCCAGAAGTCGGAGGGAGAGGGCGATAGGGCCGGACAAGTATGGCTGGACCCGGATGAGACTATCCTCCTTTCACCACATTCTTCGTGCGGCACCCGCCAGCACGTGGTCACGCGGCCGCGAGCGGATGAGTTCTCGCTGCTCACTGATGGCTCTAAGGAGAGAACTTTTCCGGAACCCCGCGCCTACCCCATCGACGTCAAAGTGAAAAGAGAGCGGACAAGTGTGCCTCACCAATGGCGTTCCAGGCACGCATTTGAGTGAGCCGACGAGCGACGCTCGGCCACAGCGCTTAAAGAGATATTGAAATGAAAATTGAAATCTAGCTGTCATGTTTAGAAATAAGTTAAACATGATCAATAAAATCCGAAAGTACAATTGCACTTTTGCATTTTGAATGGATGGCTGTATTTTTCGTTCTAAAAAGCTGATTCCATGGAGCACTCACCGAAGAGCGCGACGAGTCTAGGGAGATTCGGTACCTGCAGAGCGCCCGGGACATCACATTTAACTTCACTGGCAAGGCTACGGCAAGGCTGGCGTGGTTGTGAGCTTTGCCGCTTGGCGACATCAACACGTTACAACCCGGTCATTTGAGAGGCCCAGACCTTGCAGGAGTCGAATGGGCGAGAAAGAAAAAGAAAACCCGGTTCAGCCAAGTTTGACCGACCGCGTGCTTTTGAAGTCGTACTTCAGCGCAGCTGTTATGGAAAAATTTGGCTGTAAAACAATTCAGGAGTGCCTACCAGCTGCAACCTGGTAATCAGTCTACTCACTTTAATAATGCTTCTGTGTCGTTTTGAACAAACAAATCAGTATCCGCATTGCATGGCCAGAATGCGGTTCATATTTAGACAATAAAAAAGGTGCCAGAATTTCGTTGCAGTACCCCTTTAAAAGAAGGGGGGGGGGGGGGGACTTAAAGACCGAGAAGCACGGAAATTCTCGGCTAGGCCAGCCTAAAAGGGCCAGGCCACCAGAGAGAAACGGGAGACCACCCAAGAGCTCCACGGCCACTCACACGAGGCAGCTGAGATCGACGAGCTGGTCGACAAAGTCGAAGAGCTGGCTGATGTCGTACGTGATGGACGGGGTGTTGGGGTTCTGGTGCTTCAGGTGCTCCTCGTAGATGTGGCACACCCCCTCCATGCACTCGTTCACAGACTCGTAGTCCGAGTACGTTCGAGTCTCCGGCTTGCCCGGCTGCACCAGCAGAATTGTGTGCGACTGCGCAGAGAGCAGAAGGGTCACACCCATTGTAAGTCGGACAGTTTAATGCACTTAAGGCCGGTTCGCACATTTGCATTTGAGCGTGCTCAAGCACATTGTACTCGCTTGTAACCGCGGGCTCATAGTTTTTTAGCTCTGGCCTCGTTGTAAGCAATTCTTTACCATAGAGCAGTGGTTTTCAAATGGGGGTCCGCGAAGGAAATAAAAATTGCATTTTTTTCAGGTCGAGAAGAAATGTTTTAGATTTCGGGCAAGTTTTCTCGTGTGTATGCGTCAATAACAGAGGTCTACTTCACACTAGCCCTTAGTTATATCAATATGTTAAATCCTTGTTATATTTAACCTATACCTTTCCCCTCCCCTCACCACGAACGGGGTCCTTTTATCTCCACCGATCCACAAGGGGTCCGCAAAACATCGATGGTTGAGAACCGCTGCCAAAGGGAATAGATTAGATCTCGCCAATACTGGAGAAACTTCAGTGTAGTAATACACAGATCGAAGCGTCCCGATACACGGTGCCAGCCTGTTCTCTCATAGCAAGTGTTTACGAGCGAGTACGACACATTAGAGCACACTCAAAAAAAAAAAAAGCAAGTATCTGAACCAGCCTTCGTGACCGTACGAATAGTCTCCAGAATGTACATCAGTCAGCGAATATCCATATCTGACTCTCCCTGAGTATTTGACTACAATTCCCATGGTCATTAAAAATTCCCAGACCCCCAAAAAAAAAAAAAAATTGAAACATTTTGAAAAACTTTTAAGGAACAACAAGCCATAAGTCCTCTCGGGCAAGTGCTTTCAAGAAGAACTCCCAGCTGTCAGATCGAGCATCAAGCTCCCTTTGCGTACATGGGGTGTCATTAACAAAAATCTGTGTCCGTGCACGACATCTATAGATAATAATGCGCGTCGGTGGCATCACAGAGGAAAATAACTTGATAACAAACACAACGGCATGACTCAAAGCAAACAAAAATTGAGGGAACTCTTAGCAAAATAGTGGGGACTAAAGTCACTGGATCCTTGGAAAGTGGCGTCAAGCTACACGCATGGTCGCCATTTTGGTTCGTGGAACGAGCAGTTTCTCTGTGACCTCACCATTTTTGGTAAGCCTATCTAAATTCGCTGGTGGCGGGAAGCTTTATAGAAATGTTTTTTAACCCTTTAAGTGCCAGGCGTTTTTCAGCCTGGCCGTTGCCCTGTGGCGTTTTTTTTTTTCTTTCACTGCACGAACAAATTGTCTGCGCAACAATTACATCCACAATATCTGGGGGAAACAGGAGCTCAAAGTACTCCAGTTCTCTTGAGGTTTTAGTGATGCCTGAGGTATGGACTCAGGAAGACGATGAGTCAAAACTGTGAAGAATGGGAGCGAAGGCACCCGTAGTCCACTTGTAGCCAGTGTCTTCAAGCTTTTTTTTCTTTTTGAGTAGCCTTTCCGGGTGGCATCAAGTCGTCACTCTCCAGAGTGCACTCGGTTTCACTGTCATCAGATTCTGAATTCATTAGAAGTGCCTGTATTTCAGCATCCGTCAAGGACCGCGAAGTTGAAGCACGTGTGTTCGCCACTGGAAAACAATGTTGATGCGGAAACAGATACGGAAGTCGCCTTTACAAAAATCTCCACCTGCCGTCATGAGGCGAAACCACCACTCATGCATTGATTCAATTGATTGTCCATAGATGGCGCTTCCTGTTCAGACGAACATTGTCAACCCGAGTTTAGCCGGGAGAGGCAGGGAGTAAATTGACAACCCGAAACGAGTACACTCGGACGCGGCAGAGAGTGTGCCTTAGTATACTCGAGCGCGACACTCAAAGGGTTAAGGTCAGTTCATACATTTGTGTTCGGAGTGACCACTTCACTTACGAACGAATGCAACCGGTAGGAAAAAGTCAAATGGGGGGGTTTTACGTGCCAAACCTAGGACGGGCATCTGGCACGCCCCAGCGGAGGACTGAGGATTCATTTCGACCACCTGGGGATCTTGTGACGTGCAACCGAAAGCTCGGTTACCACGGCGCCTTCTCCGCTATAAGCCTCCGTCATATTGCGGGCGCCTCGGTCGGGATTCGAACCCGCCACCTGGGGATCCGTAGGCCGGCGCTCTCGCATTGGAGCCACCGAGGCGGCCGCAACCGGTTGGAAAGATGAGATGTCATAGCAACGAGGTGCGAAACGGCTGTTTCATTCTCAACTCAAGGACTTGAGCCGGGCTGAACGTTTTTGCTACGTTCGGGGAACAACTGCACCAATAGACCAATCACAGGTCGAGGAGAGCTCGGCCAGTCGTGGTTCCTTTTATCTGATGACAAAAATGGCATCGGTGGTTATCACCGATGAGGTGGAACCTCATTGTTTTGTGTAAAAGCGCTATCCTTGAGTGTGAATTCTTGTTGTGTGGCGCTACGATAACCCAGCACGCACTAGAAGGAAAGATCCATCTGCTTGTGAGGCGATTTCATGGTATTACAAAGTGCTTTAAAAAACTGCCTGTCAATTTTTTTTACGCCATTAAGTGGCAGCGCATCCCATTCTTTTTAGAGGCACCGCTGAAGGCGGCATAGAAGCGGTCGCCGTGCGAATGGCCCACTGCGCTTGTTGCAGTGGTTGCAGGTGTGTGTATGGGCGGCGCAGAGCGGTCGTTCCGGTCACAATGGACGCAGCAGTGGATAACGCGCTCGTTGCAGATGTCTGAACCAGTCTATATACGCCTAGATTTTGCTGTCCACACACCGGCAAAACAAGCATACATTTTCGTATTGACAGCACATGCGGCGTCGATGCTTGGAGGCCATAAAAAGTAACCTTCCTGTCTTGAAATACATATGAGCAATATCGCTGTAAGAGATCTGCGCAGATATGCATCAGTAATAAGTTGAGTGCATACACAGTGCTAAAGACTCTTTCAGGCAGCTGTGTATACGTGCTGCCATAACTGACATCCCGTTTCTGTTTCCTCTTACTTCGTTCTCTTCACTTTATTATTACCACAGCAGAACAGGTTATTGTTACTTAAGGTGCTGCTGGACATCCCCAGCATAGGCCTTTGTAGAGGCTCAACGACTGTTTCAGTGGCTCGGCATCTCAGTAAGACAAGAGAAGGTTGGCAATGTCGGCTCTATCTGGCACGTGTTGGAAATGTTTATATTGGCAAGGAACTCTTTCAGTACGACGATGCTCCATAGCAATCTTGGCGCGACTGTTTTAGAACGATCCTCTCACTGCTTCGAAGAATTGAGTGTATCGAAATGGCGATTGCGTTGGCAACTGAGGCCTACCAGCCAATCGTTTTGCTGTCTGCATCTTAGTATATGTTTGTGTCCGGCTAGCAGGCAGGCAATGTTTTCCCAGGATCCAGGGACTTTAGTGAGGACGAGATGTCAACGACCCACAGTTCTTTGTGCATCAACATTTTCGTGAAAGGCAGCAACTGCTACAAGCTGGGTAGACTTTTAACTCAGTCCCGGAGATTCGCACTCCGGCACCTTATCATGGAAGTTGCAACCGTCAACCCAGTCACCTAAAACAAAAAATTCAAATAACATGCTACTGTTCCCAACCAGGCTTTGGGAGGCTTTGCATCCATATAGTTCAGCTCTTCAGTAGAACAATTAGTGGTGATCTGTGCAAGACTAGAGTAACCGAACAACGAGGAAGCGTCCTAAAAGCCAGAATATCGATGTGCTCTGCGCATAACCGGCGACATGACCGATTCACTTTGTGCGCATGAACGACAGTATCAGAAAAATGAAGCAACGCATTAAATTACAATTAAGTCTAGCACGTTCCGAAATCTTCTAGCATTGTACCATGGTAATATCTGTAAACAGGGAAAGCTAACATAACAAAAGATAATTTTCGTGAGTGCATGGAAGCGTTAGGCTTAAGAGGAGTTCGGTTTATGGTCCCGAACTATGCTTTGCGCGGCGTCTTTGAAATGCACTCAAAGTGAAATGGCGAAAGTAAACGCCAAAAAGCCTCACCATGGTTATGGTAGCTGTGCCTGGTGACCTTGTCGAATAGACGGATTAACCGTAGTGACAGTCGCCGACAAAACCAGCAAAGAAACGGCAGACAGCAGGATTAACCCTAGCCTCCTTCCCAGGGTCTCTCGGAAATCAAACAATCAAAGGCGCACGGGAACGAGGTTATGCCTTGGTTGGCTATGTTTTTGAAGAATTGGCCAAATTAAGCAGCAAGACAGGTAATTGTCACCCCATTTATTTGTTTGATTAACGCACGAAAACAAAAAAAACTATTACAATAAATAATAGTAAACACATAAAGTGTACTTGTCATTAAACTGGCGTCAAATTTTGTTTCAAGTAATCAAACCTTTTGAAACTTCTTAATTTAACAAAACTTAACACAACTGATTAAGCTTATTATTTATATAGTTGTTTTTATTAAAATTTACATTAATTTACGGTTAAAAGGCCAACCGCGACTTAGTTTGGTCTAGTTCCAGTTTCGTCCTGGGGCGGCGACCTTCCACGCGGCCTGTCCACCCTGTGTTTTCATGGCTGACTGCTTCTCGTCGTAGCGTATGTTATCAAAGCGAGCAGCGACGGCTGTGACTGTACCGCGAGCGCCGTCGGCTGAATCCGGGCAGCCCGGCATGTGTCCGTGCTCGATCAGCAGGTAGATACCGCAGACAGCCAGTTCGCCTGTCCGTTCAGCCCTCGTCAACGGAATGGCGGACGCCGCTATGCTGTTTGCGCTAGCCGGCGCGATGTTCCTCGGAAGCTACATCAGCGGCCTGGTACCCCTATCCCTTCCGCTGACGGAGGTGAGTACTGCGAACTATGTTAGAAACTTTAGAAACAGCTTTATCCCCTACGGTAACATCTGATCGCGCGATCCAACTCTGCGCGTTTCGTACAAGCTGGCGTTGTCACGAAGCTGGTGCTTGCCTAGTCCCCTCTCCGAATTCTGCCTACGTGCTACTTCCGTGCTCTTGAAGCGTGTGGTTAATTCCCCGCCGCGAATGGCTCGTGTTTCTAGGCGAGCACCAAGCAGGAATAGCCCTAGCACAGCGATTCCCTGTATCAAACATCAAGGCGGAATTCGTTAGCTGGAACACGCGAGTGGTACTATATATAACCCTGCCAGCACGAAGCGGTAGAGCGGTAACCGTTCGTGTGTTGCAGCCAACAAAGTCCGACATATTGTACCTCTAGGGCTTCTTCGCGGCGACCGTACATTGATATTTCTGGTACTTTGCATATACTTCTGGGCGGTCGATGTTGAAACTTCCCCAGCTCATGTTTTAGTGATGACAGGCTGGAATTCAAGGACAAAATTCATGATCTCTTACACCCCTGGATGGGCACAGAGTTCCGTTACTTTCTTGTATATTTAAAAAAAAAAAAAATGTGAACATTGTTTGCCGTACCTAGGTACACCCGCCGGCAATATGAAGGTGAACACCTTACCTGGTTTCTTGCCTGTTTTACGGCTCCCTAAAGCTATATTAACTTTCAGCGTCTCAAATGATACGTGGCTTGGGGTCTAAACTTTGCGTTCCAGCCTTCTACTGGAACAGAGCTTGTTCCAAAACTTGCAGGAGCGTCAAAAACATGAAGAGGGCTGTTCACCTTCATATCGCTCACGGGTGTACATTAAATAAGTAGATAAATACTATACGCCATCCTTAAAAGAAAAGCGAGTGTGTAGGTGAGCTGGTGAATACTTGACACATACTCAAAGGCGGTCTGTGTTCTTGTTTTTTTTAAGTGCCTTCCTTTTCCTTCCCCGTCTCAGGCTCAGTCGTGTCACGCAAACCTCGCAGTTTTGCGTAGGCCACTTTGTTGGCACTTTGCAGCGAACTGTCCCGCCGTGATCGCTGTTACAACCTCGGCTTCCTTGCAGGCTCGGCTACATCTCGTGTCGGTGTTTGGAGCCGGCCTGCTGGTTGGTACGGCCCTCAGCGTGATCATTCCAGAAGGCATCAGTACGCTCTACACCACCCAAATGCGTAGGTTTCACCACGACCGCAGCAGCACACGGCTGGCGTGCACATTGATTTGTGGTTGTCCGTGTGCAGAATATAATTCTTTTAAATCTGCATCCATTTACCATTTAAGAGCAGTTTTATCAATCGAAAGACAACAGCATGTTCCAGTGTTGTGTAGTCAGCTGGATTTGTGGATGGGATTAGATTCACCCGCTAGCGCATAATAGCAGTAGGTGTTGTCAGAATTGTCTGAGACCATCAAACATTTGTTTCATTTTTGGCATTTGTCAGACGCTGACGTGCACTGCACTAGAGGAACGCTGACGAAACTACTAACCATTGGTGACGGATGTCTCAGACATGTCGTGGACAAGCACTAAAGCAGGGTGACTTTATGTAGATGCCTTCTTAAAGAGACACTGTCACCCCCAGAATTCTTTTTAAATTTTTCGCCGGGCAATCCATTATGGCATTAGAAGACTACTTGATCAATATTTTGCTACAGTGTCACATATATTTTTAATAAAACAAACAAATGTAACCGCTCAAAATCTAAACTGGAGTGGGGAGGGAGAAGAAATAAAGAGGAAGAGAAAGTTGGTACTAAAAATCATATAGCTGTGCAACTTTTTTTTTTTTTTCATTCAGCGTATTTGCAGTTTTCTAGAAGCCACAAAAAATGGGTATCATATATTTTTTTTATATTCTTAAAATTAAGTGTGTGCCTTCGATGACCCATGAATTTCATTATTTTTGGTGGTTAAGTCTAAACCATAGAAGGCGGCACGTGACCACGGAGAAGAGAGTAACTGCGACTCAAACCGGCCTCTCGATTGGCGGTTTCCGGGCGGAATGAAAACAAATTTTGAACCGCAAATTGTGTTCCAAGTAGTTGGGCTCTCATATGTCATGTACAAATAAAAACGGAGGTGCCCGTCCGCGCAGAGGAACTGCTGCACCACAACTCGGGGGCGTCGCACGGTGACCACAGGAGCGGTGGCCCGACCCCGCTCAAATCGGACCCGGCGGCGCCCCACGGGGGGAACCACGGGGGACTGGACGAGCTGGATCCCCGCAACCTGGTGGGGGTCACCCTGGTGCTGGGCTTCCTTTTCATGCTCCTCGTGGACCAGCTGGTGTCGCGCCACAGGCACTCCAAGGTCCTGCCCACCTCCGTGAGCGGTGAGTGGCCTCCTCGTATGTGTAGAAGTATATACTCTAGAGCAGTGGATCTTAAATGGAGGCCGACGAACCCTTTGGAGACCTCAAAGGCTTTTTTAGGGTCTGCAAAGCCCTCCATTGTCAGTCGAGCCGAGCAATAAAACCTTTTTCAATATAGATGTTGGCTTTTCCATGAAGCTAGATAGACCAAACCATGCATGCCAAGCGAGATGAAGCCAATAATTTTCCATTTGAAAGCTTTAACGTAGGTTTGCATGCAATTAGTTCTTCTTGGTTACCCCTTTGTCAGTGTAATCGACCATTCCCTCGGACCCTCCCGCCCCACGGATGGGGCCCTCATCACTTCCGTTGGTCCTGAAGGGGTCTCCGAAAAGTTGGTGGTTGCAAACCGCTGTTTTAGAGCCGCTGAATGTTTCCGTTGTGCCAGAGTTCCCGGGCTTCTTTTCAGAACGCCCGTTATACTCCGTCTCACCGTAACTTGGCAAACAGCAAAGGCTACGGTAAGAGCGAGCCAGTCGGTGCGCCGAACGGAAGCGCGTGGCTACACTCTGTCTCAGTAGTGCCCAGCGCTGTCAAAACCAAGGGTGGGCGAAAGAAAAAAGCCGCTTACATTTAACGAATTCGGTGTGACGGGCTACTAATCTTCTAGGGAGAGAAAACTGATGCCCGAGACACATAAAAGAAGCTCAAAGTAAGAGCGGAGTTTCTCTTTTCCCACTTCTCCAACGGCCTTGGTTACACTCTCTCCCCTCTACCTTTGGTAAGGGTTGTCACATGCTTTGCCTCCGTCACTCTGATTGGCTCGGGGTGAGTGCTCAAACACATATGTCAGAATTACCCCCCCCCCCCCCAAAAAAAAGAAGCTTATTGCAATATTTATGTTGCGAGACTGCTTTTGAATGAAAAGCGATTCCGAAATCGGATTCTACCTCGAATCGCTCATACGAATCTTGCGACGTAAATACAAAAAGGTTACCACGATCACATGAAACAGCATGTTGCGGTGCTGCCGCTCCAACAGTGCACAACGCCATTAGACAACGTGAGGTAGACAAACTAAGTTATGAGATTGCATGGCCGCCTTTCCAGATTCGGACAGCCTGGGAGCAACGTACGGACCGAGGAGCAGCGTCACAGCCACCCTGGGCCTCATTGTTCACGCAGCAGGTCAGATAAGCCTGGTTTCCTTGGTTTCGGAAGCGACACCTCCTCACGGCAGCTGGCACAAATGAATTTTCATTTACATGCGTAAAAAATGATGACTGTCTTGGTCATGTTCGGTAAACTTGGAGAGGCACAAAATGTGTTGCATACAAGCTGGGCGCATGCTGTGTGCGTGACATTATGAGGTCGCATGACATTGTATCATGTAACACTGTGCCATGACCTCATGATGTCACACGACACTGTGACATTGCATGACACCTGAACTAGATGTCAATCGACAGGAGCTTACGGTGTCATGTGATGTCGCAGTCACGCAACATCATGATGTCATGGTGTCACATGACACTGACATCGTGCAACATTGTAATGTTACACAACACTTGTCAAGTAACGGTGCCTCGTGGTGTCACAGAGTCGTGTGACGGCACAATGCGAGGGTGCCATGTGACACCCTCACATCCGGCGTCAGTCGTGCACAACGCTCAAGCGAACATTTCGCTTTTCTCTTGAAAGCCAGCCCTATAAGACATTCCGAGTTCCAAGTAGTTGAAAGGGAAAGGAAACAAAAACCGCCACCCTTCCCAGGCTGACTGGGTACCTCTCTTTGGCCGCAGCGGACGGAGTCGCTCTCGGCGCTGCAGCCACGACGTCCAACCTCGACACAGAAGCCGTAGTCTTCCTCGCCATAATGCTGCACAAGGTCAGTGGCATCACCGTCTTTTGCCTTGTAACCGGATATCAATGGGCACATGAGATACTGGTCACCGACAGGGTGGGGACGGCAGGATGGCTTTTTCCAAGGTGCTCATTGTCTTCCGACGCGCTCTGGCAGAAGCCGTCGTCTTCATGCTGGTGGATAACAAGACACCGAAATGCTGCCGAAAGTAAGAAGCTTCCATTGGAGGCGGGACAAATGAGGAACCTCCCTGCTGTTTTTGTCCTGTTAGTGAACATATATTAAAGAGCTCAGCATTCCAGTGCACTCCCATGGAATACAATGTTCCTTATGCTGAATGTAACAGTCTTCATTGGATGGAGTGTCGCCGCTCCTAGTTTTGCGCGAGGACGAGTTTTCTCCGTTCGACGGTACGCCTTGCGGCTTTGTGTACACGGATTTGTGATGCGTTTCTTTTCAAATGGGGAGTGCCGACGAAATACTGAATGCTAGTTGTCACGGTCTACCTCGTGTTTCACGCCAAGACTGCAATCTGAAACTGTGCCACAATATGATTCTCAAGTCAAACTGGTGACCACACGGGCGACAGCTGGTATGGCTCGTTTAACGAGGCAGAAGAACTTCCGAGGTTAGAGACAAAGCTAAAAAATGACCGTCTCCTCGGTGCATCCCATAGGCAATCTACATGCATAGCATTCATAGGTCCACTGCGATGTCGCCCAACACCAATCATGGTATGCCGTATTCCCCCATCATGGACCCTTGTGCCATCCCCCCGACACAATCTCATCTGCGCAGGCTCCCGCCGCCTTTGCCCTCGTCTCGTTCCTCATGCACGAGGCGGTGGAGCGCACGACAATCCGCAAGCACCTCCTCATCTTCTCTCTAGCAGCGCCTCTGCTCGCCCTCATCACCTTTTTCGCCATCAACCGGGTGAGTGCCGCCTTGCTCACGAGCCGACTGCGGCGACACCCTGTTAAGCCGCATTCCGACTTCAAAGCACAAAGGAGAATGCGGGGGGCATAAGTAGACAAGCTGCAAATTAAAATAAAATGTTCAGAAGCACAAGTGCAAATGGCTATTAATGAGTTGGCATTAGAACGCTCGTTTTGACAAAAACCCATCGGTGTCTTTTGTTTGTTAGCACTGGGGAGAGAGGAAGGAGGAGGGGGAGAGGGTGACGCGTGCGACCGTCCCATTGGTCCGAAGCACTGACACCAGCATGCGTCAACGTCTCCTTTTTTTCCCCGGCGCTGACAAACTGACAGACACCGCCGAGTTTTCGTCAAAGTCACGCGCACATGGAGCCAAGGAGGAGGATGCGCTGTGGCATGGTGGAATGTGGACATGCTCAGTTGCCGCTTTGCCGTTGCCTGTTGCTCTTCGCTCTGGGATTCCGTAGTCGCATTGCGTGGGCCGTGATGTGTGTGTGGTTAAAACGATGGATGCAGTTCTCTCCACGAGTGGTATGGATGTGATCCTTTCCACGGGTGATATAGATGACCTCATCCAAGGGTTAACACTGACCCCATAATAATAGAGAAAGCCAAAACAGAAAACTGAAGGTGTCATTGTTAGAGTTCCAAACTGGGATGTGTGTGGCATTTCCCAAGGATCATGCTAATGCATTCCCCCAAAATCCAACAATGGATCTTCCCGTTTTTTTTTTTTTTTTTTTCTTTAGAACAGTTATTGTTTCAGATGTTAGCACTTGCAACTACACTCTGGTGCTTGTGCTGTTCAGAAAAAGGTCTATGAAGGGCCTGTGACAAGGCATTCATATGTGCCTAGGACCTATGGTAACATTCAAACACATTTTTCTCTTTGTGTAATATTGGGGCATCTTCACAGTTTTTGCATAAGAACTCCTATTCTTAATTTTGTCCTATCAGAACCAAATTTGGCATGCATATATGTATGTGGAATGCAACTATCTATACTTCGTTTCAGCTTCGGTCCAGACGCAGCCGATGCTACAAGCGCGAGCATGTGGCCCAGAACAGTGCTCGCACTGCACGAACGCGCGTGCTTGGCAGGGATGCTGAAAGCCCGGAGCTCGCGCTTGTAGCTTTGGCTGCGTCTGGACCGAAGCTGAAACAAAGTATAGGCTTGGTTGGAATGTATAGTTTTATTTATGAACAACTTAAAAAAAAAAACGTTTGTTAGCCCCTTGGAATTGCATTTTTGCTGGTTTTAATTATTTTAAAATTTAAGGTGCATCACAGACATATTTTTGTTTTTCATTGCACCGAGTGGATTAAAAGGTGGAAATTAGTTGATTTTATTTGGCTTTTTTCGAGTGTGTTGCCATGCCTCACATGTGCACAAAAATGTGGTGGGCATTTACATTGCATACATTGCATTGAGAACCTAAAAAAACAAGTTATAAAATCAACAAAACCAAAATCAATAAACAAGTTATAAAGTTATAAAGAAGATTAAACACCATAAACTGTAAATAGTTTATTTCAATATTGAAGATAATTAAAAACTAAATTTTTCCTCTTAATTATCCCACTTATCATGATGACTGGCCTCCTATATTATGTTCCCTTGGCCGTATAACTCACCTGCGTGGAACGCATTAACATAAATTTCATGGCTTTTTTTAAATTTTTGTTGAAAAGTAGGTAAATTTTTATTTTGAACACCCTGTATAGCACACCCTTGACATGTCTTCCATTTTTCCTCGCACAACAGGGTGCCACCGAGAGCATCAGCTCGCTCCACGCCACGGGGGTGGCACTGCTCTTCAGCGCCGGCACCTTCCTGTACGTCGCCACAGTGCACGTGCTGCCCGAACTAGTGGTGCGCCACAGCAACCACCAGGGGGACGCAAGGGGCCGCAGCGGCGCCCCCTCCAGCGACGGCTTCACCAAGACGGACGTGCTTACGATCGTGGTGGGTGCACTCATGCCCGTGCTGCTGACTCTAGGACGACACGGACACTGAGTGTGCTGCGACGTCTCACTGGCCAATCGGATGGCTGCATTTGGAAATCGGGACGGCGCGTCATCCACCGCCAACGTGACGCCACTTCGAGACGAACCCGTTTCGATGCAAACACTGCGGTCGTGCGTGCCGATGGACTCCTTTCTTCTAATTTTCTTCCTCCTACCGTGTACAGCCGCTCTTTGACTTTTGGTGGAAACATTCTTTCCTTTTTATTTTTGTAAGATCAACGACGCGTTATTTGTTCGAGAAACGCCAAAACGTTGTTCGTCTTGATATTTTTTTTGTTTGTACTGTATTTCATTTTACTTTGCAACAGACCGCAGAGGGCAGTATGAGCCATTGAAGCCGATCTAATGCCGTGTAAGCGTCGCATGATCCTTATGCTGTCGCATGATCCTTATGCCGGGGTTGCACTGCTTATACATCATACAAAAGACAGTCTGCATACAGATGCGAATGCGAGTCACCACGAGATCTGTGCTTCGAATGCCGCATGGCAACGAGTTCAAGGAGAAAGATGTTCAGCCTTTTCACTCTCGTGAAGAAGCAAGACCAGCGGAGCTGTACTCGATACACTGCCACAATGCGCACGTGCCCGTTTCCCGCCTCTTCTCGTCCGACATGCCGCCGATCATAGATACGTCTCCGGCCACCCAGTCGGTCGCACACGGTGCACGCGACGCCAAACGGGTAATCCACAAACTCCCTCCGGAACATCGCCGTCGTGCCCGGGAACTTTTCAGTTGGCCAGCAGTGCAGTCGTTGCCGGGCCTCGCGCTTGCGCTTGGCCTCCGTGGCACGATCGTCGTCCGTGGCGTTGGCCCGCCGGCGCCCTTTACATTGCTGGTTCTGTTCTCGGTGGTGGCTTTCCAGGCGAGTGATGTGCTCTTCTTTGGCAAGGAAATCCGAAGCGGTCGATGCAGTGGAAGCCGAGGCGACAGCGGCTTTGCGGCGGTTACAGACCCTTTCGCGCTGCTGCATACGTCGCCGCTCCTTCCGCAGCCAGTCTTCTTTCCCCAAAAGGGCACGCGGCTGACTCATCCTGAGTCTAAACCGAAACTGATAAGAGCGTAGGAAACAGCGCGCAAATCAGACGAAGACGAAGAAACGCACGTGACGAGCGCTGCTCTCGTTATGTGTGCTTCTTCTTTGTCGTCGTCTGTTTTTCGCGCTCCTTCCTACGATGAATTCCCACCAACGCACTGCCCAACTATCCATTCTTCTATGGTAGCTGGAAAGGTTGGCGCCATCTACCAGCAACGGCGGCAACCATACTGGTTGTGTGCTTGCCATTGTCGCTTATAGATGGCGGTGACTGTCCAGAGGCGTCTTTGTCGACAAGTGCTTTGTACCGGACATGATCCTCGGGAACCTAGCCCTTAACAGCTCCGCTGTAAAACTTGGCATGCAGCATTCATATCGCGGATACTGCAGTGATTCGTGTTTGCAAGCTGTCTTCTGTATTATGTGTGACCAGTGTGACCGCGGCTTTAGGAGATGGCGCAGCAACGTGCGGGGAGCGTAGTCGCACGATACGTTTGCAGTGCTGGATTGGTCGCGGTGGCTTGTAGCGTCTGCCGCAGTCCGACGTTAGGTAAAATGGAGTAGCCATAGACAGATGGAGATGGATGAAGCAGTGTCCGAGAGCGTTTGAAAGCGATCTGCATGACCCGAACTTGTTCATGTTTGAGCTGGGACGATTAGCACGAGGAAGACCCTGTCCGATCGCCGGAGCGAGGCTCTCGCAGAGCGGCAGCTACCGTTTGCCCATCCACCCGTATGTTTGCGTCGTCTAGTGCGTGTGGAGCGTCGTTTTTTTTGGGAAGATTCCCAATTCTTTTTTAATCGTGGGAAAAGGCAGCGATATGCTGGTGGCAAGCTGCCGGATCTCAAAGTATTTGGGGGATTGAATAAATATATAAATATTATATGGGAAGGTTTTGATAAAAACATGTTTGTGTCATTTCTTTTTTTTCTCTTCAATGCACTCAACCACTTCACGGCCAAAATGTGATGAATGACTTCCAAGAGGCTAATTTTTGGACCTTGAAATGCTCGCATGAACATGAGTTTACAGGGTTTTGACTTTTTCAATCGAAGAAAGCCTTTCTCCCCCTTCACATTCCCATGTTACAGCCGGGTTCATGAAGTTTGTTAACAGTAACACATGCTAAGAAACATGCTAGGAAAACAGGTGGGAGCACGCTGCTTGTAGTCGTGCATTGGCGCACGTCTTAGCTATGCTTAAATTTTTATAATCTGGAAAAAAAAAAAGCTCAATTCGGGGGATATGTAACTGAGAGAATTTAACAACACTTCATTTATTTATGCACTAACTATAAATACTATTAATTCTGCCCCATAAAAAAAACGAAAAAAAAAAAAAAAAACTCCAATAGCTTTAATTTTAAAGTCTCTGGCAGTCATATGCCATGTCAATCTTGCTTGCAATTTCACAAGTGAAAAAGTGATAAATCATACTCTTGGCTAGTTCACGCCTTATATTCGGTTAGCTCGCTGTTGCTCCAGTGCACAAACTCTCCTTGATTCCTACATAAATGTTGGTTAATTCACACACCCTCAACTTTGGGTGGGACGAGCAACGATTAGCAAGAATGCTCGAACAATACAGACTGTGCCAATTGCTACCAGATCGATAAGCCATATAGGGCTTTATTTTTAACTCGGCTGAGCCGAGCAAGACGTTGACAACTGAAAGGTATTTCTGTTCCCGCAACAGGATTTGGGTGTACAAATGCAGTTAAATCTGTAGGTGCTTCTTTCTACTGTTTCTTAATCACTCTCAGTCAGGGCAACTCCTCTATGTATTCTAGTTTCTTTACAGGTGTCCACACAGTCATTAATTTGCACAGGCCCTTCAGGCAGAAAGCAGTCGCCCCAAAAGTAAAAAAAGAAAAAAAAAGAAGCAAAAGGCGTGTGCTTGTTCTCTACTTTATTGACAGCACTGTCCATACGGTACCATATTTCTGTACAGGATGAATGATGCAGTTAACGTTCCACCAACGGCCACGCTACATGTGGCCGCCGACCAAGCTGCACCATTGAGGTGACCTGCAAAGCCTTTTGTGCCCTTCCCTCCCCCAAAATGAGCAAGGTGATGCCGACCGTTGCCCTTCCACAGGCCTACAAATACTGCACCGCGAGATGACAATCAGTTCTATGTATGGAAAAAGAAAAAAGATGTGTCGACACGCGTTCAAAATTGTCGGGCATGAGAAAACCCGGCGGCAGAGGCGAAAGGACGACGGCTTTTTCTGCTAGGCAGCCGAACAAGTTAATGTCGAGAGATTGGAGCTGAAGGAGGAAGGCAGTGTGGAACACCGCCTTCCCTCGTGACAGTCTTTACACGCGAGATCCGACGCGCACGTGCACCAGACGACCGGAACTTTTCCCCCTACGTGAAGCGGCAAGACGACGAGGAGCTGCAGTCATTCGTCGTAGATGGGTTCAAATTTCTCGTCCCCCAAAACATCCATGGCCGGGGCGATTTCGGCTGCGACTTCGGCTTCGGCTGCGTCTTTGTCCGTTGTGGTTTCGGGCACTGCGTCGCCGTTCTCTGCGTTGACCGTTGCCTCGGCGTCTGTCCTGTCGCCTTGTTCGTCTGCCGTGCCTTGGGTCGCCGGGCCTTCCCCTGCTACGTGCGAGACGGTTAAACAAATGTTAAAATCTGACGGCGTGATACGAGAAAACCCAATGCTGGCACAAACAATGTGGTGCTTCTACAGTATGTCTCAAAGTTCACAAATGCAATGCGAGACGGACTGCAAAAGTCGTCGATTAGACGTGGCAAGCTCACACTTGTATCGAACAACCATTCTTTCACCATGGGCTTGAAACCTTCAGTCTAGTTATATGCAGTTCCAGGCCTACCGATAGATGGCACAAGGGCGTTTTCTCGTTGTTCACAAACGGTCACTACGCAGTCAAAGCGCAAATGAGTGAACCAGCTTTTACTGGTCCCATAGCTGCACCGAAATTCCAAACACCAAGTTGCTCGGCATCAGAAACGGACTGCTGACGCTTTCTATAACAGGATAAGAGCTGATAAAGGCAGATCCTACGTCGGCCATTCCCTCCTAGCACTAAAACGGGAGGGCAACGCCTGTGGGGAGGGCCTGTGGGGGCCTCGAAGGGAGCCATGAAACAATATTGAGTTAGAAATTCACTCTCCTTATACAACTGCGCTGCACCTTGCTAGAGTGGAGTTCCAAGATAAGAAGCGTGCTATTTCGCTGAGTCTTGGCCTTTTCTCCATACAAAATGTAGAGAAAAAGGGTCAGACTGCAAGTCCAAGAGTGATGATGCCTAGCAAAGCTCGTGGTTTGTAAAACAAACTCTGTGTCGATTTTTGGGTCGGGCAGGAGTAAAATACCCTTTCTTTTTGTGGGCATCTCCAGTAAAATAATTTTATTTTACAGGAGATGCCCTAACCCCTTGTGAGCGATTTCATGGGTTACATTTACACAAAGCAGCAGCACGGACACACCACGCTTCTATACCCGAGACTGTAATCGGCGCAAACGAGTGAACACTGCAAAAAGGTAAAACCGAGATCTGCCTGTTCCCCTTACAGAATGTACTTCTTTTCTGAAGTTAGGTTATATATGTATTTTTTTTTTAATTCTCTCAACAAAGTGAGTTACGCATACATTTGTCATGCACCGTATCTTTTCACCGTCTGTTGTCTTTCAATCACACTGACACAAAAACAAATATACATTTTGTACGATCAGTTCTAGCCACAAACTCGGCTACTGAGCAGACGACCATAAGTTCTTGTCTCCCACAGCTGCAAGGTAGAATAATGGGGGTGTCTTTTCTAACGAGACACCTGCTCCAGCCACGGAGGTAGGAGAAAATATGCATAATTCCCGCTGCGCTGTACGACCCACCTGGATGAGGTCTCCTTAACTACAACCGGCTTCTTTTCTTTCTTTTTTTCAAAAACAGCTGCAAAGTGGATGTGGATTGTCCAGGTCATCTTTTGTAGAGGATAAAAATGTGATTTAGAGTACATATATTACGTACCATTATTTCCGGTCTATGAGTTGTACCACTGCACAAGTTGGGTGCCCCTAAAATGGCCATTTTCACAAAACGTTGGTACAATCTTTACAACCTTTACAACGAAGTCCGTGGGACAGAGAAATTTTTTTGTAGTACAAGTAACCTTCCTTGTACTAGATGAAAGCAAAAAATCTATCATGTGAAACCGAATTTGTGCTATCGCACGTTGACATACCTTTAGGAAAACATATAGTGCCAAACAAAGTATGAACGACATCAAAAACGAGGTTTTGTACGCTGACAATTGACTTATCAAAATTGGGGGAACGGTGGCCGAGTCTGCTAAAACATCGCAGCTCTGTGCGCTTGGGGCAAAAGCTCGCGCTGCAGAATCCAGGCATCTCGAGCTCGGTTACCACTTTTTTCTTCTTTTTTTTTTAATGAAAATTGTACCATTACGCGCTCGTGCAATCACCGCTCCCTGGCACAATTTAAAGACACCAGCTAGCGGTCGCACTGCCACTGGCAAAGTTTGTCATCTACAGCCAAGACACCAGGCGCTCCTTGCTGCAGACTCATATCCCGCTGTCCAAACTTCCCCAGAACAAACTTAACTGTTTTATCAAAATGTGAATTGCAACAATCACTAAGCCACCAACATCAATCCCCGACCGTGCAGCGAATGAGAGGCGTCTGCAGACTGCGTAAATTTGGCCTTTTCTAAATCAGGCGGCGGCTTGCGCTGCCACGTGTCATTTGGAGGAGGCTCTCAGAGCAGCGCAGCAGGTGTGGCAGCCACGGCAGCACTACCGTAGCAGCACGGCAGAATAGGCTGCGCGCTCGGCACACGACAGCTGCAGTGCGCGGCGCAGCGAGGAGCGAGGGTGGGGAGAGGCGCACCACAGAGCCGACAGGAGGTATTTTTCACACCTGCCTGGCACAAAGCGAGGGGCGCTTTTTTCTGTGCGGCTCTGCCGTAAAATCCCAAAAGGGCGCCCACCCAAAATGAAGAGATAAACGGCGAAAAACATGAGGCGGGTTATTTTTGAAAATAAGACAGCGAAACTTTATACAAAATTAATGATAAACAAGGGGCACCCGCTACAAACCACGTGACACAGGAACTGATACCGCAGATCGTGGACACTGCGAATTTGCATCTCACAAAGTGACAAACACGAGGAATTTGTTAGAAACTCCTGCGCCACGGGAAAGGATACCGCACACTGCCGATGCACCAGATTCGTGTTTTAAGGGTGCAATAAATTTTGCGGAAACCGGCTAAACTTGCGTGCCACGGGAGCCGATATCGCGAGCGCATATCCCGGAAATAAAACGTGGGAAGTTCTTCGAGCTGTCACAGGAACCGATATTGCACGCGCAGATTGCAAACGAAAACGCGGAAACCCGCTATCGGGTCGCATGATGTCCAATGGGAATCAAACATCACGTGATGTCCGATTCTATGTTCCAAATGTTCTGGAATTGTGAGCAAAACAGAAGCAAACAAAATTATGCACACTCATATTTTTTGTTTGCTTTTTAGTTTGCTCAAGACCACATCCGCTGCGCCGCTTCCTCCGCCACCGCGCGGCGCACTCTCCGTTTTGGGTCTAAATAATTTGTTAGTGTGCAGCCTTGTGTCTAGATGGGGCCATGTGACTTTGTTGCTACGTACAGGCTTTCTACGCAGCAACGTTGTCATGTACCACCATCTAGACACAAGGCTGCACACTAACAAATTATTTGAACACAAAACCGAGAACAAGCGGCGCGGTGACAGCGGAGGGGCGCGGCGGGGGCGTTAACTGTCGCCGCTCCCGCAGTATTTCTCTTCTTTACCCGCATCACTTGAGAGCAACAATTTACATAAAATTGATTATGTAAATAGAAAATTCGTAATACAGGTCATTTTTGCTTTGTGGGCCATGCAATTACTCTGTTAAACAGAAATTTGTTGTGGTAGCCAGAGAAACACATTAAATACATAGGAGATTGCCTGCGACTTTATTTTACTTCACTAAATGGGCGTTTTTGTAGTAGAGGCATTTGTTATAAAGGCGTTGGACTGTACGTAAGTCACACTTCTTTGTACAGTTTGTGCAGCGAAACTGCATTGGCAAGCCCACATAAGTATATTGTGATATATGCATAAGCCGGAACAAGTTTCATTATTCTTGCCAACGAATCGAAAGAGATATATCACCCTTGCAGCAAAATTTGCTTTAAAGTGCTGGACGTTGCTTCTTTAGAATCGAGCCACGGTTCTCGAAGGTCGCGTTTGACGCGTCTAGACACAGCGGTTCGGTACCGCGGGCAAATGCAGTGGTAACACAGAATGTATTGCGTTGCTTCGTGGTGATGTAGCACAAAGGAACTTGGTACGCATTTTGTGCCTCGGCGGCATGAACATGGTCGTAAGCAGCATCTCAGAAAGAAAGCCCTGTCAAGGCTAGCGCTCAAGCGGGAGTGAAATGCAAAATTTGCGTCGCTTGTGGCCACATCGTCCAGCACTGGCCCAGCTATTTCACGCCCACCCCATATCCTCCGAAGCACGTGGAACCAGAAATCACAATCAAGTTCGCATATCTCCGGTTGCACACCGCATCTTCGACCCTGTCGTTTCACGCCTTCCCATAACCTCGGGGGATAACCAAAAATTGCAGATACGTTTGTCTTGCGTTTGCACACTCCCGGCTTTGATCCGGTTATTTCACGTCTCCCCACATCCTCAAAGTAGGGGAAAACCGAAAATGACAGAAAAGTTTGTCCTGTGGCTGCATACCCCAGCTTTGATCCGGCTATTTCACGTTTCCCCATATCCCCCGAAGTATGAGAAATAAAAATCACTAATAAGTTTGTGTCTTGCATTTGCAGACCCCAGCTTTGATTCGGCTATTTCACGTCTCTCCATATCTTCCAAATGTCAAAGAAAACCGAAGATTGCAGAAAAGTTTGTGTCTTGCGGCTGCACACCCCAGCTTTGACCCCGCTATTTCGTTTGAAGCACGGGAAAGCAAAAATTAGTGATACAAAGGACACATGCTTCTTACCCGTCTGCTGACCGGCGGCCTCCTCGCCGCCAACTTCCATGGGCTCCGCGGCGTCCGTTGCGGCCGCCACGTCCTCTGGCGCCACCGCCTCACTGTCTGTGGCGGCGTTCTCACCCTCTGGCTTCACCCGGTGCCCAGGGTCATCCGTAGAGGCTTCTGCAGCAGAGGTCTCCGTGGCGGGTGGACCCCGGTTCTCCTTGTGGCTTTCCTCTTCCTCCTCTTCTACAGGGGGCCCACCGCCGCGGCGGTAGAGCTCGTCGATGGCGTCCAGTTCTTCTTTCACCTTGGCACGTCGGCTCTCGATGGTCCCTGAACGAGGTTACAGCACGCAGAATGAACCAAAGTCAATGGGAAGCACGACAAGCTACTAAACAATATTTGATTGATCTACACAGAGTATTAAGAAAGACTCGCTGCGGCTTTGTAGTGCAGTGACAAAAGTCCCATTCACATAGTTGCATTTGACTGCCTTGTACCACGAAACGGCTGCGAGCCACTGGGGCATCCGCGTCCTTTCGTATAAAGCTTGGGAACCAACTCAAAGTGTAGTTTGGCAGGCAGCATATGAAGCATGGATGTCCCAGTTACTTTGCGACGCAGTCATTTGCTCCCAGACGCAACTATGTGTATTGGCCTTAAAGTTATACATCATGTCCGATATGTTAGTAGTATGAAAACGTGACAACTAAATTACGAGACCTCAATGTCTCATATAATAGGTAGACGTTAACCACTGAAATGAAAAACACTTGGCTAGGTGGCGCAAGCTGCTGCCCAATTACAGAAGTTCAACTGTAGCCATCTATTCGTCCATGCATTCAGACGCCGGAAATCCCAATATTTTCGGTTAATGTTCCTACTACAGCACAGCTACGCCTCACCCAGAACTGCAAAGAACAATACGCAATAAACAATTCAAGAGAAGAAAAAAAAAAAAAAAAAAAAAAAAAAAGTCAGAACTTGATGTCTGACTTTTTTATGGCAACTGTGGTACGAAAGGAAGCAGAGAGAGTGTACAAACCGAGGATGCGCTTTTGCGATTCCTTGAGTCGCTTCTGCGTCTCTGGACATGGCTTTGCCGGCTTGAACATGATGTGCGGCTTTGTGCGCGTGTGAATGAAGTTGAGCAGCAGTCGCTGTCGAGCTTCTGCTTCTTCGTGCTGTGAAGAAAGGCAGAAAAATGCTTTAACCCCTTGCCTACTCTACTTCTACCTTAAAAAAAACATACAGCGAAATATTATTTTAAACAGGCCTCAACTGCCTCGACTTCCAGATGTCATATCTTGCGCTAAATCGGGATTTCTGGTCTGATTCCCACTGACATGCAGACTCCAAATTTGAAGAAATGCTTGCAGGATTCACGTCATTTTCATCAACACTGTTACTGCCCATCAAGCTATCGTCTTATTCCTAAAAATTGCAAAGGCTGAAGGATCCGTCGTCATATACGCCTGAGCATTAATCCCTTTCAAAAAGAAGGTTTTGTATATCTTTGTCGGCCAAAGCGGACCTCCGCGCCAAAGCCACATTGTTTTAGCGTGAATGCACATGAGCGGCTATTTTTTGTTCTCGGCTTAATGAAACGTTTGCTCTCCGTCAAACAGCAAAACAAACGAGCAAACTACCCAAGGTAAATGGAGAAAGAGAGAGTACGCTAGACAAGCGCCGAAACGCGAGTCACACTTGTGGTCAAGCTACATCGTCCGTAAGGGGTGACACGAGTGACATGTTAGTAGGCATTGGGGTGGAAGGCAAGTAATCTCTGCACTTTCACATATGACTCTTGGTAATTCAAAGTCGCATAATTCAAATTTTCGGTTAGTTTGAAGCATGGGCCTGGTCCCGGCAATCGTATGTACAATGCTATGGGGAAAAACAAGCGGTAATTCGAAGGCTAAATTTTTGTTGTTGTTGTTGTTGTTGGGAGCTGGTTAATTTGAAGGATTTTTTTGTCTGCGCCTAAAGTCCGGAAACCCCGTGAGCGAAAAAAACAAATGCCAAGCGCCAAGCGCGAATACGCAACGCCACGACCCGTGGCCGCGTCACTGCATCGCCGCACTAGGGATGATGCAATCTGATGCAATGTGCGACAGCGCCATGGCACGCTGCGGCTCGGCGGCGAGGAAACAAACAAACAGCTTGAAGTTATACTCCCTATGCTACGAGCTGTGACTGCAATTGTGACCCATGGTTGACATAATAATCGTGCCACCTTATCGGAAGTAGGAGATTCCGGCAGTGTCTATGTTGCAGCTGCCGCCATCTGGCATCCATTCATTCCACCTACCAAGCGTGCCACCTCCATCTTGAGCTCCAGCCTACGAAGACTCTGCTGCTTCTGACGCCTGGACAGGAAGAGGTCTTGGCGCTCCTTGCGGAGCTCGGCCTTCTCCCGCTCCGCAGCCTCTTCCAGCTTCTGCTCAATCTCTGCCCGCTTTTGGGACTGTGAAAAGAAGGAAGCGACGCAGAGGTCGCCGCAATGAAAAAGGAATATAGAGGTTTTCTACTCCAATCCTTTGCATTTGACGATGCAATATTAGAACGATGAACATGCCTAACAACGTGAAATTTTCCTGCGCAATGACATGTGAGAAAAATTGCGCTAAATAGCTGCAAATTAATTTTTCTTTGAAGGTATTAGTGTGACATTGCTCGCTAGCAGACAAAAAGAAAGCTTGTGCCATAGACAGTGCGAGATTGATTCGTGAGATCGCTTTTGCTAGGGATGGAATAACAACCGAAATCTCAGGTATGCCGTGCCCTCTTTGATACGGGCCTCCATCAGATTACAGGAATCTCGGCCAGGCGAGACCAGTGTGCAGCAGTACTGCACTGCACCAGGCAAATTGCTCGGCACCGCACTCTGCTATACTGGGACAACTAGTGGTGAGCAATTTGACCGGTTCACTGCAGTACTGATACCACTGCCTTATACTGCACTGTACCACACTAGCCAAATTGTACTTTAGTGGCCAACGTGTTTTGCGGTGTACCGACTAAATCACTTTAAATTGCCCTGCACTGACCAAATGACTCTAAACTGCACAGTTATACACAACTAAATTGCACTGCACCGTGCTACACTGAAAAAATTGATGTGAACTTTACTGTATTGGCCAAAATTCTCTATACTGCACTGAATTAAACTGGTCAAATTGCACTGCACAGTACTGCACTGGCCAAATCACTGCTGCAGCACAAATACAAGTCGCTGCACTTTGAAGTTAAACTGACATCCGACAAATCTGGTTTCCAATAGGCCCGGTGTCGTCGGGACAGGTGAACGAACTTGGCAATCCGGGAGAGGGGGGGGGGCGTCCTCACCTGTAGCTGGTCCTTGCGGCGCGTCTCCTCACTCTGGAACTTCTGCAGGGTGCCCAGCATGATGCCGAACATGCGCTTGTTGCGCTCCATGCAGCGCCGGTCACCCTTCTGATCCGCGCTCGCCTCCTTGCGCGTGCGCTGAGTCTCCTTGGTCGGCGCCGCAACCACCCACGACTGCACCCCACCCTGTAGACGCAAGAGATGGAAAAGGCTTTGCCACTTAGGGAACAGACCAATCTATAACAAACGGTGATGCTTCGAGTGCCCGAGCAAAGGGAACAAGAAGTAGACAGTGCACAGTGCAAGTGTCAGTCATGAACCAACCAACACTGCAAAAATAATTCAGAGATTTTACTGAAGAATATTTTGTAATATTTTTGGGTACCGTTCCCGTTTCAATGTTTATGGACGTTTCCTCAATTTTTCAAAAATACAAAAAGGCCAAACATTCTTTTTTTTTTCTGCACAAATATAAGGATTGGATTCAAGGGCCAATGCGTAGACCCTTTTGATGTAATGCTACTAAATGATTTAATTACAGCAAGTGATTTGCTGCACTTGGACACACTGACAGCACATCTTTCACATCTATACACTTGCAGTTCTGCTACTGCAATGAGGGAACTCTGGCGGCTCACCTTTCGAGGAAGGTCTTCCTCATCTCCACTCTCTTCGGCAGGGGGTGGCTCTATCGGTGGTCTACAAAAAAAAAGCAAAAATGTAAACAAATGATTTACCTTCGTCTCTGCACTTTTCTTGAGTTCTCCGTTGCAATACCAGCCTCATTTTTAGCACCGCTTCAGTGTGCAATGGCTGCTGCTAAAGCTTGAAGGTGTTTGCGCGTTCGACAGTTTGTTAAGGTTTTTCCCCCTCACAGCAGTTCGAGGATCACAAACACGGCAACGGTGAAAATCCAGGCCAGCAGGTGGGTAAAATTAGATGAGGACGAGCAATAAAAAAGAAAAAGCAGTGCCTTCAGAAATTTCGTTGCATGCGTAACGGAGTTGGCGATGCACTTGACTGCCATGCAGAGCTTCCCGGACCTCTCTTTTATTAATCTGTAATGTCCTGGAAAGTTCCAGCCCATCCTTGGTTGTCATCACGTTCTGGTTCAAAACATCCCACAACATACTGCCTGTATAAAAGCTGAGGTAACGTTCTGCTTCGAAACAGTTGCCCTCTCTTCACCGTCCCTGGATGTACTTTCTTTGTTGTAGTTTCAGGCTCAAGTTCGCCTAATTAAACCTTGATTTTCTGTTTTATGTCCATCCACTCTTTTTATTTGTGAGTATATGAAGTAGCCTTTAGCAAGCGGCAACCCATATCAACATGGTACGTTGTGCTCCTGCATTACGTCTAGGGATATTATTTCACCCACTTGTCTCTCGTGCGCGTCACACCAGAATGCGGCCGAAACGGCGCTAACGGCATTCGGCAACTTTATAACAAACATACGTAGCCCGCCATCTCTCCACGATGCGTCAGAACTTCATAACGACTTGCTTTCCGAGTCGTTTGCGGGAAATACCAGCCACTTTTTACTTGAGGGCAACTTTCTGCGGCAATAAAGCCAAAGCTACGAGTGCCCGTACAACACCTCGAGCACCGATAAAAGCCGTGTACATGCACTCTTCACTTCTTCCAGAATGCCATAGAAGGTTGACCCCATGAATAGTAATATCAGAAGGCAGACTTACCTTACGAAAGGTCCACCGAAATTTCTCCGTTTAGTAGTGGGCGGACCACCCTTAATCTCTGGTTTCCTGCATTGTAAAACAAATATAACATTTAAATATAGAAACCAACATGTTCATCTGGATCGCATTGACACAGTCATGGTAAGGAAAGTGAGACACCAAGAGGTTGAATATAGGCTTAGAATCTCTATTCAAAATCTGCGTGGGAATAAACTTGTGCATAGGAAAGGGATTTAGGAGCAACCTAAAAAATAACATTGAGCTCAAAGGCATGTGAAACCATGTTTCTAAGAGAGGCAATTGATGTTGCAATCGACAATAAAACTAATTTGCCAGCATTACAGAATGGGCATGTATTCGCGGCGAGAACCACACTAGAGGGCGCTGCTGAGAAGCATGTGAATGTCACGTAATGCCCGGAATGTGAGGATGCGGGCATGTTTACACAGCGCGTGCGCCATAGCGGCACGGTCCGATCGCTTGCTTTCGGATGCTATGCGGTGGTTCGTCACTGCTCGGTCGCCAGTGGCGCAACGTTGTCGACCGAAAAAGGTGCAAGTTTCCATCCATATCCGAGAGAAAAAAACAACCGGGGAAGTAGAGATGGGAGTAAAACCGCGCAAAAAGGTGCCGCCAAGTGTGATGGTGTGCTCGAACCACTTAGTAGATGCTTTCACGACGAATCATGTTTTATTTTGTATTACATTTTGCTTTTCTTTGTGAGTGTCTTTGTTTTGTCCTTGTCACATGTCGCGCTGCAAGGTTGAAAGAATAAACGGTCTCCCTTATGTTGCCCAAAACGAAAGGACGTTCCTGCGTGTGTTCAACAAATCAGGTCCCGAGGATCCCATATTTGAGTGAACCTTTTTCATGGTGCAGTACCTGCGGCGCAGTGTTGTGTGATCGAGAGAAAAAAAAGTGATAATTTGCACAAGATGTTTTACTCTTTTGCCCACGTGTAGCCGCCATTTGAATTTGTTTTGTTTTTTAATGCATTAAAACGTGTGTTGCTATACGTTTATGCTTAATACTAAGCGTGTTAAGTATTCTAGATGGCTTTTGGTCAGCAGGGCAAAATGTCATGCAACATCCCAAAATACTGGCTGTGATCCTAGGGTATGTTGCGTTTTATTGACAGTAATTATAACTGGACCAGAAAAATGTTTCCTTCACTTGCAGATCAGATTTTGAAAATTCCGCATATCCTTTTTTTTGTAATTACATTGTCATTACGGTCATCAAATAACATCTACATCAATGCCATGTTTTAAGTGGCTGTAATTGAAGCGTTAGCTGTTGACGAGATGATGTGTCAGTTTAAGCGCACAATCTTAAAGGGGCCCTGCAATCATATTTAAGCGTCTACCTTTTTTGCGGTTTCCAGGTCTCTTGGGGTTCGGGCAAGCCAGCAGGCACGGAGAGAGTAACTAAATATTAGTGCGTCATACTTTGACCGGACGACGCGGAAACCTCCTCCACCGACGAGGGCGACCCACGGTACCGAAAGCGCGCAAAATCTGACGTCTTTGGTCCTGGCCTTACTACTGGTCAGAGCCGCTAAAAGCTTCTTTTTAGTCGAAATACAAAATATAAGTGGCGCGAACCGTTTCACTTATTTATAAAAGTAGTTTTTGTTCAGTATTTTAGATCAATAAAGAAACGAATGCAGTTCATAAAGTACGGAAACAAGAAATAACCCGTCGACATACCCGCCACCAAGCGGTGGAGAAGGCGGCGCATATTAGAAAAGAGTAGTGGGATCACGTGCCGACACGGAAAGGTCCCGGATGTATGCGGCGGCGCTGCGGTCGTTTTGGCAGGAGCATCCGACCGGCTCCGAGCGTTCCGAAGGCCTTCGGCGAGAAGCTTTGTCTTGCGTTTTGGCCGTTTCGCGGTGTGGCAGCGCAAAGTAGCTCCCATTCTGAACTGATCTTTACCCCGTGTTTGCTGTCGTTTGTGGCCAATGAAGTGTCATGCCGAATTAGCCTTTAATCGCGCAGCAAATGCAATGAGAGCCGCTCTGGCTGCCCGCTGCATACATCCTATCCCAAACACGCTTCAATGGCGCCCTCTCGCGCCGTCGACTCGGAGTGCGGCAGCCGTGAGCGCTCGATGAGCCCACTACTTCCCCTCTAGTTCACGGCCACTCTCAAGCAACCAAAAACGTCATGAGGGAGGTTATTTTTTGCTTGTTTTTGTAATTTTAATACGCCTATAACTTCTAAAATAAAGGGAATTTCGAGAAAAGAAAAGTTTCACTAAGTTACTACGTTCAGTGCGCTCAGGTTCGGTGCAAATTAAAAATTAGTAAAAAGGTCATTGCAGGGCCCCTTTAATGAAATATGACTCGTTGATAAAGATACTTTGACAGAACGATTCCCATCAGGAGCTTGCTATGTTTGTTTATTCTTTTTTCTAATTTTAATAATACAAAAATTTTTTTTTTCATTTATTTTTTTTTAAAATTCAGGTTAGGCTTTTAAACTGTATGCCTGTTCACAATGTAACATTTCTTTTTGTATTAACCCTGTGAACACTCACAGTCATCCACACTTTATATGCTGGGAACATTAACTTTTTCACTGTAATTACTACAATGGTAAACATGGTGCTGTTGATGGTTTTATTAAGCTTTAAAGATACCACAATCGGGATAGAGTTAGTTCAGTTTATCTCAAAGGAGGAAACCAGGACAACAATTGTGCCATTGATCGTTCTCCAAAAAAGTGAGACAAGTAATTTTTCAGAAACTGTTAAGGGAAGTCTGAAAAATAGATGCAAATTTAAAACAACAGTGAGCTAAAAATGAGTGTCTTCATCGTGCTTTGTCCACGACAAATGAAGAACACTCCAGTTAGCAGCACTAAAGCCTAGAATGAAGACCTGCCAGGTGCAGAATTTGTATTGGTCCGGGACGAATGCAGAAACATGTTAGAGAAAAAATAAAAAGACAAAATGAAAAGTTACTAGCGAGACAGAGAGGCTGAATGAAAGCCCTTACAGCTCTGAGAAGAGATTACGTGATGCTGAGTTTTAGTTTTACCTGTGTTACGTCGAGGTATGACTGCGAGTAACGACCGATTCACGCAGTTGTGCTCGACTATGGTACGCCGACTTACGAAACCGAGTTGCTGGGACAGGCGTGTTTCGTATGTCACGTTCAAGACTATTAATTACACTTGCAGGGACGTCCCGATGGCTGGTGGTCATAACTCAAGGTATGCTCTCACAGTGTAGTCGGATGCTACTAATATATGTAAATTACTTTTTATCTATTCTTTGTATGAAGCCGCCGGCACTGCATTCAACGCAATGATTGGTTTGACAGGCGGCATACGAAACACGGATACGGTAGCTTGCAACAGTATCTCGACGTAGTGTAATCAAATGTTCTCAAACACTACTGCACAAATTCAAATACACCACTCAAAAAATGCTCCGAACGTGCGAATTCTCCTAAAGACGCAAAACTGCAGGACAAAAATATAGCAAGACGTGCGGTGTATGAATTATCGTGGAACAGTCTAGCTAGAGCCCTGCACGGGGTCGGGCCAATCCGACAGCCCGTGGGCCGGGCCCGCGCTGGGTAGCACGGATTGATTCTAGGTCCAGGTCCGGCCCAGACTGGGTAGCACGGATTGTTTCCAGGCCCGGGCCGGGCTCGGGCAGTGGTGTAGCATACAGTGTTTTGGCAATGAGGTGCCCAGATGGGGAAAAACCGGCAGTCGCCAAAACAGGTCTATCGAATATAGATATGCTCTTAACACACCGTAATCTGGATGCGGCCACTACAGCATTAATCCAAAACAGATGCAATGTCACGAACATTTTGTACGACTTTTAAAAATTGCAGCATCTTGCTCGATTGTACAAATTCTTCGAAAAAAAACGCACAATCCTGGAGCAGAACGGCTAGATTTGGAGAGCTCTGGCAAGAGCTCTCCTGATCTAGCCGTTGCTGTTCTTCGATTTAACCGCTGGTGAAAGTTGCATACCCCGAAAATCGTTCTCGGCCTTGTTGGTCGGGGGGACCACCCAGCATGGGACCACCAGGTCTTCGCAGCTGAGCTCTGGAGCGGTGATCAAACACAGAACAAACTCATCAGCAATGATCATAGTCATTAGCACCTTGCGCCGGTACTGGAAGTCATTCACATATCTTTGTTTGACTCTGATCGAGTGCCCTGATGCTTTTTCGTAACTGCTCAACACGCCAGCACAGTGGCACCACCTATTGCGCAGACCTGGAACATTTTCGCGTGTATAACTACGCTGAAGATCTTGCGGCACTTCCGAGGTCAAATCTACGCACTCTCTATGAGAACTTCACGCCCACAGTACAAGAATGATGTGTAAGAAGGTATGAAAATATATACGCAGGCCAGGAGTGTTCCAGGTCTAACCGATAGATGGCGTCACGGCGCCAGCATAGGAGAACCAAAGGAAGTAGCAGTCCAGTTTCTGACATCGCGAACTTTGGACAAAGAGAATGGGAAAAGGCGGAACGAAGAGTCCCTAGTGGCATGTCGACAGGCACAGATGATATCCCAATCAAGCTGGTGAAGAATTTGGGTCCTAAATCTAAGGCAAAACTAAGGGAGGTATCAAAGCTGTATGTTGGGCTAGTTGGTAGTGGTCTTGGGTTGCCAAAGGCAGGGTAGCGCTTTTTTGGACGAGGACAAAAGAAAGAAAGACAAGACAGACACGAGCGAGGTAGTGGGTACCATGATAACAAAAGGAAATATTCCAGATGAATGAAGGCTTAGTAGGATGAGTATGATATATAAGGGAAAGGGAGATAAGTCTGATATTAGGAATTATCGTCCCATAACCGTGACACCGGTTATTTACAGGTTGGTAATGCAGATTACAAAGAACAGACTGGAGGAATGGGTAGATTGCGAGGGCATACTGGGCGAGTTACAGAATGGGTTTCGGAAACAAAGAAGGTTGGAGAACAATTTATTTTCTCTGACACAGTGTATAGAAATAGCGCAAAAAGAAAACAGACAGCTCTGGCTGGCATTTCTCGATATTAAGGGTGCCTATGACAATGTGAACCAAAGGAACCTATGGGACATAATGGAGAGCTTAAACCTAGATGAAGGACTAACAGCACTATTAAGGAACATTTACAAAGATAACAAGGTGATTATAACATGGGAAGGAAAGGCGACAGGGAAAATAGAGATAAGACGAGGCCTTAGGCAGTGGTGCCCGTTATCGCCCTTGCTGTTTATGTTGTATCTGAGAGGATCGGAGGATGGACTAGAGAAGAGTGGGCTTGGATTCAACCTTTCTTACAGTAAGCTAGGCCAAAAAATTCAGCAATTTTTACCGGGATTGATGTATGCGGATGATATCGTACTAATGGCTAACAACAGGACAGAGTTGCAGGAATTAATGAGCATCTGTGGTAGGGAAGGAGAGGAATTAGGTTTAGAATTCAGTAGCGAAAAATCAGCAGTCATGATTTTTAACGAGGATGAAGTTGAGAGGCTGAAGATACAGAATATTACAGTCGAGAGAGCTAGCAAATACAAGTATCTAGGAGTGTGGATATGTGATGGTGCAGAATATCTCAGAGAGCATGAAAAGTATATAATAGGTAAGGGCAACAGAAATGCAGCTGTAATGAAAAATCGAGCACTTTGGAATTACAACAGGTATGAGGTGGTGAGAGAGATTTGGAAAGGGGTCATGATGCCTGGCTTGACTTTTGGAAACGCAATGCTATGCATGAAATCCGAAGTGCATGCGAGACTAGAAATAAAACAGCGCGGAGTAGGTAGACTGGCTTTGGGGGCACATTGCAAAACGCCAAACCAGGGAGTTCAAGGAGACATGGGATGGGCATCATTTGAGAGCAGGGAAGCGGTGAGCAAGATAGAATTTGAGGATAGGTTGAGGCAAATGGATGGGGAGCAATGGGCACGAAAGGTTTTCAGCTATTTATACATGAGGAGTGTAGACACAAAGTGGAGACAGCGCACTAGGAAATTAAGAGGAAAGTTTTTGGGCTATAGCGAAGATACGGAAGAGCAAGTCTCAGTTAAGAAGAAAGCTAAGGCCACAGAAAGAGATCGGTGGCTAGAGGGAATGCAGACAAAGACGGCTCTGGAAAGCTATAGATTAAACAAAACAGTTATTGCCAAAGAAAGCATTTATGACAATTCTAGGGGAAGCTCATTGTTGCTTGAGGCGAGGACGGGTGTTCTGCGAACCAGAACATACAGAGTGAAGTACCAGGAAATGGATACAGTGTGCACAGCTTGTGGAGAGGAGGACGAGACGGCTGAGCACTTGATACTCTACTGTAAAGGGCTTCACCCTATGCCTACCGAAGACAACATAGATTTAATAAAGTCATTGGGTTTTAGAGACAGCAAAGGGAGAGTGGATTTCAAGACTGTAGAGATTACCAAGCAAAGATTAAGTGAATGGTGGCAGAAATCGAGAGAAAACTAGGTATTTTCTTATTCACTGATGGCAAGGGGGTTTCATAGCCTCACTTTCTTTGCACTGTGGAGTGAATATAGATTTCACATTTAAATATTCTAAGCTTAAATGGTAAAACAAAATGGCAAGGTGGCGTAAGCTACCGCCCGATCCAAAGGGCTCAGCCGTATTCATCCATCTATCCATCGTTAAGCGGCTACAAGATATCACAACACAATCGGTCACGGTCAAGCGCAGATGTGTAAACCAGCTTTTAGGCATCTGGGAACAAGAGCACGAACTGATCAGTGGATCATCGCGCGTGTACTAGAGCCCACGCGATAGCTGCCTGAGCACGATCGAATTCAACGCAAAATTTGAACGAAACAGACCGTAAACTTCGATTAAAACGAACGTCCCCGTGGTAACTCAGCGTAGCGAGTTTAATTAACAGTGTTGAAGAAAACAAGTAGCGTGAGACACGCCATCAGCCCGGTTGCGCACTCGAGTAGGGGGATCCGCAAATATCAGCACCCAACGCGTTTCAAATTTACGTACCTGAACTCGTCTGGATCTCTGCCGGTGAGTCTTTTGATGTTTTCGTCCACATCTTTGAGGCCTTTTTGGGCGGCCTCAAATTCAGCCCGAAGAGCTGAAAACACACTTGCGGCCGCCATCTTCATTGTGTTGTATTAGGACCGCAGTTAAATATACGAGTGTTCTATCTTTTACATGCGTATAATAGCAGTTAATTAACTATAAATGTATATAATTAAAATTATTTGTTATAAGCTAAAATTGTCTTATAAGAGGAATTTATTTTTTATTATTAATTACCCTAGAACAGCTGGTCCGCAGTTGCTTAGCAGACGACGAGAGCAAAATGGCCGACGACGCTCTCTTCGACTTTTTATTCATGGAAATGACGAACTCTCTCTACTCCCAAAACGATCCTGCAGAACGGGTAATTAATTTTGGCACAGATAAGTGATATTAAGCTCGTATGATATATAGACATGCACTAACGTGAGTTCTTTTGCGGGTATGGCGACTACGCACGCCCTCCCCTTCCGATTCCAACCGTCAAATTGGTGCGCCGTCAGCTGTTCTATCAACCGCTTTCTTTGTCACGCAGGACGCATCCGTGACCAAGCTGGAACAAATTGGATTTTCGACGGGTTACAGATTGGTGGAAAAGTAAGTTTGGCTTTCCCAGCGCCTCGTACAACCGTGTCAACTCAACTGATCCGACAACCTATCCGTTATGTGGTCTGTCCAGCCCGTCTGAATAAACTTGGTTTAGAACTTAGCCCACGTGAATCACTCAACGCAGGCTCACGAAAGACTGGCCCCGGTTCAAGACGGAGCTGGATGTCATTAAATTCATTTGTAAGGAGTTCTGGTCCGCGGTCTACAAGAAGCAGATCGACAACTTGAGGACAAATCACCATGTAAGCGTTACCGTCTGCCATTTTAGCGCTAAGATCCGTCGCGTAAGCGTTACGATCCACTGTGTAAGCGCTACCAGCCGCGGAGTGCCCTTGAAATCATACCTTGGGATCGCAGCTGCCACTAATTACGATAAAATTAGCGCAATCCACCTTTTTCCAAATACGTACTGCCACCTAGAAAACATTACCAGTTTTAAAACTAAGTAACGCGCGCGCAAGGCCTCTCCCACCCGTTCGACACCCACAATGTCAGCTACATCAAGTTTGCCCATTGAGCTGGTGTGATCTAGACACGGCTCCCCCAAAATTCGCTTTTGTCCACATTGTGAATTGCCTTGCCGAAGTTGATACAAAGAAACCATATTATGTCTCTGCTTGGTCAGAAGGAAAAGAGAGGGTACACAAATCCATTCACTCTCTATCTCTAACCAATATTTCTGCAAAAGGTTCACTGCATCTTCGATTCTAACATAATTTCAGAGCACATAGCCATGTAGCACATTGAATCTCGAGAACTTTGATAGCTCATAGAAGTGGGAAAAACTGGACAGATGCTAGAACCAAAGACGAAAGAAGTTCTTGGTCTAAATTTTTTCATGTGTGTAACACCAACCGATTCTCCTGTCTTCCTACCCCGTTTAAAAAAAAAAAAAAAAAAAAAAAAAAAAGCTTTGCTGCTCAATTGCCAGTTCTCTAGTTAACTTATTGAACTTCTGTGGGAATGGCAGCTGCGACCTACATATTTTTATACAAGTCTGGGCAAACCAACATGACACAGTTAAGCTACAACTTCTAAATTAATATGGTCACCTCTCCCTTGGGTGTCCCATCTCGCAGGGGGTCTACGTGCTTCACGACAACAGGTTCCGGTTCTTGACTCAACTGTCGAACAACAAGCAGTACATTGAAATGGCTCCCAAGGTAAGCACATGCCACTTGCCTGAAAGCATGCACTCCTAATCTCACACCTTTTGTTTCCTTTTGACGGCAGTACTTGGCTTTCACGTGCGGGTTGATCCGCGGCACTCTGGCAAACCTGGGTATCAACAGCGTTGTCACGGTAGAGGTCACAGTCATGCCTGCCTGTAAGTCTCCTGCTAGAACATTCTTCAAAATACAAACCTACAGTGGTCTGAATTGTTATGCATAGTGTCCGGAGTTTGTTGGCAACCGAGTCAACCTCGGACTATTGGAAGGTTCTCCATAACTACAATCTCACTATACCCTTGTGGTGATAGTCAATGCCATTAAAAGTGCATTCTCCGACTCCCCTCAAGAGGAACTTGTTGAGTCATATGCCAGTTTATAAAATGTACTTCTCAGGGCAAGAGTAAATTTATATTTCTAGACATAGAATTTTTTTTTGCATGCCCAAACCATCTGAAATTTAAAGGGCTCATTTTTTGGGGCAAGAAAACAACAGCGAACTCCTTGTCATCCTTACCAGTGCCTCATCAACAGAAAATTAGTTTCCGAGTGGCCTGAAGGGTAGGAAACTGAATTTTATTTCTAACGAAATAAGCCACAAAGCAAAGGGATTGCATGGAAGCATAATTTTATTTGTCGAAATTTTTTTTTTTTTTTTATCTATAGAGGCGATTTATGTGGATACCTCGTAAAAATTTTGAACCACTTGGCACGATGTCACCATGACCTTGCCGCTTTCTTGTCATTCCTCCAGGCAAGTTCCAGGTCCAAGCTGTTCAATGTACATGAAAATGCACTTCCAGTTCGCCGTAATCCATTGTATTTGTCATAAAAATAAAGACTATGTCACACATGTGCACTTTCACAAATTCTAGAGCTCCTGGGATGAGCTACAATATAAAGCGATGAACATGTGCCTGGGTAGAGATGGGGGTCAATATTTTCACCAAATGGGTTTCTTGTACAAAGGGTGGTCAATAAGTTTTGCCTCCTAAGCTGTCTTTTTCGTTCAGTGATCGAATTGAAAAATGTTACATTCAAATGAAAATTTGGAATCTCCCCTTTCCCAATATCGTCCCCCACCGGCGGCGATGCACTTCCGCTAGCGATGCGCTACTCTCCGTGTGCCGTCGAGGATGATAGAGGGTGCACTGCGTTGGTAACCTTGTCGTCGGACAAAAACCGTGTACCCTTCAGATGTTTCTTTATCTTGAAAAACAGGCAAAAGTCTGATGGTGCGAGGTCCGGGCTGCAAGGTGACTGAGGCAGAATATCTTGGAACTGCAGCTCCTCAGCGCGACGCTGATCTCATCAACGGCCATCTTTGAACATCTATGATGGCATACGGAGAGTAGTGCACCGGTAGCGGAAGCATGTCACCGCCAGAGCGGACAATATTGAAAAGTTGTGTGCTAGTGGAAAAGAGGAGATTCCAAACTTTAATTAAAATGTAGCATCTTTCCATGCATTCTCCTGGAGAGACTCCTGACCAAAGTGATAGTCAAAGCACTACGAGGTACTCTGCCAGGGGTTTCCCTGGGAATTGAAATTAGAATGTGTGCCCCGAGTGAGCACTTTTTGTCGCTCTACCAGTATTAATAACAGCCTTTCAATTAAAAGAAGAAACAATGTTAACAATTGCACGTCGACGATTTACTCCAAAAACGTTGTCTACCGTTTCGTTGCTGCGCACTCCAAGACCTTGATGCTGAACAAGCACCTCTTTGAAGAAACCTATACCAGTTCCAAGCTGGTGACCATGCAGTCCCTAAACCAGAGGCAGTCCGAGACTTGTGACAACTCTTCGTCTCTGCTCGCCTGAATTGCACGTCGACGATTTACTCCGAAAGTGCTGCGTGCCATTTCCGCTGCTCACTTCGATACTTCAACGCTGACCGCGGCTGAGCACGAAAAGGCCTTTTAAACCAGTTCCGAGCAGATAATCACGCTGTCGCGAAACCAAAGGCACTTTGAAACTTGTGGCACTCCAGTGGGCGTGCAGCCGGTCCCATTCGGAGCTTCTCCAGTCTTGCTCCGGCTAATCCGTTTCTCGAGGTCCGGCGTAGTCCGACAGCCGTAGGATGGGGGACGCCCAGACGACTGCCGCCTGCTGAACCAGGTAAGAGGTCGCCACCACAGCTGCTGCCCAGCTTCGCCCAGCTCCGGAGACAACTGTACGACAACAGAGACGATCGACTTGAACCTTGCATCAGAGAGTGGGGGCACGAAATGCTGCGTCACTCGGACATGCCCCGCTCGTCTTGGCTGCCGATATGAAGCGCTCTGGCAGTATGAAACACGGTTACAGCATCCAAAGTGGCAGGTGCTGGTACGCTGTCGGCTGCTCGGTGCAAAGTTTTTACGAACAAGTCTGATTTCTGACCTTGACCTAGGCTGACCAAGTTTGACCTTGAAACGAGGAGCTTGTCTAAAGACTCGCGACACTTCCTCCGGACTGAGCAAAAAAATGCACTGTGGAATGCGTGTCAATTTTTTATGGAGGTTATAGGTACTGCCATCTGTTGAATGCAACACCAAGCACATTTAGGTTTATATGCGTTCGCTGGCTGGAGAAAGTTTAAATGCTTTGTCAGGGATCTGAGACAAAGCTTTGAGACGCAGAAAGCAGGCCCTGCTTTAGCGAAGTGACCACAATGTCTTGGAAGTGAGCGAAACGACGGGAATAATTACAAAACAAGCCTGGCACTATATATTTCTTTTCCCAAATCTACTTGTAGAACAACCATCTTCCTTACAAAGTGAAACGTTGTGGGGATTGTGATCCCTCAACATTCTGTCGCGTCAGCGTTTTGGCGCGCCGTGGCGGCCGCGCTGGCGTAGCGAGAGGTGGCGCTGCTTACCACTGTGAGCGGCTTCCTCCTCTCCCCCCTTGGGGCGATTTCCGTAGCGAACCCCCGCACAAAGGAGATCGACGTGTCGCTCCTTGATTGGCCACTTCGCCCCCGCCGTTATCTTAAAACCAGCGGACAGCGGTCTCGTTTCTCTCTTCTTCCTGGGATTCGGCGGCGGCGACAACGGGGACCCTTCCGGCGCACCGGTGAGCGTTTACCCCGTACTTTGTACCTTTGTGAACGACCGTTCGGCCGTGGGCGATCTCCACACCGACGGCGTTCACCAGCTTATAGCCGCTGTGTTGTTGTTATTTTGTTTCATTGTAAATAAACAGTTTATCACCGTTACCAACGTGACTGGTGTCTGTTTGCGCTCAACGAGCAGCATGCCACGCGAGTACGAACCCGCTTCGCGGTAGAGCGTCTCGCCGCGAACGTGGTACTCCCAAAGGCAGTGGCCCCAAGGAGAACCACAATTTGGCGCCCAACAAAAGGGCTGACGACCAGAACCCTGGTACGTCTGTGTGTGGCGACTGCTGCCGAGTGACGAGTCCTCGCGCAACCAGCGCTTACCGTGACGATGCAGACCGACTTCTCGGATTTGCTCACGCTGGCGACCGCGGCCGACGCATTCGCGCGGCCCCCACTTCAACGGGAAGCCGAAATGCCAACCCTCCAACGAGAAGCGTCCTACGGCGCACCCCTGGAGCCGAGCGTGGTTCCGACGCCATTGCGGACGGGCGCTATCGCTCCCGGATCTTCCCTGAACGCACGTGCTCCGCCGCCGGCACAAAGCGAAGCCTACCGGTCTCCCCACGGAGAAACCGCTGCGGCGCCTCATCACACCTTGCTCGAAAACGCGGCACGTGTGATTGAGAGCCTGACAGGTGCGTTGCGAACGACAACACGAGCACCACAGGCCCAACGACCTCCGGTCCGAATTCCCGTCCCGACTTATCGGGGTTACGCAGGCAAAGCGAGCGCTACGGACTTCCTTGACGATTTACGGAAGTACCAACGCGCGATGGGAATGTCCGATCGTGAAATACTTGAGCGCATTCTGCCAATCGCGCTCGTCGACGAAGCCGCCCGCTGGTTCCGACTTGTCGGTGACCAACCCGGAACGCTCGATCAGTTCCGAGAGGCGTTCCGCCGCGAATTCCTTCCCGCCGACTACGAGAGAAGGATGCGGCGGGAGCTCGAACAGCGAACCCAGCATCCGGACGAGTCCCTGCTGGAGTTCGTACGAGCCATGCAAGAGCTCTTCGAGCTCGCAGAACCCTCAGCTCCCAATGCAGAGCGAGTGGAACGCGTCATACGCCAAAGCCATCCGACTTTCGCTGCGTATCTTCGAGGCAGCCGTTTCCGCGACCTGAACGAGCTCGCCTCCGAGGCCCGGCGCCTTCAGGGAGACATTCTCGCTGCCCGTGCGTACCGGCCTCCGCCTCCAGCGTCAGCGGCCCTCGAACCGCGCTGCGCGTGGAGCGGGGACACGCCATCTCGAACACCGAGGCGCTACGATTCCGCAAACTATGCGGAAGATCGGGGCCGAGACACGTACGCAATCTCAGATCGTGCGCTCGACCCGTACTCCTATGGTAGACGAACAAGCCGGCCGACGCCGCAGTTCAGAACCACCGACTCGCGCCCCAACGAGGCAGCGAGGCAGGAGGAAACGAGGATCCCTCAATCTCAGCGAGCCGATGCACGCTACGACAGAGCCGGCGAAAACCAAAACGCACGGCGGAACCCCCGGCGAGGCGACGACAGAAGATGTTTTCGGTGCAATCGCCCCGGTCATCTCGCTCGCCAGTGCCCGGAGCGGCCGAACACGGAATCGCACCGCGCGGGAAACGAGCAAAGCCACCGGTAAACGGCCCTTGGACGGACGGACCGGTGGCTAAAAAAGAATCAGAGGGTCCCATGGCCACTCTTTTACCGACCGCCTACAGAATAGGCTTCCCGACCGGCACGCCGGCCCCGTTCATTTCTGTGACGATCGCCGGCAAGCCATTCAAGGCACTCCTCGACACCGGAGCAAGCGCTTCGATGTTCGGCGACGAAGTGTTGACTCACCTCCGACAGAATTCTGTCCGACTCCGAGAATGCAACACTGCCTTTCGCCTAGCCTGCGGAACCGCCCTTTCGGCTGGTACCGCGCGGCTGGTCGCGAGATGGGAGAATCGAGTAAGACGACAACGCTTCGTTCATCTCCCTGGCCTATCGGTGCCCATTATTTTGGGCAGAGACTTCCTTGCCAAAACAGGCATTGTTATCGACGTCAGCAGCGCAGGCTATCGGGAGGGCACTTTTGCACCCCTGAAACCCTTCTGCGAACCCCCGGCCGTACCGCCAACGCCACCATTGGCGCACGCGACGAGCCGTCGAGAGGAAGCGAGGGACTCCCTAAACCGGGTCATTGACCCCAAGACACCGAGTCCAGCGCCGATGGCAGCGAGCGCCGCCCCCATTGGGGAAATGACGCACCCACTGCTCACGCAATCATGCAGCGTGTCAGGGCGAGAAAAAGCCCGACTGTCGTCGTTGTTGCGCCGCTATGACGCAATGTTCACGGACCGACCGGGCTGCACAAACGAAGTGCGCCATCGCATTGACACGGGCGACGAACTGCCAAGAAGGCAGAACGCTCGACCCGTAAGCTTGGCTAAACGAAAAGCCATCGACCGTGCCCTGGACGAAATGATCGACACCGGAGTCGTCCGGCGATCTAACAGCCCCTGGGCATTCCCCGTGGTGCTGGTCCCGAAGAAAGACGGCAGCTCACGTCTTTGCGTGGACTACCGCCGTCTCAACGACGTCACACGAAAAGACGCTTACCCGCTACCGAGCATCGACTCGATTCTGTCCAACTTGGGCAGTGCGCGGTACTTCACCACCCTGGACGCTAGCCGAGGCTACCTCCAGGTTCGGATGGAGCCAGGTGACGAGGCAAAAACAGCCTTCTGTTGTCACCGCGGGCTTTTCGAATTCACACGAATGCCCTTCGGTCTGTGCGGAGCGCCTATGACGTTCCAGCGATTGATCGACCGAGTACTCGGAGAAGCCAAATGGAAACACGCAATGGCCTATCTCGACGACATTGTCGTCTACTCCAACACCTTCGAAGATCACCTACGTCATCTCGAGGACGTACTCAACCGGCTCAAAGCCGCGGGAATGACCCTGAACCCCGAAAAGGCTCAAATAGCCGAAACCCGCATCGCCTTGCTCGGGTTCGAACTGGATCGCGGGCGCCTTGCGCCACATCCCGACAAACTACAGGCAATCCTGGAGTTTCCTGCGCCAACCGACGTGAGCTCCCTCCGTCGCTACCTGGGAATGGTGAACTTCTATCGCCAATTCATCCCAAACTGCGCGACGCTTCAAGCACCACTGACACGCCTATTGCGAAAGTCCGTGAGTTGGAGCTGGGGTCCCGAGCAGGAAGCGGCCTTTCGCCGCACCTCCCGAGCGCTCGCGGACACAGCTGAACTCAAGCTACCCGACTTGAACAAGCCCTTTCTGATCCAAACAGATGCCAGCAATCTTGGCTTGGGCGCGGTCCTGCTCCAACAGCACGAAGGTGTACTCCGACCGGTGGCCTTCGCCAGCCGCTCGTTGACGCCAGCTGAAAGGAACTACAGCACATGCGAACAAGAGTGCTTGGCCATCGTCTTTGCACTCCGGCGTTTCGACATTTATGTCGACGGGACCACTTTCGTGATCGAAACAGATCACCAAAGCCTAATATGGCTCTCCCGACTTCGCGAACCCGCTGGTCGCTTGGCAAGATGGGCTTTGATGCTGCAAAAATACGACTACGTCGTGCGGTACCGGAAAGGCAGCACAAACGTGGTGGCGGACGCATTGTCACGAGCCCCCGTAGACTGCACACAAATTTCCGCAAAGACCCAGGCCGAGCCAACGACATCCACATTGTCAGGCGAAGCCGTGACTCAGTCCCAAAGGGAGGCAGCAGATCTGACCACCCCGGACGAGACGATCAACCACCTAGACGCAGTGAGCGCCGTGGGAATCGTGTTCAGCAAAGAAGAGCTTCTGAAAGCCCAGCAGAATGATCCGTTTTGTCGAAGGGTGATCGACGGACTCGCGGAAGAGTCGGACGCCGTGGAGGCGGGCGGTGCGACCGCCGGGCGCAACACTACTGGTATTGTAGTAGGCGCCGAGTGCCGGGACGCATCTGGTATTGGTGCGGGCACGGAGGATTCATATCTGCTGAGCAATGACGGGCTCTTGCTGAGGTACATACCCTCCGAGAACGACTCCGACGAGGCGTTCAAGGTAGTGGTACCCCGCAGTCTGAGAAACGCAGTTTTGCGCTACTATCACGACTCGCACTTGGCCGGACACGCGAGCGGCTCCAAGACTTACTCAAAGTTATGTCGCATCGCCACCTGGCCGGGCATGAAACGGGACGTTTTCCGTTATGCCCGCACCTGCCACTCTTGCCAAAGCTTCAAACCAAGAGGCGGCAAACCCCCGGGCCTAATGCAACCGATTCCGAGCCAGCAATCATGGTCTCTGGCAGCCTGCGACGTGGTCGGCCCCCTACCGAGGAGCCCTAAAGGACACCAGTATTTGCTGGTTGTAACTGACCACTTCAGCAAATGGACGGAACTTTTTCCACTCCGTAAGCTGACAGCCCGAGCGATCACGGAGAAGCTCATGGAGGTTTTCACCCGTTTTGGATTCCCCGAAGCTCTTTTGACTGATCGAGCGAGCTACTTCGTCGGGAAGGTATTCGTGGACGCGTGCAAGGCCCTTGGCATAAAGCACAGAACAACCACGCCGTACCACCCGCAGTCGAACATCACGGAGCGATGTAACAGAAACATCAAACCAATGCTGGCCGCCTTCGCGGAAAGGCACCGTGACTGGGACGCATATATCCCCGAGATCGGGTTCGCACTTCGGACCACTCTCAACCGTTCGACGGGCTTCACCCCCGCTTTCCTCACATTCGGGAGAGAGCTTCCGAACCCCATGGACCGTGTCCTAGGGACGAGCGCCGGGGTGGACAACGCGCAGCCGACGCAAACGGACCACGCGCGGCAGCTACAAACTCGGATGACGGAAGCCTTCTCGGAGGCACGTCGCAATCTCGGGGTAGCGCGAGCGAAACAAAAAGCTCAGTACGACCGCTCGCATCGAGACCTCCGCTACAAAGTGGGCGATCTCGTCCTCAGACGCAACCATGTTCTGAGTGATGCCAGCAAAGGCTTCTCGGCCGCTTTGGCTCCGAAGTGGTGTGGCCCGTACCGAGTGCAGGAACTTCTCTCCCCACTCGTGTACAAGCTGACAAACTTGCAATCAAGAAAAGTCGGTGGGCCGGTACATGTGTGCGATCTGAAACCCTACCATGAGAGGGAAAACGGGGCCAACGAGCAAACTCAGCCCCCGCAGAAACATGCACACGCAGCGCGAGACGACGCCAGCAGCGAACAACAGTCGTCTCGCTACAATCTGCGGAGACGGAGGAACTATTATCCGAAGTTTTCGTAGAGGCAGCCCCTGTAAGTGGCGAAATGTCACATTAAGGGAAGTGCAACACACAATGCACCTGCTGCCTTCGCGAACGCGCCAGACACCATTGTTTACTGGCAAGCAGTGACCTTGATACGTCACCTCAGCGTTCGCTCCCGGATGAACCCGTAGGGGAATCCCCCAAACACGGCTTCCGAGGGAAAGGGTACGCGTAACTGCCATTGGTCAGTTATTGCCACCTACGCTCACGTGGGCCACATGTCAACGCAAGAGCGCGGTGCGAGCGTCGTCACGAGCGGTCGGAGACCAAGTGGTCATTCTACCGCAGTACGTTCCGCACCTACGAAGAGGACCTCCAGCCTTTGCTTCGCGTCGTTCGGGAGCTGCTGTCTCCTGGCTACGGCAGTTCAGCGGTGCCCAGGGTCCAGAGCTGCGCGTGACTCGTCAGGCGGCCCCGCTACCCCAGCCGGCCGCGGGCCAAACCAGCAACCCGTCGTTTTCGTGGGCCGTCGGGATCGACATCCGGTCAGGGACTGCCGGCTCATTATCTTCGGGACCCGCGCCGCGGTCGGAAAGCTCGCCGACCAGGGACCAGCTGTTCCCGTTCGTCCCGTAACAAGTCCCAAGGGCCCCAGGGACCTGGCGCAGTTCGCCCAGCAGGGCTCGTAGGGCACGCACTACATCGGCAGTCGAGGGACAATTTACCGGGACCTTGCCGTCCGGAACGTGCTTGTCGATGAACACGGCTGCTACAAGGTCGCCGACTTCGGCCTCTCCAGGAGCACTATGGACTCCGAGACGGACCTCTACCAACGGTGTCCAAGTGCGCCCTCCCGGTGCGGTGGATGGCTCCGGAGTGCGTGCAACTCCAGGTATTCCCCTTCAAGTCCGACGCCTGGGCGTTCGGAATGCTGCTGTGGGACATTCGTCACTTGGGCTCGACGCCCTACCCCGCCTGTGCGCTAAGGAGGTGATCCGCCACGTGCGCGGCGGTCACGTGTTGACGCAGCCGATCGACTGCAGCTGGGAGCTCCACCGCTGGTGAGGGACCGTTGGACGAGCTTTTGGAGCATGGACCTATGAGCCGGGCTGTTTTCCGTGTAGTTGCAGCCGCCTTTTTCTTTTTTTGTTATTTTAGTCTTGTTGTGTGTTTGTGTTGGTTCACCCGTTTGCGGGTGACTATTGGCTAAGGAGGGGAGAGTGTGGGGATTGTGATCCCTCAACATTCTGTCGCGTCAGCGTTTTGGCGCGCCGTGGCGGCCGCGCTGGCGTAGCGAGAGGTGGCGCTGCTTACCACTGTGAGCGGCTTCCTCCTCTCCCCCCTTGGGGCGATTTCCGTAGCGAACCCCCGCACAAAGGAGATCGACGTGTCGCTCCTTGATTGGCCACTTCGCCCCCGCCGTTATCTTAAAACCAGCGGACAGCGGTCTCGTTTCTCTCTTCTTCCTGGGATTCGGCGGCGGCGACAACGGGGACCCTTCCGGCGCACCGGTGAGCGTTTACCCCGTACTTTGTACCTTTGTGAACGACCGTTCGGCCGTGGGCGATCTCCACACCGACGGCGTTCACCAGCTTATAGCCGCTGTGTTGTTGTTATTTTGTTTCATTGTAAATAAACAGTTTATCACCGTTACCAACGTGACTGGTGTCTGTTTGCGCTCAACGAGCAGCATGCCACGCGAGTACGAACCCGCTTCGCGGTAGAGCGTCTCGCCGCGAACGTGGTACTCCCAAAGGCAGTGGCCCCAAGGAGAACCACAACGTGTAAAAATGAACATTCTCTTCATTCCTGTACTCAAGCAAAAGACGATGCAACATTTTATTCCGTTACATCAAAAGAAACCAATCAAAATTTTTCCCCAAAAATAATTCATAAAAATTCTTAGTAAAAAAAAAAAAAAATCTTTTCAAAGCATGGTTGCGCACCCAAGTAAAACTCGCCGCTTAAAGGGTCAAGATATTTTTAGCATGTTCACGGATCATGGTAGCTACACTTTCAGCCACAAAGAGCCATGGCCACTCCTGCCATGTGCACCACTGAAAGCCTCCTAAAAACTACACAAAAAACACTAAATGGGTTAAATCAGGTTTTCCCCACAAAACATTGAACTCTACTCCTATGTTGTCCTTTCATTGCTCCAGCACAAACCGCGAATATATAACTCGACTGGGGCTGCCTCTGGAGGATTTACTGGCATCAAAGCATAATTTCCCAAGCAAAATAAAAGCTTTTATTACATCTATAACATCAGCTAAAAACTCCTCATACTATTCTGGAAAGAATCACATCTGTAGAACTAAGGGGGACAGAGCTCATGGCTGGCTTAGATCTGCTGAAATCATGCTTACACTGCAAGACGCCCAACTTGGAGGCAGGGACGATCGAGAAAATATGCAAATTTCGGGAATCTTTCAGTTCCTAAGAACCCAATTCTAGAACCCACGGTCTGGGAGGTGTCGGCCCGAGCCCACTCACCCCTGCAGGCCTGGACCTGGGAGCAGAGGAAGAAGGCCGTGACCAGGAGGTGTGCCTGGGACCGGTCACATCCCCACAGGGTGGCTGGCAGAGCCAGCAGCTTCCCGTAGCTACACAGCACCAGAGCCCAGGCCAGATGCTCCCTGAAATGGGTGGCACTCGTGAGTTACCCGAGCAGACGAAAAGGCGCCTAGCTTACCTGTTGCACGTCTTGACGCAGAGGTTCACCAGGGCAACCACGAGTGCCAGGAAAACGGCATTGCCTGAAGGCACGGGAGAGAGACTACATCTTACCGCCTGCTCTCCTCGTGGTCGTACTAACAAAGTTTACATTCCCTTCGCTGTTAAAATTTTGCCCACCCATTCCGGCCACGACTGATTGAATCGAGTTGACAAGTGAAATAGCTTGGAATGACTCACCGCCTTTAAGCGTGCAGTCGCTCGCTTGGCAGCTGCACTTGATTTTTCTGTGGTGCATTTTTCTAATATGTGTGAATTGGTGCCTGTGATTATTTATTGTGAACTTATCTTTTGATAATTGCTCTAGAGTGATTCTTCTTTTTCTTAATTGACATATTTTGTATTGAACGATTCTTACAATACATTTTTGAAAACCGGAGACGACGGACGAAGAAGGGGACAACACACAAAACGTCTCAATTGAGACGTTTTGTGTGTTTGTGGTTGAGACGTTTTGTGTGTTGTCCCCTTCTTCGTCCGTCGTCTCCGGTTTTCAAAAATGTGTAACATCAACCAGCTCGCCTGCCTACTTACTTTATCTTACAATACCCCCTCTATGTAATGCACCACCAGGGCCTTTAGAGGTATTTAAATAAATAAATAAATAAATAAAAGAGGATTTTGATAGTTGAGTAATCCTAGAGTTTGCAGAGAAAAAAATTCTGGTTTATGAAGTACCCAGGTTGAAACAACGATCTCTGTCAAGAGCGCAGCCTCGAACAAGAATGCCGCGGTGGGACTCACTGGCGACCAGGAAGAGGCAGGTCAGGTAGAAGTGCCACTCCAAGCCCAGGCCAGCTCCGGCGCCCTGCTGGCGAGACATCCACAGCTCCAGGGCCTCCCCCAAGAGGAAGAACACCGCCAACTTCCAGGGCCTCTGTCAAGAGTGCACACATGAACGTGCATGAAAAAGGAGCAGTCACTGAAGTTTTCTAACTTTCACGATGACAGCTGTCACTGGCAAGGCTTTGCAGCAGATCCCAGGGTGTGTTTGCGTGAAGGGTCGTGGCCCGCTGTATTTACCAGAAAAACTCGACTGAATTCGGCAGACAATCACAGCGTCTTGCGAAGCTGCGATTCTCTCCTATATTTCACGACATTACAATTTCCCCGTTAAATTTAGCGGACAAATTTGTCACATGATGTCATCAGACCATGTCATCAATGTCACACGATGTGACGGTGTCGCATCGCATCATAGTGCCACATGATCTCACAGCGTCACAAGACCACCACCTGGTAGTTAGCAGAACGCAAGTCCGCTAAATTTAAGTGAGGCAGTGCAACTGTTTACAGCCGAGAGTGCAGCGTCTTGGCCATCGCTGCAGGTAATTTATGGGACACGGCAAGGAACTGCAAATTTTCGATGTTGCAGAGTGTTTAGCGCTACAGTCATTGTCATACAACAGCTACACCGCCGAAGGAAGTCGCACAAAAAAAGCGGAAGAAATGGTCATCTCACCTCAACACCAACGTTGAAAATGAGGTGCCGGTACGCTTCGAGCTTCTGCAGCACAGCGTCGATGAACACGATAGACAGCTCCATCTCGATGTACTCGTCCACTGTGTGATTGCACTTGGACTGTACATTTGAGCGGCGGAAAGAAAAATACCAATGTATTAGCCTCTATCCAAATAGGTAACGTAATACCAAAACCAAATGAATAACAAACACATTTCCATCACAAAACATTACACTACTTGATGGCAGAAAAAAAAAAATGAGCAAAATTTGTTAATATCTTTGTTTAGCTTTATTAGTAAATTGTCCAAGCATTGGACCAGTTATTCTAAAAAAAAAAAGTGACGAGTCCTGCTTAGCTCACACTGTGACTAGAACTGTGACTAAAGCTAGAAGACTGGCAAGTATATTTCAACCCCAAAAAGGATCGCGGGTTTGCATGTGACATCATCACATCATGCTGGTGATGATGACATGCTGTGTTAGCAATCCCCCTACCCCCTAATCAAGATTCAAACTTTTTCTCTTTTTTCTCTCTGTAACGTGAGATTTAGTAGAATAAAACCCTTCGCTACTGAGTAGCTGCTATAAAAGGTTACCCGGCCACCAATACTTACACATCGGGACAGCTTAAGCAGATCGGGGCCGTATCTCTTGTAGAGTTGTTGCTGTCCTTCGCCGCAGTGGATGCAAACATACGAGGTCTTCATCGTCTTTCAACTACAAAAGAATATAAGCGCTTTCGACTACACCACACTCGCAGCTATTCGGCCGATGCCACTACTTCTTGGGTTTCCCGTCGACAACCCTGAACGAGAACCTCTCCCTTAGGTTATCGAGCAGAGAACTCTCCTCTTCGGCCTTTCCGACGGCATGGAGGTTCTCGAAGATCAACTGCGAGCACTCGGCTCGCGTTAAACTCGACGCCGACGATGCAGAGAGCCTCGGATAGCGGCTAGAGTGGGTGTTGGCCGAGATCGCCTGGAGGCTCTTGAGGCGTCGAACGCAGTCCGCGGGGTCCCGAAGAACCGTCTGCTCGCTCTGGCGGAACTCTTCGGCCACTCTTTTCCGAATAAACTCACCGAGACATTTGCCTTTTCGCGTGGGATCCGCGTGCCACACGCTGCAGAGTTTCATGTACTCGCGATAAAGTGAAGCAGCCGCCATTGGTATGGCTCAACTGGATTGGATTCGGCTTGCCCGTTTTAAGCTTCGCTTCGGATGCGGCGCGTAGATTCGTAAATTACGATTAATCACGCGTTTCCTTGATAAAATCGCAAGCTATCGAAAGCGTTGCACGGATAACACTAAATTATTTCGAATTTAATTTAAAATTGAAACTTTTATTTATCATTACCAGAATGTAAACAGTTAGCTAGCGGCCTTATAATCGGAAAGTCATTTAACCAGCGGTTTGAACCACAGTTCACTGTGGTTTGAACGCTACAAATGCGCGCGCAGTAGTTCCCAATTCGTTCAGACCGCTGTCATTCGCTGTTGCTCAGCTCACACTGATTGGGCGCCGACCACAGTCAACGACTGCCTCACGACAGTTTCGCGGTTTCGCTATGCACAGGAGACACTCGGCTTATTTTGGTGTAAACGAGAAGACAGACCACAGCACGTCGGCGCAGCGATTTTCGGGTGCGTGGGCACTAAGGTATAAACTGTACCTGACTGCATAGTACGTGGTATGCTCAGAACAGCTCAGCACCGCCCAGAATATATGGCACTCTGATTGGCTGCCGACGTTCACGTGTCGCGTCACGAAACAACGAATCGGCCATTTTCAAGTACACTGCAAATAGCGGGTACTCGAAAGAGGGGGCAAGGAGGAAATAAGCTCATGACGTGGGAGACTGTCATACCTAAGGCATGTATGGGCACTATCAAATAACCACCATTTTCCTCTACACTTAATTACCTCTAAATGCAACATCATTTTGCGGTAATGTATTTCTCTATCCCTCTTATTGCTTCAACAAACCACTGCTATGACACAATTTAAATGATTTAAGGAACGCTCGGTGTAAGGAAACGTCACAAGTAAACGAGGATGAGTACAACAGAACAGCATAACTGAGCGCAGCCCGTAGTCACGCGTGGGAGCCTTTAGTCTTGCTGTTTCTACAGAAGCGAATATACCAACAACTTTCTGTTCTCTCGAGTTCTAGACTATTGAGCATTTTGTCTTAAAACAATAATGCAAACCATGTTCTCTTCAATGTAGGCAATAAAAAGGGAACCATGTAAGTGTTACGCAGCCAAGTGAAAGACATCTCTGAGGCGCTAGGCTGGCGACCGAGTCCAGGCATGCATATTGGCCCGCAGAATCCTCGACGAAGCGACGGATGCGGCCTTTGCATATGCGCGGGAGCCCGTGACCTCGCCTTTGTCGTGTGCCTGGCTGGTGGTGGTGCTTGTCAGCCTGGCGTTTACTGTAGTGGGCAGCCTGTCGCTCTGCTACTGGTGCAGGAAAAGTATGTGAAAGCTCCACCACTGCCATACACGGCTGTCCATCGGCAGATAGACTCGAATGCTCGCACACAGTGGCGCGCAATCGACGCGAGTGCTTTTCGGCCAAAATGTTCGTAGTCTGCGGAATCCAGAGATCCTGGGTTAGATTCGTGCAACCATGTAGTCAATTGCAGGTCAATAAGATCGGGACAAGCCTGTCTTGCAAAGCTCTCTGTTCGACGTAATTGGTAGTTTCCTCCTTTCCACTGTTCGCTCTGCTAAAGTGGAAAGAGTGGAGGGCTATTCTTAACCTGCAGCAGACTACATACCAATTTCAATATGAACGGGAATTGTACCGGTCAAAGTGGATAATAAATACTATATCAAGTTGATTAAATCAGACCGATTTTACTATGATGATTTAAATCAAACCTTTTGCGCAAAAAGAATCTCCCAAATATTTTTTATTCACCGTTTGCCTATCATTTGATGCCCCCTATGTGCATTTGTTTTGTATTTAGACTGAGGAATTGTTGAGGAAAAAAAATGTATATGAACACGAAGCTGTGGTCTTCTGAGCAAGTGGGAATGTAGAGCTTTCTACCATCTACTTTGTTTGTCAGTTATGTAACGCACTATTACAAGTAAATAAGAATGCGAAACAAACTAACACTGGAAAAGAAATGTCCTATTGCAAGAAAATCAAAACTCAAAAGAAAAAACAAGTGAAGCTTTTCCAATAACTAAAAAGAGTAAAGTTGTTTTTGTTATACTATGGCAGGGTTTACTCGATAAAAAGTTAAACTTTACTTTAAATTTATAGTAATGTTCTCTTCTGCATTGTTTTAATTGATCATATTGATTAATCTGTCATGTTTAGAAATATATCTAGTGATTCTAGGGTAAGAAGCACTGTTTTATAGCTACAGTGATTTAAATGGAATTATTATTGTCTGGCATGCTTTTGTCACTATCTCATAATGCGTGGCAAATGATTTATTAATGAAATTCTATTGGCCTTATTCTAGCATGTTAACAAATGCAATCTGCATCGAAAGTGGTAATTGATAATTGGTAAAAATGAAGCCACCCTCTTTCGTTTCTACGCAAAGACTACGCTTTGAAAGTCGGAGTGTCAAATCTTCTCTACAAGTCCTATGTTATTTTTTCTCGTCTCTCAAATGGACCTCGATCTACTAGACACTCTCATTCTTTACAATACAGAAAATTTAATAGGCCTAGTCTTCTTGAATGCATTATGTAATTAAACTGCTGAGCACTGACATTTCCTTCTCGTCAAGGACCTAGATAAGTACTGCCAAATGCATAGCAAATAATGCCTACATCATTTTGAAATAAGCTAATAGCACTCGTTTACTGCAATATTAGGTCCACCTGAATGGGAGACAATTGCCAAGGTCAAATGTAAGTGTTTTCTTTCTTCAGGTGCCACTGGTTTTGCAGATGAGACTGCCGACCAGGATTTTAACACACCAAACATCCCTCCCTAGACAATAAACAGTCATCAGTTTGATGTCATGTCAAGCTAACGTTAATGGAACACAAGAAAATTAAACAATGAACCGTCAGTCAGCTTGATGTCCCATCAAGCTGGTGACACTGGAACACAAGGAAATTAGACAACAAACAGTCATTAGCTCAAAGTCCTGTCAGGCTGATAAAGGAGCACAACGGAATTACAAATTACCTGCTCTTCCTTTACGACAGTTGGAGAGGACCCCTCCGATCATCATCAAAATCACTCGGGTGCGCTCTGGCCAAGTTTGTCACGCCAGAATAACTGAAAATGTTCGGATATCCAATACATCGCCATTTTTTTTTTCCAGACCTGGTCATAGCGCCGACTACACCACGAAGCAGCGATTACGGTGGCACTAGGGTACGTACAAGACTTGGCTGCGACGGTGGGCTGTCAACATAGTAGATGTCCGGCAATGTGCATCTATACTCCATTAGTGCGGGTGAAACTGCGTGCTCACTGCACCAGTCGCACGTCTGTCTTTCACCATACGATCATGGTCCCACCCATACCCACATGCAGACGGCGGGGTCAGGTGATGAAAAAGAGGCGCTCGATTGGTCCAGGCGATTACGTAGCTCCCACCGTGCTGTCGGCTTGGAGGTGAATGGAGTACAGCAAACTCCCTGGGAAACATTTATTACCAACTTTACCGCAAGGGCAAGCCCATTGCAAGTCTAGGTCGTTCTTGTACACCGAATGCAAGCTATGTGATCCTTTATGATACTTTGTTGTCGGAGTCCTTTACATTGTTATATGGCAGACGAGCTTCTTTGTTAGTTTTCCCATCATACAGTTGTTCCTTTGCAGAGTAAGGCAGAGTCCTTTACACTGTTATATGGCGGACAAGCTTCTTCACTAGTTTGCCCATGATACGATTGTCCCTTTGCAATGTATAAATGTTGGTCAACTCAAAGGCAGATTAACAAGCGCGACTGACGGAGGTCCTGCTTTGAAACTGGTCAAGCTACCTTTCCGAGCAAATGTCCCGACAGTTTCAACACTATAGAATATCTGCCGATTCTATGACCTTGCACGTGTTGAGCTTGTGAGGCATCTTTGGTGACAAAAACATAATATACCACAAATCTTGCGTACAAAGAAAGGAGGGTTAATATCGCGCACCAATGATAACATTTTCATTTTTCAGACCACTGCAACCAGGCATGGAAAAGACCAGAAGACAGAAGAAACCCGCACACTCTAGCTTAGTATATATGGTCTCGTAGACCACATCCGAGCATTATGTAATAAAAAGCCTTACTACATATACAGGGTGTTTTTTTAGCCTTTAGGGATTTCTTTACAAAAAGGTTTGAAAGCTACACCAATGCGGTTTGTGCAGGTAAGTTACACAACCAGGGTGACCTATACAGGGGCTAATTGCCACGATAAGTCGTCTAATTAACTAAAACATGTTGACTTTTTAATTAGCGAAAACAAACATATGGTTCCAATGAGAAACTTGCTGAGCGTCATCGAAAACCACTAAATCGGTAAATGTTAGAGGGACTTGAAGCACCTCGAAAGCACGATGGAGCACTAAAGTAGTTAGACGGACTTGAAGCACCTCGGAAGCACGATGGAGCACTAAAGTTGTTAGACGGACTTGAAGCACCTCGGAAGCACGATGGAGCACTAAAGTTGTTAGACGGACTTGAAGCACCTCGGACGCACGATGGAGCACTAAAGTTAACCACTTGTGCAGCAGGAGCAAGGCAACCGGTGCAATAATGCGCCCGCGTGGTTTTCAGTCTCTCGTCGTCCGCCTTTTCTCAGCCTTCTGCCCTTTGCACCAATGGTAACTTTAGCGCACTACTGGGCTTCCCACGAGCTCAAACTATTTCTAAAGACGAATGATTTAGTGGTTTTTGACGACGCTCGGCATGTTCCCATTTGGAACCGTCCATTTTCCCCATCTAATAAGTTAACGAACAAATTCCAGTGAATTGTTTGACTTGTCGTGACTATTGTCCCCCCTCCACATCACGTCCCCTTCGCCGTGCAACTTGCCCGCACGGACTGCATTAGTGGAGCTTTCCAGGCTTTTCTAAAACTAATCTGGCCCGTTTTCGCCGCTTTTTGGTGAACCTGCGCCATTCGGCTCCACACGTTGGAGAGCTCTGTCTGCTGCCATTTTCCCACTGAAAATTTCAGAAAACTGCTTATAACTTTGGAACAAGAATAACAGTTGGTTCTGAAACTTTGGCTTCAGGTTCAAACCGCTACGGCTACATTTGAATGGAAAATGAGCATTTGACGTGCATAGTCTATGTTTAGGTGTAACTCGCCTGTAAATTTTTTTTTTTTCTGGGACATTCTGTACTTCACACATTTTATACCAAATAAATATCCATTCATGCAACTTCAAAAGTCAGCTTTTATTGCTTCATTTATCAAAATATGCTATGTACATCTCTGCTTCCCAGAAGGCAGATGCAGAGTGGGGGAATGCTTGTATAAAAGGCCACTATGGGGAAAAAAAAGGCAACCCTAGCTGTTTTTTGTTAGCTTTTTTTGTTTTGACTAGGTAAATGCAGACTCCCCAACACCGCCTTTAAAATATAGTAACCTTACTTAAAAAAAAAAAGAGCATACAATGTGAAAAAAAAAGGTGCGCAAAGAGCCAGGCAGTCGACGGCTTTCAATGGGTGCCTCAAAGTGGTTGCAACAAGTGCTTTCAAGCAGTGAATATGTCGAATGTCAACATATGATGTCCATCTGCCCATCTTACATTGAACATGGCTAGGTAACTATTGGTCCGGCATGGATACAAAAAATATTCGTGCGAGGTATTCTCATGGCAACACCACATCGCCGTTGAGACTGAAGCTTTTGAACATAAATCAAGGAGCAACTTTACCTCTTGTTCCCATAATATTGTGTAGCCAAAAGTTTCTAGAAGATATACTATATACTATAAAGTGTCGAGCCATTGTGATAGCCTTCGAGTAGTACTTAAAGTGCTACACACAGACTTTGGTGCACATTCCGAAATCCCAAGAACCCATTCGCCCCCCCCTTTCACAAGCGTTCTCAATCACAGGTTTTACTGCAATCTAGTTGATTTGGCTGTTCACACGTCGTATTATGTATCTTCATTGACCGCTTGCAAACTGCAGTGGGGCAACTGGCATTTAGATCGCCTATGTAATAGAGGTATCCTATTTACTCGAGCAACGCCCGCACTGTTGATTAAGATGGCTCCTGTGTCCGCTTTTCGTCAAAGCAAGAAAACAGTCAATCGCTGAGCTCAACAGCACGATCTGAGCGAATAATGAGGCCCCAAAACACGTCCGCTCCCAAAATAATGATTTAAGCTGGATTCTGAGTGCGGGAAGCATCGTGCTCAGAGTTCAAGCTCTCGTGCGAGGACATTGTCTCTGCCTCATCAGCTGCTATACCTCCCTTTGTCGATAGCAGACCGCATGCTCTGTGAGAATGCAAACGTAAGGAACTCGTTAATAAACAGTGCAGCTCCTACTCGAGTAAATACGGTATTCCAGCAAAAGCCTAACACAGAGGTAAGAGAAGCAGACGGCATAGGTGAACAGAAGGGAGAGGTGCAGAGTTTGAAAAGTAACAGCACTCTACTCGGAAGCGTTGCCATCGGAGGATCGCACAAATAAGCCCCGGCTTGAAGCGCCACTGTTGGAAGACTCGAAGGAGCGCAAGCCCCCCAGGAGGGGTCTCAGTTGGGTTGCCTGTCGTCGGTGTCGTCACGAGTGTGGACTGTGGAAGCCCTTTCCTAGTGCCGCTTTTTTTGCCTCGGCGAAGCGTGCGAGAAGCCAGGGCCTCAGGTTGGGTTGTAGGAGGCGCAGCAGGCACGTTACGCCAGATGGCGCAGACGGCTCGCAGTCGCCGCCGTCCTGGTCGGACGACGGAGGAGGGTACGGGGACGTCCTTGTCACGTACTCCGCCACGCGCACCCTTGCTCTTGTGGCAGTCTGAGAGAAAAAGAAATCCTAGACGTTGACTGCCGCAAGTACGTTCTGGATGGCAACAGGTTTTTAAACTTGTAATGAGAACAAAAAGGCAGGTATCTAGAATGATTAATGAAATATAACAAAAAAAACAAAAAAACCAAGAAACCAAGACTGCCATTGGTTTGCAATGGCTAATTCGATGCACACATTGCTTTGTCAATGGAGAGCTCGAGTACAAAATTACCGTCACTCTTTAACATTATTGCCATGCCAGAACCAGGAAAGGTGCAGCGAAAGAAAATGTTTTTAGTCTACTTTCTTGTTATACTGCGCTGCTGGGAAATAAAATTGTGGTACAAGATGACAGTTGGTTACGCTTCAGACCTAGTTCTGGCAGAGCAGTAAGGGAAACAGTGTGCTGTTAACACTATGCTGAAACTTTCTAATGCTGCCCGAACGATGCACGAAACAAGAGGGAGAAGGCGCTTGCCCTGTCGTGCTGCATCCCGGACTGCGGTGGCTCAAGGTCGAGAGCAACTCTGGAGGGGTCGACAGGCGACCCCGTACAGCTCAGCTCCAGCAGGGGAAAGCAACGCTCCACGACACCATCCGCTTCACTCAGGAGGAACAGGCACTGTGTGTGAATTGGACCACTAACGCCTGTACTCGCTTGTGACGATTGGGACCATATTAATAAGGTCAATGTTAGATACTTCACACTACAGCATATGAAACACATGACTAAAATTTGGCAATCCAGACTAATAATGTGATGAAATAATAAGCCTGAATGTTTAATCATATTGATCAGATAAAGCTTAAGGAGATACACTGCCGATTTTGTAAGCTAACCATAGGCGTAGACTACGAGGGGGCATCGGGGCTCGTGCCCCCCATGGTGAGATCGAGAGGGGGGGAGGGGGGGGGCAGAGCCCCCCCCGGCCCATGATCTTACCGAGACGCTGTTTACGTGTCATGTAACAAGGTGTCACGATCCTCATGACAATGATTGCGCCTTCACGAGGACAGGCCACGGAGGACTCGTGAGCGAGATTCACCTGATGTGTCTATGACTTGACGGAACTTTGATTAGTGTTGAGACGCGTGTAGAGATTTCTTTATTGTACTCTTCTTTTTTTTGGTAATTCTCTCTTTCTTTTCTGACGGTTTACTTTTATCTTTCTTTCTCATTAGAGTTCTTCCGCTCGCTTAAATAATATTACGTATTTCTCAATCCCGATACTCTCATGGTCTTTGTCTTCCTCTTCTGCCAACGGGCGGTGACAATGGCGAGCTTGCCAGGATATTAGCCCACTTATTACATCACACTTGTTTGGGAGAGCGGGAGCACTGTCATGGCTAGTTCCGGGATTGTAGAAACTGAGAAGCTGATGGCGGCCGGAAAAGAGCTGGGGTACGTTGGTGAAGAGCTCAGGAACTGGGTCGAGCGAGAAAAGAACTATTTGAGAGAAGAGCGAGCACAGGCGCGCGAGGCGGCAAAAGAAGAACAACGAGCGAGAGAACGCGCATGCCAGGCCGAGGCCATCAGACTAGACAAAGAGCGCGAGATATTAGAATTGCGAGTCGCGGCTCAGGAAAGAGAAACTCGCGTGGCACGAGACGAGGGGGACCGAAGTAATTCAGCTGGACCAAGTCATCGGGCAAGCCCTCATAAGCTTATTCCGCAATACAACGAGAAGCGCGATGACCTCGACGCTTATTTGCAAAGATTTGAGCGTACGGCGACAGGTCTAGAATGGCCACAAGAGAAGTGGGCAACCACCCTGAGTTTATGCCTAACGGGAGAGGCATTGAGCGTTGTTGGTCGCATGACTCCTGCGGACGCGATGGATTACACCAAGGTGAAGCTCGCGCTGCTGCAGAGGTTCCGATATACCAAAGAAGGTTATCGTGAGAAATTTCGCGATGCGAAACCGGGAGACGGAGAAACTAGACGACAGTTTGCGGCGAGGTTGGCCGGATATTTTGATAGATGGTTGGAAGTTGCTGAGGTGGAGAAGAGCTTCGTGGCGCTACGAGAGACGATGCTCATCGAACAGTTTATTAAAACATGTTCCAGCAAGCTAACCGTTTTCTTGAAAGAAAGGGACTGCACGACGCTAGACGATCTGGCAGGAAAGGCTGACGTATTTCTAGAGGCGCAAGTTCAACCGAGCAATGAAAAAGCGAAAGGAGACGAACGTGAGTTTAATGCCAGCATGAGGACATCCGGTAACGCGCTGAAGGAGGATGTAAGGAGAACTCTCCGATGTTTCTTGTGTAACAAGATAGGGCACAAGGCAGAGAACTGCCAGAGTCGAAGCAAATACTCTAGACCATCTACGTGTTGGCACTGTGGGAAGCCGGGGCATAAAGCTGAAAGATGCAACCTGAGGTCTGGGGATAAGACCCAAGTTTCTTGCCTATGGACAGCATCGGATGAAAGGCAAGGGGAACCGGACGATTCCTACATAACCCTCAAGAATGGAGGCAGGATCCCAGTTGTAAATGCGGCTGTTGGACGAGCACCCAAGTTCTTGGTGGATAACATGCCTGTAGTTGAAGGTCGTGTTGGAGAACAGAAGGTAACAGTGCTGCGGGACACCGGCTGTAATACCGTAGTTGTGAAAAAGAGCCTAGTCCCTGTCGAGTGCTACACTGGCAAATCAAGCCCTGTATTTTTGCTTGACCGAACCGTAAAATACCTACCAGAGGCTGAGATCTTTGTTGATACACCTTTCTTCGTTGGAAAAGTTATCGCAAAATGTATTGACAACCCACTGTACGATTTAGTTCTCGGCAACATCCCCCAGGCAAGAGAGGCACACGAGCCGGACCCGGCCTGGAAGTGCGACCAACAGAGCAGCACCGAAATTCCACCGCGGACCGAGCATCTGGGTTGCGAGGACATGGAAGAGCAGAGAATCGAGAAGAACAGAGCTGATTCATCACGACACGTCCCAAGTAACCACTCTACAATGCTACATGTCAACGTCGCCGGACTTGGACAGGCGAAGAACGGTAGCAATAGAGGACAGGCACCCTTGAACGTACCACAGGTTCCAATCCTTGAAACGACAGCAGAGGAGCTCTCGAAGGAGCAGAGGAATGATCCATCCCTGAAGAAGTGCTTCGACAACGTAGGAAAAGTGATAAGGAAACACAAATGCCGGACAAGATATGACATGGTGATTCGAAACAACTTGCTTTTCCGAAGCTGCGTGTTCGCCACTGGGAGAAGCATTGAGCAATTAGTGCTCCCAACGAGATACAGGCCAACTGTGTTGTCAATGGCACACGATGGCATCATGTCTGGACATCAAGGTGTGAAGAATACGCTTGCATTGGCGACAGAAGAGTTCTTCTGGCCTGGAATTCAGAGCGACATCAAGCGGTATGTTCGCTCATGCGACGTCTGCCAACGAACAGTGCCAAAAGGAAGAGTGGGCAAAGCACCTCTGGGGACCATGCCTACAATCGACACACCATTCAAGCGAGTGGCAGTCGACATCATCGGGCCAATTAGACCAACAGCAAGTTCGGGCAACCGATATATTTTGACGATGGTGGACATGGCCACAAGGTACCCGGACGCTGTCCCCTTGAGGAACATTGGGACAGAGCAAGTGGCAGAAGCGCTCCTAGAGATGTTTGCCAGGTACGGCATTCCATCAGAGGTCCTTAGCGATCGAGGCTCCTGCTTCACCTCAGATCTCATGAAGGAGGTGAGCAAACTTCTTTCGGTGAAGCGTCTACTGACCACCCCTTACCACCCGATGGCGAATGGACTGGTTGAGAGATTTAACGGAACCATCAAACAGATGATGAAACGAATGTGTCAGGAAAGGCCCAAAGACTGGGATAGGTACCTTCCGGCATTGCTGTTTGCCTACAGAGAAGTCCCGCAAGCAAGCCTGAAGTTCTCACCTTTTGAGTTGCTCTATGGGAGGAAGGTGCGCGGACCTTTGGCCATCCTCAAGGAGATATGGTCCAACGAGTCTCTCAAAGCTGACCTCAAGACGACCTACACCCATGTCCTAGAATTGAGAAATAAACTGGAAGGGACATGCGAGTTGGCTCACCATTGTTTGGAAGAAGCCAAGGGCAAGTACAAAAAATACTATGACAAGAAGACCGTCACCCGCCAACTGAGACCAGGGGACTTGGTTCTCATCCTGCTTCCAAGCGATCATAATAAACTGATCATGCAATGGAAGGGACCCTTTGAAGTCTCAAGTAGGAGAAATGAAGTCGACTACGAGCTTGATGTGGGCGGAAGAAAGAAAGTATTCCACGTGAATATGCTAAAGAAATATGAAGAAAGGCTGGAGTACGGGATGAATCGGCCAAGTTGCGGCGCGGTGACGCAAGACTCCAGCGAGAAGACTCTTTCCGAAAGAAACACTACAGAACAGTCTTGGCAAGATGTCGTCGTCAACGAGGACTTGCAGGACAAGGAAAAGGACGAGGTATGGAGATTAATTGGACAATACCAGTCGGTGTTTTCAGATCGACCCGGCCAGACCAACTTGGTAACGTGTGACTTGAAACTGACCACTGAGGAACCAGTCCGGGTGAGACAATATGCGCTGCCCTTTGCGGTCCAAGACGTAGTAGAAGAGGAGATCTCGGAGATGCTACAACTGGGAGTCATCGAACGGTGTACGTCACCCTACAATGCACCGGTCGTGATCGTTAAAAAGAAAGACGGGTCCAATAGATTTTGCGTGGATTATCGAAGATTGAATGACGTGCTGAAGGTAGACGCGGAGCCTATCCCAAGGATTGATGTCACCTTTGCTAACGTGGGACGAAAGAGGTTCTTTTCGAAATTAGACTTATCGAGGGGATACTGGCAGATCCCGTTGGAGGAGTCGGCCAAAGAGAAAACTGCATTCTCTTCAGGAAGTGGACACTACCAATTCAGGTTTATGCCGTTCGGGCTTAAGACTGCCTCGGCTATCTTTACAAGACTGATGAGGAAGCTACTTGGTGGAATCGCTGACGCTCATCACTATATTGACGACATCCTGATAGCATCAGACTCATGGGCACAGCACATGGAAACTCTGAGAACAGTTTTCGATCGTCTGCAAGCCGCTAACATCACAGCGCGACCAAAGAAGTGTGAGGTGGGGTTCACCGAGACGGTCTTCCTCGGGCACGAGCTAGGAGGAGGACGGATCGCGCCCAACGCGGAGATCCTTGAAAGGATTCAAGATGCACCGCGACCAGTGACGAAACGCCAAGTCAGGTCATTTCTTGGATTATCTGGGTACTACCGCGAGTTTGTACCAAATTACGCGGATCTTGCTGCTCCACTGGTGGAACTCACGAGGAAAGGAGCACGAAATGAAGTCGAGTGGGGTGAAGACCAGGAGGAGGCATTTGAGGAGTTGAAGAGGTGCTTGTCGCGGTCGCCTATCTTACTGGCACCAGATCCCGAAAAGGAGTTTGTTTTACGTACAGATGCGTCTGATGCGTGTTTGGGTGCGGTACTGCTGCAGGAAAGCGAAGGCTTGTTACACCCGGTGGCACATGCTAGCAGGAGGCTGAGCAAACCAGAGAGGAATTATGCCACCATAGAAAAAGAATGCTTGGCAATTGTATGGGCCGTCGAGAGATTTAGGCTGTTTCTACATGGACGGAAATTTCGAATTCAGACTGATCACCGACCGTTGGAATTTCTGAACAGGGCGAAGCATGCTAACAGCCGCGTGATGCGATGGAGTCTGGGGCTGCAAGACCAGAACTTCCACGTAGAATATATCAAGGGATCTGATAATGTTGGAGCGGACTTCATGAGTCGCGTTGAGGTCTAAAGTGGAGTTTCCTTTCTTTTTACGACACGGAACGTGGAAACAGATTAAGTAATGTGAACAGTGAACGTACGTTTCGTATGATGTCAGGATAGGATTCTTGTTTCAACAAGAAAGGAAGTGGGATCTCGTTTTGTATTTCAGTAAACGTGTTTTCGGCAAACTTAGTGATCAAATGTGAGTCTTCTAGTGGTACGGAAAAGGTTTGAAATGATTGAAAAGTATCTGGGGAAATAAAAAAAAAAAGTATTTTTGTTAATTATGGAAGTGTGAACTTCGTGGAAAACGATTTGTTTTGACTTTGTGCATGCTGGTCGAACACGTGCGCGGGTGCTGCAAGAAAGTGACTGTGTGTGCGCGTATATGGCGACAACGACCATGTATCAATGACGTCGTCACGTGCAGAAATCTTCATGAGATGAAGTTTTTAAAAGTTGGGGGAAATGTCACGATCCTCATGACAATGATTGCGCCGCGGCCGCGATCGAAGACGAAGAAGATTTGGAAGAGCACGAGGTGGGGAGCGCGCGACCGAGCAGGAATTGGAAGCGAAGCACGGACCGCGACGGTCGGCCTGCAGATCGCTCAAGAGCTGCCACGGTCAGCGGAACGTTGAGTCTAGCGATCTGGTCGACGGAACCTTCGCCGGACTCCGACATCTGGGACTGCCATGCACAGCTCCCGGCCAAGTCTGCGCTATGACCTCCAACCATCGAGGCGAAGACAACCGCCTTCACGAGGACAGGCCACGGAGGACTCGTGAGCGAGATTCACCTGATGTGTCTATGACTTGACGGAACTTTGATTGGTGTTGAGACGCGTGTAGAGATTTCTTTATTGTACTCTTCTTTTTTTTGGTAATTCTCTCTTTCTTTTCTGACGGTTTACTTTTATCTTTCTTTCTCATTAGAGTTCTTCCGCTCGCTTAAATAATATTACGTATTTCTCAATCCCGATACTCTCATGGTCTTTGTCTTCCTCTTCTGCCAACGGGCGGTGACACAAGGTTCTAGTAGTGGCATGTTAACAAAATAACGCACACAGCGACGGACACATGGCGATATACATACGCTGTAAAATGTACCCCCTAAAATAAACTACTGATAATTGCTGGTGTAAAAAAAATTGTGTGAAACCCCCCCCCCCCCCCCCCCCCCAGCCTGCCCCCCTCGGGAAAATGGAAAGTCTACGCCGCTGAAGCTAACCAAGCTACCATAACTACATTTTTTGAATACCCGGGCTTTACCCTTCCCTGCCCGCTACATAGTATCTCTAAACTCTCGCCGAGCACCTGTGCACTGCAATGCTCGCTGCGATTATGCAATTTGCATCGAACTCGACTGCAAACCTGCAGTGCTCGGTGGAAGGCGCACTCAATGGGGGCTAACTCGCCGCGATCAACACTTCGAAAGGTATGAACCTCACAGCTCCTCTCGAGGCGAATATCGATCAACGTGTTATTCAAACCTACCATTAAAAAATTTGAATATTCGCACAACACTAAAATAAATTCACTTCCGTTAACTAGACCTTGACGGGACATGCGAAATTGGGTCAAATGATCTGAAAGTCAAGTTAAAAGAGGCGTACAAAATTCTATATATCTAGCGCCTTAGATCAGGTGGGCTAACATTTTTATAATGAGCCGCTGCACACCGCCGCGCGGCGGTGGCATCGGCAGTGTACGTCCTTCGCCCATTCAGTGCGGAGGCGCCAGCAGTGACCGGCAGCTGGCGCCACCGCTCCTGGCATCATTGTAACACCGCTGCGGGGCAGCGCTCACTGTTCCACAGCGGTATTGCAATGGTTGTTTTGTGTTGAGACCCAGCCGTGCCCCGAATCTCAACATGTGCCCTCTTCTTAATGCGAAAGCATGAACTGTCTCATGGAGCGAGCCGACGCCATCAGTTTGAACCGCGAAAACGGCACCTTAAATCCTTTCTCCAAGTGAAGCCAGCTCCCCAGCTATGAAACCACGCAAAAGGCCTAGACACGGCATCTAGTTTCCTCGATCCCAAAGGAGCAGAGTGAAGCTGATGAATTTTCGGCTTCGGTCCCATTGGCTGGTGCACGTTGATGAGGCTCCCAGTGGCCGCTGCGCGCCAGTTCAAACGACCGCTCACCCGATGGTGCTGCGTGTCCGCGAGACAGCAGCTCCACCATTCCACGCCCAAGGTCAGCGCGCCGTACGCCGCAGACAAAAAGGAGCGAAGAGTGGCGTGCATGCTTTTGCATTCACAACTCATAAGAAGTGCTTAGGTGTACCTCGAGCCTTTTCTCTCTCTTTGCGATTTGGCGCGGTTTTTGATTTGAATTTAAAAACAGATTTTTTCGCCGACAGGTGCGACCAATCACACTTGTAACTTGCCCACCGTATAAATATGAAGGAAAAAAGGCCCGTTTTTGTGCGTCAAGCACAGCCAGTTGTGCTTGTAATTTGCCTACAGCTGGTTCTCTCTAGGTCGAATTAAAGGGGCGATGCAACGATTATTCTACAGTGTACTCAACTGTTAAACATAACGCGGGAGCGGTGGCCGGAGAGACTGCATGTGCCATCTACCGGCTCACTTTGGAAGCGCATGCCGCTGTTGTTTTCTGGAGTTACACTCCCAGCTCCGAAACAATCACCGATGCGTGACTCGGCAATAAAAAAAAAATCGCTTTTTGATTTTTTGGTTGTTGTTTAAAGAAGGTGGCCTTTATTACAGAAACTGCAAGATCACCGAGATTTAGTAGCCCGGCATGGGAAATGCTTAGATGTGACTAAACAGACAAAAAAAAAAAAAAAGTAAAAATTTAAAGCGTGGGTGATAAAGAAAGGAACAAGGAGGTCGTGCGATAATTGTATCGGGGAGTGGCGACAATCCCAAGTACAGCCGGCTTATTCTCTGCCGCATCATTGATTTAATCGCTAGACAGCTCTGCTATCAGTTTCGGCCACCGCTCCCGCGTTATGTTTAACAGTTGAGCACACTGTACTTTGGCCAAATATCGCTTAGAATGAGCATGCGTTCGTTTTTCACTAGATGCAATAGGAGTCGCAGAAAAAATTAAAGAAAACCGAGCAGCGTTCACCCCCTCAACTTGCAGCCAGAACAAGCAGCCACGTGATCTGGAACCGATTATATGCCGCCAATGTTGATCATAGCCATGCACTGGGGTCGGCAAAGCACAGGACACGTGCTGAGTTCCAGACATTGTTATGGTTTGGCTATTGTAAACATTGTAGCGATCGGGCACGGGCCACTACCTGAATGCTTCTTGAGGCATTGATTACCACGAGCCCAAATCGAATGCTCATGCTGTGCTCGGGTCCAATCTATGAGCCGCATTCAAATATCGTCACTGGGGGATACTGCGATCCCCCAGCTATGTCATCAAGTTTTGCAAAAGAGTGATTGAAAGAAAACGCTTGCTTTGTCCTTGAAATTACACCACAACAAAGGAGTTTCTCGGTCAGTGGCGTTGCATGCGAGCACACTTGGGTCCCACTAGTGCCAGTAAGCTCGTGCAAAGTGAAAAACATTCCAAGCGAGTATCTTTGCACGGCTCCTTCAACCAATATTTTATATTTCAAGATCGAAATAAGTTTTTTTTTTTTTTTTACAGTAATGTATGGGCTTTTGTTGTGACCTTTGAACAGGGTCAAATTAAACAATGAGTCGAAGAGGGCTATGGCACAAGCTTGTAACGCATTCCACGGCCCGGTGGACAGAGTCAGTGGCACGGAGAAGGTGATTAATGGAACGGTCTATAATTGCATCGGTCGCCGATCGCACTTCGTGCCTCGTGCCGACTTCAGGACGCGACGTTCCACCCACCTGCCAGGTGAGAACAAGCACGAATGGCTGGCTCGCGTTTCCGTCCTGCAGGAGCTCCACTCGCAGTGCCAGCAACAGTTCCTGACCCGACAGCGAGGCCCTGAGTCGTGCCTCCGAGCTAGGACCGTCCTGGTACGGCTGGGCTTGGTGCCGCCTCCTGGAACACTCGCCCCACCCAGTGCCCTGCAGAATGCCTGCAAAGAAGGAGCTGCCAGTGATGCAGAACTCTCCACCAATCGAGAGAAACTTGATTACGAGAAGTTTGTCTACTAATCGAGGAAACTCTGATACCAGGAAACTCGTCCTGTGCCTATGTCGCAATAAGCGTCCACCACCTACTTTTGAAACATTTTAAATATAGGCAAAGGACGTATCAAGCGCCCACACCAGCAGACTTCTAAGCCAACCGAGGAGCTCCTCCACGTCGGCTGACTCTTCGAAAAGCATATGCGAAGCAGCGAAGTTTTATGCGCATGTGTCGGTGAGAAGCAGTAAAGCTTGACGCAGGCGCGCTGGCCCAAAGCAGGCTTGATGAGAGCTGCGTGACTGCTTTAAAAATGAAGAGTTCCGTCACATGGACCAAACAAGGGCCCACCTTATCATGTATGGGTGCTCCTTCTGCCTTTTCTGCTCTTCAACCTAACAAGTGCTCATCCTCATTTTTCGTGATATTCTCCAACTTCTGCATATGCACCTGCCCGGTATTTTACGATAATTATAAGTGAATCTAGTATCCAAAAACAACTTTGCCAGCAGATGTCGATTAACGTTCAAAGACATTGTTTTCTCACTGCTACATTGGCTGTACAGTGCAGAACGTCCAAAAAGAGTATTCGGTGAAAACCGTAAAGTGACTGTCAAGAGTGGCAACAAGACAAGACGTAGCAAGCTGACATTTTTCCCATATGCATATTTTCGTTGTTCAATTATACTAAAATTCCAAACATTAACTGTGCGTTATGTTTTTCCAGCTCGTGTCCCACAATCGGAACTCGCATGCTGCTGTGGCACAACTGAACTCATTCAAACAAGAGGTAATTCTAACCTGTTAGTACTTGTTTCACATCGCAAAGTTCTTAACCTAATTGTAGAAAGCTCAGAAAAGTCCAAGGGTCGGGCAGCAAGAAAGCGGGGAAAGTAACTGCAACTCCTGGTTGAATCGAATGCGCCAGTTTCTGAATGGTGTAAAGTAGTTCCAAACCTGTTTTAAGCTAATTGAACAGACCTGTGGCTACGTATGGTGCCCTCTAACAAACACCGGAATTCTATGTCTTGTTCGTATTGAGGAAGTGTGGGTGGCCAACATGGTCGTTGAGACAGCGAGAGCACAGTGCTATCACCTTTGCCAGTTTGGGCCACCAGTTCAGCCGCACCACTGATGGGCTTGGCAACAGCGCCCACCAGACCGCGACCCAGGCCCTTGACAAAGCCCGTGGGGCCACGGCTCTCTTCATGAATCAACGCCTGCATCGGATGGTCCACAATACCTGCCACTGCACCTGTGAGAAAAAAGCGAACAGATTTTACGTTGGCTACGATCACGACAACGCAAAGTGGTTATGCCAGGGTATTAAAATCTACGTCGGAGAATTTATAATTCTTCCGGAACAATGGTTCTTGTGTCTCGATTACTACCGTAAAAACTCTAAGCTGAGTGTCACAACAAGATTAGATAAAGAAACATGGCTGCACGCTGTATTGCTTGACATATTTCATTTGCTTACTTCAGTTTGAGGGAATAAAAACATAATGAAGGCAAACAACTGTTCTTTCATCTGTCTTCATCCTCCGTGAATTTCTTTCTTTCTTTTTTTGGACTGAGGTTATTATATTTACAATGCGCTTGCACTGTTTAGCACCCACTTTTCTGCCCCAAGTAAAAAGTAAAAATGTCAAACGAATTTTTTTCTCATTGGAGAATCGCAATCGTGGCAAAATCGTGCAAGAATTTCCACCTTTCGCAGACATGCCCGGATCCAGAAACGGCGGCAGACAGCTTGTAACAGTCACTAGACGAAGCCTCCGCCTCAGAAATAAACACTCAGAGTGTGTAAGATCATAAATGACGGTACGAGACAATTAACACTTTGCTGCTCGCAAAATGTTTACAAAGTCGTCATAAAGAAAACCTACCGGATGTGCTGTCTCCCTGCTGTAGACTTTTTGTTAAAAGTAATTTGTTTTCTATGAGAATCTATGGGAGGACGATGCAAGAGAGAAACTAGTACCAACCCAGGAGACTGATGCCCAGAGTGGAGAGTCCTTGCCCAAGACCGGCGGAAGGTCCGGTGCGGAGCGACTCTTTCCAGGCCAGGTGCTCCGGATCCAAAGAGAGGCGGTCCAAGTTCCGTGACACGCTCGTAGCCAGCTGGGTCACTGAGCTCAGGGCACCTGCACATACACACGCACGCACACTGCTGCAGCAGACACTCTCACGTTGCGCGAAGGCATCTGGAATGTTTCAGACATTGTAACACGTCATGCAGTGCATGTTATACAGTGGTGCATCTTACAGTATTTTCAACTTTAGCCACATTGTTTCTGGTAAGCACTCGTCTGCTTGAAGTCCTACCCGCTAGGTGGCGGCAGTTTTTGCTACATGTTGCTATAAGTGCGAGCCCCTTGTTTCTCCGTTTTACATGTTTGCCGCTAGATGACATCGCCTCATTTGGAGATAAGGCTGTGCCATCTATGAGATGGCTAGGCGGCACAAGTTGCCTCTCAGTTCAAAGGGCTCAGCTGCATTCATCTATCTGTGCAAGCACTGGAAAATTGCTGAAATCTTTGTCTTAAAATAGTGGTTTGACGGACCAGTTGGTTGTCGACAGACATGGTAAAAGAGTAGCGTTTAAAAGACGGGACATGGAAGAAGCAAAACACAGGACGTGCGCTAACTTGCCGGGGGAAAGCTTCCAGTTGAACACGTGTCTTTTCAAGTTAGCTTTTACAGTCTCCATAGGTGTACACCCAGCTTTAAAAAAAATGAGTCAACAGCGAGAAAACACAGAAACAGCACGACACCAAACTGAACTGTTGGGTAGACGTGGCAGGAACACAAATACATAGTGCTATGGACAAGAACAAGTAAAAGAACTATATACAGTTCTTGTCTTCTTTGTGCGCAATAAAATGTCAGTTCCTAGTTGGCACTTGTCCTGCTTGTCCTGCTTGCTTTTGCTTGTCTTTGTCCATAGTGATATTTGTTATTGCTAGTGAAACATATTCGCGACTCCAGCGACCTATAGGGGGCGCCACCGCCAAACAAAGATGGCGGCTATGTCCAGGTCGCGTTGGCTCGGCCCGGCCACCTGAACGGGTGGCGCATTCAATTTAACAGATTTTCTTCTGTTTAATGCCCAATTTTATAGGTATTTGAACTGCGACAGTTAAGTGTAGCCGGTGCACATAAACTTGCAGAGCATACTTTTGTTTTCCCGGTGTTTTTTGTTCTTTTCATGTCAAACTTTCATTTCCGGAGATTTCGTTTAAAACTGAAACTATGGGCTCCGGACAGACGGTAATAGACTCTAATCAGTTTTGATCAGCTAAGGAAGGCGGCGATGACTGCAGAATTATTCCACCGAGAGTAATTTTCAGCTAACTCGCATGCCTCGACCATGCGACTTATCTGTCCGCGAAATCGAGCTTTTGTGCGTATCCGCGTTTAAGAAACAACTCCAGGCGTCTGCTCGGTCAACAACGCAAGCTGCAGGAAATTTACGAAAATTAAGCAAGCGCTTCTTGCGCCAAAGAGCATGTTAACCCGCTGGCGCCCCACTAAGCAGCTGATACTCCTATTTCAATTCAGGTTTTAGTAGCAATCGAGAAGTCATTTTGACGAGCGGGTTATGTATTATATTACGTACTGTGTCCCACTAAAGCGATATTAGTATATTCTTCGGGTTGAAATATGAGCTTAGTTGACTAGCTATTAGTTGAACTGCTGAATAAAAGCATATTTGACCAGGCAGAGATACACTTAAACTTAGCCAAATGGTTCCATAGCCGGCAGCACAGAGACAAACTGAAGAGAGTTTTCATCGGAGATTCACGCGGAACCTCTCTGCATTGGACTTGACTTCTAATCCTGAACGGAGAAAGTGAGTATTTTTTGTGGCCGGTCAACCTGAGCAATGTGGAAGTATATATGCTGGCTTTGACGGGGGTATAATATAAATATTGGAGGCGCGGTAGATCATAATGCCGTGAAAACTTCTAACTTTGCGAGACGCGTCCCCCACCTTTCGAAAGCAAACAATTTCCCTCATTAATCATATGCAGCGAGCAGGCTTTCCGGAATCAAGTAATTGCGAAATCAGCCCAACTCCTTCGGTATGGTCCAAAGGCTTTTTCGGCGAAAAGCAACCAAGATGAATAGCCAATGCACCAACCGGCGTGGGTGGCTCAATCTTCAAGCTAATCGAACGCAACCAAACTCAAGAAAAGCAGCTATCGAACCTTCCCATTCACTTGACTGAAACATTGGTGTTCCCTCCAGTGAAACACCTCGTCTGCCGTCCACAGTCCACTGTTCTAAATCCCTATAAAGAAACCACTTATCAGTTACTAAGTAGTCGTCACTTTGAATGCGATTCGAGACAGACAAGAGATCAAAACGTTTTTTCGTAATTCCTCCCAATCCAAGAAATCGAAAGCACGCGACCGTGTGCTGTGGAGTAAACGGGCTTTCAAACACGTGATGGAAGGAAACAATCTACTGAGGCTTCACCACACTAATGAACACTCCGGCAAAATTAAGAAATTTTCGGACCTTCGTCAAATTACATTGTTAGCCACCGCGCCGACAACACGCGTCCGTGAAAGCCACCAGAGACGCGGAGGGGCGCAAAGCGACCTGTACCGGCTGGTTCCCAATTTCCCCGCTTGGTGGCGTCCGTTTTGCTGGAGTCGCGAATAGACAAGATGAGAAGCCAAATACGATGGTATCATTTTGGCAATGGATCACTAGTGACTAGGAGTATGGTTTTGCAGTCCAACAGTTATTGTGCTGCTTCAACCACAGTGTGGGATTGATGCAGAAAGAATCAATAGGGAAAGGCACACGGAAGTAGGACATGTGGACGTGCGCATGCTTCTGCTTATAAGCTGCTTACGGTGCTTTCTTTTTGGCACCAGCACCGTTTTGACAACAAATCGCTCTACCATAGAATACCGCGCATCTGCCCATTCCACATTAAGCACCCGTTCCCAAATTTGTAAGATCTGAAAAAAATATGCACAGTACATTTATATGTAAAATTGATGACCGGACAATAAAGATGCAAAACTATCGATAAATTGACTGTCGATACTATTGATAGTTTTTCCAAAACTATCGATAGTGTCTCAGAACTATCGATTCGATAGTCGACTATCGATAGTACTATCGATAGTTTTTCGATAGTCGACTATCGATAGTACTATCGATAGTTTTTCGATAGTCGACTATCGATAGTACTCTAATAGTCGACTATCGATACTTTTTTTACTATCGATAGTCAGATTTCTGGCGACTATGGATACTACCAGTAGTGCTATCGATATAAAGAAGGTAGGGCAAGGGTAAGACGGGCCGGGGAGGAGGAAGCAGACAGAACGCTAAAGAGAGAAGGAGGTTTCCCCATCTCTTTTCCAGCATTCAGTCTGCTTCCTCCTCCCCGGCCCGTCTTACCCTCGCCCTACATCCTTGAGTTGCAACGGACTATAGGCCTTTTCTGCTTACTAGCTCTCGTTCCCAGCCACCTGGTAAGCATATCCAGTATGGGCGACGAAAAAATAATAAAACTTTTCACTCTACAAATACATAGTAAAAAAATAGAGGGAAGACAAAATGAGAATGGGTGACGGTTACGCTCATATCCTAAATGCCCTCTGTTGGCGTGGCGACGGTAAAGCAATGTTTTCGCCCATACTGGAAGTGACGGTATTTCAAGGTGGCAGCGTCCTAGTGAAAAAGGTCTATAGCGAACACAGTTGCCGCACCGCTGCTTGCCTCCCTCTCTCCTCTCCTCGCCCAAACTCCCGTCTTCGTCATCACTGAAAGCTGAACCAAAATTGAGATGGTAAGTGCCTGCGCTAGTTGGTGCACCATTTAAAAAAAAAAATGAACCGAGAAAAGGAGAAGAGGGAGTGACGCAAACTACTAGTGTCGCAAAACTATCGATAGTAAGTCATCGACAGTACCATCGATATGTGTACGATAGTCGACTACCGATAGTTTTCCGATAGTCGATTAACGATAGTTTTCCAATAGTCGACTATCGATAGTACTATCCATAGCTTTTCGACAGTCGACGATCGATAGTACTATCGATAGTTTTTCAATAGTCGACTATCGATAGTACTATTGAAAGTTTTTCGATAGTTGACTATCGATAGTACTATCGATAGTTTTTTCGATAGTCGACTATCGATAATACTATCAATAGTTTTTCGATAGTCGACTATCGATAGTTTTTTTATAGTCGACTGTCGATAGTACTATCAATAGTTTTTGCTACTATAGATAGTCAGATTTCTGGCGACCATCAATACTTACGATTGTACTATCGATAGTTTTGCATAACTACTGGACAAGCGCCCATCCCCCATTTTTTTGCGATTATCTCCAAAGTTTGAGTGGGCTCTTGCCCGGTATTTTACGGTAGTCACTGATAGGATGAGGATGGCGTCTTATGATGCCCGGCCTCTAGCACGCGCTCACAGCCTTTTGCTGTGCTTTGGGTGCGCATGTAAGCTCGAAGCTCACGAGATGTCGAAGCATTGCCGGAGGTAAGCGGAGGTGGAACAACTGAAAGATCTCTCCTGCCATTCTCATTTTGTTAGTGACCACAGAGACTATACACTGTTCCATCATAAGTGGGAGCGAAGCCAATGCTACAGGCCTGACCATGTTGTTTTGAATGACGCTTTCGCTTCACTAGTGAGCATAAAAGGCCTGCTCAAAGCGGTGTGCCTGCTTTTGTAGCTTCATTTATCTCACGCTCGTCGTGAAGCAGAGTATAGACGCATGGTTTAGCAGTTTGGCAACTATTGTGCCGCTTTAACAACGCCGTGGGGAGGAAGAAGAGGGGGCTCCCACCGGAGGAGATGTGTCGCAGCATGGTGGAGGTGCCGTGCGAGACGCCCATGAGGAAGGCCCAGGGGCGGCCCTGCACCAAGCCCCGGTAGGGTAGCACCACCAGGGCAGAGACCCCCGAGCCCAGCGCCCGCACCAGGCCAGTCGGGTTGCCCAGCAGGTCCAGGGAGCCCACCACCCAGCCTGCAGGGGTGGGAGATTCACACACATCAAGAGTCTACAAGAACACCTTGATCCCATGTGTAAACTCAGAAATACACTGATCAGCCAAAACATCATGACCACCCCTAAACCTTGTAATATACAGGAATTCCGCAACCTTTGCTTACAAATCTGGTACAATCATACTCGAGGCACTCACCATGTCAAGATGGGTTACATCTGTTTCGAGCTCCAAAGATGATAAGGTGGGTGGTTATAATGTTTCGGTTGATCAATGGATGTAGAGTGCTTTTCCCAATAAATTTAGTGGATGACAGTCACGTGACGCCATCAGCATATCAAGTGATGTCATCAGTGTGTTACATGACGTCACGAGCATGCCAAGTGATGCCACGTGATGTCAACAGTCTGTCACGTGACGTCACAGTGTCATGCTGTAGTGAGTCGCGTGATATCACTGCTACACTACGGTGTCACATGACAGTGCCGATATGTGGAACTACAACGTAACAGTGACATCTAGTGTTGAGTGAATATTCCATATTCGCTTTGAGATTAACTGCGATATATTCATACTTTTCAAAGTCTTGATAGTGGCGAGTTAGACCCGTTGAGTGTGCTTTTCACTGAGCACTTGTGAGCCGCAGGGAAGCAATACCTGCAGAGCGGGCGGGCATTGCTTTCTTGCATTGCACAGGTGCTTGGTGAGAAGCGCCCTCAATGGGGCTAACCTGCCACGATTAAGCCAGAGTGTGTGTTAGACAGTGATGTCTCGACAAGCTGCGATCATCATTTGTGCTTGTTTTGTTGTTTTACACAGAATGTGTTATATGGATGACACCACTGATCTCTATGTCTATTTGCTGGATCGCGTTTGACCAGCTCCGCCTATGGACCGGAATGCGGTCACTGGCGGCCATCTTTAGGTAGAGTTATATCATCTCTAGCCATCATAGTAATATGGCGGACAGCGCAATGGCGGCAGGGTGCCATAAAATAGCCGTAGATCTAGTACACTGTACCGTGGGAGATATTTCGTGCTTGATTGAAGTTGTTCGACGACGCAGACTTTTGAAACCCGGCGTGAACGGTAGCCTCATCTTTGAGGGCCCGGAGAAAGTTCTACGAAAGCGCACCACCGGGGAAAGCAGCGCAGCTCGCATCGAAAGCAGACTCCATACCGTCGCTGCTTTCGATGCTAATTTTGATGCGACTTTCAATGCGAGCTGTACTGCTTTTCCCCCGGTGCTGCGATTTCGTGAAACTTTCACCGGGTCCTCAAAGATCGGGCTACCGTTCACGCTGGGTTTCAAAAACATGTTTCGTCAAACAATTTCAATCAAGCTTGAAATATCATCCACCCTATTTTGACGGCAGCCTGCCACCACACCTGCCAAAACGTTGTCTGCCATGGATGGATGACAGTGGCTGCAGGAGCTGTACCTTGGCTAGAGGTAATATAACTCTACCTAAAGATGGCCGCCAGTGACCGCATTCGCAGAGCGGGCAAACGCAATCCAGCAATTGTCATTGAGATCAGTGGATGACACCTAACCAGATATGGTTTGGTGCCATCTATATAACACATTCCAACGGAACTTGGCAGGCCAGCCGAACGCTGACGCAGCACTCGTCTCCCCACTGACTGGACACCAGTGCCAGCCAAACCTCTTTCTTGAGTGCCTCCGTGTTACTCCCGGAAGGAATAAAAAATAATGTGTCGTGTTCGGACATATAGTGGTGCTCCTCTCCGTGAAATAAGCATGCTCTGAGCTTCCCCAAAGAAAGAGTGCAAGAGAGAGTCACAAAAAAGCAGAGAAAACGAAAAGCAGACTCCTTGCCGCGACGGGTTGAGGTAGTTCCGAGTGTTTGGTTGTCTTCTGCTGCAAGCATGGTGCCAGGACTCTGCTCGGCGTTGCCGCATTCTAATTGTTCTGTTTTCTGCACACTCCGTCTTCTGCGTCTGGCACTCCAACGGGCTTTGAGAAAGTTGCATTTACGCTCTAGCCGCAGGAGACGACACCCACAAATAAGACATGCACGGAACGCTCACGCACTTACCTTGCACAAGACAGTGCTGCTTCGCATCATCCAGCCTCCACATGTGTGCAGTTTCACCACATTAACATGTCAAATTCTGTGTTACCCTACCTTCACGAGTTCAGCTGAATTTTCGCTTAAACATAGTGCACGGTAGTGAAAGGCTTGTCGAAACTGTTCGACATTCAATTAAAAAATATTTGGCCAAAACCAATATTCGCTTCAAACTCAAGATCCACGTGATGTAATGATATAATATTACAGCGTTATTTAATGTCACAGTGTCTTGTAACGTCATGACACAAGTCTCACGTGACATGTCACAGTGTCACCTGATATCATGGTGTCACATTATGAATGTCATGCTGATTATGTCACTTGAACTTCGTGATGTCATCAGCATGACATTTTTTATCGAGGCTGCATCCTACGGACACTGAAGAGCTAAAAGCTGGCCCATAAATGCAACAGATTTTAAATCCTATCTACAAAAATAGAGATAAATTTTATACAAGCTTGGTCATGCTGACAAAGAATGGTAAGAACAGAATGAATGATAGGCCTTCCAGGGAAGAAGAAAAGGGGATCTGAATGGCAGCGCCTAACAAAGATTCACGGTCATTTCTGACACTCGCCGTGAGGTGGAGCAAAATACCAGGAAAGGCCGTGAAGTGTGCGACCACACTTTCGCTCACCTCGCAAATGACTTTGTTTTTGAATGAATGCTCCAACCACCGACTCTGGATAGCTCAGTCGGCAAGGCACTTGGCTCACAATCTCGAGGTCGTGCATTCAAACACGGCCTAGGGACAGGTCGGTTTTTCGTTACAGCCAAACATCGTAGAACTCTATGAAAATTGGCTGATAAAACGCATTCTGTGTTAAAAATTACAAGCACGTTCATTCGACCAAATGCTACGAAATGTGGTAGCTTTACAGAAACATTGTTAGTGAAAACAATTAGGAAAGGAAATGGTCCAGCGATGAAATGGTTGTAATATGCCGTGCACACATCGAGGACGACGCCAAGGATGGCGTCTAGGACGACATTGAAGACGACCTTTAGGATAACCTGAAGGACGGCGTTGAGGACGACCTTGAGGATGACCTCAAGGATGGCGCCTAGGACAACGTCGTGGACTACCTCAAGGACGCCATTGAGGATGACGTCCTAGAGGATGACATCAAGAACTTCTAGGATGACCTCTAGGACGACCTCAAGGATGACATCAAGGATGTCAGCTCCACCTACCAGCTCTTATGAACTTACACGAACGGAGCTTACGCAACCGCACTTACGTGACCTTCAGTCATGGGCATTACGTGACCTTGAACTTTAGCCATAGGGACATGATCACGGTACGTGACCTTGATGATGAGGACATGCCCTTAAGCGAGTTGGGCCTAAAAAGCCATTGCTTTAAAATAAGAGACAAGATCCTTATGGAGTCTTGTCTCACCGCCGGCAGCCAAGAATCCCTTTAAACCACTCACCTGCTCGGAACAAGGCCCCTGTGACATAGTGCCGCGTCAGCAGCTGCCCAAGCTGGTAGCACCCTGTCACCAGGTTAGTCCGGCTGAACCGTGCAAAGCTCAGCGGTGTCCCGTTGAGCGACAGGAACAGCTTCAGCGATGCGTGCACACTCAAGCGCACCATCAGTGGCTCCAGCACCAGCTCCCTCACGGGCACTGTCCGCACCAGCGCCAGCGACGACTCCGCCACCTCCGCCGACAGCTGCCGGTCGCCTGTGTTGGCCGCGATTGGCACGTGGCACCACACTGGGCGAAGGAAGCTGGCCATCCGTGCCACCCTGTAGAGGAGGGTGTCTTCGACGAAAAGGGAGAGGGGGCGGAGCTTGACCACGAGCGAGTCGACCGCGGCGCGTCCGCCGGGGTGCAGTTCCAGCGAGAGCGTCACAGACGCCACCGCGTCCTGGCAGCCCTGCGTGGGTGCCGAGTCTTCCTGCGGTACCAAAACGACCGGGAAGTCGAAGACCTCATCCGAGACCTCGCCGCCGGCCAATTGGTTGTCAAGTTGGAGACCGCCCACAAACGCGAACAGATCGTAGACAACGCTGGCTGCCGTTGCCGCCCCTGTGGTTCGCGGTGGGTGGTGGGGAGTTACGTGCGTTGCACGGGGGCGGACCACACAGGAGAGGGAGTCTAAGCTGAGGCGGATTAGTTCGGTGGGTCGATGGTCTCGGGGGTCGCTCGTGCGGTAGTCATCGCTCTCGTCGCAGATGATAAGACAGAGTTTGGCGATGGACAGGGATGCGAAGCGAAGGGAGCGACCCAAAGGCGAGACGGCGGGGAGGTCTTCCTGGAGGACCCGTGGTGGGGAGGACCGTGTCACCTGTGAGGTTAGCGAGAAAACGACAAGAACCGAAGTTAATTCCTGCAACTAATACAAATGAAAAAGGTATAAGTTAAACGTTTTTAGGTTCCTATATATTGACTGACTAACTGGCTCCCCATCTGACGCTCTTCAAAAATGAATTTTTTAGTACCCTGTCTTTCAACACCTTCTACCAAGAGGTATACTTTTCTCTGTGTATTTGTGCTCTGTGCTGGAAGACAGTAGTATGGCAAGGCCAAGATAGAGTATGTGGTACATAAGTTGAAAGTGACATTTACGGGAGTTAAGTTATTTAAAATGTTCAAAGGTGGAAGAAGGGATATATTTAGTGTGTGAGAGCTGTATATGGCCAGTTTTCTTTTTGAGAAACTCTAAAACACAACTAACAAGGACGAGAGACTCATCTCAAACCAGGAAATTGATATAAAATGGAAGACGGCATTTAAAAATATTGGGAAAACATGCTCATCATTATTGGTCTAGGTACCCGCAGTACCACAGAATGTGCAAAACAGTTAATGTTTTGCCATACTACTCACATTATGAAATATCATCACCACAAATCAAATACAGAACTGTTAAACATGCAATGCCAGGTACACAAAAGAAAGTAACTCAGTAGAGGCGAGGGACCGGAACGCAGCATTGGTTATATTAATGCCTGCGCTAATGCTGAGATCGGTCTCTTTCTCACCGGGAGTGATTGGTCAGTCTGGCCACCAAGCGCCATATCATCGGGTGAACCTCGCAGCTCCACTTCCATCACGGGTCCTGATTCGCCGATGCGGCTGCGGATTTCCTTCGCGGAGACTTCGGCCCGGCTTACCACTTGCACCAGGAGGTGGGTGGTCTGGCAAACCTAGAGGCAAGACAGCGAATCCTCACCTAAGCATCTGCTGCTCATGAGCCTAGGGTCACTCCATGCTCCCAGAGTACTGCACTCCGTAGCGTCCGCTCGACCGGAAGGATCGAGGCAACTGAGCTTTCTGTTTGGCCGAGGTTGACAATGTTGATGCCAGGAAAATAAAATAAAAAGTATGTACAATGTGTATAGACAGGATCTCTGGACAGTAGTCATGTACGAACAGTTGATTTTGAGGTCAAAGCAAACTCAAAGCGTTGGTGGTTTTGGCCGAATATTTTGAATCGAATATCGAATAGCTTCTTTAAGCCTTTCACTACTGCACCATGCTTAATAAAATAAAACCCACCAGAACTCGAGAAGCTTGTTCCCAAGCTTTCGCTTGTCCATTTCTAAGCTAAATTAATTTTAATCTAACTACATTTATTGACTGTGGCCTCAGAAAGTTAAATGCCTACATTGGGTTGGCAAGTAAACGTCGCATTTGACATAAACTAAATCTATAACATTCCCAAGTGCACGCAATCGAGGGTATTTATAAATATTTTTGCTATATACAAATACCTTTTCTCCAGTGACGAACTATTACCGCAGGTTGTCGGAGCATCTCTGCTTCACATATCTGTATGCATATATCTTAGGCCAGTTTAATTTGAAAATTTTATTGAGACATGGATATCAACATTCAAAAAGTCTCCGTCTCTTCTTAAATATACCAAACGTGCATGTGCACCATCGTGCTTTGAAAGTGTGCTTTCCTGTCAAGCACACTGCTGCAATATTTGCTCTTTTCACAGTGTTGACTGCAGCGTTTTAGCATTATTAAGTGCGCTTCTTACTAAGCACCGGTGGATTGGGGAAAAGCAACACCCGCAGAAGTGAGCTGCACAAGTGTTGCCTCTCTACAGTGCACTGGCGCTCGGTGAGAAGTGCGCTCAATGAGAAGTGCGCTCAATGAGGATAACCTGCCGCAATCAACACTTCGAAAAATATGAATATCGCAGTTCACCTCGAAGCAAAAATCGAATAGTGCATCAATGCGACAGTGTTATAGGGACACTGAAACCCCTAAAAGTTTTATTTTATTTTTGTTAGGCGATCCATTATAGTATCAAAAGACTACCCAATCAAAATTTTGCTACAGTATAACATATATTTTTAAGAAAATCAAAAAACAGAATTGCTCGAAACCGAAACTGAGACTGGACTGGGGAGGAAGAAGAAATATAGAGGAGGAGAGGGTTGCCAAAAATCACGTGGCTGTACAACTTTTTTTTTCTTCTTTTCTTTCAGTCAACGTATTTGCAGCTTTTTAGAAGCCACAAAAAACAGGTATCATATTTTGTTTCCATTTTAATACTGAGTGTGTGCCATCGATGACCCACGACTTTGATTATCTTCGGTGCTTGTGTCTCAACCATAGAAAGCGGCACGTGACGATGAAGTAGAGAGTAGACGCGACTCAAACCGGTCAGTTCTGAATCTACGGTTTTCGAGCTTAAAGAAAACGAATTTCAGGCCGCAAATTGTGTTCTGGGTAGTTGGGCTCTCATGTGTCATGTGCAAATAAAAACCTTGGTGAGCATAAATACCCTGTCAGTGTCCCTTTAAGGAGCTCGTGTCGCAGTAAAGCCGACGTCAGTGGTGCGACAGGAAACTCCTGATTGGTCGATAGGGTCCTGACAACACAGCCACATGACCTCGCGCTGGAATTTCAAACAACCCACAACGCTCATGCGAAACGGGACGTCGTGCGTGTAATGAGGGTAATTAAAACGTGACATGTAATGCGAATTAAAGATTGCCGTATGTCTCAAATGATTTCACTTTATAAAGTAATTCAGTTGCCTTAAAGAAAAATTTTTAAAATATTAGTCGGGATTCGATTTTACGACCCTTCAGTTGAGCTAGATGCACTACTGAATAGGCCACGCAAGGCACGCTTGCACAGTGAATGACAAAGCAATGCAAATGGCGCCCAATAGTGCAATCGCGCTCCACTCTTAAAGGTGCCTTAAAGAAATATTTAAAAAATTTTAGTCGGGATTCAATTTACGACCCTTCAGTTCTGAGCTATATGCGCTACTGAATAGGTCACGCAAGGCACGCTTGCACGGTGAATGAGAAGGCAATGCGAACGGGGCCCGACAGTGCAATCGCGTTCCACTCTTAAAGGTGAAGATTAAGCGTCCTCCAAGTTTTTTATTCAGAACCACTATTTGAAAATTTGAAGATTCGCACAACACCACTATATAGCCAGTGAATAATGACTTGTTAGAACCCGTAGTAGGCATGTTGGTTTTCGTTAGGGCATCGGTTCCCAAACCGAGTTCCCAGGAACCAAGGAGTTCCCCAGAGTACCCTCATGGGTTCCACATTTCTTTAGTTGTCCTTGCCCCTAACTGAAGTGTTTTCCCAGCTTACGTCTTTATTTTAGAACATCTGAGCCATCCATTGATGCATAGTAGTTTACCAAACATTCCCCGGTGTGAGGCATTATGGTTTACAAAGTCTGTGGGCTTTTGCACTGCTTTATTGCATCATTGCCTAGACCGGTAAGGGTTCCTCACCCACCTATCCGAAGGGACAATTGTTCCTCGAGATCAAAGAGTTTGAGATCTAAGGCTTTCTACACCAAAATTCCCATAATAGAGTCCTTAAGGGTCCGTCCAAAATTTGCTTCAGGGCTTGTCTAAATCTGCTTCAGGGTTTCTCTAAACTTGCTTCAGCATCCCTCTAGACTTACCTCAGGGTCCCTCTGAATTCATTTCAGTGTCCTTGTCAGGCAGTGGCGGATCCAAGGGGGAGACGACGGGGGCAGCCACCCCCCCCAAACGAGGTCGACCCCCTGTCCTCCCCCCTTTTCAGAGGGCAATTTGACTTGGGTGGATCTCCCGGTGCACAAAAAAAATGGGAGAATAGTATCCTTACAAGGCTTCCCGCCCCCCCCCCCCCCCAAAACAGAGTTCTGGATCCGCCCCTGTTGTCAGGGGTTGCGAATCTTCCAACGAAGTGCAGCTCACCCTGTGGGCAGAGACCCTGACATCTCCGAGGTTGGGGATGCGAACAAACTGGTTGGCGACGTCCACGCAAGCCACAGGACTGCTCCAGGACATGAGTGGGCTCCCGCCCTCCCTCACGCAGGCCAGCAGCAGTTGCGGGGTCGCCCGCTCGGACCCTGGGGCCGTCCCGCTGCAGTGGGCCGACAGGCTCGGCGGCGTGAAGTGCACCGAGCAGCCCGGAGGCACCGACCACAGCATCAGGGACCCTGAACATTGGGACCCCGTCGGCCGAGTGTGTTAGCGCATCGCAGCTCAGAGTATGGGGAGCGAAAGCTTGCGCTGCAGAGCCTGGGGATCCCCGGCTCAGTCTCCGCCCCCGTACGTTTTGATCTGGATGAGCATCACACTGGCTAGAGGCTATGCATCGCTACTGCTTGATGCAGGTTAAAGAACCCGGGCTAGCAATGGTACTGCACTGGCTAAATTTCTCATCACAATGAAAACACTAGACGCTCGTCGGTGCTGCTCACTAACATCCCGCCATATAGACATCATATACACAACCCAATTACTTTAGCTTGAATGACAAAAGAATCCTCACAAAGATAGTCGCCCACACCATAGAAAAAAAGAAATTTGACTTTAACCTTAGAGTAGCCGATAACGATCACAAACAAGGTTTCGGTATGCAATAAAGGATTGGTGTAAGGTGATCGTAAATTACATCGATACATAATATTTGCCCAAGCAATAGCGATACTGCTTACGGATGGTGCCTGTAAGTTTACTTCCCCATGAAGCCCACACACAGACATTCATCACATTCAAAGGAAGAAAGTCAGCAAATATCAAAACCCTATGTATACGTCAGACTGTAATATCATTGGCAGCTATCAAGTTTCAGTTTGATCAAAGCATCAAGCACGCTCGACGATCTGAATGCCATCATTACATCGTCACGTACCCACAGCGGCCAAAACCAAATAAATTTCGGCCTGCAAAGACAAGCTCGAGATGGAACTTCCTCCCGAGCACGCATCCAAGAATAGAAGGAACGATAAGCGAGCTCCCTTCATCAACTGGAGGGCTAGATGGTTACACACATATTGAAATAAACAAAGCACAGAAACCACAAGGACTAGAAGGAAAATAACCACAGTGTAGTGGTCGTCCCGTCTTCTCCTTATACTTGCCCTTGTCCCTCTTGTGCCGCATTTATTCCAAAAGAACCAGAGCAAAGCGGGACGCACCTCGCGTTCCCTCGGTCGCCTCTCCGCTCTCCGCAAACGCCAACGTGGCGGACGTGGCATTGGAGATGTGCAGGAGCGGGTTGGCGTCGCGTGCAACCACCGCATAGATGGTGCCACTCCTCGTGTGACACGTGACCACGAGCGGCACCGTGGTATGCAGTGCCCCGGCCACCCTGGGAGCCGACGTGGTGCGGCGTACGTCCGATGCGGTGCTGTCCAAGCCGACGGGAAAGCTCCATGGGCTGCCGCAACTGCCCAACGTTTCCTGGTCGTCGCCGGCCAAAGCGAGGCTCAGGTACAAGCGCCCCGTGTCCCCGTCGTCGGCTTCGTCGTCGCCGTTCCAGAAAAGGAGCGGCACCGTGTCTCGGCCGTGCCGATCTCCAGGCTGCAGGCGGCACTGCTCCGCCATTTCTTTGGATCCAGTCCAGAGCTCCTGCGTAGGAAAAAAAAAGGAGTTGAGGAGACGTAAAAGGTTACCCGGACACGGGGCTTCTGGGGTGTTGAACGCTGCTGTTTCTTACATCCCAGACTGAGAACCGTTTTGAGACTCCATGAACGAGAAAAGGATTAAAGATGACTTGTCTAATAGAGCACGGGCACCTTCCGGAAGTTGAACAGCTGTATGCACCAACACGCAGCTCTGACTTCACACCGCTGCGGTGGTGCTGTTGTCGGCACGGCGCATGCGCAGAAGCTTCACTTCTGCGCAACTGGTTTCTGTGCACGTTGAGTGCACCCACCTGTAGTGGGCAAATGCTGAGGTGTTTGTAAACGGCGTGCCGGTTCACGACATGAACGCACCCTTCTCTCAAGTATCATACTCTGAAACAATCATGTTTTAGCTCAATTTAGCTCGATATGACATACAAGCTTCAGCGAATCCCGCTGAAGCTTGTACTATGTTATAGGTTGATTGAATTAGAGAACTGTATAGTGGAACCTCCTATTATACAACTATCTTCCAAAAAAAGAAATGTTCACTACATTAGTACCATTTTATAGGTACTTTAACCGTATCGTAAATTAGGGCACTGACATCATTGATGCGCTTACAACTTTATTTTAGTACTGCTTGTAAAGGTCATTTGACCTTTGCTACATAGGCTGACACACTGAAGATCAAAAATTAAAAAAAGAGGCTTCACATATGGGGTTACCAACCGTCCCGGATTTCGCAGGACTGTCCCGAATTCGCATTAAGTGTCCCGAGTCCCGCATCGTCCCTGTCGGGACAGCTATATATCCCGGATTAGGTCCAGACCGTCCACATAAAAATTTTATGTGATCCAGGGTACGACCAACAATTGGCGTCATGCTGCGAGGCACGAATCGCACGAGCAATGCCGTGGTTATGGTGGGTACTGTGGCAACTAGCATTGGCTGGGAGAGGCTTTAGCCACTTTAGCATGCAAGCCATGGCAAGCCGGAAATCAGGGTGCCACTGGTGCCGGGTAGCACCTGTTATCATCGTCGTCGTTTGTATAAACCCCTTTGTGTCTCCCTTCTTCCTCGTGCTGGCCCCCCCCCCCCCTCCCCCCTTATAAGGTACTTTCTTTATAACTTTTCTTGTGTGGCTGCCACTGCGTGGTGAGAAAGGCTAACGCATGTTTTATCAGTTTACACACGTATAAACCCCTTTGTGTCTCCTTTTTTCTCATCCTCACCCTCACCCCTCCCCTCCTACTTCCCTCATTGAAGAGTTGGCAACCCTATTCACATAGTGGTTCTATCATATATATGGAGTAACATATGTGCATAACGATGGAATGCTGCTGTTACCTTCAATGTGAGTAGTGGTAATTGAGGTACTGACACTAGAGGTGTCAGTCCCTCGAATGCCTATGAGGTGAAGAAAATTTTGTTCATAAATAAACTTCACCTGGGAAAGGTTCTACTGACGAAAACCACGAAAACGCAAGTTGGTGGGAAAGCTTACGACGTAGGGCGGGTCAGCGGCCATGACGAACCCGGCGGCGGTCAGCGGGAGTGGCGTCTGGTTGGTGAGGCAGACGGCCGATCGCAGCGTCACCACCAAGCAGCCTTCGAAGTCGCTGGCCAGTGCCACCAGACGACAGGCCTGCAAAAAAAAAACGATCAATGACAATTAAAAAAAAAAAATCACACTTCAAGTTTCTTACAAAGCAGAATTAACAAAATGACCAGGGACTGTCACTGCTTCTAGTGCCCCATATGCCTTATGATTCATGGTGACATTGAAGTGCCTGCAATTACAGTTACATTTCGGTCCACTGATCAAACCATCATATGCAGAATTGCATTTTATGAGGAACGCAACTGATAATAACTCCAGTTTGAGCCTTCCAGGCATACAATGCCATGTCTAGCGTTGTTACATCCTTCTTTTGCACCATTTATTTTTTTTTATTTTTTTTAAGCATTTTACAGCTGGTGATGTCTTTTCGAAGCATCTCGGTTCCTCTCTCCTGCCTCTTCTGTTTTTTTGTTTTTTTTATTTCTTGTTTTTTTTTCTTCTACAGTTGCATTGTCTGGGCGGTGGAGCTCGCAGCTCAGGTGTTTGGCGGCCAGCCAACTCTCTCCAACCGTGTAATGCTTCAAATTTTCAAAGGTAAATCATAATTAGCTTTAGCACGGATGCAATTCTGCACGAACAAACTTCGTGGGGACGTCGAAGGGAACATCCTCAATTTAGGACTCAAGTTTTGAAGGGAAAAGTTAGTTCCCTCACTTACCAGCCTCGACGAAGAGCCGGTACGCCGAAAAGGGATGCAGACCGGAATCGGCTTTCCGACCAGCAACTGCTCTGCACTGTCAAGTGGAGCTTGTGGAGATTCCTTCCTCTGGAGGAGGTAAGCCCGGTCCACCACAAGGGGTCGACTGCTGCAGTGAAGGTCGCCTCCGTCCTCGAGTCCCAAGTAGAATGGCTCCTAGATTGGCAAGAACAAAAAATAAAATTAGGAAATGTTCGAAATTCTGAGGCTGGCTCCAAACTTATCTAGAAAAATCGGCGCCTGCCTGTGACAATATAAAATTTTTGCGAAAGGCGTGTTTTAGCAGCGCATTTTTCCTCGCAAGAATATCAAGATGCAGCTCTCTTCCTGTAAAAAAATTAGACCAACAAACCTGCCAGGGCCAGCAGCGGTCACAGGCGATTGCAATGCAGTCAATGCCGCTCAATTGCGAATCTGTGAACCCGCCCTCAGATAACACACGACTCTCAAGCCTGCTCTGCATTACTATATGTTACACGGGTCATTCATTCTGCTTTTATGACTTCTTTGTTCAAAGTTCGTTGTCTCAAGACTCACGTAAAGCGCAGGTGGTGCAAACACTTGTCCCTCGGCGAGCGTCCAGACGCCGTGGTCGCCGGCGACCAGGCGCAACTCTTGCCCAGTGCAGTTAACCACCAGGGCCCAAGGCTTGATGTCCACCAGCACCGTCCCCGCAAACGGGAAGTCCTGGTACTGGCTGACCCGCAGCTCCGTTTCGGGCATCTCCTGAGGGTGCTCGGGACTGTGAGAAACAAGCGCCAGGACGAGTTGTGATTTGAGAATTTGGACGAGTTGGAACTGACAGGTATGAAGAAGACATTAGGAACTATAAAACTTTCTCACTGTAGTCAACGCATTGGAAAACGAAGCCCTTACTGCACTTCGGAAAGGGCAGCTTCCAGAGGGTTGGCCGGCTGCCGAGTTGGTTTCACGTCGCGGTACGTGCCTCTGTGCCGTGGCGCCTCGTCAAGGACAGATTCCACTTTGCCTCTCGTTGCATCTCTTGCTCTAGCTATATCGCCCAAGGCGGCAGTACCCTATACTTCCGTTTCGTACCTTCATATGCAATGCATGAGGATGCAACTTGGTCCTATGGTTCATGCACGTGTGCTCCCATACAAATGAGGCACTGAATGAGGCAGTGTGCTCCTGCCAGTAGCTTCGACAGTGTTGTGCACTAAGCATGAAACAAAGTATAGTACACTTTAGCACCAGGAATACTTTTGTGACATCCCTAATGAAAGCATTTAATGCTTTCGGCCTAACTCACTGTCAAAGCGCTGCAAGCTTTTATTCATCTAACAAAAACATCTGACAATATCCCAAACAACCTTTGAGATATTGTCTCTCTTAAAGAAGCCTCTAGGGCAGCTTTTCTGCTTCACTTTAAGTTTAAAGGAAACAAACAAATACTTCGGTTTTGATACAAAGCTAAAATGCAAGATAACCAATGCGCATTGTGCATGCTGGCACTTCAGACTTCGGTGAGCTATGACAAGATTTGAACTTTCTTCTGAGCACATTCCTCTAACTAGCTTTGTCTTAGCGCCACCTCAGTCTCAATATTGTAGAGTGTAGCTACCCCACCCTACAAAGGTAATAATGCCCCTCTTCATCCCTACACAACAACTCACCTTGAGCTTGATGGAGTGCAGAGTTGCGGTAGCAGCGCTCCTTTCTCCGCGAGGTGGTCCACCTCGACCATGCGTTGGGGGTCGTGATAGGGCCACTTAATGCAGTATGGTGACCCGGGGGGCCACTGGGGGTCCCGCAGCTGCTCCAGAATACGGGCAGAGTCTGCCACCAACGTCTCGTGATCGAGCGTCGGAGGTTGCAGCTGGAGGGCAGGGGAGGACACCCTCATGCCTGCACAAGGGGAATGCGAGTTCTTTTCGTGGGCACCGGCAAACAATGAGAAGTTTGTCGACAATCAATGTGGCAGCCAGAAGTCAGAGACTAATTTCGTAGCGGAAAAAGAGATGGCAGCACGGTGATGCGCACGCAGCAGTTGAAGCCAGCGCCTTCATGTGTCGTTATGGCAATTGGCATCGCTCTGTGAACATTCAGAGCTGTGCTACACGGGATTTTGTGACCACATGCATGAGATGGCGATTCCAGCATGGACTGCAAACCAGAGCGGGAGCAAACATCAATTCTGTGTCAAACGCGGCAAATCCGGGAGGGATACCTTTGAAATGATCCAGCAAGCTTATGGCAAAAAAACAAACAACAGTGAGTCGTACGAGGTGTTTTGAGTGGCACTTACACTCCAAGATTGACAGAACATCACTGGAAGACAAAGAGAGGTCGGGGAAGGTGGCCCCACCTCTTTTCGTCTTCCAGTGATGTTTTGCCCCTCTTAAAGCGTGAGCAGAGGAAGGGGGGTGGGGGAGTGCTAGTACACTGCCTATCCCTGCCCCACTCCACATTTAAAACAACCCACACAAAAAGGAAAAGTCCAGGCGTGTTTGCTCCCTAAGAGAAACACGCCTGGACCTCTGCTTGTAGAGAGTGAACCTCGATATTCTAGAATAGTGTTCTTTACAGCGTTCAATTCTTAAAACATATATGGCCTTAATTTTTTCGCTTCCTCTCTCCTTCCAACCTTTCTTTTAATCTCCCCATCTTTCTCTCTCAGCACAAAGTAGTCGACAGAAACGATTATCAATGTTAACTCCTCTGCCTTCCCGTTCCCTCCTTCCTCTCAGCGGTTTGACTTTGTCACAGGGGTTCTCAAACTCTTTTGTGCCAAGGAACCCCTTCCAGCTTTGAATGGCAGGAGAGGAACCCCTGCCAATTTCGGTATTGGCACAATAAAACTGTGCAGATGCCTACAAACAGAGTAAACAATACTGCCACTACTAGGTAGTGGCAGTATTGTAGATTTTGAGTGGCAAATAGTAGATAGTGGCAAATAGCAGATTTTGAGTCTGAAGCAAATTTGGAGCATATAGTGGTTTTGGCTGAATACCTACAAATCGAATATCAAACAGTTTTTCTAAGCCTGCGATATGCATAAACGAAAACCTAGCTAAGCTTGTGAAAGCTGTTACCAAGCTTCAACTTGTCCATTTCTAAGCTAAGTTAATTTTAATCTATCTATATTTCTTGACTGTGGCCTCGAAAAATCCAATGCCTACATTGGGGTGGCAGGAAAACGACACATTTGACATAGAATTAAACCTATAGAGGTGCCCAGCTATACCTAATAGAGGGGATTTATAAATATTCTTGCTATATTGAAATACATCTTTTTCAATTATGTATGATTAACACAGGTCATGGCATCTCTGCTTAACATATACGGTACTGAAGCACGGCAGTTTAATTTTGAAAATTTTACTGTGATGTAGATACCAACATTCGCAAAGTTTTTGTCTATCTTTAAATACGCCGGGCACACGCGTGAACCATTTCGCTTTGGAAATCAACTTTCCTCCTAAGCACGCGGTCACAATATTTGTACTTCGAAGCGTTGATCGCAGCGGGTTAGCCCTGTTGAGTGCGCTTCTTACCTAACACCGGCACACTGCAGAGAAGCGACACCCGCAGAAGTGGGCTCCGGAGGTGTTGGCTCTCCACAGTGCACCGGTGCTTGGTAAGGAGCACGCTCAACGGGGTCAACCCACCACAATCAACACTTAAAAAGATGTGAATATCACAGTTCATCTTGAATCAAATATTGAAAAGCATACTATTTGAAACCACTATTTGAATATTTGCACAATGAGTGGCCCAGATTTGACAAAATAGTGCTTCAACTAGAAAAGCATTTCGATTGTGGCATTGATGGTTGAGGACATTTTTGAGCTCGTGGAACCTAGGAGGGTGCTTTGAGAACTCTCGGATTCCTGCAAACCCGGTTTGAGGACCCATGACCTAGGAGGTGAGGATCAAGCCCACCCACACGTACGGCGGGAAAGTGTGCAAGGGGCGAGAGAAGAGAATGAGCAGGTCTTTCGGAGAAAACGGGGAGACTGAGTTGTGCGACTGCAAGAGATGAAAACTTTGCGTTCAAAACGTTTGTCTCTGTAGCAAGTGGAAAATGTGTCAAATGCTTACCAGGAACCCGCGTTACATCTGCTGAACCGAAAGAGAGGTTGCAATGAAATGTACGCAAGTCCGTGGTTTGTGCTGTCTCGTGTATACAAGCTTACCGAATTCGAGCGCAGGAGAGTTTGCCGAACCCTCCTCCACCAGAATTTGAGTTTGCACAGAGTTTACGGTCCGTTTCACTTTAAGTCGTACTGCAGCCGGCACTACGTTCCGACGGGTCCGATCGAACAGCGCCCAAAGTGCATTGTTGGGGTGCCTGTATTCTTCGCTCATTTTTTATCGCCGGCCAAACTAGTTGCGCACGAGGAACGCTCCGTAACGCTATACTTTTTCTATGTGCGCAATTGATTTAACCGTCGATGACAAACAAACAAAAACGACGAGCACTGTGACAATGCACTTTTGGTGCCGCTCGATTGGCTCCGTCGGATCGTAAAGCCGGCTGCAGTTGTACTCGAGAGCGAAACAGAGTTTAGACTACGGCGCCCAGCACCAAGATGCATCTTTGACTGGCGCGTTTAGCGTCCTATTCCGCCCCCGCATCCAAAGCGGTCCCGAAGTGGCAACGAATGACGTCACAAAAGCACGAGTCTCGTGCCATCGGGTACTACTACTAATAATGATGATAATAATAATAATAACAATATTTTTATTAAAGCTAAAGACAACACAATACTTTTACGACGTTGTCGGGCGGAGATAGAGGGACTGCATCTTAGGATGCAGCGGACGCGCTAGTCGGACACAGCGTAATCTAAGTTGAAGCCGCGGTCCGCTCCTTTACCTGGTCCCAGTTGGAAGGTGAGGCTTGTGGGGACGGGGTCCACGAGGAGGGGGCTGTCCTGACCCCGGCCGGGCACGGACAATGTGCCCCTCACCGCCCTCCCCTCCTCCTCCTCCTCTTTCCGGGGTCCCCGATGCAGGTGCACCAGCAGGCTGCAGGGCAGGTGGCTGCGCAGGACGTGCAGCGGCACAAACGCCAGCACCTGCCAGTCGCCCCAAGATCCCCAGAGTCGAGCGAATTGCTGTATCTCCTTTTGTATTTTTATGTGTTCGTAACAACGCTAAGCACCCGGAGACAACAGTGAGATGACATGGGGCGACCCAAACAGTATCGAAAATGGGACCTTTTAGAAACTACTTGCGTCGTGTATATGTTAATACAACAGGAAGTTAGTCAGCCCCAAGGGGTGTCCGGAGTGTCCATTGTAGAGAGGAAATTTAGCAAGCGTAATACAACTGCTCGCCTGGGGTCTTTAATATGCACCGTAGATCAGTGATACGTGACTGGACGCTGCTCATCCAGATCAAAACGGCCAGGGCACGTGCTCCGAGCTGCGGTGCGTTAACGCACTCAACCACCGATCCCCACAGGAACCCTCGTCTTTCACCATATATTTCGAGCTAACGAGGATAACCAATGACAACGAGCCAACTGATGGTATTGATAACCTTAAGGAATGGAGTTAGCTTCTTTTTAAATCTAGATCTGCATCATGCACTCGTTGCAAACAAACAACTGAATCTCAAGTTCTCACCAATACGTTGGCAGACAAACCGATGCGCCCCGAAACACAGTAGCACCACAACCGCAGTTTGCCTCCAGTGTCCTGAGGTACCTGCATGAGAGACACCAACAGACTGAGTTATATAGGTACTCACAATATATAGAAATGAACCCCAAGTTTGGTAAACAAACTCTTTCCCGGCGAAAATACTGCGCTAACGCCACCATTATCGCCAATCGCCTGCTCAATGCCGCATGCGTGCGGTGAATGAGTTGTAAGAAGCCACTCCACAAAGTGTGTTTATGTTTGTAGATCCCATTGTACTGCTATTAACAAATGCACCAAAGAGAAAACACTGGCCATTTCTGGGCCCTTAAAATGAATGAATGAATAAGTTAGTAAAACAGCAGCTGAGGTTATTATCATCTTTTCTCAAGATTATATTTAAGTTACCATTTTGCATATTTTGAATGTTGTGAAATAAACCAGAATTTGAATTGGGTGATATAGAATATTTATTTCATGTCTCAATATTGATCCACCCTATCAAGTTTTATTATTTAACTATTATAAAAAACATAAAATTCTTTGATTACCATTGATCTAAATGGACACAAAGGATAAAAACAAGTAAAAAATTTATTTTATGGATAAGGTCAAAGCACACATTATGAGCAGCTAACTGCCGAGCTCAAAAAATCTCATAAACACTCAGGCGGCTCAAGACATGCTGCAGACACTCTATCACCCATCCATAGGATTAAGTTATACCAAGTGTTTCAGCAAAGACTGACAAAAATTCCTAAAATACGGTAAGTGTATTCGAGGTAAAACGACCATTTTCTCGGGACCCGCATTACTCGTGGTGGTGGACGTCAGAAAATGCACGATACTTACTAATTAGTTCCTAATTAATAAAAAAATTACTAATATACTTCTTAATTAGTGAAAATAGATATATGGTTCCAATTAAAAACCTGCTGAGCATCATCAAAAGCCACTAAATCAGTAATTTTCAGAAAGACCTCGAGTGCGTAAAAAGCGCAGTAATGCGCTAAAGTTACAACTTGTGGAGCGGGTGCAAGGCTCGCGGTTGCGATAAGGTGCTCGCTCGATTTTTCCGTCTCTTATCATAGTTCCATCTTTTTACCTGGTCCACGAGAAATAACTTTAGCTCGCTATTAGGCTTCCCACGTGCACAAAGTCTCTGAAAATTACTGATTTAGTGGTTTTCGATGACGCTCAGCAAGTTTCTACTAATTGAAACCGTGTCTATTTTGACTAATTAAAAATAATTGGTCATTTTTATTTAATTAGGTAACTAATCCGTAAGTATTGCATATTTTCTGACGTCTACCACCACGAGTAATGCGGTCCCGAGAAAATTATATTTTACCTAAAATACAGCGATTTTAGAAATTTTTGTCAGTCTTCGCTGAAACACCCAGTATATTTACCATAAAATATGTACCGTGCATCTGCCCATTCCACACTAAGCACCCATTCCCAAATTTGTAAGATCTGAGAAAATAGGCACAGTACATTGATATGTAAAATTGATGACTGGACAAGCACCCATCCCCCATTTTTTCGAGATAATACCTCTAAATTTTGAGTGGGCGCTTGCCCAATATTTTACGGTAAGTTTTTTTATTTAGAGTTTTCTAAATAGATACAGTAAACGACTTTATAATTGCGAGCTCAATATTTCACAAATGTTACGAAATGTAGTTGTGCGAATATTTTGCGAGCACATAATTTCGTTGTGCTTTGTATTCTGATATGCTGTGTATTCTTAACCATCGGCTGATATGTTCGTAGCTTCTATTTGTCGCAATACTTTCAAAGTCGCAAAATTATCGAAAAATAGGTCCTCGTAAGAAATTAAGTCATTTAAAGTATTTGTCATCTGGCCAAACATCCCAGATGCACAGCAGCACACCCCTGGCTTCGACCCAAGGTTAATTGCTTCAGATTATTTTCGTGACTGGCTTTTACCATTGTTAGCCCTGAAATAGTAACGACAGGAAGGGAACGAAGAAAAGTCTCACTAACCTCCAATATTTCAACCCAGTCCTTCGAGAACCGTGACTGCAGCTCAACCTCGTTTGACCAAGTCGTCGCGACGCTCAGTCCGGTTTGGCTGGGCCCCACTGGATCTGCTCTGCACACGTGAAAAGAGTAGATCCGTTTCGGATCGAGGACAAGGCTCCTGGAGGGTCCGTCTCCGAGGTCCACTTGAACGGAACGCATTTTGGGAGGACGCGCCGTCGTCGTGGCTTCCTTGCTGTTTGGGTCTGCGAGGTTCAACTGAATTTGCAGACCCCTCAGCAGATGGCAGCGTAACGTCACCTGACCGGAGATGATCACCTGTAAGCGAAAAAGAGATAACCGAAAAGGCGATGCAGCAAATTTGTTTTGTTTTATCAGCCGACTTATATGAAGTTCTGATATGTTTTACTGAAATGTTTGGCTGTAACGGCTGGGTGTAACAGCCGGCTGTACCAAAAAACCGACACCCAAATGTTGGAGGGTTATAAAAACTTCCACTGCATTCGATTTTACTATAAGATCTCCACTTCTCAAACCCAACTCAAAATGTAAAATAGGTTCCGCAAAAACTCGTCGCCTTGCACTCGCGTTCCACGAAGGCTGAGCCTCGTTTATCTGCACGCGTTCCCCCCCACCCCCACCCGTCACTGAACGTCCACATCACCCCCTCCCTTCCCTGCTCCACAACACCGGGAAAACCTGCACCTTCGCTTGCGTCGTCACTGCCTTAGACTCTTCCTAATGGTGACGCCATACCTTGTCCCAGGAGCGAACGTGGAGGGAATGGCCGGTGTCCACGGCTCGCGACCGTTATCACACCCACAATGACTACCAACTTGAGTGCGACCGTGCCACGCATACTGGCGACGTGAGGATCCCGGGGTGGGCAAACGATGCCACAGCTATCGCTATCGCTTCTTCGCAAGTTGCGGCCGAAAAAGTCACAGAAACAAATCAAGAAAACCTCACATTCAGAACAAGCAGCCACGTAATCTGGAGCCGATTATATACCACCAATGTTTATCATAACCGCGCGCTGAGGTTGGTGAAGCACAGAGCCTGCATTGAGTTCGACAGATTGTTAAGGTTCGACTATTCCCGTCATCGCAGCGGTTGGGAACGGGCCGCTACCCGAGTGCATGTCAACGCATTGATTGTTACAAGCTCAAATCGAATGCTCACGCAGTGCTCGTGTCCATTGTGTGAGCCGCATTTGTATGTCATCACCACAGATATCGCAAGGCTTGATCACAAAATCCTGGGGATCACATTGTTGACCGTGTCAACAATGCAATACCCACAACTTCATCATCAAGTTTTGTGAAAGAGAGAAAAAAAGAGTTCCGCACAGGAGTAAAAAAATAACGGGCACTTTTATCCTTAAAATTAAATGGCGACAAAGAAGCTTCCTGGACAGTTGCATTGTGTTTGGGTATACAGTGTAGACCGTATATGACGTATGTCACGGGAGTCGCGAAAATCCGCACTATAAGCGGTACCGCGCTATAACCAAAACATCAATTTTTCAGGCCAAAATACATGCCATGAGACAACTTACCTTAGTAAAATAATTTATTTTATGTTAGATGAAAAATAAAGCTTAGTTTGAGGAAAGTCTTTATTTCACCAGACTAGTACACTTCTCTCTCAAGTGTGTCGCACATTTTGAAAGAAATGAGCGACTTTTGCCTGGCGCAGCCTTTTAACGGCGTCGCATGTTGCGGACGGACGTTGCGAGCGTTCAGGATTGCTAACCCTAATCACTTTTCTCCGGTGATGAAAACGCGTGAAAATTCGCATCCTTTATATGGTACGCGCCAGTAATACCTTGAACTTGAGCACAGGCATGAAATGCTCCAAATAAGAAATCCGGGCGATGTTCGAAAACACAAATGCTTAGAAAGCACCACTGTAGTCGAAGTAAACAAACACGACGACACGGGCGTTTCTGCTGCCTTGACAGTGCCGCCACGACGTCGCCGCACGAGTAGGTGGATCTTCCCTTCTAGTACGTGCTGGGTTATCATAGCGACACACAACGAAAATTCACAGTCAAGGATAGCGCTTTTATGCGGAACGATGAGCTTCCACCACGCCGTCTACGTCGACAATCACAACCGACGCCATGTTTGCGAATAGAAGAAGCCCGCCCGCGACCGGCATGCAACGCGCGCGAACACTTCTCCTCGACCTGCGATTGGTCTGTCGTTGCGGTTGTTTCCAACGCATCAGAGGGACGCACGCACGTGGACACGTGCGTGCGTCCCTCCGTCGCTATGGCAACTGAAGCCTCTCTCTTCGCTTCTCCCCGCTTCTTCGAGCAACCTCCTTGCCCCGCGAGTGCCGCTTGCGGCTAGCGCCGTCAGCGCCGTTATCTAGAGTTGCACAGGGAAGCGTGACTTGCGTCACTCACCTGTGATTCAATCCCATGGCCACAGCGAGTCCTGACCAGAAAGGTGGTAGAAGACGACCCGGATGCCACCTCCATGGCGACCTCTCCACCGCTCGACAGGGAGAAGGGACTGCTCCACTTCCAGTGCTGACCCTCGGTCGAGAGACGCAGCTGCTGTGGTTGTCCAATCAAACAAAACATGACATGCAATTATTTAGAGTCATGCCTACACAATCAAATTTCCAGCTTAAAAGAAGCGAACATTTCTGTTCTGTGCAAGAAGCGAAAATTATGCCACACGCTACAACAAGGACTATGAGCAATGCCCAAAAGATTCCGCTGATGCATCCTTGTCGTTGCGCCGTTATAGGCAGGTCGTCAGGGCTCTTCTCTTTTCGCATTGCAATAAGCCATAAGCGACCTGTTGCACGGTCGCAGTAGTCACGGCTAAAGTCGTGTCACAGCCAGCAGCTGCGCGACTCGCGGTTGCACAACGATCGGGGTATTCACTTGGCAGTTGGTCGTGACTGCTGCGGCCAACCACCACAACTTCTACGCCTAATTAAAGAGATGAAAACAGTGAAAAAAATGGGCTTGCTTTGGGTAACACAATGTTCGGGTAATGTTTTATTTGTTGGTTCCTGTGAAAAAGGTATGAAGAAGATTCGACTGTATGCTGAAAGTGCAAACAAGTGTGAAACAAAACTGATCAGGGCAAACCCGAAAATGTCTGCCATGAGACAGAATGACGCAGCATGTATCGCTCAGTCACCTTCCAAGTGTTTGGCTTTCGATTCCCCAAGAGTGTACATTCTCCACTTCACAAGCACATGTGCCCCTCTTCGATCAAAGCTTACCAAAGGGGCCTTGCGACTTTTCCAGGTGTAAGTGTGCATGTGGCCAGGCTGAAGGACGATCCTTTCGCTGGTTCCCACCTGGATGTTATGAGTAACAACGTTTAAACATGTCTTCATCATATCTGACAAACTCTGAAAAGCATAAAATGTGTTGCGAATGAGCTGAGGACATGCAGTTGGTGTGTGCAATGTCACGCGACGTGACAAGTCACGCAACACTGCGACGTCACGCGACACCATGGAGTCGTGCAACTGATGTCACGTGACCTCACGACGTCATGCTGTAATGTGACATCATGATGTCATCTAATGTCACAGTGTCACGTAATGTGATGATGTTCGTAACATCAGGGTGTCACGAGACAACAGCGTCACGCCGAGCATTACGTGTCGCTTTTCTCGAGAAACTCAGCCGGATAAAACACTCTGTGGTAAAACTGAATGTCGTACATCACACAAAAAAAGAGCAAGCTTTTCCCACCTGTCCAAAGCAGACGACGTCTTGCGTGTCGTTGCAGACGGCAATGTAGCTGAGTGGGATGCTCACTCCAGCGTCCTTAGAAAGACAAAAATTATGTTTAGGGTTTTAGAAAATGTTACCAAAAGGGACGGTGGACTAAAACTTTGGCCAAAAAAGACAGAACTCAAAATAATATAGTGAACTCTGAGGTGCTTATCAGCCAATCTATCTAGCAGCTTCCATGAAGGCTAGACTATGCTATGCGAAGGGCCCTTAACGGCAAGTAACTGACTCACATGAAAGGTACTTCTGGAGTAAAACATAATCTCTCGATTTCAATATATAATCACCCCTGAATTCGATAAGCTCTGTAAGCTTTGATACAAACTGAGTCTACTAAAAATTATAAATCAGTCTCCTAGGCTTCGGGCCCTTCTGAAACAGTAATTTTTCGTTCTTCATTGTTTAACTCTTCCCTCTGGTAATATTCTTAATGTCTTAATGTTCCACTCATAATAGAGTCACAGCGAGTTATGACTAAGCATACGAGGAATCCTTCAAAAGTCCGGTCACTCGAGCAGTTTAAATTGCATGCTGGTGTTGGAAACATATTTTTTGTCATCCTCAATCCTTTTTTTTTTCTACAACAAAACGTTATAGATACGAGAAAAAATATTTGAGTACTTGCGGCAAAATAAAAAAAAACTGGCCTTCTTGAAGCTCCTTCAAAAATGCCAGTTTTTTTTTTTTTATTTTGCCGCAAGTACTTAAATTTTTTTTGAGTACTTGAGTATGAATGATTCAAAGGGTCGTTTGTTCTTTGCGAGTACCTGTCTTCTGTAAAACCTGCGGAGTGCTTCGAGAAGTTGGAATTTGTTATGGGCAATAAAGGCCCGACCCTCTCAATGATTGCCACGCAGTTCGATAGTTTTCGAAGTGGAGACTTTTCTGTCGAGGACGTCTGCCGTGAGGGGCACCCAGAAATGGCAACACACCATGAAAATGTGCCGCCTGTGAAGGTGGCAGTTGAGGAAGAGGGTCGAGTTACTCTGGAGAAAATGAAGAAACTACTTCGTATAAATGACACATCAATTTGAAAAATTTTGACATAAAAACATAGTTACAGCAAAAAACCTGCCAAATGGGTCCCTCACCAGCTGACACCAAGCAAAAGGCATCTCGTGTGATCTTTTGACGCTAGTGTCTCCAAATATCCAAGGAAGGCAAGTCTGCTGCTTGGAAGCAAATTGTGGCTGGTGGTGAGACCTGGTTTAACAACAGTGATCCTGAAACCAAGTTTCAACCCATGGTGTGGTCGAAAAAAAGGAGCATCGCTACCGAAGAAATTTCGCCGCGCTAGATCAGCCGGCAAAAGAATGTTTACCATTTTCTTCGGATTCAAAGCAGTCGTGGCCTCTGTCCCCCCCGAGAAGAGGCGAACTATGAACTCTAAATGGTACATGAAAGTGTGCCTCCCAAATGCCCTAGAGAAGGTACTCAACAGTCGCTGCAGGAAGAAACTGCGTCGTCACACGTCTGGCAGAACGTCGAACTTCATGGCTGATTCTGGAATTGATCTGCCAATTTCACCTGCCTATTCCAGTGATCTTACGCCCTGTGAGTTTTGGCTATTCCCTAAGCTGGAGCAATCCCTCAGTGGAAAAATGTTTGAGACAAGAGAAGACCTCATTTTAGGAGCTAAAAAGCAACTTTTTCTCAAGAAACCAGACGATATCCGGCATTGTTTCGACCGTGGAATTCATTGAATGAAAAAGTGCTTCGAGGTTGCTGGTGATCACGTAGAAAAGATCTAAAGTTAACTCTTGCGAGTTGAATATGGCGAACAAACGCTTCCAAACATTTTCAGAGCAGCTGCGGATTAAGCTTTTTGGTGAGCGGACTTTTTAAAAATCCCTGGTAAATGTGGTAAACTATATGCACATTGGCTCACTTCTTCACAGCTTTAGCAAAGTGCAGCATGACCTACTTTATCCCAGAAGGCAGCAGCCGTGGAGAGGGTGTGCACAACAGACTGGCTAACCCTCAGGTAGCACGGCTCGATGACAAGATCCGCTTCAATCGCCAGGTCCTAAACAAGAGAACGAACACGAAAGACACAACTTACCATGGTAGTCAAGTAAGGGATGCAGTACCACTAAAATAAAATTACCCGTTAAATGGAATGAAAGAGCGATAGCACTCGATGGGCTTTCTAACGAGCAGCACATTCTATCAGAATATGCAATATGACACGTGGAGAGAAATTGTGAATGTATAAAGGACTTCTCTTCTTGATCCCTGCACCTCTTCTTTGGGAGCATTATATATCATTTTCCTGAAATGCCACTGCACATACAATCTTACTGTGAATTGCCTCTGCACCTACTAGGCTATTCTACAAATATACAGTTCCTACTCCATTACGTAGCCTCCATTCCTACACTGCAGAGGAAGGGAAGAGGGATAAGAGTGTTAGTGCAACACTTCCTACTCCTCCGTGCGGCACTAAGCCGTTGGTCGTGTGCGCTACGACATCAAACCAACAGCAAAGCCTTGTTGCTGACACGCTCTCCCGCGGCCTTGCTTACTATGCTGCAACCGACAAAGGCAGTCCGTGGAGGGCTCCCATATGAAGTCATCACTTTAACACAAACAAGAAGGCCGGTGCCTTCTCTCTTCGAGGAAACTGCTGACCTTGGCAAATCTTCCGACGTTCCAGCTCTTATTGGCCACATTTTCAATCTACCTTTAATTGTCACCATCTAGCTAGCTTGTCACCCCCTATTCCAGGATGAAACACTTGCCCCATTGGGAGGCTGGCAGACCACGGCTGTAGCCCGGATGTCCACGGGATCCAGGACGGTCAGGCGAGACAAGTGGTGCAGCTCAGTGACGTCGCAAGAAACTCGACCGCTGACCTTGGACAATGCAGAGAGACGCCACTGTTAACGAAGCCACCGCTATTCGAGCTCACCTACGCGGGTAAAGGCTCTGTTATACACCGACGTAACGTGTGCACGCGTGCGAGCGCGTCACAGCGACGTCACGTCGGCGAAAACCCGACGCTCTATACTCCGGCGTCGTGGCATAACCGACGCGACCGGCGGCGTTCGACGCAGCCTGACCGCCTCGACGCCAAAATGGAGCATGCCGTATTCTGCGCTGGTGACGCCGGACCAGGATGCATCACGCGCTGGCTCCCGGTAGCCCTTGCGGTGAATACGAGCAATAGCAGACGACGGGAGCATCACTCCATGCGGCATCGCGGTGTCATGTTTGAAGAATCGGACGTCTCGGTCGTCGAGAAGCTGATCGAGGGAATTCGTCCTCACCCGTGTGTCTACGACACGAGGAAGCTTGAGTACCGTAGACCGTGCGCTTGTCAAAGATGTACCGCATGTACATTGACCGCCTACGCTTGCGGGGCAGGCGGCGCACCAACAGTGCAAGCGCGAGTTTTCGTCGTGCAAGGTACGTCCACGCCATCGCTCGAACTTGGCACTCAAGAAGCGCGAGAATTCTTTTCTGCTATTCGAAACGAAAAGGAACCGGAAATGGCGCACTCTTGCAGGAAACGCGCCCTCGTAGCCAGATTCTGCGCATGCGCCGCGCTGGCGGCTCACCGCCGCGCGCCGCGGAAGACGCCAGGGCCGCCGGAGTATAAAGAGGGCGAATTTTTGACCCGCGCGGCGTGACTGATGTGACGTAGCCGACTTCGGCCAGCGTTCGCTTGCGCGCGCATTACGTCGGAGTATAACAGAGCCTTAACTGGTCAAATCTGTTGTATGAAAGCTTGCACAAAAGAAACCGAGTCAGTTTTGAATTGGTGTCTTACATACGAGGAACAAATTGGCCAGTGCAGTACGACTGCTAAACTTGTATCTTTGCATTATGCAGCAGAGCATAGTTTCTCAAAGGGGGTTTCTGGGAGCCCCAAGGTTTACCCAAGAACCAATAGAGGTTCCACGATTCCCAAATTTTCTCGATTATCCCTGCTCCTTAGTAAAGTGTTCATTGAGTTTAAGCACTAGTCTAGAGGCTCTAACCGCCAAATTTACAAACCTCACCCCAATTGAGGGGCCCCTCCACTTTTTCGAGGAAGGCGCAAGGGCCGGCGCTGACCAATCGCAACGACGGATAGGCGGCCTAGGCTCGTTGCGACTGGCCAGCGCCGGCCCTCAAACCTTCTTCAAGGAAGTGGAGGGGCCCCTCAATTGGAGTGAGGTTTGCGAATTCGGCAGTGAGTCATCCATTATTGCGTAACTATCTGAAAAACGTCCCTCAGTATGTTAATTCTTCTTTACAAGGTCTGTAGGGTTCTGAAGTGTTTTATTGCACTTCCATAACTGCCATTTCAAAGCTATTGGTGTTTCTCGAGATTGAAAAGATTGAGTGATCTAGAAGAGTGGAGTTAAGCACCACTGGGATGAGCCAGATAAAGCTCACCCCAATCTCTTTTTTCCCTTAGACCTTTAAAGTCAAAAGAAAATGAGAATGTCCCATGTCAAACTTCCCGAGTGCAATAGAATGTTCCGTCGGAGTCACTCACCCCTAGGTTTGTCCTGTGCTGCCAGCCAGTGTAGGAGAGGCAGAGCTGGTTCAGAGAAACCTCAGCAAAGTCCAGGTCCCCTGGAGTGCTCGACTCATCCAGTTCAAAGGGCCAGAGCCCCGGCGGGGCTGCTGTTCAGAGAGTCACCCCTCACCGTAAGTACTCGTGCACTAGAACTGTTGCGATGAAACTTTCCAGTCAACTCATTCACATGCTTTTAAGGAGGGACTGGGCCTAAATTTCGAATTTTTACAGCGAAGCTGTTAATGGCTAGTTCCCCCACTATCGTGTCAGCAGACAAGTGGCGTGTCAACACAAAACTTGTGTCAGTTCACCGTCATGCTACGTCATTGTCTCACCTACCAATCGTGTGTGTCCTGTGTCCCGTAATGTTGAGATCGCGCCAGCGCTCTTATCAGTTGCCCTTTAGACTCACAATGGGTTGGCTGCGTGCCGTTCGTTCAGAAAAAGAAGAGTGCGAGCGCAAGGAGTGGCGATGTGTGCAGCAGCGCGAATGGCCGCGCAAACGCCGCGAAGCCACTATCGCCTCGAGTTCCACTATGTCGAGTGGTTTCGAATCCCTTGCGACAGAAGAGCAGATTGCTCGCCTGGAACGCCGCCAAGAACAGAAGCGGCATGTGATCGACGCTGGTGGGCCAACGCCACGGATGACGATCGTGCCACGGAAGCCAAGCCAAGCGCAAGCGCAAGGCCCGGCGACGACAGGACGCCACGCCGGCTGAACAGTTTTTATAAATACTTCAATCCCACCATAGGACAGCTTCACTGGTCTTCCATCTTCACCAGAGTGAAAAAACCGAAAGTATTTTTTTTAATTTAATTTTTCGGCTTTGAGGTTTTTGGTTTTAAAAACTTACACTAAATTTGATAACCATGCGCCAAATAGTTACGTTGATATAAAATATTTTTAACACATTGTGAGGCAGTCACAAAGTAAAATAGTTCAATGTTTGAATGCATTTATCTCAGTTCCACTTTTTGCTGCAGAGTTCATACGAAGGGATCTTTTGTTCCAAGGTACAAGTATTCTGATACCACAATCAAGGTATTTCTGAATTGAAATTTACTGGGGAATTGGGCTATCTAGTTTATGTTGTTTTAAGTTGAACTCCTAATTGACAAAAAAACTATGTTTTCAAAAATTGACATACCGTAAAATACCGGGCAAGCACACACTCAAAATTTAGAGATAATCGAGAAAAAATAGGGGATGGGCACTTGTCCGGTCATCAATTTTACATATGAATATACTGTGCATATTTTCTCCGATCTTGCAAATTTGGGAATGGGCGCTTAATGTGGAATGGGTGGATGCGCGGTATTCTACGGTAGGACAGATCTGCACCTCATATTTTGAGGTAATAACTCTTCCTGAAATATATACATTTGAGTTATAAAAAACCTCAGAGCCCGAAGTAGCCCAAAGTCCCACATCCCCCACTTTATATTCAAGCAGCCAAAATGGTGCTTAATAGCTTCATTTGCATATCATGGATTTCTTAACGAAGAGTGACACATGTTCTTATGCAAGGTATGTAAAGTTGCCCTAGAGAGCTGAAAGTTTGTACAGTACACCTACATCTGACGTTAAATCTCCACTGTAAATTTCATTCCTATGACCTGAGTAGTCCAGAAGTTAAATCTCTAGCCAGTGTCCCCCCTTAAAGCACCACAAACAAACCACCCCAAATTTTTTTTTTGCTATTTATATTTGTATAGAAAAAAACTTGGAGGACGCTTAAGCTTTGCCTATGAGAGTGGATGCCAGCGTTTACGAGTTGCCACATTCTGCTCGCGCCTTCACTCCCCTGTTGCCCCCTTGCTGAGACTGACAATTTTCTATGCCCAGGGAAGGCACCTTGTGAGCCTCCTAAAGACTGCGCCAATAATTGAGGCAACAACGTCAGACATAGAGGCACTCTACCAAACACTGAGGGTGCCTCGGCATCAGTCAGATTTAACGTTGCTTACAGTTCCTGTCCCGGTTAAAGCGTCTAGAGTATGTCTGAAACGAGTTCTTCACCTGCCGGTGCAGAAGGGACATCGAGGACGAGAAGGCAGGTGTCCACAGAGAGGCTCGCCCGTAGCCGCGGCACCAGCCCGGGGTCAAAGTGCGAGTCAACCCGCATGCAGGCTGCCAGGGCCAGCGGGGACATGGCGGTGGCGGCCGACGTCGGCCCTTCCTCGGCATGCCTGCTCCAAAGATTGGCCCGGTAATGCGACGCAAGAAGAGCGCCGAGCAGGATCATTGCAGATCAAACCGAAGTCACAAGGCGGAAATCCAACTCACTGAATGACAGACCACCAGAATGGCTTTATTCAAATTTTGTGCAAATATTTGAATTTTCGAATAGTAATTTCGAATAATACGCTATTCAAACCTTTGTAAGTTTTGATCGTGGCGGGTTAGCCCCGTTGAGTGCGCTTCTCACTGAGCACTTCTGCACTGCAGGAAAGCAATACCTGCGGAGCCCGCGGGCTCCGTGGCTATGCGCCGAGAAAGTGAGGGAGAGGAGGAGGCAAGAGCGTGTGGGGAAGTCAGAACGCCGAGCACTGATTGGAATATTTAGTGGGTAGACCAAAAGCTAGCTGCCCTTATGTCCACTGCACTCGTCAAACGCAACAGAATGCGGAAAGCAGGCGTCCGGTGTTTCCCTTTCGCATTCGAACACGTTCGACGAGTGCAGTGGAGACAGCAGCAGCTAGCTTTAGGTCTACCCACTAATCTTTCGAATCGGAGCTCGGCGTTCTGACGTCCCCGCACGCTCTCGAATCCTTCTCTCCCTTACTTTCTTGGCGCATTGCTTTCCCGCAGTGCACAGGTGCTCTGCGAGAAGTGCACTCAACACGGCTAGCTCCGGCTGCCATTATGCAAGAGTATGTGTTAAGGGGTGTCCAAACAGGGCACTACAAAACTCACGACTCCGGCAAATCATGAAAATTGAAGCGGACGCTTCTATTTTTACGGTCTGTCGGAGTCGTGAAAATGTTTGCAGGAGTCGTGAAAATTTTTACGATCACGACTGCTCTCCCCTTCAGATTGACGTCATACGCCACCTGCGTCTGGCTCACCTCGCCAACGCCCTCGCATACCGCCGTCGCCTCGGCTCGAAGGCCAAGGAGGTCCGGCTTTGGGTGGATTTGGGACATTCCTGCGTCAAAGGGTGCGTTTCGCCCGCCTCGGATCTGCTTTCTTTGTCAAGATTCACTTTCGTCGTGATGGCGTCCGATGCGGTTCTGTATTGTGAGCGGAGGCCTTGAGCGATTGACCGACAGCCAACAGAGCGTGTGAATGGCTCTCCGGACCCACGTGATAAGCAGAGCAAGGCCACCGTGGAGGAAGCGAGGGGGAAATTTGACGGAGGGAAGTTTCCCCCCGGGAAGAATTGACGGAGGGAAATTTCCCTCCGACGGCCGGAAGCGGATCACCGCAGAGCGCGGCACGATTTGCCGGAGTCGTGAGTTTTGTAGTGTCCTGTTTGGACACCCCTTTAGGCAGAGATTTCTTGACAGCTTGTGTTCATCATTCATACTTCTCTTTTTTTCCAAAATTTTAATAGAAGTAAGAATATTTGCATATAGCACGCAAAATTATAAATCCCCTAGATTGGGATAACCGAGAAAATTTTCAGTTACATGCTACAGTTCATATAGTTTTATTAAAATTAACTGAGCCTAGAAGTGGACAAGTTGAAGGTTGGAAACAAATTTCAGAGGCTCAGCTGAATTTTCGTTCAAGTATGGTGCATGGTAATCAAAGACTTTAAAAAACTATTCAATATTCAATTAAAAAAATGCGGCCAAAAATCACTATTTTTTTTTTTAATTCACTTCAAACACAAAATCCACTAATAACACATGCCCACTTTATTCCATCGCACTGCAAAGTCCAGCTGCAGCACTAACTGCCACTTTGAGTTTTTACCATTTCCCAACACAGAGCTAATGATCAGCTATAAAAGGAAATTTTTTAAATGTATCTTAATCTTACGTATCAGGACGGGAAATGCAAAATCTGCGGCGCATTTTAAGTTGTGCCTGCTGTGTATTTATGAGCTTTTCTGAACCTGGGCGACAGCTTGTTTATTGACGATAATTGACATGAATGATTCCTGAATTTCAGAAAGAAAGATTAACTATAATAAATAATTAACATATTTTCCGGTGTATAAGTTTAATTTTTTCTGTAATTTTGTCGGTGTGTTTTATATGTTTAAAAAGCACAAGGTACACCTAACATTTCTTATGAGTTGTGAATGCGAAAGCATGCAAGCCGCTCATCCGCTCCCTTTGTCGTCTGCTGCATACTAGCGCGCGCGTGCGCTTCGGGATCTAGGAGGCCATGGTGCAGCAGCCAATGGGAGCCCCGGCGATGTGCACCAGCCAAGGGAACCAAAGGCGCCGGAAAACAGGAGCCGTTTTTGCGCTTCAAACTGATGACGTCAGCTCGCTCCATGAGACAGTTAATGCTTTCACATTAATACAAAATTCAAACAATGCAACTTATATATGCATTTCTTCTTATAAGTATGGACCTTGCCTGCGCAATATGTAGGCTGTATTAACATTCATGACAAAGGAAGAATGGCAGAGCACCCGCCAATGTCCTGCGCTTCCAGCAGTCCGAAGATGGTTCGAAGCATGTGCATGAGTCCGTGGTTGCAGCGACTCTGCTGCCCATATTGAAGAAATGCAGCTTATACATAGGTGTAACTTATATACAAGATTTATCGTAACAATGACCATTTATAATAAGGTGGTACCTACAAACCAGAAAAATGTAATACCATTATATTGTTACTTTATGTTGCGATGGTAACCGTGCACTGTTTTTTTGTGATACTCTATCGTAACGTTAGGCATTAGGAAACAAGACTTCTAACACACTGTGTACTCAAATTCAGGGCAAGCAATCGTGCGCGTTGGAAGACAACTGACCGAGACGCAGGGTGCTCGGCGGCCAGAATGACCACCCGCCAAGTGTCTGCCACCACCACGGGCGGCGGCTGGTCCTGACTGCAAAACGCCAGCGAGGGCAGGTCTAGGGAATGAGGCTCGCTCTCAGACAGTTCAAACTGCTGGTAGGTCACAAACTGCTCTTGGCAAGGCTCCCAGTATTGCAGGTCGCACTGCAGCTGCTGTGCAAAGCAAAAAAGAAATGTCGCCAGGCATTATTCGATCGTATACAAGTCATGTACACCCCGCAACAGTATTAACGTGAATATGACCTAGGGCACTTTGTCGCATTTTACTTCTACAAGGTATTGTTGGGCATCAAATCTTGCACCCTAGGTTAGTGTCCAAAATGAACACTATCCATCATAGTAGTTTTTATGACAATTCTTTGATTCCAAGAGACACACAGGAAGAACAGAAAACCGCTTGTTTGTTTGTGCTAACAGTGTTGCACTGTGTATAAGATGTTTAAAACAAAAATAGACCAGGTTTAATATGCAAGTGTCAATAAACCGTGGACTGCAAAGTGCTCAGACTCCACCAAAATTTAAAGCAATAGTCAGGAGAAAAATGCCAACGTTTTGGAATGTAACACCCATAATTAAAAAGTTACGAGCCATCTTTACTCACTCATTGTGAAAGGTACCATATTTTCTAAAGTGCAAGTCACTTTTTCTTAAAATTTCCATCGGAGTATTTTATACAATGGAGTGACTGACCGTAAAATATTGCAGAAGCACCCACTTCGTTCAAGCGCCCATTATTAACATTTCCCAAACTTGGGAATTCTGCAAATTATATGTTAAGCGCCCGATTTGACCGTGCAATCACCCATGTCTACATTAACCCAGTTTTCAGTGAAAGTGGTTTGGGTGCTCCCCTGGTATTTTACGGTGCTATTGAGATCATTATAACAAAGTCGGTTATAATGAGCTACCGGCTACAGCGAAGCAATCACGATTTCCCACTCCCGTTTGCACTTTTTCAATGCATTTGTGTCCGTTTTTAACGAAGGAAATTGAGCGGCTCCTGCGGATATAATGAAGAGAAATTTTGTGATAATTTAGAAAAATAATAAAATTTGGAAAGTTTACTAAGTCTCGGTCCGCTGTACTTTGCTGCCATAGACAAGAAGCCACCCAGAACAGGCTGCAGAAGATGCTGGAAAGGCCGCCGGCGGCAGTCTTTGCAAAGTCACCTGCTTTTTGCTCCTTATCTGGGAAGTGGATTAACCGCATCGCACGCAGAGAAGCTGTCGTGGCATGCCGATAGGGGCGTTCGGAGCGCTAGCGACAACGTTCCGGCGGAGATGACGGAGAGAGCCTAGATTTAAGAGAGGGAGCAGTAAGTATGCCTGCATTTGATTGTCGCATGGCCAGTGTGGTGAGGAAACTGGGTGGAGAGGCGGACATGTTTGCAGAAGGTGAACACTTTTGAGTTTTGACTCCTTGCATGCTGCAGATCGGCGGCCCACAAACCAAGTGAACCCCGATCAAGCAGTTGCCCCACCTCTTAAATCTAGGCTCTCTATACCGACGACAGACAAGCTTGAGCACAAACTCGGTGCCATGAGCGCTTCTTTGTTTGCTTCGTGATCCGTGTCGGCGTCTGGTCAGTGAGATCGCTCTTACGCGAAAGTCTACTTCACTCAACCACCGATTTGGCAAATCATTGGCACTCAGCGATGGAGAGTCCTGCGCCGCCAGCACTTCGGTGGGGAATACGAAGGCAATCTCCTTGAATCAAAAGCGTGCCATCCTCAACGGACTGCGCATGAACGTAAAGAATGCCGTCCACCGCCGGCATCCTCCGCGGGGCCATCGCAGCTGTCGACACAGTCCGTACATAGCAGGATTTTTTTCGATCAGAGCTTGTCGCAGTTTGCAAGAAGCGGCTCCGATCTAGCAAAGGACGTGTGCAGGGAAGCCTTGACTGCTTTCTGCAAGCTCGATAAACATGTGCCCGTGACAACCCGTGCTATCTTTTTTCACATTATTTGTATGAGTTCATATATAGCAAAAAAGCGGATATAGCAAAGCGATTTCCGATTCCCGTTGACTTTACTATAACCAGTTTAACAGTATATGCATTTATTTATAATAAGCAAGGACCTTAGCAGCTCGAATTTTCCACGGGGTTGTATTTTTGGTTAGATTCGTTGGCGAGAATATTGAAACTGGCTCCCGCTTGCACATATATATGTAACGATCACAATACATTATGCAAGTTAATAAATGCAGCTTTGCCATGCTGACTGCACAATTATATAAGTGTGACTTGTACAGAGGTGCGACTTGTATACAAAACTTTTTGTGAAAATGTCGGTTTCAGGGTGCGAGACATACGACAGTGTGACTTATAGGCCAAGCTTTTCATGAAAATGCCCGTTTATAGGGGGTAAGGCTTATACACTGGTGCAACTTATAGACCAATCTTTTCGGGAAAATGTCAGTTTGCAGAGAGTGAGAATTATCCAACAGTAAAACTTATAGATCAACCTTTTAGTGAAAATGTCCGTTTATAGGGGTAAGACTTATACAACAGTGCGACTTAAAGACCACCTTTTTGTGAAAATGTCAGTTTATAGAGGGTGAGACTTATACAATGGTGTGACTTATAGACCAACCTTTTAGTGAAAATGTCTGTTTATAGAGAATGAAGATTTATACAACAAACCTTTTAGTGAAAATACCTGTTTAAAAGGATAAGACTTATACAACAATGCGACTTATAGAGCAACTTTTTGTGAAAATGTTAGTTTATAGAGGGTGAAGATTTATACAATGGTGTGACTTATAGATCAACCTTTTAGTGAAAATGGCTGTTCATAGGGGTAAGACTTATACAATGGTGCGACTTATAGACCAACATTTTGTGAAAATGTCATTTTATAGAGGGCGAGACTTATTCAACGGTGCAACTTAAGACCAACCTTTTAGCGAAAATGTCCGTTTATAAGGGTAAGACTTACACAATGGTGTGATATATAAAGCAATTTTTTTGTGAAAATGTCAATTTGTAGAGGTTTAAGACTTATACAATGATGTGATTTATAAAAAACCTTTTTGCAAAAATGTCAGTTTATAGAGGGTGACACTTACACAACAATGCAACATATAGACCAACTTTTCGTGCAAATATCAGTTTATAGAGGGTGAGACTTATACAATGGTGTGGGATAAAGACCAACATTTTTGTGAAAATGTCCGTTTATAGGGGGTAAGACATACACAACGGTGCAACTTATAGACCAACCTTTTTGTGAAAATGACAGTTTATAGAGGGTGAGACTTATACAACTGTACTACTTATAAACCATTCTTTTCGTAAAAATGACTGTTTATAGGGGATAAGATATATATGCAGGTGTGATCTATAGACCAACTTTTTGTGAAGATGTCTGTTTATAAAGGGTAAGGCTCAGGGCCGTACCCAGAAAAAAATTTCGGGGGGGGTTTCCGGGGACAACGGCGGCCATTTTGAAAGTGTCTATTGTCTTATTTTCGCCTATGAATCATGTGCATTGGTGGCATATAATGGAGAGTTACAGCAAACCGGAGAACCGGTCCCAGTTTGGTACCCGGTAGCCGACCGGCGCCACTGCGCGTGCGCAGAGGTGGAGATTAAAATCGGCTGGCTGCAAGTGCACCGACCAGGGCCGTACCCAGAAAAAAATTTCGGGGGGGGGGGGTCAGAACCCCCTAACCCCCCCCTGGTTACGGCCCTGGTAAGGCTTATATAAGAGTGCAACTCACATAAGCCTTACCCCCTATGAATCTTTTGGTCAGGGACTTACGGGTGGCACAGAACCATTCTGCATCCCAGTGGAAGAGAAAGGAACAGGGTAGACATCCACCCGCGTCAGGATCCGGGGCTCGGGATAGCGCCAGGTCATCACGCCGGGCTCCCCGCTTCTGAGGGGACGTCTGAACACAATTTCGTTGGGGTTTGGAATTCCTGCGGAACAAAAGAGGGCACACGTATACGAAGAGCTCATCTACCTTAGTGAGCTGAATCTAAACAGTAACAGAGAGAAGAAAGCCAGTTTTGGATGACCGGTGAAACACAGAGAAAAGCATCAATATAAAGAAACTTTGGACGTAGAGTTGCAGGAAGTGAAACAATCGGGTATGAGCGAATAGTGAATTTTGAGTTTAAAGCAATTTCGAAGCGAATAGGGGTTTTGGTTTAATATTTTTTTGTAATCGAAAAGTGTCCTCAAGTCTTTCACAACTGCACCAAAGCTGGAGTTGTGAAAGTTGTTCCAATACTTCCACTTGTCTATTTCTAAGCTAATTTTTAATGTAGCTATATTTATTGACCGTGGCCTCTGAAAGTCCAATGCCTACATTCGGATGGCAAAAATTTGAAATAGCACTGTAACTATAGAAATTCCAAGCTATGCCTAATTGAGGAAATTTATTTTTGCCATAAGCAAATATTTTTTTAATCACAAATGATTACCACAGGTTGTCAGGGCATCTCTGCCTAACATATACTAGCAGGTTGAAGTCTAATTTTAGGAAATTTACAGCAATGCCTATTAGCTAATTTAATTTTAAGAATTTTACTGCAATGTAGATATAAACATTCGCAAAGTTTCAGCTTATTTTTAAATGCATCAAGTACGTGCATGCACCATCTTGCTTTGAAGGCGTTCTTTTTTACTAAGCACGCAGGTGCGATACTTGTACTTTTCGAAGTGTTGATTGCAGAAGGTTAGTCCCGTTGAGATTGCTTCTTACTGAGCACCGGCGCAAAGCAACACCTGCGAAGGTGAGCCCTGCGGCTGTTACTTCTCCGCAGTGCACCGGCACTTGATAAGAAGCGCACTCAACGTGGCTAACCTGCCGCGATCAATACTTAAAAAAACACAAATATCACAGTTCATCTTGAAGCGAATGTCAAATGGTGTATTAATTGAAACTACCATTTGAATATTAAACATTCGCAAACTTCTACAATGCAACACAACACAGTGACTTCTGGCAGAGTCTTAAAAAAAATACACACCATGTTTCTGGGGTGTCGGCATCTTTTTACCGTGGAAATCACATACACTTCATCAATCTTTCATTGGCATCAGTTCAGTCAAGTTTGCAAAACTTACCATCATCCTGAATGTACTGGAAGCTTCCGTTGCGCAGGTCGTCCAACCATGATGTGCCGTGTTGGGCATCCTTAGACGTTTCCGCTGGTTTTTGGACGTCATTGCCGTCGACACGAGGTATGAGACGGTCCAAGCGTTCCGCAACAGACTGCATAACAAATCCCAGCGCATTTAACCTACCTCGTAACATATGTCACAGCGACAGCAGCTCAGCGCTCGCATAATTCACTATCATTGGGGTGTCGTTCTCGTTTCTGTGCGTCCTCCCGAGCACGAACCTGAGGATTTTCATTTTGTCTTTGCTTCCACTCTCGATTCCACTCCCGTGCCCGACGTCTACTCCGTCTGCGACGAGCGTCCTCAGCGTGCCGTAACTAAAAGTCGCCTTCTTCAGACCCACTACCAACTTTCCGAGGTCTAGAGTCTTACGGCGTGCAAGTTTGTTTGTTTGTACGGTCGTGCACATGCGTCGGCACATCAGGGTTTTGGCTGATGTCAATGTAAAAGTAAGAACGGCGTCTTTTTCAAATACTTTAAATTCCCAGACTTCGACCAAAATGTATTAAGTTTGGCTATACCTTGGCTTTTTTGAGCTTTGAAGACCTTAAACTGTCAGAGAGAAAACGAATTTCGGCCCAAAGAACTCTGCTACTTGGGACACCAGGGTGTTTATAAGTGCTATTCAGTAAAAAAAGAAATATATATATAAAAAATTAAAAAAAAATCCATTGATGGATCCTTAGGGAATGCGTTAGCATGACCCTCGGGAAACGTCACACACGTCCCCTTTTGGGAAACGCTAATGCTGACCACTTAACTTTTCTATTTTGCTTTTCTCTTTTGCTTCCTCTATTTTAAAGCGACAGCTTTAGGGAGCTTGTGTCGCAGAAAAGCTGGCGTCGGTGTCAGTGGCATGGGACGGGAAAATCCTGATTGGTCGATAGGGTCATGATGTCACAGCCACATGACCTTGAGTGGGAATTTAAAAAAAACCAAAGCAGTGCTCAAGTGAAACGCGACGTCACGCGTGGAATGAAAGTGATTTAAACGTGACATGCGATGCGAATTAAAGGTCGCCACATGTCTCAAATGATTTCACTTAATAAAGTCATTCATTTGCCTTAAACAAAATATTCGAAGAATTCTAGGTGGAGGCGGGATTCAAATCCACGACCCTTTAATTGCAATCCAGACATGCTACCGACCAGGCCACGCAGACACACTTGCACAGCTTGGGAACAAGTGGGGTTTATATCTCTAGCCATTGCGTTCTACTCTTAAAGGTGAAGCTTAAACGTCCTCCTATTTTTTTGCTGCCTCTTTTTGGCTTCGCTACGGGGTCAGTGTCAGCGTTTCCCCAAAGGGGGACACGCGTGGCATTTCCGAAGGGTTATGCTAACTCATTGCCTAATGATCGACCAATGGATCTTCCTTTAATTTTTTCCGGCTTCTGTCGCGAGAAGCATGGTTTGCGGCTCCTTACGTCCCATTTCGACCTGCCGAGCTAGCCGCTTCTTCCGCTCATCTGTCTCGTTCGCCCGCCTTGCACGCTTAGCAGTGTCATCCGCTGCCTGATGCTACTGCAAGTTCAGACTTGCCCCAGCATCCACATTGGCTTCTGCCCCACGGCGTCGCCTTTCTCTCACTTTGCCGCGCCGCGCATTGCCTCCTGCCCTGTAACCTCGCCTCCCTCTCATCTTTGAACTTCAATACTCTTCTCCTCTCTACCACTGAGCACCTCCTTTCCCACTGTTTCGTCCGCAGACGGCCGCCATCAGCTTTCTCCTGTCATGTAGGTACTAATGCTAATGCATTAATAAACCAATTAACTCGTGAATGAATTAATGAATACAGTGTAATCCACTTATAACGATACCAGATATAACGATATATCGCTTATAGCGATCAAATTTTTTAGATTTGATCGCTATTTTTTTAGATTTGATTTCATCCAGATATAACGATAATCGGCTATAACGATTGGATTTTGCGGTTTTCTCAATATCGTTATAAGTGGACTGCACTGTATTCACGTTTTACAAAGGCATCTTCAGGTGATGCATTTATCACACTCAAATTTTATGAGCACAGGTATCAGGAAAACAATTTAAGGCTAAAACAAAGATCTGTTTCTTTCCTATGCCCATGAAAAAAAAAACGGCAGAAACCATCTGGCTGGCGCCGCTACTAACAGACGGTACCACATGCACTCAGATCTGCTGGATCTCCTTTCTGGTATTCATCTCAACAAACCTTTCGCGTTTTGCTTTAAAGCGATTGTCCGGTCGAAACCGGAAGTACTTAAGTTTTTGAGCTTGTTACGTCGAGAGAGCCTTCATGTAGACAAACCTCATTTTTATTTTGATATATGATCTCCCGTTATTAACTAGACCTTTCATGAACGTATGAACGAAACTGCACCCCGAATTTCGCCAGCGTCAATGGCTGACATCCGTAGCTGCTGCGTGACGTCACAAAACGCAAAGGTTTGTCGGATGGTCGGGATAACAAGCGTTGGTCGATGGATGTCTTGTCTTTTGTTTCGAATTATATAGTCTCCTAGGCCAGTGGTCCTCAAATGGGGGTCCGCGAAGGCCTTCTAGGGGTCTGCGAAGCCCTGCCTGATCAGTCAAGCCCGGCAATAAAAGTTTTTTTTTAGGTCGAAAAGAAATGTTTCAGTTTTCGGGCGCGCTTTTTCGTATGAACATCAATAAGAGAGGTCTACTTCACACTAGCCCTTAGCTATATCCATTTATTAAATCATTATATTCCTTTCCTCTTCTTTCCTCTCCTCTCACCACGAATGGGGTCCTCCATCATCTCCACCGATCCACAACGGGTCCGCAAAACATTGATGGTTGAGAACCACTGTCCTAGGCTGTACCCTACTGAAATACAGTTCTTTTATTGCAGTTCCCAAGCATGAGCAAAAAAAGCCACGCCTTTTAGCAGGATACTACTCGAAAACAGCCATAAGCTTCGAGGAAACGTATGTCATTTCGCGCAAACACAATTGCGACGGCCACCGATCGAATTAGGAGCGCTTGGACAGCAAAGGATGCAGATTTTGCCTTTGAAGCGGCAACTACCGTATTTACTCGCAGAATGAACACACTATTTTTTCAGAAAAATCAATGCAAATTTCGGGGGGGCGTTCATTACGCAAAGTAAAATTTTTGCGTCGGTTATTTACTCGCATAATGAACGGACCTTTTATCCTGAAAAATCGAAGTAACTTCTTATCTCTCTGCGCACGGCGCCCGACCCCAAAAAACCAAACCAAACTGTGCAAAAAAAAAAAAAAAACCACCTCTTTCTTTGTTTGTTTTTTTCTTAGTTCCTTGGTTTTTTTGGGTTTTTTTGCCGCCTTTCGCAAGCTGTTTTGTTTGCTTAGGCGTTGCTTAGGTGAGGGCTCTCCGCTTATCTTTCTTATCTCCTTGCGTGCGGCGCGCGACGCACGACCCCCCAACCAAACTGCGCTGTGCAAAAAAAATAAGAAAAAGAAAAGCTCTTTGTTTTTGTTTTCTCTTAGTTCCGTGGGTTTCTTTTCTTTCTTTTTGGCACCTTTCGCAAGCTGTTTTGTTCGCTTAGAGCGCTTCTCCGCTTCTCTTTCTTATCTCCTGGCACGCGGCGGCGCGCGAACCCAAAGTCCAGATTGCGCGTGCAAAAAAAAAAAAAGCTCCTCTCGCATGTTTTTTTTTCTTGCTTCCGTTGGATCTTCGCGAATTTTTTAACGCCTTTTGCAAGGCGTTTTGTTCGACCACGCTGCCCATGCATTCGTGACCTCGCTGCACCAGGATAAAAAAGTGCGTTCATTTCGCGCGCGTGGGAAGAGGGGGTCAAAATTTTGACGTCTGAGTTGGGGGTGCGTTCATTACGCGGGTGAAAAAAAAAGTCGAAATTTTGAGAGCAGACTTGGGGGGTGCGTTCATAACGCGAGTGCGTTCATTGTGCGAGTAAATACGGTAGGTACATGAAGCGGAATCTGGGTACACATATTGGAGGATCCACTGGATCGGTGATGAGGCTGCGGGTCTTTCCCTAAGAGGCGATGACCGCGGGTCGAAGGCAACCGGCGAATCATTCAAATGCATGTCGTCACTTGACTTGGATGAGCTTGGTGAATCGTAGCCACACTCTATTTGCACATGCGGGTCAAACAGAACTCAGCTGCACGCATACTAAATACAACTTCTGGTATCGCTTCCAGGTGGACTAGCTGTTGCTTTTGGTTTCGCTGCATAAACAAATTGATCGATCTGATTTGGGCGAGGAGTGGATGGACATAGTTTAATATCGTTGCCACAGCATCACACCTCAGCTTACGAGCCTTCTGTTTGCTTAGAGCTCAGCTCGTAGCTCTCTTCTGTGAGATGATTGCTGCATAAGCGGGATCTCGATCTTGACAGGAACCCAGTCCCTACGCACGGCGACGATCCACTCTGCTCGTCACTGCACGTCTCGTGGAAAAGTGTGGAACGTCATGTCTTGGCTGGCATGTGCTGCCCGGTAATTGTGGCACCCAACCGCGCAACAAAAATCTCACCCAACCACGAAACAAGTCGAGCGCAACAACAAAAACGAAGCACGCTGAGGCGTTCACTTGCAGGTAAACCACGAGAGAGAAATGCTCGCTTTGCGTTGTGTGATGATATTACTCTCATGTTGCCACCGAAAGCAGCGTGTACGCTAGAGTGCGATTGGAGCAGTATAAATGCAATTACTCATGCAGAGGGGCATATAAAAATCAGATATTGCACGTACAATGGTTCTCGAGGCAATAACAATGATATTCAATTGTTTTCTCGAATACAAAATTTGACCGGACAATCCGTTTAAGCAGTGCCACCGTGAGAAGCAGCGTCATAGTTTTTTTGTTTTTTTTTTATTAAATTTTTGCCTGAATTTTACAATCACAAAATCTTAGTATGACAAATGCACCACCTAGGAACGCCTTTGTGAAAAATTTAATTGCACTCAGCTCATTAGTTCAATTAACAAATATTTTTATTACGCCCGAATGGCGCATGGAAACGGCTGATATATAAACAAGTTAGGCGGCGGCAAACCACGTACCGCGATCAGCTGCACGGCATGCTGCGCCGCCGCCGCACACAGCCGCAGCTGCGTGGGACCGGCACGGAGGGGCACCACGTCACAGTGCACTCGGAGGATGCAGTGAGCCGCCGGCAGGACCGAGAGCCGCTCCCAGAAGGTGTCCGTGCACAGGGACACGGTCGAGGGTCCGGCCAGGGAAACCCGGCGTTGTCCTGACGTCGCATACAGTTGCAGGGCGGCTAGCGTCGTCCTGCTCTGCAGGCCCAGAGGCATGCCTGCGTGCGAAGAAGGCCACCGCTTTGATATTCTATAATCATGGACAAGATTTGAATGGTAGAATGGGTTCCACCAGTAGGCCGGGTTAAGTGTTGATGAATGGTGCCTGCCACCTTCCCCGTTAGTGTGCATGCAGACGTCTAGTTATTGGTGTCATATTTGATCTTGGCAAAACACACAAACAACAAGTAATTATGGTGCGTGGTACCATAATTACTTGTTGACCGCGGCTTCGACCGTGGTACACTTCACTTTTCAGGGCTACATCAAAGTTAGCTTCAGTAAAAATGCAAATCTACATTAAAAGGCAAACAGGTTTTCTACAGAGATCCTGAGATGGCACAGAAGTGAAAAATGCACCGACCAGAAGGTCACACGAACTGGTAAGGTCTGGTAGTCACACGACCACCAGGTTTGTCACGTCACTAGAAATCACGCGAAGGTGGGAAGGTAGGAGGAAGCTCACCCAGAGGAGAACACTCCACATCAATCTCAGACGTGTGGCTTTCCAGAGCTAGTGTGGCCTTGAAGTTGGATAGATCCATGGGAAAGTCCAGCACCAGAACCAGTTGATCCGTCTCTAACTTGGCAGACAGCCTGGACCCAAAGTAAAGAGAACCAGTGAAAAAGCTAAGCCATTTAATAAAAGGCTTTTATACTGCTGCATACAGTTAGTAAAAGATAATATACTATCTGCAAAAAATATAAGAGAACTTGCTGCTAACTTTGGCAGCTGGCAGTGTCAAAAGACAAGTAAATAACTATGATTCAGAAAGGGCATGCAATTGCAAAGGGAATCTAAAGTGCTAAATGAGAAAACCCCAGTCGACTGATTAACAGTACAAAGTCGGTGGAAACTGTCTCACAGTGTCGGCTTTGGTGCATGGTGTGACTGTGCTGTAGCAGAGGCAATGAATGTAAGCTTGCACATCAAAGACGTGTACGAGAGCTATGCTGGCATGTCTAGCAGCAAAATAAACCAACTATTTTTGATTGGGAAAATGCAGCTGTCACTAAGAAAATTGTCTTAGGCTCAGGACTGTTAGACACCACGGTCATTGAAAGAAGAAAGCTGGAATAGAATAATCGCGTCAGAAAAAAGGCGGCGACCTTTGTCACTCAAGTCCCATAATGCACAGAAGACAAAATTTATCTAAAGGGCAATCGTTTCAGTTTCTATAGAAGACAATAAATGTCACGTGACATTGCAATTTCTCCACCCCATTTGCCGGGGGAAATTGATGTCACTTCAAATCACAGTGTCAAGTGGCCAATTCATTAAATTTTCCCGCTAAATTAGGCTTGCAAATGCACAAACAGAAGGATGGACAAATTTCTGGGATTAGGAGTTTCGTCATAGGGCACTCTATGCTTTGTAACAAAATGACAGAAAGAAGTATTGAGTACAAACCTCCACTGTTTTAGTGATGTAACCTCCAGAGTCTCTGCTTCAGTGTACGAGGAAGTGCGGCTAGGAGTGGGCGCAGTCTGAGGCGGTGGCGCTCGCGACGATCGAGCTGTCATCAGCTGGCTGGCTGCCAACTCGGCAAACTGCAGAGCCTGGTCCACTTTCGACGCACCCAGGTTTACCCTCAGGGGGCGACCCACCTTCACACAGAGGCTCACTGCAAAAATAAAAAAAGAAAGATAAAAAAGCTGCCTCTCTCTGGTAGATCACAAAGACACTCTAAAAGCATAGCAGTTATTGGTCATCTGAGACGTCATGGCGTCGCCTGACGTGACGCACTGAAGTCAAGGTGAAAGCATTTGAACACTCCGGAGGCTATGAGGCACAAAAGAACAAACGAGCGATGTTCTCTAAACGCGTCACAAGGGCCATTAGACATTTAAAAGCTTGACACAAAGATAAACGAAAACTTGAGACTGGTGACCTCACGACGTCGTGACAATATAGAAATTAACCTCGAATAAATGTCAGCACGTGTCTGCATACTACTTAATATCAATATTAACATTTTTCTGCGAAATATGAGCTTTTGACATCTCCGATTAAAATATAGACTGCATTACGACTACTAGTGTACACTGATGATTCACTGAACGTAAAAGCCTAACAGGTCACGTCGCTTCCACGCGGCTCTGCTTTGGTCCGTGTCGCAATTTTTGAGCTCGAAGCAAAGTCGACGCAAATAGTGGTTTTGGCTGAATAGTTTCTAATGGAATATTGTATAGTTTCCCCAAGCCTTTCACTACCGTGCATCATGCTTAAGGAGAAACACTGGCCTTGGAGATTTCTTCCCTATTTTTGGCAAAGCCCAAGGAAACAGCACAGGCTTGTTCAGACTTTAGTGCTTCATCGATTAGAATAGCCGCGACAAATTTGTCGCGGCTATGGGGATTTATGGGGAATTATAAATCTGCCTGCTATGTGCAAATAATCTTTCTTCTATTTTAAATTTGCTAAAAATAAATTATACAAGCTAAATCACATTGACATGACTGGTAGGGGATTCGTGGCCGAGTGGGCTAGCGCACACCAGCTCGGAGCACGTGGAGCGAAAGCTCGCATTGCAGAGCCCAGGGATACTGGGTTTAATCCCCACCCCTGCCAGTTTCGATCTGGATGAGCATCGTACCGGCTTGCGGTCGTGTATCACTCCTGCGTGGTGCACGTTAAAAACCCCAGGGTAGTGGCTGTACTGCACTGGCTAAATTGCTCATCTACAGCGATTGACTCGTCGCAACTTTGAAATGGCCGACCAACTACACGCTGTATACACGAACTCATCTCTGTTACGTCACGGCGCGGTGGTGGCGCGTCGGACGCACTTCCGGTCCGGGGCTGTGGGCAGAAGTGCCCATTTGAGACGTGTATTCCTGCGTTGTTTTGAAAGGAACCAGACAAAAATTTGCCTTCTCGTCAAAATGCTGCGACTGGGGCTGTACTAAGAGTGTCGAGAAAGGTTCGAAGGTCAGTTTTCATGCGCTCGGTTCGTCCGAGAACGCGGATATGTCCAGTGAAAAGGGAAAACCAGACGCCGTCGGACCACGATTGCTTGGGCGGGAAGCATTTTGGGTTAAATTCACGGATACTACTGGCCATCAAGTTTATTTGTTTTGTTCCAAAATGAACGCCGGAAAACCGTCAAGTTGTACGGACCACCTGCGAACTACGTTCAGTGCGTCTTCAAGTTCAAACGGTCGCCTGATCGTTCGAACTGTCGTCTGCTCTTTCAAACGTTTCTGCTTATTGTCTGCTCTTTTAGAGGACACCGGCCCGTAGACCAAACGTGGGCCCGGTACTTGCAATAAGAAGTGAGTGCAGGCCTCAAAAGACTTAAGTTTGAAGGTTGGTAAGCAGGCTCGACGTAAACAGCAGATACAAGATGTTGATCCTTGTTACCACTGGCCATCACCGACTTGTTATGCCTGATTCACTCGGTTAGATTCTGCTTGCGATTTTCAGATCGACGTCGACCATCTCAGCTACGGTTCACGCTAGCTTTTGCAGTCCGCTACTGAAAATTGCGAGCGAAATCTCATCATGTGAATCAGGCTTTAGCGTACGTTCTGCGGCGTCCACGCGGAATGAATCGCCGCATATCAGATTATTCACGCGAAGTTTTGCGGTGTAACGAGCCTCGTTAATTTCGCTGACGGTGCTCAAGTAGTCAGACATCGTTAGGAGGACGTAGAATCAACAATTCCAACGCGAAAAAGAGCGCGGGGACTCACACCGGCGCCGACAACATCGCATTTCAATGGTTTGTTTATGGGCGACGGCGAGCTTTTTGCCCACACCCCCATCGCGCATGCGCGGCGCCGGTGGCGTCCGCTTGGGGCGCTCCGGTTTGTTTGTAAACATGAGTTGGTGTATAAATATCCACACAACCCAATTATTACTATAAAGACTGGTAAGCACAGAATGTGTGATAGGATTTTCAGGGAGGAAAAGGGCGTGTGAGGGACACCACCTACTGAAGATTCACTCTCATTTCTGACACACGCCGTGAGAGTCAAGCGAAACGGTGGCTCGTTTAATTTTCATGTAAATCAAACGTTTCAACAACAAAGCGCCCGACGGCGCCTTTGTGCTAAAGAGTGTGCTTTTGTGCGTGTCGAACGCCGACCCTGAATAGCTCAGTTGGCAAAGCACTCGTCTTACAATCTCAAGGTAATGAGTTCAAATCCTGCCAGGGACTGAAGTCATTTTATATGGTTCCCTATGAGCGTAATACTTTTCGGTGTTGGTTTTTCATTAAAGCCGGCCGCTGCATCCAAACGCTACAGTAAAACGTTTAAGAACTCCACAGAAATTGGCTGATAAAACATATTCTGTGTAAAGACAAGCACGAATGATGAACATGGGCTGTCAAGACATTGCTGCCTAACATAGTTCTGCAAAATCGCGGCGGGATAGCCCTGCTAAGTGCGCTTCTCACTGAACATCTGTGCACTGCGGGGAAGCAAAGCCTGCGAGCTCTGCGGGCATTGCTTCCCTGCAGTGCACAGATGTTCGGCAAGAAGCGTACTCAATGGGGCTAACCTGCCGCAAATAACACGAAAGTAACATTATCGTAGTTCACCTTGAACCGAATAACGCTCTACTCGAAAATTCGAATATTCCCACACCACAGGAAAAAGTATGCAAAGAGTTGCATTGACCGTAAGTCCCATTTTCTGTGACATTCAGCAAGTCACCCACTCTCTTCACAGCAAGGCACCAGCAGACATGTCATACAGCTGTCACTTCTACTGCCACCTACTGTCAAACAGATACCGAGTGCATCCTGCAGCCAAGACGGTGATTACAGTACCCACCTTGTGGAAGGAGGAATCCCTGGAGAGAGAGGGTGAAGAGTGAGGGAGGGATGCCAGTCTTTGGGTGGGGCTCTCCGGGCCGTGTCTCCAGCCAGGGCTCCACAAAAGTTCCAGGACTCGCCAGCTCAGACAGGTTGAAGCCTGGGTCAGAAAGAAACCAAAGACATCTTGAGGAAAGGACTATGACACTGATGTCGGGGAAATGGCGTGCACAGTCATCGTGCACCAGGCAATATGGTGCAAGGTCTGACCTTTATTCAATCGCTACAGAGTCTTTGATTGGACTGTTTATAGTGTCCGATACAGCTTGTGCGTTAGAAGAGGTCTCAAAGTGGCAACAAATGACGTCACAAAAACTGGAGTGTCATGCTGTTGGGTGTGGCAATCCTGGCGGTTGGTCGTTGAAGTTCCAGCAAAAAGCGGGAGAGAATGCGAGCGTCGTTGTCGTCGTGCCGTCTCAACGTCCGACCGCCGAGGCTTCCGCAGACTGTCAAGCTGGTGAGCGATCCACAGCAGAACAGGCATCTGCCACATCCATCACCACTGCTGTGACATGGCCCGAATCACGGAGGGCGATGTCATCAGGCAGAAATCGAGGAACCATTTTTAAATATGCGATAAACACAACAGTCAAAGCCGCATTCCGTGCACCATAATATACTGTATTTACTCGCATAATGAACCCTTTTTTTTTTTTTTTCAAAAGACTGACACATATTTGGGGGCGTGGGGTGAAAGTTTTGCATTTACACACTTTGTGCAAATGTCATTTTAGGTGCCAATATGACATGGCAGGGTACTGTGGCACGTCTCCAGACAGAGGCGCACCCATGGCTGGTCGGGGGCATGCCACAGTAACCATGCTCTGTAAATTGCGAAACGTTTTTAGGGCGCTTTTGGCATGCCTTTTGCTGAAGAAAAAGCGCCCTACGAAGCTCACTCAGCACGGAGAGCGTTGTCACCATTCTTAGGCCTAACCACTTTAACAATATCGCTGTCCGAAAATGGATCACAGACGACGGCGAGTTTGTTGACATCAATGCATCCGATGGACGAAGCCCATCCGGGGCTGGGCAATTACTCGACCCCAGCTTCGTTAGGCGTGCGCGCTGCCCGGTTTCACGGTTGATCACTTCCACAACCACGCAATTACAGCCATTACGAGAGCGGCTTGGCTTGGCATGACTTGGCCTGTCCGCTCAGCGGCAAAAGAAAATTGGCTTCAACGCTCACAAAGCCCAAAAATTAAAAATTCGTTCATTCTGCGAGAAAAAAAAAAGTCCAAATATTGATGCCCGTTGGGGGGGTGCATTCATTATGCAAGTGCGTTCAATATGTGAGTACCGTATTTACTCGAATGTAACGCGACCACGATTGTAACGCGAGGGGTAACTTTTCACAGAGCAAAAAAAACAAAAAAAAGAACACGAATGTAACGCGAGTTAAGTGAGGGGAAAAAAATACTTTAAAAAGTACTACAACGTGGTCCGCGGAAGCTTTTTCGGCCGAGTTCACACTTGAAGAGCACTTCACGCTGGAACCTCCACCCACGGATAGTCGATTCTGTCACATTTACCCGTCGAGCCACAGCAGAGTTTCCGATTTACTCAGCCACCATAATTGCAGCGGGCGTCGTACTGAGCTTGTCGCGTCGCCATTTGCTCAAGAGTCCAGTCGCGGAAGCACGTAGCAGCAGCTCACAAAACACGGACAACACGGGCACATGGGTACGGTAACCCTAACAGAAAGAGAAAGCGTTGTGAAGGTAACCCGTAACCCTAACATGGGCGCAACGAGTCGCAAACAAGAATAGGATTGGATTGGCTGTTTCCAGCGTGTATACGTTGCCAGCACAAGATTCAAAGATTGCGAGATTTGTCGTAGCCATTTTAAAGAGCCTGTGCTGCGACACCGCCAAGGCAAATTTTGAGGCGTTTCGATTATAACGCCAACCCCCAAATTAGGTAAGGGAAATTTGAAAAAAAACTCGCGTTACATTCGGGTAAATACGGTAAATACAGTAATTTCAGGTGGACGCCAACTTGACAACAGACCTGGGGCACGGAAGCCCGATGGAACGCCGCCCACTTGAACATCGAAGCAGGACATCTCGGCCCGCTGCTCTGAGGGCGAGCAGGAGAGGAAAGCGTGGGGCTGCAGCACCACCACCCGGGCCAGGGGCACCATTCGAGCGCCACCTGAGCCACGGCGGTGCCTCAAGGTTGTGGCCGCATCATCGCCCACATGGCTGTCCGAGTCCTCCGAAGCGTCGTAACTGTCCGTCGTCATGTGAAGGGCAAAATGGATTGTTTAAAAGCAATAGCTTTAAATGTAAATTCAAAACTTCTCTAAAACTTGCTGACCTCCCTATGCACAATTCAGTACATCAAACTTGTCAGATACATCCATGGCATATTCCCCAATCGTGCACTAACTTCAGACGTCAAAGAGTTAGATATACACTGCCTAAACTACTAAATGACCTTGCATCCCTGGAAATTGATGTCACCTCACTAAACAAAACTGCCACGCTTAAAGGGGCACTGACACCCCAAAGGTCGTATTTATTTTTATTGTCTAAAATGATGCAAGTTGCAGTCATAGACACGCAAAAATAAACGCATCGCGAAAAAAAATTTTCCCCCGCGCGCGCGCCCCTTTTTATTTTTGGCGTTTGATTTTCCCGCCTCTCGCCTCCTCGCTTCTTTTGATCGGTGACGTCAAGAATCATGAAATTTAGAAGCTTTGTAGGCGACATCTCTATAACATTTAATTACGGCAATCCTAAAAAATGTTTTTTAACGCAATTGCGAACGCACTACGGCCCTTCTTTTTGAAATACCAAAAGTCGGGAGTTCGTTGTGGTGCCGTCTCCTGGATTTGTATCCTCGAACGGAAAACAGGTGACACCGCTCAAAACCGGTCCGCCGCAACGCCTGCGCTCGCTCCTTCCCTCCTCGCTTTGGGTCGCCATGGCAACAGCAGGGAGTGGTGAAAAAAAGTGGACTTTCAGGACTCCGCAATTTCTGACGTCAAGGCACCGGCGCCGATCGCGCGGGAACTTCGAATTCGGCATTTGGAAATTGTTTTTTTACTTCACAAATACTGAATTCCCAAATTTCTAATTTTGAGGGTAATGTCCCGGCATCGTTTTCAATCGTTTCGTATTATAAAAAAAAAAATATGATTTTGATGTGTCAGTGCCCCTTTAACATTGCATAAAAGTGTCCAATGTCTGTATAACTGATGTTTCGAAAGTGGTAGCTTTATAGGGCCAACCAACGTCAAGAGCCACATAAGCACGAAATGTGTAGGTCATTCAGTCCACAATCACTGAATGATCTAGAACAAAAAACGGCAACCGGTGCCAGGGATCGGACTTCGGTCATCGGCGTCGAAGTCGAGTGCACTCCTCACTGAGCTACAGACCCAGCATGCAGGAACAGGAGGAGCAGAAGCAGGTGGTGTGAGAAAGCGTGCAAAGTGGAGAGGGGCAGTGTCACAAAGTGCAGTGCCACAAAGAGGAAATGGCACAACATATTTAGTTTCTGTACAAAACCCTTCCCTAGGCACCACCTGAGGCAAGAGCACCACCCACCCCAGGCACTGAAAGACTAAGGGTCATCCTACCCTAGGCACCACCAACCCTATAAAGCTACCACATCTTTTATTATTATTAACATTATTTCTCTTTACTGTCATGCTGTCCTTGTTTGCCTTGCCCAAGGGTTTGTCAAGCTGCATAAAAGTGGATTTTTTTCTCTGTACCCCCTATCACTCTTGATAAAAAGTAATGTTTTAAAAATGTTGTATACGGTCGCACTCTAGTGAGGAAATGTAGAAGGGTACGAACTGCATATTAAATCTCGCATTTATAAAAAAAATTATGCAATGACCCCAAGGAAGAGATGCATGGAGAAGTTGTTTTTCCGTTCATCGGAGTGTAGTGAAAAGGGTGTGGGGGGAGAGAGGAGACTGTTAGCGCATCACTAGACCCCCCCACCGTGCTATGCCACTCGCTGCGCGAGCCATGACATCAAGCAGCAGCTGCACTCCGTTGCTGTTGACACCCTCTCCCATGACTTTGTCTACGACACAGCCAACACCAACACAAGCAAGCAAGGTCCTGGCCGAGTTTCTACAGGGTGCTTCCGAGCGCCGTTCAGGCATAAAGATATTTAGATAAATCAGCCAATAAAATTATTGCAATTAAACTTTTCACAAAGGTGTCTTTAGGTGGTGCATTTATCATACTCATTTTTCGTAAATGCAAGTTTAAAAAAAACAAAAAAAACTTATGCGCGAGAAGAAAACAGAAGCAAACCGCCGGGTTGACGCCGCTGCTCACGTGTGGCACCATGCGGTACAAAAAGTTGGAAGCTTCTTAGAGACAACACCTTGAAGCAGAATCAGCAGATCCGAGCGTGCAAGGTACGATATGCAAGCAGCAGCGTCAACCAAACAGTTTGTTTCCTTTTTCTCCCCTTGCATAGGAAATACTCAGTTTTCATTTTCTTGAATCCTTCACCAAAAACCTACCCCAGAAATTGGAGTAGGTACGAGAAATGCACTGCCTAAAGACATTTTTATGAAAATTTCATGATTGCATTCTACTCGTTGGTTTATTTATACATAATTTTTACACTCCAATAGCACTTAAAAACACCTTTTAAGGTCATCGCTTCAAAAACAAAGAGAAAGGGTAACTCACCCGACATCATCCTCGTCGCTACAAGGCGGCGACCGCTGCCCGCCGCTCAACGGCCTCTCGTCGACTTCCACCAGTCCGAGAGTAAGCGAGATGGTGGCGGCCGTGAGGAGGAGGTCAAAAGGCACAAAGTCCAGTGGACTTTGTGACGCTCCTTCCGCTTGCGTCGACCCCGGAGCCTCCGAGAGGTCGCTCTCGAGGCCGCTGTCGCGGAAGTCGGGGGTGGCGCGAGGTCCGGCGAAGGCGCCGCGTTCAGCGGAAGCGCCGGCTGCTGAAGAGGACGCAAACTTGCCCATCAAGGTGCCGGTGTGCCAAAGCTGGGACAGGACGCGGTGCAGCAGCGAAAGCTGGTCGAGGCTCAAGTGGCAGTGGAGGTCGCTGGGGATGCTGGCCTCTACCGAGTGTCCGCACACCAGGACTTCTTGCTGCGAAAGAAACGGAGGCCGAGGGGCCTCAGAAGTGTGAGGGTCTATACTCGGCGACAACTTTTCTTGGCAATGCAGTGGAGGGTACAGGCACGTGTTTTCTATCCAATTTTGAGCGCTGGATAAGGCTGTGCGTGGGCTATCGTCACAACTTCCTCTGCATTGCCAAGAAAAGTTGTCGCCGAGTATAGGGAGCATGGGGGCACAATGGAAGGGTAGGGAGCACTGCAGGGACCATGGGGCTAGGGAAATGGGGAATTGGGGAAAGGGAAGAACCAAGGAGAGAGGGGAGGTGAGAGTGTGCGAACAAGCGTGACTTGTGCGGAGGTGACAGTTGGGACTGGGACAATAAAGAGCATGGAGGTGACAGCCCACGACTCATTTGGACTGTTATTTGGAAACCTAACAGAAAAAAGCACATGCCCGTCGACTTTCGAGTGCGATAAGCCTTTTTTTTCGCGGGGATCCGCACTGCGAGTATTTGCTCTGCATGCTCCGGGCTACAACGCATTAAAATACTTGGCCACCACTCACCTGAGTTCCGTCCGCAGCCACCTCCGCAAACACCATGGCGGGAGCCAAGGTCACGTGAAGGTCGCAGCACGAGGTCACGGGGGTCAAGGGCACCGGTGCCCCCGAGGTCCCCCTGGGGAGAGTACAGGCACCCCGTGGCTGCCGGTTCCACTCAAATGCCGGGTTCTCTCCCATCAGGGTGGTGCAGGGCTGGGCGGGGCCGCCACGAGCGCCACTGCCGCCTGGCAATGATGAATCCGCAGCACCCCGTCCAACCAGGTCCTGCCAGTTCACTAGAGGAAAAAAAAGCCACTGTCGAGACCGCTTATAACGAAGTCAGCGGGAATCTGAAATCACTTTGATATATCCGCTGTTTCGTTATAACCGACTTCGGTTAACGAAGTGCAAAAGGGAATGGGAAATCGTGATCGCTTCGCTGTAGCCACTACAGTCCAACCTCGTTATTACAAACACTGATATACCGAATTATCGGATATAGCGAAGTAAATATAAATTTTGGTTGGTTATGCTTTATTTCAATGGAAGTTCGACCTTTAAAACGAAACCAAAACCACGGAATCCTACGCGGTATCGGTTATAGCGAAATTATTTTCGGCCGCGCACGGCTCGAAATATGTGCAATACCAAAACAAAAAGAAATAAAATCTATAAATTACCATGTAAAAAGGCAATGTACCTAAATTCAGTGCCGATTTTCAAGATACCGAACGTTGCCAACGCTCGAACGAGCACTTTGGGAGGTGACTGGCGCCATCTATGAAGCGGGTGCATAAACCCTAAAAAATGGCGCACCAGCGGCGCCACCTATAAGCGTCATCAAACACTAAAATTTAGAGTGCCAAAGCGACAGCGACGGCAGTCAGTCAATCTGGGAGCAGAAAATGGCGACGTTGAAGCGCAAAGCTCTGTCTCTCGAGACGAAAGTTAAAATTTTAAGAGCAGTTGACAGCGGCCGCAAGAAGAAAGATGTTGCGGAGGACTTCAAGATCCCACCCAGCACATTGTCTACTCTCTTAAGTTCGAGGAAGAAGATTGAAGAGACCTACGCCAACAGCACTCTGAAAGGCGACAGAAAGCGTGACAGGCCTTCTCATTACCCCGATGTGGAAGAGGCTTTGTTCTCCTGGTTCAAGGACGTGAGTGCGCGAAACTTGCCGGTGTCTGGTGCTCTTCTGCAAACGAAAGCCGTCAGTTTAGCGTGCCTCTTGGGGCATCATGACTTCAGGGCGAGTAGCGGTTGGCTTCAGCGCTTTAAGAACCGGCACGAGATCGTCTGCCACACCCTGTGGCAGACGATTTTTCTGAGTACTTTTATAACGAATATTGGATATAACGAACGAATTTGCGGGCCCGATGCTACTTCGTTATAACGAGGTTGGACTGTATTTCGTTATAGCCGACTTCGTTATAACCGGTCCTGACAGTAGTTTTAGAATTTTTGGAAAGGAATCTATTATGCATGAGGGTATATAGTGAATGATGTTTTGGCTTAGTCTGTGTTTGCACTTTCCAGCAATAAAGTTGACCTGTCTACGAGGTAGCGATTAGCTGCATTCTCTCTCTCTCTCTCTATGATGTAGCAACATAGTCCACCCCTCACTCCCTCTACAATGTAGCAATGTACTCCATCGCTTGTTCTCTCTATGACAGAGCTGACTCCTTGCTTTCCATGACGTAGCAATGTAGTTGACCCCTTCCTGTCTACGAGGTCAACCACAGTGCAGCCAGAAAGTCTACAAAGACTCCGGCAGTCACAGGTTGGAGCGCCGTCTTTGCCCATGCTTCTACAACCAACCGTGAGGATTGCAAAAAACATGCAGCCTAAGACTAAGGCTCTTGTGATGTATTTGTTGCCACTTCGAGAACTCTTCAATGCACGATGGTATAAGGCAGCACAGGCAATGCAACAAGACCAAATCTTGGACGAGGAAGGGGGAGGACGCGTGCCGGCGCTCACGGGTACAGAGGAAGAATGCAGACAGGTGTAGCTGGTACTGGCGGTCTTCCAGGTCGGACCCCACGGCCGTGAGCACCCCCTGCTCCTGCGCCCACGAGTAGAGATCTTCCCGCAAGGCCCGACGGCACAGAGGGTTCTCCACCTGGGGGCTCAGCGAGGTGGCACCACATTGCAGCAGGCACACGTCTCCACGGCCGCTCTGAACACACCTGAAATCGAAATGTGTATCGCAGTCGACGTCGACTGTGCCCCTTTATGTATAGGCGTGCAACAAAAACTTGAGTTTATGCGGGTTTTGGTTGCCAAGTAGTTTTACGCCTTGCGGTAGCAGGTGCAAACATATGTGCAGTTAGCACCGAAGGTACCTCATTTAGCACAGAAGTTTGGGTGACTTAAACAGCATCTACCGTAAAATACTGGAGAAGCGCCCACCCAACTTTCACTGAAAACTGGGATAATCTAGACATGGGCGCTTGTCTGGTCAAATCAGGCGCTTAACATACGATTTGCAGAATTCCCAAGTTGGGGAAATGTTAATAGTGGGCACTTGAACAAAGTGGGCGCTTCCGCAGTATTTTACGGTAGTCAAATGAGAATCTGCAGACCCTTTGGGGTCCCCAAAAACCCTCACCCGTAGGTCAAGTCAAGCAACAAACATTATTTTCTTGTTCTACAAAGGAACATCAAACGTTTGTATCATAATTCTTTCTAAAAGAAATTGTTCAATGATTTATTTTGGAAAGAATGATGCTAGCAATATAATGTCTTCATTTCTTTCATGCAAAGTGGATTCCTCGCCCCCCACAGGTTCACAAGGGGATCCTCAAAAAATCAATGACTGAGAACTACTGCTCTAGGGCATTGCACTTGTGGCAAGAGTAAACCCCGCAGCAGACAAGCCGGTGCGGGGCCGTGCCTACCTCTCGGCGTCGCCGCCGTCGACGGGGAGGAACACGCGGACCGTTCCGGAGGCAAGGTAGACGAGGGGAAGGGCCCGGCTGTTCAGCTCCCAGCCCTTGGGCCTCTTCGGGGCGCTCTTGGAAGGCGCAGACGCCTCCAGCGGCACTCGCAGCAGGTCGGTCAGTCGGTGCAGTGGAGCCGCCATCTCGGCGGCCACGGCGGCGACACGTGTGTGCAGGACAATGTCGAAGGCGGCGAGTCGCAGGTCGACCTCGCTGAGGTAGCGGGGCTTGACCGCCTGACGCTCCACCTCAGTCAGCGGGGTAAAGTCCTTGCCTGGAGTTAGGAAACGGTGTCACTAATGTGCCGGCCATAGCAAGACAACATTACGTGGTTCGGCAGACGGCTTCTTATGAAAACATGGAATACTTCATGACGGTATCCCTACTTGCAGAAATTTGTGTCTATTCGTCCATACATTGTTTAGCTAAATTTAGCAGAAAAATTTAATTAATGGCTTCACACTGTCACGTTACACAACACTGTCACTCATGTAACACTCACGTAATGCACCATGACACGGTGTTGACATGACACAAAGTGATGTCACACATAACGTAACATGGCATGACATGACGTGACATTATGCGACGTCACTCGCGTGACCGCCACGTCAGGTCACGTGCCATCACAATATCATGTCACATCACGACTCGACACAATAACTTCATGCGATGCTTAATGACTTCTCAACAAGTTCTAATGATTCCTCCTGACATATGGCATTCAATGCATCATAGGACTTGACTTCAGAGATAAAGTTGCTGCACAATTTTTTGGAAGTACCTTCTGCGGGAGATTTCTTTTTCCTGGATACCCCGTACAAGATTTCCTAGCCTTTGTGTTTTGACTGAAAGCAATGCAAGCCCTAAATGCACTTGCAATACTTTCAACCCAAACAACTGCACACCCCTGCCGTTTTGTTTCTTTATTGGTCTATCCCGACTGCATCTCTGACAAGATAAATAAATACTCAGAATTCTCAACTTATTTCAAGAGTTACACATGAGACAAGTTAATTTTTTTTAATATGCAGTGCAATCCACTCATAACGATGCCCCATATAACGACGTACCGCTTATAACGATCAGATTCTAGAGTTTATATAGTAGAAACTATCAGTTTCTAGTCGTGATGCAAGATAATGGGTTATAACAATTGAGTTTTTCGGTTTTCCCATTATCGTCATAAGAGGATTGCACTGTAGTTATGTTTTTATTGTGACTCTAGAGTCAAACACACTAGTTTGTACATAGATCATGCTAATTAAAAAATATAAATTAATTGCATGGTCCCTTTGAGCATTGTACAATCTACAAGCAACACTTTCTAACGAAATTTGCCATACTACAGTCGACTCTCGGTAATTCAAAGTCGCATAATTCAAATTTTCGGTTAGTTCGAAGCATGGGCCTGGTCCCGGAAATCGTATGTACAATGCTATGGGGGAAAACATGCGGTAATTCGAAGGCTAAATGTTGGGAGCTGGTTAATTTGAAGGATTTTTTGTCTGCGCCTAAAGTCCGGAAAACCCGGGAGCAAAAAAAACAAATGCCAAGCGCGAATACACAACGCCACGACCCGCGACCGCGTCACTGGCGTCGCCGCACTAGGGATGATGCAATCTGATGCTATGTGCGACGGCGCCACGGCGCGCTGCGGCTCGGCGGCGAGGAAGCAAACAGCCTTACGCGCGCTTGGCTGTTTGCTTATTTGCTTTGGCCTCTGCTCTCCCACTCTGCGCTCTCCCCTTGAGAGGAGAGAGGGAGATAGGTGGCGAGAAGGTTGGGTTGCGTTCGGCGGAACCGCGGAACGGCACGAGTGGGAGTTTTGACAACGAAGATCCGAAAGTGTGTTAGCTCGTTCGTCACTGCAGGTTCGTCCCCGTCGACGCCGTCAGCGAGGCCAGCGAGACTGGAGATACCGCCAACGAAGCCGGGCCAGAAGACGTATTCGCAGGTAGTGAACTGAGGGAAGCCCTTGGAGATGCTCCGTTTGATGAGTATGTCGATGTTGACAAGCACGTCGAGGTCTCTGGTCCGCTTTCGGATGTCGAAATAATCAAAGTGGTTAGGCCTGGTGTGGTGGTGCAAGGAAGTGACTATGACTCTGACGACGAGGAACTCTCGCCGCCATCGATTCTCGCGCCGAGTGCCGCTGATGCGGAAACTTCATTGGGTGTCGCAGAACGTTTTTTCTCGGGCGAAGAGAATGCCAAAGATGCCTTACGATGCATACGTAACTTGCAGGGCCGAGCGACGGTGGCGTGGATGCGTCGGCGAAAACAATCTAAGATCGACCAGTTCTTCTCCTAAGTGAGTACTGAATAAAATAAACTCAGTTTTATATGTGCTTTTTTAATTCAAAGTTCGCTTAATTCGAAGCATTTTGCTGTCCCTGTGAGCTTCGAATTACCGAGAGTCTACTGTACTTATTTTCCCGCTAAGCTTAGTGGGTCAATTGAGGTGTCACGTGACATTGTGACATCACTTGATACCGACATCGTGTGATACCATGATGCCAAGTGGCACTGCGAGGTGAGAGGGCACAGTGACATCTCGTGAATCACATGACATCACAACGTCGTTCTGACAACATGACGCCTAGTGAAGCATGACGTGACATCATTAAAGCAACCATTACGGCCCGTGACATCATGGGCTCACATGACACCATGGCATTGGGTAACATTGTGAGGTCACATGACCTCATATGACAATGTGACATTGTCATGCATTGGTCATACAAATATTGTCTGCAAAAACGTTCGAAGCATACTCAAGCATTAAGCAACCATGCTACGAACATGTTTGAGGCATGTTCACAGACACTTATGTCATCATATCTGGAGCGAATACCGCGTCTTTTGCAAGATGTATGAGCGTTGTGGTGTGCGGCTTTATGGTTCCTACTTCTGACGGCATGACTAAGATTATTAAATGTGAATGGCAAACTTGATGGTAGGTACGTGTAATAAGGAAGCTTGAAGCCATTGTGTTCATAAAACCTACACCGTCTAAGTTGACAGTTTGACTTTACTCTTTTTTTTTTTTGTGTCGATGAAAGCAGAATAATACAACCAAAGGACTCCAATCCTGTTCAAACATTGCCCGTTTGACAAACCGTGGCTAGCCACGATTGGTCAAACAGAAAAATATGGTTTTCCCTCCCATGAAAAAAGTTCTGCGGTCAGACCCAACACGAGCAAGAAAATTCCGTGGAGGGCTTCCATACAAAGCTGCTGCTTCAAAAAACCCAACGAAAGGCTCACGTGGCTTGTGCATGTTCCTGCGGACGTGGGCGCACAGGGCGCGGGTCCAGGTCAGGTTCAGAAAGTCCGTCTGCTTGGGCTGCTGCCCCAGCGCCGCGGCGGTGGCGCTCTTCCCGACGGAGGTCTGTCGGTTCAGCTTCTCCGAGCAACTGAACACGACGCCTTCGTAGGGCCCGGGCTCCCAGGCGGTGTCGGACGCCGCCACAGAGCTGCATCGTCGAGCGCACGCTTTAAGGCGGGGTCACACGTCTACGTCGTGACTGGTTGTAACCGCTTACGACGAGAAAACGTACTGGCGCCATCTGCCGGGTAGCCCTGGAACCGTTTAGATCTGCATACGACTGGAGCAAAGTTTTGCAGTATTTGCAAGATCGAGTCTATGCACTAACTATGAGAAATGGTCGCTTGTAACGTTGTTGGAATTACTTCGGGCCTACGATGAAAGGACAATAATATTACCCAAAATAAAGCTTACAAACAAACTGTACTCCATCCCCAGAATTTTGGCCCTCCTTCCAGAAGAAAGAATGTAGCATTTTTCTAGCAATTTGCGGGGCTACGTTCCCATGCCGGTGCTTCCGATGACGCAGCACCCAGCTTCTCAGATGACGGGAGGGTTCATGACACTGGCACCTAATCAGAGTTTTAGATTGCACGTGGCAGCCAGAGGGTGGCACCTTTTCTCGAAGCAGCTGATGTTGAAAGTTGACATCTTGAGCTTGACCTTGGAGTACACTTCTTGCACGTCGAGCGAAGCTGTCACCTCCTCTGCCTCAAGTTGTAGCCAGACATCTAAAATGTGAGAAGAAAAAAGTACAAGACAACCTAAAACTGGCACATACGTTAATAAGTTGTCTTAATTAGAATGTGACGTATATAAGTGTCATGACGGAAGGGTATCAGAAGCAAGAAAAGCTGAATCATTCCCTCAATATTGCTAAAATAGTCAGCAGTACAAGCAAAGTTTCACCAGTACAATTATATAAAGCTTGATACTTTTTGTTGATTTTTCTGTTCATTATTACTGGAATATGTCTAATACTGCTGTTCAAAAAAAGAACAGCCCACAAATAGGAATTACATTACCTAGGTTTGGACGATTTATGCAAATGGAATAAGAAATATGAACATTCCAAAATGGCAAAGCAAATTATAAAAGATTGGATGCTCAGACGACACAAGCTCTATCTGCTAAAGTACAGTATATACTATGGCAACACTACTTCAGGCTGAAGATGAGGAAGTTAGTCAGTGAGAAATATATTCTAAGTAAAATGCCTACTGAGCAATACTTGATTGATTTAGTGAGCTTTAGCGGCACAAGGGCAAAATTTAGCCAAAGAGTGCCTACCACATACTAAAGAATAACGATGAAGCAAGCCAATAATAGCTAGGCTAGTTAATGATTAGCATTAAAAACGAGATTGGTACAGCTCAAAAACTTAAAGGTACCTAAAAGATCTGAACATCTTTAAACAAATTATAAGTATGTTTTCAGGATATACACTGAGCAATTGAAATGTTTACATGTGTATCTTGCATGACACTCTTCAAGTACATAGCTCATCTCAGTGCCTCCAAGTTCAAATGGGCAGTTCGATCGCCATACCCTTCCAAACAGCACCCCAGGCAAACAACAACACGACAAGCAGCAAACCACTGACCCTTGGCAGATGATCCCTCGCTACCACTTCCAAACAGGTTGATCCCGACCTTGGGCAACGTCCACTGCAGCCACAACGTCGGGCCAACGCCGGCATCGTCCCGAGCTCCTGACACACTGCCGGAGGGCACTTCAGGCACTTTGTCGCACGACTCGGTCAGGCTCACGCTCCTGCTCGGCACCAGCTTGGGAACCGGGAAGCGGTGCCCGAGGGTGCTCGAAACAAACGATTCTGCGGAACTGGGAACTGCACTGGCTTGCCTGTACCAGCCCAGCGTGTCCCCAAAGCTGCGTCGGAGTGAGGCCAACAGGACCACCGTCTGGCGGATGCTGTCAAGCTGCAATTTTCAACACCGAATGAGTTATAGGGCTGGGTTTCCTGAGAAAAGCGACACGTTATGCTCATACAATGCATAGGTCAACGTCATGTAAGCAATGTGACCTATGTTGTTTATATGTCCTTAATGTCACGGTGTTGCGTGACATCTCGTGGCACCATGCAGTCACATGACTGCAACGTCACGGTGACGTGTGACGACATGACGTGACATGACATCACATGTCATGTCACATGTGTGACATGACACATTGCACATGTCCCATGTGACATGACATCATGGAATCACATGACACCGTGACATATCACATGCCATTACAATGTCACATGATGTCACAGTCGCGTGACCCCGTGACATCACACACACAAACGGCATGTGCCCAGCTCATTTGCAACAAATTCTGTGCATCCCCGAGTTGAATCTCCGAGTTCTTCAAGTTTGTACATAAATCTCAGAGTTTGTACATAAAAGAGAAGGTGAGTTCCTCCTTTGCCTCCTCTCCCGTGTTTGCTTTGCAACTGTGGAAAGAGTGGAAGGCTTCGTGAGAGGAGCTTGTTCTGCACTCTTAACCTGTCCCTAACTACAAACTGCATGCTTTCCTCCTGCAACAGGTAGTGGAAGTCACCGAGACTTTGCAATTCCCCAGACCCATAATCCAGGTTACTCTGGACCGCCCCTTAGTGACCCCAACGGATGCGGTGTCGGCTCACCTGTTTGGCTGAGAGGCTGAGGTGGCATGGCTCCACGTCCACATGGATGCAGAGGCCCAGCTGCAAGAGGCGGCGGTCCTGGCCCTGGCTCGATGTGAGCGCCACGGTGCACGACAGGGAGGCCGGCTTGAGGACATGGCGCACGTGCGCACCGTGGGCCTCGAAGGCCGCCCACGAGCCTAGACGCACGCACCATGGAAACCGCTCCCCTGGTTTCCAGAGGAAACAAGAACATAACTGTTTATACGCGGTAGTCAAGAAGGCGACACAAAGAAATTTACTGTACTTTGCAGTCTATAAGTCGCACAGCCTAGAAATGGTCATTTTTGCAAAATACCTCGCACCTTAAGTTGGTGCAAGGCCCCAATAATTTTTGTAAAAGTGACCCTTGGTAATTTTTTGTAAAAATTACTATGGTCATATTTACAAAAAAAAAAAAAGATTGGTAGGGTATACAACTTGCAACTTTGTATATGTCCTATAAACGGCCATTCTCACAAAACATTTGTATAAGTTGCACCACTCTATAAACGGTCGTTTTCACGAAAAAAATTAAATACACCGAATTTCTATTGTCGTGTAGAACACGACAATAGAAATCTATCGAGCATATTATACTTGAGCTGCACCGCGTACAGCGGCGATGGAAATCGATCGACGGGTGTGTTCTAATTAGGGTTCAGTGTTCTCAGTTTACACCGATAAACCCCAAAATAGCTTCGAGCCGGTTTTGACAAAATTTAGGAAAACCAAGAAAACCCAGAATTGGAGCCGTCCTTGAACAAGGAAAACCAAGATTCACGGGAAGAAATTTTTATTTACAGCTTCATTTTGCATTAACCAGGAATACTGAACTGCTCCAGAGACTGTTTCTTTATTTGGGAACCAAACAACCTGTTTCATTTCCTTCCCGTATTTGTACCTTGCATGGCCGAAAAGTGAATTTCAAGCTCAAAGCGAATTCAAAGCAAATATAGTTGTTTTGGCCAAATATTTTCGATCGAATATCGAATAGTTCCTTCAAAACCTTTCACACCCCATTGTGTCATGTTTAATTGAAAACTCAGATGAACTCATGAAAGTTTTTTCCAAGCATCCACTTTTCCACTAACAAGCTAAGCTAAATTTAATCTAACTATATTTGTGGACCGTGGCCTCAGAAAGTCTGATGCCTTGGAAGACAAGTAAACGACGGATTTGACATAAAATTAAACCTATAGAGATGCCCAGCTACACCTAATTGAGTGGATTTATAAATCTTGCTACATGCAAACATTCCCTCTTCAATCTCCAGTATGAAAGAAAAAATCACAAATGATGAATGCAGATTTTCAGGTTATCTCTGACTAACTTAAACTCTTGCACAACAGTCAGTTTAATTTTTCAAAAAAACTACTGCAAAGTAGATTTTAAGATTCGCAATGTTTCCATTTCCTTTGAAATACACAATCACGTCTTGAAAGTGTGCTTTTCTTTCAAGAACGCAATTGCGAATTCATACTTTTCCAAGTGTTGGTGGCAGCGGGTTACCCGTTGAGTGCACTTCTTAATGAGCACCAATGCACAGTGGAGAAGCAACACCCGCGTAACTCGCTTCCATGGGTGTTGCTTCTCCGGTGTGCACCCATGCTCGATAAGAAGCACGCTCAATGGGGTTAACCCGCCGCAATCAACACTCTGAAAAGTATTAATATTGCAGTACCATCTCAAAGCCAATATCGAATAACGTAATATTCAAAACTACTCTTCAAACATCTCCACGTGGTGAATGATGTTGATTGGGGCAAAGCTCTGGTGGTGCTTGTCTGTGTAGACGCTGAGCCGCAGCATGCCGAGCCTTTCGTTCGTTTTCATCTATGTCAGAAAGAGATTGTGTGGTATGGAACGTGGTTATATACGCATTTGAGCATTTGACCGCAGCGCCTTCTCGTCTATAAATGCTGAGCCAATGCATGCAAAGTTTAACACAATTATATACGCATTTGACCGCAGCGCTCGCTCTTGTATAGACGTTAAGCGGTTACATGCAACGTTTCATCCATGACATCCCCAGCTCTTGAGTTACTACCACATCTCAGAGCCCCCTCCTCGTCCCGCAGTCGTGGCCGAATGGTTAAGGCAATTGACTAGAAATCCATTAAGGTTTCCCCGCACAGGTTCAAATCCTGTCAACTGCGCAAACTTTTTTTTTTTTTCTTTTTTTTTTACTTTTTGTTTTACACGAGCACATGAGCACGTGAGCTCACGAGCACGAGCACCAGCAAGATCGATGTGAGCATGGACGCCGGACGGACAAGGCTAGACCCTAAGGAGCTTCGTCCCTAAAAGTTTAATATTCGTGCAACCCTAATCGGTATGGAGATGTTTTCCAAATATTCGGGTCACCCAATTGTTCCCGGGAGATTCAGGAATCCCATCCCCGTGTCCCGTTTTATTTAGCATAAGCCCCGACAAACACCAACTTTTTGGTCCAACACCGAAAAGAGACATGGAAAAACACCAAATCATTTAAAAGAAGTTAACCAAAAAAAAAAAAACACCTCCAAATTCGAAAACTAAGAACTAGACACCCAGAACATAAAACCCTGATTATATTTAATTTATTCATAGACAGCATTTATTGGTTCTGTATTCCAGCTCAGTTGCGCAGCACATACGGCGACAATAAACGTCATACTTGGGGGTTATATGTGCCAAACCAATGACAGGCATTTGGCACGCCCCAGCGAGGGACTGAGGACTAAGTTGGAGCACCAGGGGACCTTTCGATCTGCAACCGAAATCTCAGTTACGCGGCATCTCCTCTGCGACAAGCCTCCGACAGACTGCGGCCACCTCGGCCGGGACTCGAACTCGCCACCTGCGGATCCGTAGGCCGCCGCTTTGCCTCGGATCCACCGAGGCGGCCATGGCGCAGCTACGACGGATACTGAGCAACAAGCACCAACCGGGATCGCTCTCGTGATGCTCGGCCGTCCCACCGGCCGTTGGCCCCCGCTTCGACTTGGGGTCGGTGGACGTCACGTTGAGAGCGGGAAGCAGCAGGCATGCCACGCTCCCCGCCGCCCCTTCCCTCAGGTGGCGCCGCCATCTTGGAAGCACGCACGGCACGCTGGCGTCGGGAGGGCCGAGCTCCTGCCTCGGGAAGGACAGCAGGAGCGGCGACTTTGGAAACAGGAGGCAGACGTTGGCCACCCCAACCTGTGAGCAACAGTGCCGGGGACCAAGTTAGTACCATCGTCTGGTAACCTGAAACTGGAGCAGCCGAATGCAGAGCGCAGGTTCGTGCCCATCGATCACTGACGCTCTATGGGACGCTCTATGGGTGACTGACACTCTATGGGCACGACCAGGAGAAAGCTAAGCACCAAGATGGCTGACGCTCGGTCTGACCCTGGCCGTTGGGATGGAATGCATCAGCTGTTCTTCTGTGTATGATCGATCCTGGTTCACACGAGGCCTGGCGTCTTTGCCAATGGCTTGCCACAAAATTCTTCAGCCGTCATACCCAGACAGTGACCTGACTGCCTTCAAGGTGTGCGCTATGTGCCTATGCAATGTTTCTTGCTGACAAGATCCTGAATCTCGCCACGTGCTACGGGTACGCATACCTGCTAGCGACAGAGGGTCTGCCTCAATTGGATGACGAGGGCAGGCCTTTTATATTCGTTCGGCACTTTGAGCCTTTTGTGCAAGGATGAGGCGGCCGAAGCATACGCCGGAGCAAGCAGAGGCTGCTCTTCGGCATAAACGAACCCGTGAGAGAGAACATCATTGATGTGAAGGCACCAGTTGACGCTATCCATCCAGATCACGTCGTGTGATTGTCTGTGCAATTTTTTTCATGGGAAGAGAGCTATGCCTAGAAATTTCACAAGGTGAAATGCGCAACTAATATGCACCTTTGACGAAAATTTGTGACCCTTACAAAATGGGGTCGATCTTTCTACCTGATTATAGAGCAGGCCTCAGGATTCATAACACTTTATAATATCTAAAGATTCCTCCAAAGTACAGTTATGTCTATGTCTTAATGCATTAATATGGACCCAAATAATATGAATACCCGGCTATATTTGCAACTCCAGCGACCTATAGGGGGCGCCACCACCAAACAAACATGGCGGCCGAGTCCAGGTCGCGTCGGCTCGGCCGGGCCACCTGAACAGGTGGCACGCTCGATTTAACCGATTTTCTTTTGTTTAATACCCAATTTTATAGGTATTTGAACTCAGACGGTTAAGTGTAGCCGGTGCACATAAACTTGCAAAGCATAGCTTTGTTTTACCGGTGTTTTTTGTTTTTTTCATGTCAAACTTTCGTTTTGGAGATTTCGTTCAAAACCGAAACTATGGGCTCCGGAGAGACGTTAATGGGCTCTAATCAGTTTTGATCATCTAAGGAAAGCGGCGATGACTACAGAATTGTTGCACCGAGAGTAATTTTCAGCTAACCCGCATACCTCGACAATGCGACTCATCTGTCCGCGAAATCGAGCTTGTGTGCATATCCGCGTTTAAGAAACAGCTCCAGCCGTCTGCTCGGTCAACAACACAGGCTGCACGAAAATTACGAAAATTAAACAAGCGCTTCTTAAGCCAAGGACCACGTTAATTCGCCGGCGCCCCACTAAGCAGCTGATACTCGTATTTCATTCAGGTTTTAGTAGCAATCGAGAAGTCATTTTGACGGGCAGGTTATGTATTATATTACATACTATGGTACCACTAAAGCGATATTAGTATATTCTTCGGGTTGAAATATGAGCTTAGTTAACTAGCTATTACGTAGTTGAACTGCTGAATAAAAGCATATTTGACCAGACAGAGATACACTTAAACTTAGCCAAGTACCAGAGACAAACTGAAGAGAGTCTTCATCGGAGATTAACGCGGAACCTCTCTGCATTGAACTCTGCTTCGAATCCTGAATGGAGAAAATGAGCATTTTTTGTGGCCGGTCAACCTGGCCAATCTAGACGTATATTGCTGCTGGCTTCGACGGGGGTATAATATAAATATTGGAGGCGCGATAGATCAAAAAATGCCGTGACAGCTTCTAACGTTGCGAGACTCGTCCCCCACCTTTTGAAAACAGATAATTTCCCTCATTCATCATTTGCAGCGAGCAGGTTTTCCTGAATCAAGTAATCAGCCCAACATCTTCAGTGCGGTCCAGAGGCTTTTTCGGCGAAAAGCAGCCAAGATGAATAGCCAACACACCAACCGGCATGGGTAGCTCAAACTTGAAGCTAACCGAACACAACCAAATCCAAGAAAAGCAGCTATCAAACCTTCCCATTCACTTGACTGCAACATTGATGTTCCCTCAAGTGAAATGCCTCGTCTGTTGTCCTCAGTCCACTGTTCTACATGCTTATAAGGAAATCACTTATCAGTTACAAAGTATTCGTCACTTTGAATGTGATTCAAGACACACAAGAAATCAAAATGTTTTTCCGTGACTCCTCCTTATTTAAGAAATCGAAAGCACGCGACTGTGTGCTGTGGAGTAAACGGGCTTTCAAACACGTGATAGAAGACGATCTACTGAGGCTTCACCACACTAATGATCGCTCGGGCAAACTTAAGAAATATTCGGACCTTCGTCAAATTACATTGTTCGCCACCGCGCCGACAACAGGTGTCCGCGAAAGCCACCAGAGACGCGGAGGGGCGCGGAGCGACCTGGTCCGGCTGGTTCCCGGTTTTCCCGCTTGGTGGCGTCCGTTTTGCTGGAGTCGCAAATAGGCCAAAGCTTTGGGGATGAACTAGGTAAACACACACATTTCTGTCTCATTATTACGGACAACTCACATTACGGACACTTATTTGAGAAAACGGAGGATCAACGAGTCTCGACTGTACGATACTTTCACAGTGTTAAGTAGCAAACCCATCGGCAAAGGCAGCTGGATTTCCTCCGTGTAAACCGCAATTTCGTAAAGTCTTACCTGAACGGAGAACGTCCTCAGGCGAGCGTAGGCGGATCGAAGCCAGCCACGCACTCCGAGGTTGCTCGGACTGCTTGCCGGGTTGCTCCACTGCGAGACTTCGCTGCTCGCAGGGTTGGTCCTCTTGGGGAGCCCCACAGCCACTGGCGGACTTGTCAGGCTGGGCCCGCTCCTCTGGCTACCGCTGGCCGATCCACGTGCTTCTGCAAGGACCCCCAAAAAAGGAATCGACAAATCACATTGTATTTTCCACCCCATTGGTGACATGTGCAGCCAAATGCGCCGCTGTCGCGGGATTCATTCTGTTTTTATCGACGAAAACAAGGGTAATGTTGGGCCAATACCGACAATGTTGCTTTAAGGGTCAGATAACTTAAAGCTTCCAATGTGCCTTTTACACGCACCATTGAACTTCCGATTCACAACTGATGGTGAGTAGTCAGGACCATAGCTCATGACGTCACGGCAAGGCAAATCCTAGTCGTGACGTCGTGGACAGGGACTACCGTTAGCACCATAACATCTTGGCGCTAATGGTCTCCACCCCAGCGTATAGTCTACAAAAACAAATTCCGCGAAAAAAAGTTTAAGTTGAATAGTTTGCGCTCTGAGCACAGTCCGCACCTGAAGCATAGACTGCACGTAAAAAATATTCTCGTACAGCACACCTTGAAAAATGCCAGCTTTATTAGTGCACAAAGAAGCTTGTATCGACAGAAATCATCATGAACATTAATCTGTTATTCACAACATCCGTCACTTCTCGTCATAATGAACGATCTTGAAAAAACCAACCCTTGTATAGTCAGCACCTGTAGATTGTCAACACCGTGTAAAACTACAACTTTTAAACATGTGCAGTCCATGGACAGCAGTCCGCAAAATATGGTAACGACCAGTTGTGTGCCAATAGCGGATTTTGAGTCGGAAGCAAATAGTGGTTTTGGGAGATTACAGTGTAGACCGCATATAACGTATGTCGCGGGAGTCGCGAAAATCCGCACTATAAGCGGTACCGAGCTATAACCAAAACATCAATTTTTCAGGCCAAAATACATGCCATGAGACAGCTTACCTTCGTAAAAAAATTTATTTTATATTAGATGAAAAATAAAGCTTAGTTTGAGGAAAGTCTTTATTTCACCAGACTAGTACACTTCTTTCTCAAGTGTGTCACACATTTTGAAAGAAATGAACAGCTTTCGCCTGGCGCAGCCTTTTAATGGCGTCGCGGGTTGCAGACGGACGTTGCGAGCGTTCAGGATTGCTAACCCTCTCCGGCGATAAAAACGTGTGAAAATTCGCATTCTTTATACGGTACGCGCCAGTAATACCTTCAACTTGAGCACAGGCATTAAATGCTCCAAATAAGAAATCCGGGGGATGTTCGAAAACACAAATCCTTAGAAAGCACCACTGTAGTCAAAGTAAACAAACACGACGACACGGGCGTTTCTGCCGTCTTGAGAGTGCCGCCACGACATCGCCGCACGAGTAGGTGGACCTTCCCTTCTAGTATGTGCTGGGTTATTCGCTCACACAACGAAAATTCACAGTCAAGGATAGCGCTTTTACGCGGAACGATGAGTTTCCACCACGCCGTCTACGTCGACGATTACAACCGACGCCATGTTTGCGGACAGAAGCAGCCGGCCCGCGACCGGCATGCAACACGCGCGAACACTTCTCCTCGACCTGCGATTGGTTTGTCGTTGCGGTTGTTTTTTAAGGCTGCGGAGAGACCATTATAGAGTTGGTCGTAGGAGGGACGCACGCACGTGAACAACACGTGCGTGCGTCCCTCCGTCACTATGGCAACTGAAGCCTCTCTCTTCGCTTCTCCCCGCTTCTTTGAGCAACCTCCTTGCCCCGTGTCTTGCCCCGCGAGTGCCGCCTGCGGCTCGCGCCGTTATCTAGTGTCGCACAGGGAAGCGTGCTCGCTGCGTTGGTCCGTCAGCGCGGTATGCGAGCTGTTCCAGAAACCGCACTATAACCGGTATTTCCCTTCACACGCCTGCATTTTAAGCGGTATGTAATTACATGGAGTTCTATGGGAGGCGAACCGGTGGTTTAAAAAAGCCGCGTTATACCCGGTCCTGCACTATAAGTGGTTACGTTGTAAGTGGTCTATACTGTATTTTCTAATCAAATATTGAATAGTTTCCCCAAGCCTTTCACTACAGCACCATGTTGAAGGAAAACCCCAACTGAATTTGTGAAGGTTGTTTCCAAACTTCCACCTGTCCCTTTCTGAGCTAAGTTCATCTTAATCTAACTATATTTATCGGCAGTGGCTTCAAAAAGTACGATGCCTACATTGAAATGGCAAGCAAATGACACATTTGACATAAAATTTAACATTTAGAGATGCTCAGCTGTACCTAACCTGGGGGATTTATAATTAGGGGTACAGTTGAACCTCGATGTAACGAAGTCGGTAAAATTCGCAATTTACTTCGTTACATTGAAATTTCGCTAAATCGAAATTTGGCTTTAGCATGCGAAAAAAAATTCCGAAACATTTTACGGGTATGAAAACTCACCGAAAATGACATTTATTTAGGGGCGAAGTAGTCCGCGAGTTTTGCTTGCGCCTTGTCCGACAGTAGCAGCGGCGTCATACGGCGTTCGAGCGCCCAGAGCGCTTGCACGGCATCCTGCTGCCCATGCGACGCCGTGTACCTCCTCAGTACGTCCACTGCGTCGAGCACTTCCCGAGTGCTCGTGATCTCGGCAGTTTCTTCAGGATGGCGTCCAAAACGTTTGCTTTCTCATCCAAAGAAAGAACTTTACGTTTCCTTATGGCAGCAAGCACGTAAGTGAACCGCCCGGTTAAAAAATAAAGCTGTTTAGTTTAGGCAGTTTAGGCGGTGCCAATGTTTCCAACCTACACAGCACTCTTCACCGCACAGTTTACTTGCCCCCTTGCCACCCTTGCGCCCACAGTGATGCTTGCGCCGCTTGCGCCCACGCTCGCAAGACGATAATCGGTCTTTTCGGTCTTCTCCTAGATGGCACTGCCCGTGCGGTCGCGCCATCACGTCGCTCCCCCGCTGAAGTTGGCTCCCGCGCTACCCGCGGTGCAGTGGAGTGGACTATGGTTATCAGTGAATGTCAGTGGTGATGCTGGTATGCCGTGTTAACTTTTTGCTCGGCATTTTCTGGCCAGCCTCGCGGAATCCGTTTTGCCGCATGCCTCGCCGGCGCTACCGGCGCCGCATCCTCGGGCAGCCTAGGAACGTTGGAAGGCCTGTCCCCGTGAAGTAACCTATCAAGCGCTCGCGTTTGCGCATAATTTTTTTTTTTTTAACCACAATTTTCTTGCGAAGTTGTTTTTTAGAGTTGATTTATTTATTGCCTTCTATGGCAATGGCACTTCGTTATAGACTTAGACTTTGTTATATAGAGTCTAAAAATACATGGGGTCTATGGGCAAGAAATTATGAAAAATAAAATACTTCGTTAAATCGAAGATTTCGTTACATTGAAGTTCGTTATATCGAGGTTCGACTGTATGTGGATACCGAATAGTAGTTATCAAATCAAATACCGAATCGAATTAAGAAAAAAATGCCAAATATTGAATTGAATATTGAATACTGATTTTTATTGTAGGAATTTTTCAAAGTGTGCTGTGAATGACATCATTGTATGTGCAGAGTATACACCTGGTGCAGAATATGCATCTCATAAGGAACAAAAGCTCAAATGTATAGAAGTTCTGGAGAAAAGAAAAAGAAAAACACCTGCTGATGGACGTTGGGCACTAAAGATCCAAGTTTGTGGCACTCGTTACTTTTCTCTTTTCTAACCTGTGCGTTAGATTTTTGTGAAATGGTAGGACCAAGAGTTGTTTCTCGCATGTCTGTTGAACGTCACGGCGCTAACATGAGAAGAAAAAACGTCTCTTTTGTTAGCTCCGCGCCGACCGCGCGTCTTTGGCCGAACATATTGAATATTCGAGTGACCAAATACCAGGAATTCGATTCGCGAATCAAATAATTTGGGAACTTTCTATTATGTAGATTCAAATTTGTATGTTCGGGTATTTACGCACCCTTAATAAATATTCTTGTTGTATGCGACTATCCTTTCTCAAATCTCAAACTTGAGAGATAAAAAATCATAAATGATGAATGCAAGTTGCGAAAAAATCTCTGCCTCACACATACCTTGCATAATAGCCACAGTTTAATTTTAGAAGTTTCAAAGTAGTGTAGATTTACACTCACAAGGTTTGTTTCTCTTTAAATACACCCTGCATACACGTGCACCATCCCACTCTGAAAATGTGCTTTCCTCGTAGGCATGTGACTGTAATGTTTGTACTTTCTAAAGTGTTAATCACGACGGGTTAGTCTCGTTGAAATGCGCTTCATTCCAAGCACCGGTGCATTGCAGAGACCCGCAATGCACCGGAGACTCGCGGACCTTGCTTCTACGGATGTTGCTTCTCTGCAGTAACACGCGCTCAGTAAGAGGTGCGCTCAACGGGGCTCATCCACCGCAATCAACACTTCGAAAAATATCAATACTACAGCTCATCTCGAAGTCAATATCAAACAAAGTTTTATTTAAAACTACCTACCTACTCTTCGAAAATTCAAATATATTTGGGAAACTCTAGAAACAATTGAATTGTGCAAGGTAATTATGATTATAGTAGTCATGTGTGAATAGTGGATTTTGAGATCAAAGCTAATTCAAAGTAAATAGTTGTCTGAACCAAATATTTTCTAATAGAATATTCAATAGTTTCTTCAAGCTTTTCATTACTGCTGCACCATGCTTAAACGAAAGCCCAGCTGAGCTGGGGAAGGTTGTTCCCAAGCTTTCATTTGTCCATTTATAAGCTAATTTTACTTTAGCGATTTTTATGCACAGTGACCACAGAAAGTCTGATGTAAAGTAAAAGACGGATTTGACATAAAATTGTACCTACAGAGATGCCCAGCTATCCTAATTGAGTGGATTTACAAATCTTGCTATATGCAAATATGCTTTCTTCAATTTCGAATTAAAAAAGAAAATGAATGATGAACGCAGGTTGTCAGGGCATCTTTGCCTCACACATACTCACAAATTGTAATGCAATATAGAGATCAACATTCACTTTCGTTTCTTTTAAAATACACCAGGCTTGTGCATGCACTATCTTGCTTTTAGTGTCCTTTTCTTCCAAGCACCAAATTCATAATATTCCAAGTGTTGATCGCGGTGGGTTACTGCGTTGGGTGTGCTTCTTACCAAGCACCGGTGCACTGCCGACAAGCAACACCCGCAGAGTTTGCTACCATGCGACTTGCCTCTCCACAGGTGTTATTTCTCCGCAGTGTGCCGGAGCTCGGCAAGAAGCGCGCTCAACGGGGTTAGCCCACCTATCAAAACTTTGAAAAAAAAAATTGTGGTGGCTTAGCTCGGCTATGCCAGGATAAACGTAGCATGAGCTTATGCACACAAAATGAGAGGCGCTATAAAGCAGCTCCAGTGCAGCGTCAGACTTGGCTACTGCGCAACGGAGGCGCACAGCTGGGCACGCGGTAGCGCCAGTGCGTCTGCCGCGGCTATGACGTCACTCCTCTGGAATGTGCAGACCAGCGAGGCGCGCTTTGCGGCGGCGGCGGCTCCGGCACGCCAGCTGTGCGCCGTGTGACATCACTGCTCCTCGCGCATGCGCAGCACAACTCTTTGGGAACCACGCGAAACTGCTCAACCTCGGCCAGTGTAGCTCACGCTACAATATGAATATTGCAGTTCATCTCAAAGCAAATATTCAATAGTGTATTATTCAAAACTACAATTCTAAATTTCGAATATTTGCACATCAGTAGATTATATGATTATATAACAAAAGGGTTGTCTGTAAAACAAGCCGGAAAAATTGATGCCTGCACGTAGAGAACTTAAATTTTTATCGAAAGAGTATTTTAGGGTGAATTATTTCTCATGAAACTTCAAAACGTAGCAGTGTTCCTCTGAAAACCTAGAGCAATGTCCTCGACGTGTTCAATGTCGAGCTCCGACGTGGATGACCGAGTCGGCCGAGAGTAGAGGGCCTAGATTAAAAAGAGAGTTACCCGACTCTTATACAACTGTCTAGTTTTAGAGAATTCGACACAGAACACAAGAAACGAAGACAAAGTAGAAAGGGGTACACAGGACAAGTGCTTACCCCCTTCTACTTTGTCTTCGTTTCTCATGTCATGTGTCGAATCCACTAAGCATGAACCAACCAGCCCACATCGCCACTCAAATTTAGTTTTAGAGAAAATATTGAATACACCTTGGCTATTGAGGTGGGTGCTCACCTCTGGGAAGGTCTTGGGACCGTTCGTCGGAAAAGGTCAGCCCACCGTCGTCGCTCGCAGTGGGCGAGAAAGGCACGGGACCCGGGCTGAACTCTGACCCCGTGGGGAAGATCATGGGCAGGGGTGCCAGCCAGGTCACCAGGGCAGGGTCGCACACCAGCACAACACCCTTAACTTTGACCACCACAAATCCGGTCTCTGTTGGGGTCATAAAAAGGGTAGGATAACCGTCGGACATTCGCACAATTTAAAACGACAACAATAAACGCATAGCACATAGAAAGTCCTGCCCGAACAGCGGTCCGTTGCACACATCCCACACTGCACCAAACAGGTTGATTGTGAAATAGAGGTTGAGCTGCTAGTAGGTTGCTGTGTAACGGTGACTGGCTTCCTGCCATTGCTGGGCCAGGCGCTATCATTCTGCTACCCTGTCTCTTGCTCTTTCCTCTTCACCTTGATGAGCCTGTCATTGTCGCTGCTGCGCCAACGACAGGCAAATCAGTGGTACACAAAGTAAGAGCCTCCAGAGCACTGTAGCCCTCTTAAAGCCGAGCAGACGCCGAGGAGAGTCCCGGCTCCAAGAGCAGTCGTCGGTTGCATGCAGAGTGTGCAATCGGCCACTGCGAACTCTGTACTGCACGTTCTTCTCTGCTCAAGCTACATCCCCGCTTAGACATGAAAGTGCTGAGAGAGTTATGCATTCAAAAGTTCCGATGGAGTGCAACACGAGAAAAAAGAAAGCGGTCGAGCATTTTGCACCTGCTTCTTTGGTCCAGTCCAGTGGCACCCTGGCTGTTGCCCTGATCCAAGACTCTTCGGCGCGGTTTAGGTCCCTGTCAGGATCGCCCTCGTGCCTCGCCAGGTGCACCGCCTGCGCCGTGTTCTCGGGGGCATGCACGAGGACCGTGCTCCTGTCTGCGCAAAAGACGCGAGTTCCCACCACCTCAACGCTTGACCCCAACACTGGTCACTTGGCAGTTTAATAATACTGACCCATGTTAGCACTTTATCAACGTGAACAAACCATTTCTAAAAGCATTTGTGCAATCTAAACTATAATAAATTCATACAATAAAATGTTGTTAAGACCACTGAGAAGAAAAGAAGAAAAAATTGCGGTGGCTTAGCTCGGCTATGCCAGGATATACGTAGTGTGAGCTTATGCGCACAAAATGAGAGGCGCTGGCTCCGGTGCAGCGTCAGACTCGGCTACTGCGTAACGGAGGCGCACAGCTGGGCACGCGGCGGCGCCAGTGCGTCTGCTGCGGCTATGATGTCACTCCTCTGGAATGCGCAGACCGGCGAGGCGCGGCAGCGGCGGCTCCGGCCAACACCTCCGGCGCGCCAGCTGTGTGCCGTGTGACGTCACTGCTCCTCGTGCATGCGCAGCACGGCTCTTTGGGAGCCACACGAAACTGCTCAACCTCGGCCAGTGTAGCTCACGCTACAAAATTCTAGCTCACTCTGTCCCACAAACAACTTCTGTAGCTCACTAAAATCCCAAATATTTTTTAATGGGACAAACGGTAGTATGATGATGTAATCTCTTCTGCTACTGTCAGGATGAGCATGGGCAAGTCCTACCTTTGTCGTGAAGGACTGCTGAGATAGAGACAACGTCGGCCGAATGCGTCGTGGAGTGGGCGTCTTCGGAGAAGGTCCACGATGCTCTGCCGACGGACACCTGTATCATCGGGCTCCCTGGAGAATGAAGCGCAGAAAGAGAGAGTTGTTTGCCTTCAGAGCGACTGTCATTCGTGGATGCATTAGGGGTCTGGTAGATGACAAACTACAATGCTAAAGGCAGTCTCTTTTATTCCACTACTTAAAAGAAATGGGGGAGATTGGTGCATTAATAGACCAGATTTTGTGTTTCAGATAGACTCACGAGAATCACGTGAAATACAAACAAAGATCTAAAACCCCCCATCCTTTTTAATTTTTCGCAGACTTGTTGATCCTTGCACCTCTGTTTGGCAGGCATGCATCATTTGCTCTGAAATGCCGCCGCACACACAATCTGACCGTCAAATGCCTCTGCACCTACTAGGATTATTCTACCATAGTCGTCGACAAGGTAAGAACGACAGGGCGCCTCTCTGGAATGCCAGGCCTCTAGCACGTCCTTGTTGCCTACCGCCGTGCATACCTCAGCAAACCTCACTCATGAGTGCCCTCACTCACCCTCACTCACCCTCATCTTCACAGGTGAGGTGAGGGTGAGTGAGTTTCTGAACCAGGAAAATTGATGAGTGTGAGGGTGAGTGAGGGCTGTGAGGGCCGTGAGGGCCGTGAGGACGGTGAGGGCCGTGAGGGCCGTGAGGGCGGTGAGGGCGGTGAGGGCCGTGAGGGCGGTGAGGGCGATGAGTGCGTGAGGGGCGTGAGGGCGGTGAGTGGCGTGAGGGCCATGAGTGCGTGAGTGGTGTAAGGGCGGTGAATGCGTGAGGGGTGTGAGGGCCATGAGTGCGTGAGGGCAGTGAGTGGCATGAGAGGCGTGAGGGCCGTCAGGGCCGTAAGGGCGGTGAGTGCATGAGGTGTGTGAGGGCCATGAGTGCGTGAGGGCGGTGAGTGCGTGAGGCCCCCTTCAGATCGAGCATCTTTCTCAGCAATTTTGGTGTTAATGGTGGGTTGTTCTCTAGCTTTCCCTAGATCGACACGAATTGCTGAGATCTGGTCCGGCTCGAAATAAGCAAGCAACTCGGAGCAATTCGAATATGTTTGAAGCGGCTGCATTCAATCAGGGACGCAAAATTTTCACGCGATACCTCGTGCCGGTGATGATGACACCGAATGACTTGGTTCTGGTTTGAAATCAATCGTTTTTTTTTTGGAAATAAACTGTTTCAGAAAGGTGCATTAGTATTCTTAACAAGGTTTAAATGCATAAAAACACGTTTATAACGCGTAATTGTGTCTAAGTAGTGCAAGAAAAATAAAATGTTATGATGACGATGGCAAATTGCAGCAATTGGTTGCTGCGTGTGCTCGCGGGCGGCCCGTGTTGCTGGTGTTGCGACGTAAAGTTTCTGGGCGAAATTGCCCTATCTGAAGCTGGCCTGAGTGGCGTGAGGGCCATGAGTGCGTGAGGGGCGTGAGAGGTGTGAGGGCCGCATGGGCGGTGAGGGGAGTGAGGGCGGTGAATGGCGTGAGGGCGGTGAGTGGCGTGAGGGCGGTGAGTGGCGTGAGGGCCGTGAGGGCCGTGAGGGCGGTGAGGGCCGTGAGGGCGGTGAGGGCCGTGAGGGCGGTGAGGGCGGTGAGTGGCGTGAGGGCGGTGAGTGGCGTGAGGGCTGTGAGTGCGTGAGGGCTGTGAGGGCGGTGAGGGCGGTGAGGTCGGTGAGAGCCGTGAGGGCGGTGAGGGCGGTGAGGGCCGTGAGGGCGGTGAGTGGCGTGAGGGCCATGAGTTTGTGAGGGCCGTGAGGGCGGTGAGGGCCGTGAGGGCGGTGAGGGCGGTGAGGGCGGTGAGGGCGGTGAGGGGCGTGAGGGCCGTGAGGGGCGTGAGGGCTGTGAAGGGCGTGAGGGCCGTGAGGGCGGTGAGTGCGTGAGGGCCGTGAGGGCGGTGAGTGCGTGAGGGCCGTGAGGTTCAGTGAGGGTGAGTGAAGGGCTGAAGGTGAGTGTGATTGTGAGGGTGAGGGTGAGTGAGGGGCTGAAGGTGAGTGTAGCTGTGAGGGTGAGGGTGAGTGAGGGGCTTAGGTGAGTGTGGCTGTGAGGGTGAGGGTGAGTGAGGGCGACCTAAAATGCCGACCTCTGCCGCCGTGCTTTGACTGGTGCATGAGTGAGACACTGAAGCATTGTTGAAGGTAGAAAGTTGGCACTGGAAGCGGGACAACTAGAGCTCCTCCTGGCCATTCTTATCTCTCCTCCTCATTCCAGGCAACACTATGATATCGGACCAAGAGCTGTGTCCCGTTGCTGGAATTATTTCCCATGGCTTTAATACAGTGCAGCCAACACTAATTCAAGCAAGCACGGTTCACTGAAACACTGTCTCCCTGCTTGCTACAGCGCAACGAACACGAGCAAGCGAGGTTTGTACGGGCTGGGATCCCACATAAATCTGTGACCTCAAAAGACAGTCGGAGGACTCACCTTCGCCGGAAAGGTTGCCGACGAGAGAGGAGGCCCCCAGGGTGGCAGCGACTCCCGGCCCCCAGGGCCAAGACAGGGCCACTCCGAGGGCGGCCATGGCCCTTTGCTTGCTGGCCGAGAGTCGCAGGGGCCCCACCTCCAGGCAGCCCCAGGTACGGGCCAGGGACTCCGGCCCATGGGCCAGCAGGGGCGGGCACGGCACCCACTGGCACCGAAAGGTGGCCCATGCCGGGTCCAGCAGCACCACCCGGGCAGGGGGTCGCGAGGCCGCCTTGCTCGACGCAGAGGCCAGGTCCACCGAGAGGCCAAACAGCTGCGCGTGCGGCTTACTTAATATCTGGAGGAACTCGTGAGCTCCCTGCACCACTAAATGCATATATTTAATGCAATAAATGCATCCATCAACTGTCCCAATTAATTTATGAGTTACTTTAAATGCCCTTAATATGGGCTGTTACATGTCGTTTGCCTTGTTCCAGTCAGAAAAAATTACGACAAGTGTGGACTGATCACATGTTTATTTTTTCTACTGTTAGGGTGTAGTGTTTCAACTGTTGTGTTTGATGGTCTTTTTGACTCTCTTGCCACGCGCATCTCCAAGCAGGCGCGTCTGTGGCCAAACGGCGATCGTGCTTGGCTCTCACAGAAAGGGCCGGGCTTCGGTTCCTGAGAGCGGACATACCTTTTTGTTATTTCTGTAGATGTCACATTCTGGTAAATTCCAAAACCCTGTTGATTGTTTGAGGTACGAATGTTCTACGTGCCAAACCTTCTACGCCGGTTGTTCCAGAAGCCCACGTGTGTACAAAAGGGGCTCCGCGTGGCGAGCCCGAGTTTGTCTCGCCCCAGCGCTCAATCCTGCTGTTTCGCCGACATTGACAACTGCGACGCTAGCTTTCTTCTATTTTGTTTTGGGTACAAGTTCACCCTATTAAACATTTAGTTACTTTCAGTCATTCATTGCCTCCTCAATTGCCATTTGTGACATTTTTTGTTGTAGGCCTGATAAGTGGTACTATTGCATTGGTTCTATTGTTTCCTATTGTACATAATGTGTGATCTTGTATTGTGTATTTTACACCTCACACCTGCAACAAACCTTAGAAGGGGCAAACAGTATTAGAAAAAAAAAAAAAAATCCTTTGTAGGCTGGTGCATCTCACAGAAAAGCACCTATGCAGTGTGGGAAAGCCCACAGCTGTGCAGACAGAAGAGCCTTTGTTGAAGCAGTTCTATTAGAGTAAACGAAGACACGAAACATTTGCACCCACATTTAATTCTATGGAATAAGCTGAAGCCGTTGTATGCAGAATTGCATTTGATGGTAAGCACAGCTAACGCTTGTGTTAGCTGTGCTTGGCTTGGCTTCCCTGGCTCGCGCTCCGTCATCATCCCCTTCCTTATCTTCTTTCTTGCAACGACATGCGTGCAAGAGGACGCATGCACATCGTTTCTTACTTTTTGACGACACGGACGTCGCACGACTGTGATGCGGTAGCTGCAAGTGGCCACTGAAGGGCATTAAGATTGACAGGTGCAAATGTGGAAATGGCAACGTCCTTGTCTCCATTTCTACCACAGTCTACACTCTGTTGGTCCTTCTCCCCCCACTACACCTCCTTCCTTTTTAGGGGTAGCGATATCACACCAGGGACGCACGCGGAATCTGCGTTTGCTTTCATGAAAACGCTATTCTGAATTAAAATTACCTGGCTTATACATTGTCAAATGCAATGATGGCACAATAGCACTTGATGGTGTTTTTACTGAGCAGGACTTTGAAATGCCACTGTGCTTACTAGATTGTTCTACAAATACATAGTTTGTACCTTACTATGTAGCCCCCCTGCTCCAACATATCAGAGGTGAAACGGGGAGAGGGTAGAATGCTGTTGCACCGCTTACCTTTCCCACTTCGCACAGCATAACGCCATTGGTTGCATGCACTATGACACAAAGCCAGCGGCGGCCCTTCGTTGAAGACACTCTCTTCCATGGCCTCGCTACGGTGCGACCGACACTAACCCGAGCAAGTAAGGTCCGTGAAGAAATAGCAAAGCTATTTCTTCAGAAAGATGACAAATCGTGCAAGGGGGCACACACCTTGGCCTGGAGGTGAGAGAAGCACTGATGCCTGAGGGTCTCGGGCAGACGGCCCTCGTCGGTGGCAAGCAGCGTCGTCATCTTGCCCGGGTACATGGGGCGTCCCACCGAGACGTCCAGGCACTCTACCTGCAGCTCCAGCAGGGGCAGGCAGGAGCCCGGAAGGGCGCTGGGCCCACCCCCGGACACCGGCGACTCTTCCCGTAGAGACCTCTGCTGGAAAGATGGGCAGACGCTCCCTGGAGTGCTAAAGCCACTTGCCCCCATCTTGCCGTACCCTAGTGTTCTAGTAGAGCTCCTGTACGCCGTAACCTGGTAGAGCTCCTGTACGTACAGGGTGTCCCTCCCTCAAAAACAAATTTATGTAGTTTTCATCATTGCAAAGATAAGTCGCGCATTGCCGAACACCAATTCTGCATCCAATTGTATCGCTAGCGTTTCCAACCAGATGCAAAAGTTTCAGAACTAACCGTTATCTCATTCAAAAGTTACGAGCGATTTTTCTGAAAATTTCTGAATGAAAAAATGAGGCCCATTTTCACCCGTTTTCGGTAACTGGTCATGTTCAGTTCCATGCATTCACGAGCTCCGTCGGCTGCCATTTTCCCATAAAAAATTTCAGGAAATCACTTATAACTTTTGGATGAGATAACGATTAGTTCTGGAACTTTGGCATCTGGTTCAGACAACTAGCGCTACATTTGGTCAAAGAATGCATAGCCTATTTTTGCAACGAAAAAGTCCCATAAATTTTTTTTGACACCCTGTACTATAATCACTAACAAGACGAGAACGGCAGGGCATCTCTCTCGAACACCCAGCCCCAACACACGCTCGTTGCTCTCCGACATGCGCTGGCCGTGCGTGCGTGCCCGAAGTCCATGAGATACCGGTGTTTTCAAAGCTAAAAAGCTCGCGTTGGAGGGAGGACAACTAAAAGACCTCCCCAGTGTTTTTTTAAAAAAAAAACCTTCAGTAAAGGAAAAACCTTCACACTATGTGAGGGCGCGGGCTGGCCATATGATAGCCGTGCAACCACGCGCATGTCATGAGCACGGCAACATTTATAGGCGCCGCCAAAGGGCAGTGCACAAAAGAGAAAGGAGAAAGCTGTGCGCCACGTTGTAAATAGAAGCATTGTGCACTGTGGTCAAGTTTTACGGACTGTATTCAAGGGTAATAAAACCTTAGACCGGTGGTTCTCATTCACTCAATTTCAGGGATCCCTTCTGGATCGGCAGAAGTGATAGGAGACCCCATCCACTGGGGAGAAGGGGACAATAATAAACTATTGCAATGACACAAAGGTAAATAAAGGAGATTAAATGCATGCAGACCAACTTTGCAGATGTCAAACAAAAATAAATTAACCCTTCTCACTCGGTGCACCATCAATAAAAAAAAAGTTTTCGTGCTCAGCCTGACTGAGGATTTAAGGCTTCAGGAACCCCAAGAGGCCTTCAGGGATCCCAAAGGGTCCACAGACTCCCATTTGAGAACCACTGCCCTAGACTTTAAAATCTATTATATATAGGGAGGTGGACTGAATAAACGAGTCAGCTGAGTTTGAGATGTCGTCCAGTCTATTTTCTGTCTCTTCTACGTTTTGATGTTTTTTCTCTACCTTGGTCTCAAATTAATTCAGCATGGTTAACATTCACCAGCCTGCCTGCACGCCCTACCATATTTTCTCTAAAAATACCTTCACTCAATAGGCAAATCAGAGCCTGTACGGACTGTCACACGCATACTTCTACCTTGTTTTACCTTGTTGTGTGTGTGTGTGTGTGTGACATCATATGTAATGAGGTCAACTCAGTGACTGATAATGTCCCATGACATCGCGTGACGCGGTGTCACGTGACGCTCAGGTGTAAATGTCATAAAAAAAATAAGCAACCCCATGTTCATCAACAGTACAGTCACAGCAATAGCTGCGACACGTTGCGGCGGCGAAGTCGTTGGGCATCAGTGTTGCGTTCACGCACCATGAGGTCTTGACAGCAAAGTCTCAATGTGGAGTGCAAGTTCGTCTGCTTGCTGCACAGGGGTTGTGATGATGTCAGAACACCGAGCTCTTTTTGGCTGATTTAAAAAAAACAGTGGATAGACCTCAAGACATTTTTACAATCAAAGCCAATTAGACCTCGGTGTTGTTCTGACATAACCGCAACTCTTGCGCAAAAAGCAGACAACTTGCTCTATGCATTAGCTTTGTTCTTGCGAGATGCAGCTCACAGTTCCCCCGCCGGCGAATGGTGAGATGGGCCAGCTTCGCTGCCAGCGCGTCTTTCAGGAGCCGCTGAAAGACGCACTGTGGCGCAGGAGGCTCGGGAATCCACAAACAATGACGCAATGCGCAGGCCCGTCTTCTAAACGGTAATGGATGGATGGATATGGCTAAAACAGTTTTAATTGGGCAGTGGCTTGCACCACCTAACCGAAGCTTCTAATTTCAACATCTAACTCTGATTAAATTTAAGATAAATAATAAATGACGAAGTATTTCCCATCGCGGTAACTATGGTCATCTGGCAGACACTACAAGAGACTTGTATGGACGTGTTTGTTTCACAAATACAGTATATCCAACTAACCGTCAAAGCTGTGGTGGCATAGCTCTGCGGTAATGCGCCCACTCTGTACGTGGCAGACCCGGGATCGAATTCCGAGAGTGGCAAGTGATTTCTTTTCAAGCGGATGGCAATATTACGACGGATGCCCTACTACGCCGACTACAACATCAAACTACGACGACGACGGACATCGTTTCCAGTGGTGGAAGGAGCCTTTAACAGCTACTGCCGTAAAACACGGCTTTATGGGGCTATGCTGCTTATATGACCTTGACCCACGAGTCTGTCGAGCTTGATGTGCTGCTCTAGTTATGAAACCCAGCCCTGTACAAAATCAGGGAACCCCGATGTTACCACAATTAAACATACCCTACGAAGGAGAGTTTGCTGGCGAGGTGCGTCGCCGGCGCAGTGGGTGCTGGGGCACAGACGAACCCTGGGCTTGAGCACCGTGAGCCGGTAGGTACGGCTCGGAGCAAACTGAGACATGCGTTCCAGCTGTTCTTCGTCGGGCAGGGGCAGCGGGAAGTGCACAGGCTCTGAAATATGGCACCAGAAAGACGGGAATATACGACTCCTCGGTGACCAGACCAGCAAAATGCAAACTTGAAGGACTGTTATAAGACGACGTATGATATTTTCTTGCTGAATTTAGTGGAGAGTGATCACATGACACTAACCTCGTGATCGTGTCACTTACATCATAGTGTATCATGTGACACTGCCCAATCATGTAGCTTATGGTGATTATGAGATCATGTAACTTGGAGTGATTACATGATCATGTGATATCACATACCCTAAAATGATTGTGTGATCATGTAACTTAAAAGAAATATTTGATCAAGTAACTTAGAATGATTACATGATCATGTGATATCTTGTAACCTCTCCCGATAGCAGTGCAAATAATTTTTTTGAGCTACACGAGAACATATATAGTAGCTGAAATTACACATTTTCAACTCATTCTGGTAGAGTAAAGGTGGAATAGGAGACTACTGACACAAAGCTTGTTGGTTTGACTCCCGCCAAGGGAGAAAGTGATTTTTGAAAAAATAAACCTGGCCGTGTTGTTACGTTTCTTGTTACAGCCTTTTGTGGTACTCTAGTAGACTTTGAATTCAGTCCTAAAACATATTATGCTTTAAAAAGAAAATGTGAAAGATACTTTGATTCAAGCACCCATCACGAAGTAGCGAAATGAAAAGATAAAGTAACACACACGATCACATTTATGCAATCTCCAGATTTCCTAACTCACCTCCCTGCTTCTGTAGACGTAGGAAAAAATAGTGAGCAGCAGCAAAGGGTTTACTGTCAACGTTTCGAGCAGAGCCTGCTTGTTTTCCAGTGTAGGGAAATACAAGTTGCAGGATGTTTCAGAGATCGAGGCAGAGAGGGAAAGCAATAATAAAGAGACACATGTCGGTCCCAAAAACAAACTCACACACAGGGGGCTACATTTGCAACAACAAACAAACATGCTAAAAAAAAATATGAAGATTTGGTTATGGCAGTTTTCAGGGAAAGCAAAAATATATAGTAAAAGGCGGCATTCTTTTTAGCCCCACGCCTGCCCTAAAATCAGAAATAATAACTATAAACTGTGCGGGTCACCAGAAAAAACCGTAGTCGCGCCCTGGTGGAAGCGCCAAGTTTGAATAAGTTCAGCCCATTAGAGGACGTTGGCTCGAAGTCATGTAAATAATAAACCTAAAAAAAAAATATTTTTTAAAAATTTTTTGACACAATGGTTCAGGCAAACCCCAATCGCATCAAATAATTAAAAAAAAAAAAGGAAAAACAATTTTTTTAGGTTTATTATTTACACGACCTTGAGCCAACAACCTCTAACAGGCCAAACTTATCCAAACTTAACGCTTCCACCAGGTTGCAATTTGCCTTCACGCCGCCCCACGCAGCGTGTCCAGTTACACCGAGAATGTGGCTTACGGCTTCCTGCATCTCCTAATCGTCTCCCGTGCTCGCTGTTCGCTTCACTAATATTTACTGTTTTTTTCTGGTGACCCGCATAGTTTTGATTTACCTATCTTGTTATTTCTGTTTTTAGGGCGGGCGTGGAGATAAAGGGTGCGTCGCCTTTCACTACATATTTCTGCTTTCCCTGGAGACTGCCATAACCGGATTTTCATTGTTTTTTTTTTATCAAGTTTGTGTGTTGTTGCAAATGTGGCCCCCTGTGCGTGAGTTTGTTTTTGGGGTCGACGTGCGTCTCTTCATTATTGCTTCCCCTCTCTCTCTCAATCTCCGAAACATTGTTCACCTTTTATTTCTCTACACTTGAAAAAGAGCAGGCTCTCCTCGAAATGTCGAAGACAAAGCCTGTGCTGTTGCTCACAATTTTTTCTATGTTTAATACTCTCTTGATGAAGAATTGCTTATTAAAACTTTGCTTCTGCAGACTAAGACCGGTTCACCTTAGTGTGACGCAACAAAGCTAGGAGTGAAAAGTGCAAAAGATATAAGTCAGAAACAAACGCACCAAACTCCTCCGGTCCGTAGGCAGGTCGCTGTGGCACGCTTGTGGCGCACTCCACAAGCCACAGCACTCGGTGAACAGCTCCGCTCGTGATGTCCACCACGGAGGGACCAATCACGGAACGGCACAGCGAGCGCTCCACCCAATTGGATGTCTCCAGGAAGGCAGCAGAGATCTCCACTGCCTCCTCCGAGTCTGCGAATGCCCTCGTAATCTTAACACAATGTCTCAAGGCTCGCAAACTTGGAGCAGCCTTCACTCTTGCTTTATTTCATAATGAAATATGAGAACATAAGAACACTGAGAAAATAAAATGCTTGATAAATAATTATTTGTCACTCCTATCACTTCTTAGCTGTTGTGCAAAGTATGACCAGCACAATTCGCAATTGGTTGCTGTACATTGACAAAGAGAGCTTTCATATTCTAATTTGTTAACGAGGCAAATTCCTCTTTTAAACGTTCTGGCCAAAACATGAAGGGCCATCTAGACTCCTTTTGCTAACTTAATTAAAAGGATACCAAATTTTAACAGATCTAACAAATGCTTTTTTCTTTCCAAGACCACTGCCAAGTAAGATGGCTACTTTAGAATCTTTCTGCAACCGCACAGCAAAAGTAATCTGAAGGAAATGCGGTTACAAGCAAGATACGACCATTGTAAGGACCAGTGTGCTCAAACAGTGGGAACAAAAAGAAGTAAAAAAGAAAAGGCAGCCAAGGGATTAGTTTTAAGATGCCTATCAGGCAGTGTGAATTGCTGGCCAGTTGTCCTGGCTTTTCCGTAACGCAGCCTTTCAATAAAGCAAAACCAGTACCATGGGAAAACGTGTTTGTGACATCGACCGGTGGTTCTGTTGGAAAGCCGGCAAGTGGAAACCCCACATAGCCCGTGCATACTTGTGAACACTAGAAGAAGGCCCCTAAACTGCAAATAGCCCGCTTTTAGACAGCCCCTCCTTTTTACCCTTGAAGATGTTTACTCAGTCGGACTCTTTGCTACACGCAGTTGATCCAAAACAGGTGAATCCCTTCATGACATATCATAGATAGAGAGTGAGCTGTTCCTTTTGTGACATGCCGCAGACCTAAGACAGCAAGCACACAACTATTCCCGACAAACAGCATACAAAATAGAGAAGTTTTCGAAGATGGTAGGAAGAAGCCGACAAGAAGCCCATTGGAAGCTGCAAAGTTGCAACTGACGTTTTGCTAAGAAAACCTTCTTTGAAAATGCAGTCTCTTCACGAAACGTCGCCTTTTCAAGACCTACAGAAAGCAGACCGATATAGTACATCTAACGTCAGGCTTTGTGTATTCTTTGTACCTTCCTTATGTTCGGAACGTGCCCCATCAGTTTTGGCTTCAAACACTGCTACGCTCCTGATACCATTGTTTATAACATGAATTCTCACACTGGGCTCCTAAGAACCCAGGAGCTCTGCAAAGTATGCCCTCACAGGCCCCCGAACTCCCCAATTTTATCGACCACCTCTGCCCGAGTAAAGTGTTTATATAGTCTAAGCACCATTTCAGCGGATCGGAGCCACCCATTGATGCGTAACTATGATCCGAACACTCCTTATACTTGATAGGATGGAAGCTTGGGCGAGTTGGTGAACCATACTTGACGGTGACAGCGCAGGAAAAATCAATCTCACACCAGACACTCAGTAAGACAAGCACACGCGCTGACCAATTGTCAGCGCGTGTGCTTGTCTTACTGAGTGTCTGGTGTGAGATTGATTTTTCCTGCGCTGTCACCGTCAAGTATACTCCTTATACCCTGCTGCAGGTTAAGGGCACACTGACAGGGTAATTATGCATGCCAATGTTTTTATTTGAACATGACGGACAAAAGCCCAACTACCCCGAACACAATTTTAGGCTCGAAATTCGTATCCTTTCCCCCTAAAAATCGCCTGTCAAGAATTGGCCAGTTTCAGGGGCGCCCATCTCTTTTTTTACGGTCATGTGCCGTTCAAACTGATGCATTCAATACATTCAAAGTCGTGGGTCATCTAAGGCAAATTTTAATATTAAAAATATATCTGACGGAGGCTTATTGCGGAGAAGACGCCATGTAACCGAGCTTTCGGTTGCTAGTCAAAAGATCCCCAGGTGGTCGAAATTAATCCTCAGTCCTCCGCTGGGGCGTGCCAGATGCCCGTCGTTGGTTTGGCACGTAAAACCCCCAAATTTGACTTTTTTTTTAATATTAAAAATAGAAAAGAAGATTGACCGCATCTTTTGTGGCTTCCAAAAAGCTTCAAATATGTTTATAAAAAACATTGTTGCACAAGGGCACTATGCTACACGGCGGGACCAAGCGGGACAAAGCGACCGGAACAACGTCGTCTGCTGCAATTGGTCAGCACCGAGCTGCTGACCAATCACAGCATTGTCCTGGTCCCTCATCCCGCTTGGTCCTGCTGTGTAGCATAGGGCCCCAGAACACAGGAAGTAGATGTACACGTCATTCTCAATACGCCGAAGCACCGCGGGCTAGACGATGCGATGGCGGCGCACAACGGATTAAAGGGGCGGTGCAACGATTTTATGATTAAAAGAATTTGCATCTCGTCATTTTTACCTTGTTTATTGTGTCCCGGAGGATAAAGAAAACACCTCCTTCATTAAAAATGTCGCGATTCCGCTGCATAATCGAAAAGCAAAAGTCTAGCTTTTCCCTCCACCTGCAGCCCCAAGTGGCAGCCGAAGATACTACGGCGAAAAGATTACATGACCTCGCTCGGCTCTAAGCCGCAGCATAACGCCCGCTAATGTCAGCAGAGAGAGGGAGAGGAAGCGTCCTCCGAGATAGCACACGGGAAGCTACACGGCACCCCGAACGACGTCACTAGGAGGGGGACCAGGTGTGACCCTGAAGGCTGGGAGTGAGTTGAGGGGTGCCCGAAATGCCAATCTTTATCTTTTTTTTTACGCAACAACTAGGACACGCAGGCGAAATCGGTTTTCTGTTCTTTACTTCAGAAGTGTCAGAGGGCAACTTCCAGAAATTTTTGACCGAAGTCCGGAAATCATTGCACCCCCCCTTTAACGCTGCGACAAACGAGGGACCGGCCGCACGACAAACAGTCGCACGACAAATGGTTCAAGCAACGTCCTCATTGTCGTCATCTGCTTCACACGCCCGAGAAGGAGAGGAATGGAAAAAAAACTGGGTAGGGTGCGACAGCCCTGTGACTTCCGGCAACTCTCTCCTCCGAGCCTCCGTTCACATGTTTCGGTTTCGGTTTTGAGCAGTTGTATTTTTTTGCTTTATTAAAAATATATGTGACTCTGTGGCAAAATATTGATTGGGTAGTCTTCTGGCACCATACTAAATCGCCTTAAAAAAAAATTTAAAATGTTTTAGGGGGGTGTTTTAGTGTCCCTTTAAAGGGCCCATGAAACGAATTTTGGGCTGAGATAAATGAATTTGGATTGGGATTTTACTAATAGCAAATCATTCAGTGGGCCAAAAGAAAAAGGTAGAAAGTCAAAAGCCCGACTTTTGGTACGAAATTTTGAAAACACAGCGGACTATTTCGTACCTCCTTCCCTTCGTAAACCCTCTGCCTTTTCACTGTGATACATCCGCGGTCCTCGAAGCGCGTCAACGGGTCCAAACGCACGTCACACGACACCGGACCTCACTTATTCCCTTTACCCCTAAGCTGACATTGTGGTGGGAGCTACGCGCTTGCCGGACCAATCAGCCGCCTCCCTTTCATCACCCGACCTCATTCTCGGCGGGTGGGTATGCACGAGAGAGCGTGGTCACGTGGTTAAAAGTGGTAGGCCCAACGAGCATGTAGCTTCCACAGCACTGTCAGCTTCAAGGTGAATGAAGTGGGGAAACCCCCTTTTGTCAGAATTTTGAGCGACGGGCTAATCTTCTAGGGGGAGAATGGATGTGTCCAAGTACACAAACGAAAGTCAGAGCAAGAGAAGACTCTTCCCTTTCCGTCTTCTTGAACTGCTTGGTAGAATGCGCGAATTATGAGTTCAGCAGGAAAGCTTAACAGGAAAAGGTTGGAAAAGCATTTCATGACCCCTTTAAGAACAAGCACCTCCCGCAAGGCCCTGCACTCTTTCCATTTCAGCAAGAAAACGCTAAACAGGATGCGGGTGGACTCTCCTTCTTTCCAGCGTTCGCTCGCTAAAGTGGAAAGAGTGGAGGGCCTTGCGGGATGAACTGGTTCTGCTTTTCTTAACCTGCAACAGGGTATGATGTGTGCATTATTGTTTACATGGTATGCAGGTTTCTGCAATGCCTTTTGCATCAACACTGGGAGGGGTTCTTCGCCTAACAGTCGAGAAAGCTTCCTCAATCTATACATTTCAAGAACTCCTGGATTAAAATCGTGCAGCTCAATCAGAAAAAGAGAAGGCAGTAATAAGAGAGAGAGAAAGAGAGACGTGTTCACCGTCCCAGTCCTCGGGGACCTGCAGCTCGTAGAGGTAGTCGAGGCAGAGGGCGGGAAAGCGCTCGGCCATGGCGAGCTCTGTCAGGCGCTCCACGTGGCCGTCCAGCCCCGGCTCGGGCTCCCTTGGCAGCCCCGAGTTCTCGGGGGCCAGGGGGTCGAACAGGGAGCCCGTGAGGTGGCTGTACGTGTGGCTGCCAGCCGTCACGCCCGCCCGGAGGTAGGTCGACAACCCCTGCTCGGGAGATGGACGTAGACAGTTTGTGAAGAAGTTTGACACGGAAACCCTAATCTTGAAACACAAAACTTTAAAGAAAAATGTTTTTTTTTATTTATAAGTTAAAAACAACATGCATTGCAAGTACTACACTCGGGAAGTGCACATTTATATAGTTGACTCAATTCATAGTTTCCATCAAGATTGTTTTTAAACATGCTTTAAAAAGATTTTTTTTTTCATAATTAATTTTTTTGTCACAACTGAGTTATGCCTACGGTACATTTTTTCTAGGATTTAATACCTCATAAATCAGAAAGTGCAACAAGACTAGTATTTCTGAAAAATTATAACTACAAAATGTCTTAACTGGCAAAGACTTTAATGCCCCATTTCTATTTATCGTCAAAAAGATTTCAACTCGTTATAACTCCTTTCAGGATGATGCTAAAATTATAACAATGGCTTTGCTGCACTCTCTGCTGTTTGTAGGACACGCCGACATACTCTGTGCCATTATTTTTGATGGGGGTATTGTAAATGATTTGGGCAGAAACATTTGTGATAAAACTCAAGTTTTCTTGAAAACTTTAATGGATAGGAAACATTTAGCTCATGCGTGCGCTTAGCAAAAAAAAATCTTACGGTAGATGCTAAAATTTAATATATATTACATAAGAACTGACAGAAAAAAGTTAAAGACCAGGGTCTCCCCTTAAGGCCCGTTCACACACTTGCATCTGCTTACGGTCGAGTCCTTGCGATATCTTACGACGAAAGAACAAACCGACACGCTGGCGCCACCTATGAGGTGACCCTGAAACTGCATTTTTCGACAGCAAGCGTCTTGCGATACTCGCGAAATCAAATCTATGTACTATTCGTGAAAAATGATTGTTCATAACATTTTCAAAAGCTTTTCGAGCCAGGAGAGAAAGAATGGTGCACGAAAAAGAAAGAAAATGTACGGAAATGACGAATTTTCCCCGACTAGCCGATAGATGGTGCCATCTGTCCCTTCGTTGTAAGAGATCCTAAGAAGTTTTGAGGCACTCAATTAAAAGCGATCACAAGCATGTTGATGAGCCTTTAGAAGCACAGGTCAAAATACCTTGGCTGCCACGACCACAACTCTTCTACCATTGCAATTCTCGTGCTTTCTATCTCTGCATTCTTTTCTTTAATTTCATAAGCATCACCGCTTTTCAACACACGTCGGATGCCGTTTGTTGCGACGGAACTCCAACAGTGCGGGAAATGCAAAGATTAAGAAAAGGCACACGCACGGCACAATCAGCGCCAACTTGCAGCTAATGTTTTAATATATGTATAAGAAAAGAAAACCTTACACTTTTGGAGGCGAGCGTGCTCATACGGTGCAAAACGAAAGAATTTAACGTAGAAGGAGAGAAAACGTGCTCTGTTCTTCCACGTTTAGTTTTCTTAAGGAAATCTTAAAGCAGATACGAGAGAATGCTTACTAAGTCTCCACCAAGCTCCTGTGAAAGATGAACCTGTTCACTTGAGCCGCATAGTAATGTCAGGAGGTCATGCCCTGTCAGCTCACCGTGATGTCATGCGGACAAATAAGACTGCACAGTTCTGTAGTCTCGGATGTATGCTACGTCCATGAAGTGACATCTCTTTTCATAACCACCGCCGAGCAAAAAGAATTAAATTTCCATTAAAAAACAAGAACGCACACACCCAACAGGCTAACACAGTCACCGCAGGGGGTTGGGGCTTCGATGACCCCGGTGTCTGCAAGGTCACCGAATTCTGTCCTCACCTTGTGGCGACCCCTGCGGGCCGTCTCTTCGAAACCACAGGCACAGCGTTCTGATCCAGATATGGCAGCACCGGTCACCCCGGCTTGGAAGTGAACCCAGGTCACGCCTCGCAGCGCAAGCTCAGCGGACGAACCGTGGAGCTCCAACTGAACCAGCGGACGACCCGCCGAACTTTGCCGTCGCGTGCCCCTCCCCGTAGACTCCTCCGCCGTCGTCTGCACGTAGATCGTCGGCAGGAGAGGGCCAATTATGAAGTGGGCGTAATTTGCAATCATTACTTTTTGGAGATAGGACTTCCTGAGCTTTCGATAGGGTGTGGGAAAGCCCAGATGACGCCGTTCTTTCCTGCTGCGGGTTGTTTTAACCTATCTGGATGACAGCAAAGCATTTCCTGGCATTTAAAGTGAAATTTTATATCACCGGCAACCATGATTTGAAGTGCCAAGATGGCTGGCATGTTGTTACACTGAAGCAAAGGTTCTGAACTTCTAATCTCAAGAAACTGCTTTTTGTTATTTTTTTTTCTTTTCATTAGAACTGCCAGCCGTGAGGCCAGAGCAGGTGTGATACATATTTTATACACAAAAAAAAACATTACATACTCTGAAAGCTTACAAATTCATTTTCAGAAGATACCACATCAGCACAGTTCACAAAACAAGAAGGCAGCTTATGCCAAAAGTTATAGACTGAAAGAAGAAATATATGTATTTGAAATGATCCGTCGAATACCAATCTGATTTAACGTGGCGGTTGTGCCGGGTTCTTCTCGGCAAGGTTCTATATATCGCAATGTATTTCGACGTGTCTATCTGGTAGTGACCACAAAGTATATAAAAAAAAAGAGCCTCATTCTACTTTTTTTTATTCCGATTGGCAACAAAAGAACGCCTCTCGGTCCCAGGACTGATCCAATAAAGCGATACAGAAGCTTACAAACCTCGTAAACAATAATGCACATGCATACTAAAGAGCGTTTGGCTCAAAGTAACACACCAATAGGTGGCTCAGCCCCGGTAAAATAATGCTTAAAGGGACACTGACAGGGTATTTAGGATCGCCAATGTTTTTATTTCTACATGACATATGAGAGCCTAACTACCCAGAACACGATTTGCAGCTTAAAATTTGTTTTCTTTCCGCCCAAAAACCGCCGATCAAGAACTGGCCGGTTTCAGTCACACTCACTCTTTTCTGTGGTCACGTGCCGTTTTCTATGGTTTTGAAACGATCATCAAGTATAATCAAAGTCGTGGGTCATCAAAGGCACACACTCAATATTAAACATAGAACAGAAATATGATACTCATTTTTTGTGGCTTCTAAAAAGCTGCAAATACGTTGATTAAAAAAAACATTTGCACAGCCACGTGACTTTTGCTAACTCTCTCCTTCTCTATTATTCGTCTTCTTCCCAAGTCCAGTTTCGGTTTAGGTTTCGAACAGTTGCATTTCTTTACTTTGTTAAAAATATATGCGACGCTGTAGCAAAACATTGATTGGGCTGACACCATAATAAATTGCCTAACAAAAAATTTAAAAAAATATTTTGGAGGGTGTCAGTGTTCCTTTAAACTGGCCAAACGTTTTGCTCAAGGAAGGGACGGTTAGGAAAATTTGGGAGCTCGAGGAATCTCGGGGAATCTTGGGGAACCCCGGGTCCTTAAAAACCCATGCTCCGAAGCGTAGCTTCTTCAGTGGTTCGAGGGTGAGCCCCACCTTAAAGATGCAGGTCATCTTCTCCACGTAGCATCCCAGGTGGTACAGGGTGGGCCAGGGGGCGGCGTCCCCCAGATGGGCGTCGCCCGGGCTGCCCTCCATGCCTGGCTCCTCCTCCCAGGCGGGCAGGATCTGGGGCACCATCGACCAGGCCCAGGCGCCCCACCCTTGGTCCTGGTCGTCCGTGGCTCCGCCCTCTGCGGTGTGCCGACATCGCCCCGACTAAGTGATACACCTTAGAATACATGTTGAACTCGTAGACAAAAAAAAAAAAATTATTCACAAAAACAACCCAAAAAATATACCGAAAAGCCGCGTGTGCCACGGCCACTCGATAGATGGCACCATCGTGTTTTCTCATAGTAAGAGATCCCGAGAGGGTTTGAGGCACTCTGTCGTAGGCGCTCGCAAGTGTGAAAACCAGCCTTTCGACGCCAAGCGTTTAAGACGCGGGTTCTCAAACTGGGTTCCTACAGTCATTCACAGGGTGAAAACAGCAGGAAGGAGCTCAGTGTGTGCTCGAGCGAACGCCAGACCTCCCTCAGGCAAAGCCATAGGCAGAAAAACCTCGAGGTACACCTAAGCACTTCTTATGAGTTGTGAATGCGAAAACATGAAGCCACTCGTCCGCTCCCTTTTTTGTCTGCTGCATACTTTTCATCGCCGGTCAGCACGCGTGCTCCCCCGAGCACGCTGACCTTGGACGCTCCGCGTTAACGGCACGCTGATGGACACACAGCGCCATGGGGTGAGCGGTCGTGGAAATTGACGAGCGCAGCGGCCAATGGAAGCCCCGTCGACGCGCGCCAGCCAATGGAACCGAAAGCGAAATCCTTCAGCTTTACTTTGCTCCTAATGGGATCGCGGAAACTAGGGGCCGTTTTCACGCTTCAAATTGATGACGTTAGCTCACTCCATTGGACAGTTAATGCTTTTGCATTAAAATAGATCCTGCTGCTTCCATTGAGCTGTGGCATCCTAGACCGAGCTCCCCCGACATTCTTTTTGTGACCTACTGTGGCTTATCTTTTGCCGCCGCCGCCACCGCGCCCCCCCCCCCCCTGGAGTTGGTGAAGTGGTTGCAGGCATGTGCAAATAGTGGATTTTAAGTTCAAAGTGAATTTGAAGCGAGTAGGGATTTTGCCTGAATATTTTTTGATAGAATATAGAATAGTCTCCCCAAGCCTTTCACAACTGTGCACCATGCATAAACAAAAATTCAACAGAACTTGTGTAGATTGTTCCACTTGTACACTTCTAAGCTCAGTTAATTTGAATACAACTACCCCATTTAATTGAAATAGGTCGACCTTTTTGTGAACAATGCCTGTGCGTGCATTTCTGTGCAACGTTCAAGAGCCAATCACTGCGATTTACGGAAGACGTCCAGCGAATGACGAGGCACCGATAACGTCGGGACACAGAAATAAGTTCTGTGTGGATCGCATTTCAAATGTTGTCTCTGCTTTGTTATTTGATGGCTCCTTTCATAAGTCTGAACAATTGGTTTTCGTAGGTTCTGCGAGAAAGTAGACACACAGGTCTGTTCATAAAAAGGTTGACCTATTTTCAAATAAATATGGTATTTCGTCGTTTACCCTGAGACTGGTTTTTTTTTTGAAGAGCACAAGTAACAGAAAAAACAGACAGGTCTCTGTTACTTCTGCTCTTCAAAAAACCCCCCAGTCTCAGGGTAAACGACGAAATGGTTGACTTCCACCAGCTAGCCTGTAATTTGACTCTTTTCTCGTTAATATGGTATGGTTATGAACTCTGGCACGTAAACAACAAATCTGTTGCAGCTATCGTAATTGAGAGGATTTATAAATCTGCCTGTTATTCAGTGTAGACCGCATATAACGTATGTCGCAGGAATCGCGAAAATCCGCACTATAAGCGGTACCGCGCTATAACCAAAACATCAATTTTTCAGGCCAAAATACATGCCATGAGACAACTTACCTTTGTAAAAGAATTTATTTTATGTTACATGAAAAATAAAGCTTAGTTTGAGGAAAGACTATTTCACCAGACTAGTACACTTCTCTATCAAGTGTGTCACCCATTTTGAAAGAAATGAGTGACTTTTGCCTGGCGCAGCCTTTTAACGGCGTCGCGGGTTGCGGACGGACGTTGCAAGCGTTCAGGATTGCTAACCCTAATCACTTTTCTCCGGCGATGAAAACGCGTGAAAATTTGCATCCTTTATACGGTACGCGCCAGTAATACCTTCAACATGAGCACAGGCATGAAATGCTCCAAATAAGAAATCCGGGCGACGTTCGAAAACACAAATGCTTAGAAAGCACCACTGTAGTCGAAATAAACAAACACGACGACACTGGCGTTTCTGCTGTCTTGAGAGTGCCGCCACAACATCGCCACACGAGTAGGCGGATCTTCCCTTCTAGTACATGCTGGGTTATCATAGCGACACACAACGAAAATTCACAGTCAAGGATAGCGCTTTTACGCGGAATGATGAGCTTCCACACACGATCACAACCCACGCCATGTTTGCGGAAAGAAGCAGCCGGCCCGCGACCGGCATGCAACGCGCGGGAACACTTCTCCTCGCCCTGCGATTGGTCTGTCGCTGCGGTTGTTGCCAATGCACCGGAGGGACGCACGTACGTGAACGACACGTATGTGCGTCGCTCCATCGCTATGGCAACTGAAGCCTCTCTCTTCGCTTCTCCGCGCTTCCTCGAGTTGCGGCTCGCGCCGTTATCTAGTGTCGCACAGGGAAGCGTGCTCGTTGCGCCGGCCAGAAACCGCACTATAACCGGTATTTCCCTTCGCGCGCCTGCATTTTAAGTGGTATGTAATTACATAGAGTTCTATGGGAGGCGAACCGGTGGTTTAAAAAAGCCGCGTTATACCCGGTCCTGCACTATAAGCGGTTATGTTGTAAGTGGTCTATACTGTATGTGATATTCTTTCTTCAATTTGACATATTCTGTCAATTTTAAATGACAAAAAAAAACAGTCACGAATGATGTATGGGGTTGTCAAGACATTGCTGCCTAACATATACTCTTGCACAATCGTGGTGGGTTAGTCCCGTTGAGTGCGCTTCTCGCTGAGCACCTGTCCACTACAGGGAAGCGACACCTACTGTAGTGCACAAATGCTCAATGACAAGTGCACTCAACGGGGCTTACCTGCCGCGATGAACATTCGAAAAGTAGGAATATCTTGGTTCATCTCAAAGTGAGTATCGAATAGCATATTATTCGAAACTACTAGTCGAAAATTCGAATATTAGCACAACCCTAGAAATAAGGGTTATTGCCTCTCCTTTCTATAATCACTGACTAAATGAGAACGGAAGAGAAGAGTTTCGGTTATCCCGCCTCCAGCACGAGCTTCTTAGCTTCGATAATGCTACAACGTCTCAGGAGCTTTGCGTGTGCATGTGCAGCCAAAGCAATGTGAAAGGCAATGAGTGCATACTGAAGGCAGGGCATTCGAAAAAGATGCCCTGCCATTCTCATCTTGTCAGTGACTAGTGTGGTGCTCATTTTTTTCACCCTCAAAATACTCAAAACCAATTTTCTGACAAGTGGCGCCTTTCGAAAAAAGTGGATTCAGCATGAAAACTTCCTCGTTATTTTACAGTATGTTTAAACGCTGGTTTAGGCGAGAAAGAGAGCAAGACGGTAGATTAGCCGACAGAGTAGAAAAGATGGAGAAGACGGTAGATTAGCCGATCAACTAGACAAGACAAGGCGAATCAGGATGCCACCACTCACCGGAAAAGGCTCCGGACGGCATCCAAGCGGAAGAGGGAGAACCGGCGCGTTCTTGCGAGGAGGCCGCCGCTGCCGGCTCCTCCCCAGGAGGGCAGGAGAGGCGGCCATAGTAGAGCGCCAGGCAGAGCTTGAGCAGACGCAGGAACAGAGGGAGCTGCTGGTCCGTCAGCGACAGGTCGAGCCGCTCGCAGGACAGGTGGCAGCGCATTGCCACAGGGTTGCCGGCGCCGTCATAGGGCATGTGCACCCTTCCCGCCACGAAGCAGCGGTAAAGAAGGGGCTCTTGGTATGCCTCGATCTTGCCACTGGCGTCACGCTGCAAACCGCAAGCATCCCTAAGCACTGTTATCCCGCTTACGACTGAGTTCCCGTGATCTCTTATGACGAGAGAACACACTGGCACGCCGGTGCCACCTATGAGGTGACCCCAAAACTGCATTTCACTACGGCGAAGGTTTTGCAGTATTTGCAAGATCAAATGTATGTACAGTAAAACCTCGTTATAACAAAATGGGATATAACAAACTAATGGATATAACAAAGTAATCATAATTCCCCTTGCTTGCTATAGTGGGAAGAAATAGATATTGGCTATAACAAACTAATGGTTATAACGAAATAATTACGACCGCTCCTTCAACTTTGTTATAACGAGGTTTTACTGTACTATCTATGAGAAACGATTGTTTATAACGTTGTCGAAAGTTTTCAGTTTTGGATCAGGCAATTCTGAAACTAAGTCAACCAACACCACTCTTCACAATGGTGAGAGGGTTGACAGATTTCACCTTCAACTCTCGATGGGTGCATTAAAAAGCTAAAAAGTGCCAAAGCCAGTCTCATGCAGATGTACATTTCCTTGGGATTGTGTGTAAGGCTAAGCACAAAGAAAAAGGTCGCCTTCTGCTCAATTTTAAAGGCCTGTTCACACTGTAACATTTGAATATATGTCTGACCACCTTGCGAAGACATACAAGAATAAACAATCATGAATTAGCAGTACATTTATGCTTTGTACACCACATATTATGCAACACATAAAGCCCGAACATCCCGGTAACCTGCAGTCATGTCTCAATGTAGTAATTGAAATCTTATTTAACAACTCCCCGGTTAATTTCATTTTTTCTTTTGCACTGGATTTTTTTTATTTGAGCATTAATAAACTCAACTGAACTGGATAGCAAAGTCAAACATAGTTTAATGTTACTAATAGCCAGATAAATTTAGAAGTGCAAGTGCCAGATGAAGCAGGTGTTCCTACGAGAATGAGTGGATTAATCGATTGGGTCAGACCTTGTCGAGGCAGACAGTGACGTCCTGCATGGAGATCAGCTTCCGCAGGACGAGGTCCTCCGCCCAGAGCTGGGCAAAAGCCGGCTGCCAAGCGGCATCCGCCGAGGCCAGTTCCACGGACTTGATGTTGAGAGAGAGCACCAGGTCTTCCTCGGCATACTTGAGGATCACGTTGTTGAGCACAATGGTCACATTGTGCAACACTCGCTGCAGCAGGCCACTCAGATAGCCACTGGGAGGCTGGGCCAGGGACTGCGAAGAGCCCTCCGCACTGGAAAGACGCGCCGAGCTAAAAGAAAAAAAGAAAAGAATGGCTTTTTCGTAAAAAGATATTGCTCTACGCTTGGCAGAGTTGACAATGCATGTGGCTGCCACGCGGAGCAACGGGATTGGAACCCGCTCAGCCCAGTTTTTTCTTTTATCAGTGCTTGTTCTTCTGAAAAGCTCCAGCTCATTCTCGGCTGTTGCCGTGGGTTCAGAACATGCCCAAATGTACCACGGGCCTAAAAGTAGTGGTAATGTGCTGCTTCAGAAGATTTGCCCTTTGTTGCGGCCGCAGAATGCGCAGTAGATTGCTTGTGTTATTCACAAGCACAAGTTCACCTTATTAAGCGTCTACTTCCAGTTCTACATTCGTCTTCCATTTGTATTCATGAGAATATCAGCCTCAAGGGGTGAGAAAAAAAGTGGGCAGCACACTGGGTCCCATGAAACATGAAAAACAAAATTCCTAGAAATGTTTTCGTGCTGCTTTTAGAGCCTCTTTTCAAAAAGCAAGACAATGACAAAGACAAATGTGCACCTGACTCTCCGGAGGCGAGCAGACGCGGTGGCCGCGGACGAAGCAGACGACGAGGAAGCGCTCGAGCCAGCCGAGGAGGCATCGCCGAGACGCAGCACGCACTCGATTGTGTTGATGGTGACCACGACGGGCTCCGAGGTGAGCTTGGTCCACGGTACGTGGATCCGCAGCTCGTGGATGTGGCCGTTGACGAGGCGGAACGGCAGCCGCAGCTCCTGCTCCAGCGCTTCCAGCCGGAGGTCGAGGTTGCTGAACACCGCGTCGCCTCCCCACAAGGACAGCTGAAGAAAGAAACCAGGATTGTGGGCCGCATAGATTCGACACGGTTCGTAAGCTTGAAATCTGACAGGTCGTAGAGCGCATCTCTAACTGGTGTGTATAGTGTTCTATCCCCCCATGCATCGGATGAGATCCCGAAGTGGCAACAAATGATGTCGCGGGAGCCGGAGTCGGAAGTCGGAAGTCGCAATCCTGGCAGTTGGGCGTAGAAGTTTTGGCAAAAAGTACGAGAGAATGTGAGTGTCGCCATCGTCGCGGCATCCAAACTCCCAAGCTTCTGAGATTCCGCGGACTATCCCGCTGGAGAGTGACCTGCGGCAGAACGGGCATCTGCCACGTCTACCATTGCTGCCAGGCACATCGCCGGGATCGCGGCCGGCAACAAGACGACACGTCTATGACGTTGGCGGCCGTAAATTGAGGGATCAGTTTTTAGGACATGGTAGGATATGGCGCTCCAGGCACCATAATACTGCTGAAGGTCGTAAAGGTTCCTCTCAAAGTTGCTGCAGGCATTTCCTACTAGGGAATTGAAGCATAAAAGCTAGTTCACACATTGTAAGCCTCCCCTCCAGCATTTGATCTGCTAACTGCTAAAGTAGAAAGAGGTGAAAAAAGCTTCCCCTGAACTTTTAACCTGTCACCGAACCAGGGACGGATTTATGAATCAGGTTTGGGGGGGCATTTGGCTGGCAGGGTGGTTGTCTGCTGAGATATGACGTTACGGCCGAAACGTTGCCCAGATCTGTTTTGTTTACCCACTATTTGCTATGTCACCAAAGACTGACCTTTTGGCTGGTGTATATAAATTTTTTCATTAAAATTCGCACCAATCCTACGAGAAATAGTCCCTTATAACATTGCCAGTTATCTAAAGGGCAACTTCACTCAATAGACTTTATGCGAAATTGCTTTGTGGTCTGACAACACTGAGAGTGTCGCCATTTTAATGTTGGCAAGCGTTGTCGGTACCGAAGCACGGTGGAGGCATCGGAGACAGCCGTATGGGCAATGTGCGATGGCGCAGCAACTGTTTTCCACCTTGCTACCATGTTATGTGGACGAACAGTTTAAACAACCTACCGCAACTGTCTGACAAAACTCTCGGAGGCCTGTGCACGCTGGCAACAACCTCGTCAAAGCAGCGGGCCAAGCCCTACGCTTTCGCTGTGGAAGCTTGTCACCAGCGTGTGCACAGGCCTCAGAAAGGACTAGGCCGTCATGCGTTTCATCTTTGAGAACACTTTTAATCCTTTTTTCGATGCGAATATGCTTAAAGTCGTACTGTCTAGCGGTATACTGCTCCACGCAAATACATGACTCAAAATGAGTTTTTTTTTTTTTAGTTTTTATTGGCGGAGGGTTTTATGGTGGAACACTCTGTGTTCTTCTAAAAAGAAACTGTGCCCTGGGCAATCTTTTTCAAGCGTTGCAAAGGGCTAAAATTGTTTTCAGATAGCATTGACCTATAGCACAGTTGACAGATGTTGCGCTATTATTGAAGATTTATTCAACCCTGGCAGAATAACTGCAGTGACTTTCTCAAAACTACCCCCGAGCTTCCTTGCGCAAAACAAAATTTCTACCTCGGCAGCGACAAAAAGAAAAAAAAAAGGAGGTTGTAAAATGTAGTTGGCACCGCCCGTGTTGCTTCATTCGATGTCCGCAACGTAAATTTTTGCCGCCGCCGACATCGAAGTTTTAGCCACTGCTATGAACCTAACCCAAACCGTGAGCTAACCATACCACTGTTAACCATACGCATCTTCAATTATGGTTGGTGGTGTAGATTATAAAAACTGCCATCTTTTTTCCTCGTTTAACATCCTTGGTCTCGTCCGCACGAATTGAACTGCTTACGCACCAAGAAAAAGGCAGGCCGACACTACAAGGCACATAAAATAAAAAAGAAGGTCATAAACAAATTTGGTACAGCTTCTAAAAAAAGATTTGGGCCCAGTTCAATAGTTGTAAATGGATTCACGCCGCGCGATAACGTCCGCATGTTTCTTCGCGTTGTCACCGATTGTTTTTGTCAAAAGCTGCGTCTCAAGTGACAAATAAAAATAAGCAAAAGTTGAACCCTGTTCACATTTGCGTTCACGTCATGCATAAATCGAAGGTTTATCGCTGCATCCGCAGCGGAACGCGACAATCATTGGCGTCGCATCTCTCGCACGAAGCGCGGTCACTTGTTTACATGGGTTCTTTGCCGGTCGGGTCTCTGGTTTCGTTTTTTCGCCACTAACAAGATGGCGGACGTAGTTCTCGGCACGCTACTAGATGGCGCTCTAAATTTCGCATATGGCCTATTCCAAGGATTTTGGGATGATGAGTGATTTCGCATTAAAAAGCCTTAGTAAAAGACACTATGTCATTTGAATCGCGATAAATAGGATATATATCTTTTAATCTAATTTTAAGTGCCAGCAGAAATCGAAACCGAAACTTTGGCTCCGTCTGACAACATTGGCCTCGAGCTGCCAAGAACATGGCTATCACGTGATATCAGATGTCACGTGATCCTCTACGCACGAAGAGCATGCCCCAGGCGGAAGTGTCATCTGCACCGCACTCTTTGCCACATTTTGGTGTCTACGACATTCGACGACGTCTGCACAACTGCAGCATAAGTCTGTGCACGTAGTGTTTGTAGTGTGGACGAAACTCTGAGAGGCTATAATCACAAACGGTGAGACGACGGCGGTTGTGACGCGAAAGACGGCGGTAACAGCGGGACCACGGCGGGTCCACAGCGGGGCTGCCGAACGGCTTCCAAGAAGCGTACTGCGCAGGCGCGCCAAGAGGAAACATTGCTGACGTCACCCGTTTTGCTTGCCCCGAGAAGTAAAAACAAGCAAAAGATGGAAATGGTGATGACATTAGCTCAATGTTGGCTTCGTTCACTCCGTGGCCTTGACTGCACTATTGGTCGCCGCCTCAATTCACCCGCTCGAATCAGCCAATTTCGGCAACTTGGTAAGTTACAAAGTTTGCCGGATTGCTTAATAAACATTTAGACGGAACTACGTCATAATATTTGACGTCAAGCTATTCTTTTTTTCCTTTCCTTTTAATAAACATATTCTACTAGTAGTACTAGTACTACTACTACTACTACTAGCAGTTAGAAGCGGTCGAAACGCAATCGATCACGATGAAACAGAAATGTGTAAACCAATTCAATATGCACCAAGGTCCAAGATCGTTCTGAATTGGCTTACGTACCTGCGAGTCTTCGGGGCGTATATTCTTGACGTACTTGCTGACATAGCTGAGGATCAGGGGAGTCACATAGGACTCGATCTTGAACATGCTTTCTCCACCCACAAGACCTCAGCGCCTGCAAAGCGGTGCGATCCCGTTATCGCGGGTTTTTACCGGATCATTATCTACCATCGGATTAAAAACTGTCGAACACAGAAGTGTCGTCAAGCGTTTGAGGTGCGGTATAGAGGAGAAGGAAGTACTACGTGTCTTTTGTTACTCTCTTACTTGCGCAAAGGCCAACCTGATCAAGAAGAAACAACAGTCCATTGCAAACGTTCGGAAACACACTTGGAAATCGACAGTTCTGTAAGCGAATCCCAGTCATAGGCGTCAAAATGCGAGCCTACAAGCTTTGACAAAGGTTGTTATGCTCTTGTTGCAACTTCCAGGGAAAAGGCATGAAGCCGAAAGATATTACAACGTACCAACAACGAATCTGTTTGAGTGATGCAGAATCTACGAGAGAAACAGCAGGGGAAACTCACACGGTGCTCCGGCCAGCTACTATTTTCTGCGCAGCCGATCAGACCATAAGCAGAAGTCGTGAAGATCGCTCTTTTTTGTTGTTGTCCCAGTTCAGGTCGCCATTCTATCAGCATTGATGTCCCTCATCTTGGAGACGCGATTGTCAAGAGTGAAATTTAAACGCACTGCTACAATAAGCCCAGCCACAGATTCCCGCGGGCAGCCTCGAGCTCGTGTTCGCCGCTAATGCAGCTGTTCGACGTCGGCAAATGTTATGATTAGCATCCAAAATTAAAAATAACTGGGCGCCGCCATTTTGTTTTATGGTTGCCAGATTGGTTTGTAGTTTCCTAATGATTCTTATATTTATTATATTTATGATTTGAAGATCGAATAGACACAAAAGCTAGCGCTCATAACAGTTACTCGATAAATATATAAATATTGGCTCCGGTTAAGTTAATTAATTTATTTAGTTGAGTAATCAATAAATAAGTCCTTTTACGTGTTCAGTTGTGCGTTAGCTTGCGCCATCTAGCGTGGGTATAGAAAAATATTACAAAAAATTTGTTGACCTGCGTTACGATTTCGTCCTCCAGCAGTTTGATTCTCTCATTCCGATTTGTCTGAATACACCTGTATGACTGCACTTCTCTTCATTGTGACCTTCAAGCAAACTTTCTCTCTCCACCTCCTTTTGTATTTATTAACTAAATTGATACTATTTCCCGTCTTTATTTATTTTTATTTTTTTACCCACCCAGTCAAAATTGCACGTTGCTGCTCGATTTGAATTCCGCTAAACTTTTTCATACGCCAAATGCAAACACCAAACAAAACCTGTGAAATTTTGAATACCATTCGGTACACTTCGACTTTTCAAACTTCATACGCTACTTACTTCCTGCTCACTACAGCTGCAACGGATGACCTCTAACCAGATCCGACCACTTGACGCTTTTCAATTCTTCCTATATTGCAATCCTCAAAGGACGACAAGAAAGTCAAGCAGGCTCAACACGTAAAGTACTTTAATATTGCACAAAACAGTTCACAACTACAGCAAACGTCGATCAGTCGTAAGTTTAAAAAGGACACTGCTAGTCTGTACAAGTGGCCTGTGAGTTGGGGAGGGAACAATAAAATGATGAAGTCCTTGGCCGACCTCCGTGGTGTAAACACGTAAGCACAGTACGACGCCGTTGTTCACGTTGAAGCTGTAGTCTTATCACAAGCACACGTCGCCCCACACTCGACGCTAGACGAGATTGCGGACGGCACTGCGCCGCGTCTTCGATCGGTCTCTTCCAACATGTCTGCATCAGGATAGCATCTTGTGAAAGTTTTCCAGCTGATATACACTATTAGATAATCTGCAAAAAAAAAAGGATGCGTCGAAAAGCAATCAGAGACGAGTGCCAATTTTGGGAAGCGGAGAAACAGACGAGTTTTGCAACGACACTCAGAAACAACGATACTACGAACATAGCATTTCACTGATTAGAAGAGCTGAAAACACAAGTCACAAAAACATATTTCAAGGATCCGACTGCACGAATATGAACGCTCGACGAGACATTCGTATTCATAGATCACGAAGCCGACTGCTGTTTTGTTTCGCCGCGATACACCGCTGCATATGCGACAAGCATGGCTTCCAGGTCGGTGAAGGTAATTTAATTGTGCAGTAATTTATTTGTGCAGCTGCAAGGAGAGCCATAGGTTCGAAATTTCTTTTTCTTGCACCGTGCAAGCGCTTGACGCTAATGAAGCATGCGAAAAGAATGCAGTTACCTTCCAAAGGCGTTGAACAACGAGACGATCTCAGAGCGAGTCAGCTGGAAGCGCCGGCTTGCTTCGGGTTGCCTCAGGTTGTCCGTGAATAAAATCTTGAAAGCCGTGCCCAAACCCTGGACCTGTGGGGAGCAATGTCCGGATGTCTCGGAGAAAGCACCTGAACACTCGGGTACAGTCTTAACACGGAATGTGTTAGCCTATAGGGCAGGGTTTCGTGAAAATGCAACACGCTTGGCTGATGCATAGGTCTCGTGAGCTCATGAAGTCGTACGACTTGACATCAAGTTCGGGTGTCATAACGTCACCGAGTTACGTGACATTATGTGATGTGACTGTGACATGCAGTCCCATGTGATGTCATGCACACACAGCATGTGACGAGCTCATTTTCAGTATATTTGTGGATCAAGACATGCTCAATTCTTTTTTCTTTTTTTTTTTTAGTTGGGAACACTGCTACGAACCTGGAGCTTTCCCCACAGGCGACACTTGTCGCACCCGACGCAGTCCATGATTCGAGAGATGTTCCTGAAGTGCGCCTTGAACTCCTCCTGGAAAACCACCGCAACATTTTTGCTTTCATTACCGCGCAAGTAGTTATCAATTTTCTTGCAACAAGCGCAGGGGTACGCCGTCAAGGTACTGCCCGATTCGTTTTTCGTTATAAAGTTGTGCATTTGCTGAGAAAAAAAAAATGAATGAACCTAAACTAAAATAGGAGACTGCTGGTTTCAGAGACAAAACTGTAGGAGATTCTAGGAGAAGAGCGAGTCGTTCCTCTCCTCGTGATATGTTTTGACTAACTTTTAATCAAGATATTTTTTATATGCTTTTGCTACTCATTAAAATTATTTGTTACAAACTATTATTTTTATGAATAAAGATTTACATTGGACAACTAAATAATCAATAAATATTTCAAGTTCTGTGTCGTCACGGCACCCACCAAAGTCAATCACCAAAGATAATCAAAGTCGTGGGTCATCGAAGGCACAAACTCAATGCTAAAAATAGACAGAAACTATGATACCCATTTTTTGTGGCTTCTAAAATGCCGCAAATACGCTGACTGAAAACAAAAGAATGTTGCACAGCCGCATGACTTCCAGTAACTTTCTCCTCTATATTTCTTCTTCCTCCCCAGATTAGTTTCAGTCTCGGTTTCGAGCAGTTGCGTTTTCTGAATTTACTGAAAATATATGGGACGCTTTAGCAAAATATTGATTAGGTAGTCTACTGACACCATAATAGATTGCCTGGCAAAAATTAAAAAATTTATTTTGGGGGGTGTCAGTGTTCTTTTAAGCACTTCAGAGATGTTCTCAAAATGTGCCTTGTTTTGAGGGCACATTGTTCCTCACCTTGAGCTCGATGGCATCCTTTCGTCCACTGAACATGGCGCTGTCATTGAAATGGTGCGGGAACTCCCTTTAGAGGATACGGAAAAGGAATTTCGTTAGACACACGCTGGAAGAAGACAAATTTTGATGTTTCAATGTTTCCAAACAAACTTTCCGGCCCTGCATACTCGAGTTTGAGATGGTGCATGACTACAAAGCATGGTGGTGCAAAGTGATTGACAATTAGCCTTGTGGTTATGTGAGGGATGCTTTTGAATAGCTCTGCTCCAAACTGTCGTTAGATGTGAGGAATGATTCGGCGATAGTTTCCAGCAGACACAAGATTTTTTTAAGTCAAAACAGGAGTCAACCACAAAGTCCAGTTTACATACATGTTTATGTAATAACTTCTACAGTTTGCGGGGGTAGACAAACCTGCCACACAACTAAAAGCTGCAGCTTTATTTTGCACGAAGACACCGGCGTCGCGCGTCGTACAGAAATAAATAAGGTTGACGAGTGCTCGAAACCTCACCTATCCTCCACTCTTCAGTCGCATTCTTTCTCGTCCTTTTTCTCGGAACCACCGACGCCGGCGCTTACGATCCGTCGAGTTCTGCTCCCATCTTTAGCCCCCCGATCGAGGCCCACGCACCTGGCGGCGTCCAGCAGCGCCCTGACGGCGGTGCGAACCTCGTCGTCCTCCTTGCTGGTGTAGAAGGTCTCCTGGAGCAGGTAGGGAGAGGCCCTGGCCAGGGCGCCCAGCTCGAGCAGGTACACGAAGTACAGGTTGCGCAGCCACTGGGGGCCCTCCCCGCCCGTGGGCTGGGGCCCGAACCGGCGCTCAAACTCCTCGGGGTTGGGGCCCCACACCGCCTGGCCCAGGACCCCCTCCCGGCTCAGGTACTGGGCGCACAGGTGGATATTGATGCTCGTGTGGAGGCCGGAGACGGCCCGGTAGAAGGCGCGCTTCTCCAGGCACATGGCTGCGGGGGAAGGGGGGATGTTCACGCAATGACCGAACCTGTTTACTCGTTCGGATATTCCCTGAAAAACACAAAAAACTTAAAAAAAAAGAAAAATCTTTTTAACGCAGAGTGTGTTTTTTATAGTGCTGAGTTTCATGAGAAAAGCGACATGTCGCAATCGAGAGTCAATGTTTGTTTTTCTGTTAAGAAGCTTTTGTACGCTTACGTCTAGGTACGACTGCAACTAGCCGGAACATCCCTGCTTCTCACAAATGTTGCAATCGGTTAAGGGGAGGCACTGCTCTTTGAGGCAAAAATATGCTAAGAAAACACATTTTTGAAATTGTGTTCTTGGAAGATTCGCAGGCACTTCTCATCTTGCCCTGAAAATTTTTCTTTAAATAAATCTCTCTCATCTTGAAATATTGTTTTGGAAACAAAGTAAAATGAGTCTGTGGATGTTCTTTTATATTATTTCTAAGTGAACTAGTTACACCCTTTACTATTTTATGGAAGCCATATCTCCATTTGCACATGTCTAATCTTGATATTTTTTTCTTTCTCTGCTAGGTGTATGTGTGATATGTGCAATAAGGGGTACAAATATATTAAATAGGGCAAAAGGCTTTTTTAAGTGCCTTTTAGGCATCCTGCAAAAAATCATTTTGAAACTGGAAAGTTCAAAAGTGTCCTAAGAAGTTTATAAAGCATCCTAGAGCTTTCATTTCTACCTTACTGGATTCCACATACCTTTTAGTTCACTGATATATGTTTATTTTCTTATTTCAGTGTTTCAATTTGTCTTAATCCGTCCCATAATCTTTGCAAATGAAATTTTCAACATTAACAAAACTAATTGAGTTACGTCAAAACCAAGTACTTATTTGTAGTCAGATTGCAATGGAAAATAAACTGTGTAAATTTCATCTGAATTGAATCACAATTTATATAAAAGTTATATGAAGTTGGCGAAATCGACACATCGGAACTGGACAATCTTTTTTGCCATCCATGTTTCCTACGAGTCCATTCGACCGCAAAAGTATGTGAAATCCAAGCAACGTTATGGTATTCGCTCGAAGCACGCACACTCATCTGGAATGCGTTGATCAGAAATATGCGAAAAACTGACACCCTTTATTTTCGTTTACTGCAGGTGAATTCTTGATGCATTCTGTGACTGTTACCTGTATGTAAACATATTTATTTATTTATTTATTTATTTATTCAAGTACCTTAAAGGCCCATTGCTGGGCATTACATAAGGGGGGACTGTTCAAGTAAAAACACAAAGGATATATAGAAGATAATGCTGTGATGGATGGAGGGAAGAATCATTTCATGGACAACAGGGGCACTTCAGTTAATAAGAGAAATCACAGTAAACACAAAAACACAAAATGTGACAGGGGCACGTCTGTGAAAATCTTGGATTATGTGAGACAAAAGAACAACAAATAGACATCCCTCAATGTTCACAAGCCTATGTTATTACGGGACAACAAACGAGGATGCCAGAACTGCAAACTCTCTCCAAAATTACCAGGACCACTGCCTGGACGTCGTAAGGCAGAAAAAGAAAGGTCAATGAAGTTGTCCGTGAATGTTAAAAAAATAAAACTAACAACTTTTTTTTTTAGGACGTATAGTATTTGTTGAATTAAAGGGGCACTGATACCCCAAGGGTTGTATTCTATTTTTATTGTCTAAAACAATGAAAGTTGTAGTCATAAACAAAAAAAAAACAAAAAAAAAACGCATCGCAAAAAAAAAAAAAAAAATTCTTTATGTGCGTGTACGCTTTTTAGTTTTTACCGCCTTCCTCTCTTGCTCCTCGCCTCCTCGCTTCTTTTGATTCATGACGTCAAAAATCATGAAATTTAAAAGCTTTGTAGGCGACATTTCTATAACATTTAATAACGACAATCGTAAAACATGTTTTTTAACGCAATTGCTTTAAAAAACTATGGCACTACGTCCCTTCTTTCTGAAATACCAAAAATCGAAGTCCGGTGTGATGTCGCCTTCTAGAATTGTATCCTCCCTCGGAAAACACGTCGCCCGGGCAGGCGGCACCGCCCCTGGCACGAAATAAAAACGTTTTTTCTCGGTCCGTTGGCACCCTTATCTGCCGCCTCTTTTCCTCCTCGCATCGGGTCGCGGTGGCAACAGCACGGAGTCGTGAAAGGAAGTTGACTCTCAGGACTCCGCAATATTTGACGTCAACGCAGCGGCGCGAATCACGCAGGAACTTCGAATTCGACATTTGGAAATTGTTTTTTTACTTCACAAATACTCAATTCCCAAGTTTCAAATTTTGAGGGTAACGTCCCGGCATCAATTTCAATCGTTTCGGATAATAAAAAAAATATATGATTTTGATGTGTCAGTGCCTCTTTAACTTTTACGCCTCCCGAGGAATTTGCAAATTAGCCTCGCTGAAAGTGGCGGAACAGTTTAGAATGTGCCGAAGCAACTGCACATGAAGTGAATATAGGCTTTGTTTCTTCTATATACATGCAAAATGATGCTGTTATCTACTTGACGGAAGAATTTCACCAAACCCAGCAAAGACTTCATCGAGGTACTAAGTCGTGGATGCCTCGAGGGCAAGTGCCCAAAAAACTGTACTGTTCTATAAAAAAAAAGAAAAATTTAGATTTCTTTTGTTGTTTTATATAATGGCGCATACCTGTAACCCTGCGGGGTCATGCATTTTTCTAAGATAGCTGTTGAGCACAGATGCCGTATTCAAATGTTCAAGGCTCAAAAAGGTATTTTTGAAAATCGCAATCGAACCAGCGGTGTGGAAAATGGCCTGAACATAGCACATAGAATACGTGGAATGGAGGGAGGGGGGGGGAAAAGGGAGGGGGGGAGGGCTGCAACAACTGAGGCCAGTGCGGTCGGCGCCATTAGTGCCGTCTGTCCGCAGCACTGTGCAGATTTTACTTTCGAACCAGACCTAGTTTTTGGTGGTGTCTTACAAATCCTTACCAGCATGTGTCTCTACATGATTAGATGTATGATAAAATAAAAATACAATATGGCATTCCTTGGGGCTTCATTTTAGAGTCTGCGCTATTCCTAGTGTATGTTAATGATACAACGATACTGTCAGCATCCCCCGAGTCAATAACGTGTGCGGACCACACAAATCTCCTTTTTGCTGGGGTGACAAAAAAGCGTTTAGAAAAGTCTGCCAATGCTTACCTTCTGAAACTGTCAAAATGATATCAAAATTAATCGCTTAATATTCAAACAGACATAAAACTAGCTCTACTGGCATAACATTCCAGGGTACCCTGCCGATGCAAGTAGCAGAATTAAAATGTCCGTGTATATTGTTTACTGAGCATGAAATACTCATGTTAATAAACTCGTGGCTAATTTATCCTGAACTAGCAGAAGTATATACATAAAATGAGAATCTTACTACCCAGCCGGCTAAAATAGTAGTTATATTATTCCCTATTTTGATTTGAGATCAGTTAAGGCATCTTGGTTTCAGAAACAATGAAAGCTTCAAACTAAAATAAACTAATCATCTCGAATTTTTTTTGTTTTACTTCTATTTCGTTTTGCAGTATGCCACGGATCTTTTTATCTAATGCTTTTCTTGCCACGCTGAATTCCGGTGGGGCAGAGGATTCGTAAAGTATTGTGCCTTTATCTCCTACCCTTAGGCAGACGTGAAAAATATAAGGAGAAAAGAAATGCTTACCGTTCAAATTCTTTGACGTGGTGTATGGACCGTACCCCACATTAGGTCTGACCAAAAAGAAAAACAAGAAAAAACAGTCCTTAATCACAGTTGCAACATACCATCATTCGAGTAGCTAAAATTCAAAGTAGACACCCTCAGCCAACACTCCACCAGATGTTAGATAATTATTTAGACAAATCCACTGCATAAACAAAGTTGGGTTCATGTACTGTACTATTATGAAACAGAGGAAACTTCTGAGCAGAAATTGAAATATTTTGCCTTTTTTAAGCGCTTAATGCTTGCATTTTGATAATAATATAGAGAAAGGAAGTTCTAAAATTTTACAGAGCAAAACACTCAATTTTGTAAGCAAACCACAACACAATGCAGGCAAGTGCCTTTCAAACAAGAAAGTCAGAATGACATATTTTTGTGTGTGTGTATAAGACCTTACAAGCTTCCATGTAACATAACAGTAAAGCATGTTACATGTAATAAAATTATCTATCTTTCATTACACCCGACACCTTCAGACTTCGCTCGATTATGCTTTTTACGGAAAGAATAAGACTCTTATCAAGTAAATTCATCAGAAGTTCTTGTCAACTTAAAGGCAACATGCAAGACCACATCCATAAACAACAAGAACAAGAGGAATAGCCGTCACTGAACAGACAACTGCTAGCATCTCCATAAAAGCTATCAGTTGTTTTTAAAATTGAGAAATTTTAATGTTACACTGAATTTTTTCGATTGAAATCTGTGGTAGCACCCTTACTACAGTGTGCTAACACATCTTTGTGGCAGACTATGATAATAGTGCAGAAATTATTTTCTTTCGCTCGATAAACTATGCAGTCCGAGTTCAACTGAGATATGGATAGTTTACTGATCTAAAGTATTTTCTTGAAACACACAAAATCTGTGTGACCCCAAGCGTTCTTACGGCAGTCCAATGACAAGGCTGCAAAAAGGAACAAAGAAAGGCAAACAAGCCGCTGTAACAGGGGGATGGTCGAGCATCAAAAAAGCCATAAGGCAAGAGCATTATAAGTCACTGATACCTCAAACAAAATACTAGTAATTTTTTCATTCAAAACACTAGACTATGGATCAAGATACTAGCCGAATCCCTATGTGCAAAAGTCACATATATTTCGAGAAAAAAAAAAGAAACAAACAAGTTTAGACAAAAACAAGAGGACTAGCATGAAAGATTGTGATGTCAGACCATGCAGAAGTCACAGAGTCACTCCTCGTGACTATGCATTCAAAGAACATCTTAAACTCGGCATACTTTTCGTGTTCCGGTGGTCAGAAGCAGTATGCTTTATAAATCTTACTACTTTTAGTTATGATTCTTCTTAGATGGCCTATTACTTTAAAAATATTTCGAGGGTTGATGTGCAATGTAAAACAAGAGTGACAGCAGCCCCTAACTACAGAGCCTATAGCCGTTGACAGGATAAGAGTTTGCCCCTCCCCCCCCCCAAGCCCCTCTCAACTCTTCCCACTTTAGTAGGGGGAACACTGGAGAGGAGGCGACTTCTACTCCAGCGCTCCCTGCGTTAAAGTTGCTTTCCTCAAACACACAGGAGCTTTCCTCAAACTCTCAACCTGTCGCCAACCATAGAACGCATCTTTGACCGGTGCGTTTGCTATCCTATACTGCCCGCGCGTCGAAAGTGTCCCCGAGGTAGCAGCAAACGACGTCGCAGGAGCCAGCGCATCAATCTGTCTGACGTCACAATCGAGGCGGTTAAAGAAGCGGTGAACCCGCCAGATGGAGACACCTTCTAGGTCCCATACCAGAACACCACAATTCTTAAAAACTAATTTCAATGGAAAAAAAAAAAAAAAAATCTCGAGCTGCACATTTTTTTAGTTTTTTTTTTTAGGTGCTCAGGTTTTTGGAGATTCCGTACGAGTAAGAATATCGGCAAGCATAAGTGTCTAGTAAGTTGTGACACTAACACCTATAGTCAAAAACAAAAACAAAAAGGAATGGAAGGCGGCGTACTTGAAGCAGTTCTCTTGGTAGATGCTCCTCCAGATGCGGTGAGCGGACGCCCCGGCGTAGCCCGTGTATCTCTCGGGGTTCAGGCTCAGGTCGACATACTCCATGCCCGCCGACCTCTCGTCTAAATAACGACACAAAAACATTGGCGGCGACCTTTATCTCCAAAGTACTACGATGCATAGAAAATTCAATGTTTGAGGTGCGTCGTTTTGGGGAGTGAAGAAGAATGTTTCTTTTCATCAGTTTCTCCGGCACATTGAGCAGGGAAACTGGGTGCACGGGTCATGTGGCATCAATTTCCCCGCCAAATTTAGCGGAGAAACTAAATGTAGGTCACATGACGTCATTTTTCCTGCTAGATTTAGTGGGAAAATTATATTGACACATCGCGTGTCATGTTACGCGACGTCAATTTTCCTGCTAAATTTAGCAGGGACACTGAAAGTGTTAGGTCACGCTACATCAATTTCCCAGCCAAACTTAGCGGGGAAACTGAATAGTAGGTGTATAAGTCACGTGACGTCAATTTTTTTGCTGAATTTAAGAGGGAAACTAAATTGGTATATAAGTCTTGTGACGCCAGATCATGTGACACCGAATTCCCCGCCGACTTTGGCGGGGAAACTTAATTGGTATACCAACTATCTGACATCAGATCACAGACATCAACAGGCGATATGCAAAACAGCAGCGCCCCTAGCGGTTCAGGTGCACTCTGGGAGCAAGAGACTGTCAAAGGGTAGTTTCGGTTTCACCGCGTTGTGCATTTGTCGTCTGCTATCGTCTCGCACCGCTTTCGCTCATGTCGTCGTGGATTGCTCCACACTTACGCGCGATGCAGTGAGGTCCCTTTTCTTCTCGTCCCTACATATCAGACATAGCGAAAACACCGCAATGGCAAAACAAGGGTGTCATAAAACTGGAGCGCTAGTGTCATTGGCTGCTCTTGAGATAGCAAACAAATGCACGCAGTGAGCTGGCACGGCGTTCAGCATATGTCAATCTGCGTTCACTGGACTTCGCCATTGCAGTGTTTTTGCTCGCTCCCTGTGCCAACAAAAACCTAATAGTTTCATTATTTGCTGTGTCCTGTCCGATATGTAGCGACGAGAGGAAAAGGGTACTTATTGCATCGCGCGTAGGTGTGGAGCAATCCATGACGACGTGAGCAATGGTGGTGTGGAGATGATAGCAGACGACAGATGCACAACCAGGAAACACCGAAACCGAAACTACCCACAGACAGTCTCCTGCTCCCAGAGTGCACCTGAACCGCTAGGGGCGCTGCCATTTTGCGTATTGCCCATTGACATCACGTGAACCGAACACCAATTTAGTTTCCCGCCACATTTAGCGGGCAATGCAACGAAGGACGGAAGGACGAAATTTTGGGATTTGTGGGTTTCTTTAAAAAGCAATTCATGCTTTAAAAAGACATAGAAAGTCTGCAAAATTTAAGGCTCCTTCACACACCTGCGTTTGCTTACGATCAACTTCTTGCAATCTCTTACGACGAGAGAACACACTGCTAAGCAAACACTATCTACGAGGTGACCCTGGAATTTCATTTCACTAGAGCGAAGGTTTTACTGTAGTGTTGGCGAGATCAAACATACATACTACCTATCTATGAGAAATGGGTGTTTATAACATTGTCAAAAGTTTTTCATTTTCAATCCAAGAAAGGGAGATGAGTAAAAAATATAGGGTATACACAGAAAAGCAAAGAATTCCACGACTGCTCGATAGATGGCACCACTACTATGGTTTCTCATCGTAAGAGATCCCTGGAGGTTTCAGGCACCCGGTCGTAAGCAACCTGATGTGTGTGAACCAGCCTCTGATTCGTTATGAAGATAGATTGGCACTAATGCAATGCCAGCTAGTAAAACACAAATGTAAGACAATAACCACACTGTTTCGGTAGTACAGCGAGCCAAATGATTGAGTCGTAACAATGATAAAATGAAAGAAAAAAAAAACTCACTGCTTCTAAGAAAGTTGGACACTCACCATCCATTTCGCAGAAGTTATCCTGGGAGTCGTCGTGCTTCTGCCACCGTTCGAATTCCTGGTAAGTTTCGTCACTACAAAGTATCGGCGTATCCAGAAGTTATATTTCTTTTGCAGATAACTAGTGCACATAGCAGCTCTAGTAGGACACATATTATAATAAAGATAAATATATGATGCATCTCATCACCCAAAATGATTATGCCTCAAAATCACAAAGACTTAAATTTTTTCTATTATTAAAGATTCTTCTAAGGAAAAGCAATTCTTTCCAATTAACAGCTTTTTTTTTTTTTGCATTTCCTTTAAAATGCAAACTCATCAAAGTACAAAACAAAAAGTTATTCTCTTTGTTTAACTACTCCGTACAATTCATAAAATATTGCTGCTTCCTAAATTTAATTAAAATTGTTTTCAGCGTCTTCTTAGTGAGTACTAAACGTAAATTCGAGAGTACTATATAAAATTTCTTGCTGTTTCCAGAAAGCAGGTGTGCTTTGCATTACTCTGGAACCATTTGAATGATTCACAAATCAACAAACCTCAAGGAAGGTTGTTTAAATAAAAAAATAAAAAAAGTGAAAGACCTCATTAGAAAGGCCCAAGTCTTAAAAAGTCATAGTTCAAGGTATTGTGTCATCAGCAAAGGCAATGAAACAGCTTCAAAGCAACATTTCTTTGTCACCAAAAACAAAAAAAAAAAGCTCTTTCGAAACAACTGCACTAAACATTTCTTACATCTATATCAGTACTTCCTAAGTTGCACAAGACATCCATACAAAGCTTGATTTTCTTGTGTTAGCTCCAAAAACTTCAGATCAACAATGACCCGAAGTCGTCGACATTGCGAGCATGTGTTTGATACACAATAGCATTCCTAGCATAGCCCCAACAAAGGACCCCAGGGGAGCTATGTCGAAACACAGGAAGTTTTATCCGAGGTCGCACAAAACAAATCGAAATTTCAGTGAAAGAATTTCACATTCCTTTAAAGAGTACTTGCAGTTTAACGTCCTCCAACTGTGGAATCCTGAGTTCCGTCAGCTCGTTAAAAGTTGTTTTTGCTCGTTTCTTTCCACGACAAAAAATTGGCCAATGACTCTATGAACAAAGCTTTGGAATGGCTAGAAAAAAAAAAAAAAAGCCCAAGCAGGCTTGATAAAATTTTAAAAAATTATTTTGCATGGAAATAATAAAAAAAAAAGTGCCATCGCCTATTCTTGTGTCATTATATTCTATTTTCAAATCATTGTATAGTTTGCACCTGTAGACTTGTAGGACCTACATGTAGGACCTGCACCTGTAGGGTGAATTTTCAACTTTTAAATGTGTATAGTCCGGGGACTATAGTTCGGACAGTATGGTAGTTAATTAGGCAAAATAACCAAAATAGCCTGAATTGCTCCAAGCAATGAACAAACTTGTTAATTTGGTTTTGTCTTCCTAAAATGCACCAAAATATTTTTAAACCTTGGCTCAAGTTATGTGAAATACCCTGTATATGTTTTTTTCATAGAGTTATTATAATGTATGCTAGAGGTCCAACTGGTGCTAGTGTGTATGCGACTTCCAGGAGGCAAATTGAAGCAGACAGCAACCAATCTACTTTTGTGGTGCTCCTGTGCGTTCCTATGGGAAAACGTGTGTGCATTTTGTCTCTTCGCTGGAAAATATTACGAACAACTTTTGTTATTTGAGTTGTACTGAATAGTACGTACCTTTGTTAACATTGTATGTACCTTTGTTAACATTGTAAAGGTGTTGTTGCATTAGTTAGAGCATTTTTTTTTTGTACCACTGAACAATGTTAAATTTCCCTATATTTCAGGCCCAAACCTCTGTTCCATAGCAGGTATATGTAAAAACGAGCGACGATTTTAAACAGTATAACAATCAAAAGGAATGTAAAGTGTGCTTAAGATTTGCCAACATTCCGGTGGTGCTTATATATTGCTAATATGCCCGTCCTGTCACTATTAAATGAAAATGACCCAGTCGTGCATCTTTGTGAGTGGTTCAAAAACATTCTAAACATAAAGACTGAAGTATGTGGGCTATGAAAGGTGTGTCTTTTTATTATTTCTTACGTCGGGCAGCTTCATCGGGCACCTCTTCTCTGGCTTTTCCCTATTTTCAAAGATTTCGAGCGTGTGGGTGATGTATTGAACGAAAAAACAAGCATCCTGGCACATTTTCATGAGCAGAAAGAATAAAAGAGTGCTTTTTTTTTTGTAAATCGGACAATATTATATGGCCTTGAATTTATTTTTATTGTCTATGCAAAAGGAGTTACTGATCCAGTGTTACTGCATAGTTCTTGCCGTGTCTCTTGGTTTTCCACATGTCCTTTCGTTTGGTACGTATATCCCTCATGCTGGAAAGCTCGAAGCCGTGTTCTCACTAACAGTGTTCGAAGCACAGAGAGAAAATGTACTCGCTTTTTCCCATGAAAACGCATTAGCGGTAGGGTCGTGCGAATAGTGGATTTTGAGTTCGAATCGAATTCGAAGCGAATAGTGATTTTGGTCGAATATTTTCGAATCAAATATTGAATACTTGCCATTCAAAAACTTGGCCGTTTTTAAAGGGATGTTTACAGAAATACTTCCAAACTAGACTACTCACGCTGTTGTTAATCCATCTTGCCAACCAATTTAGCTGCCGTCATTTTGACAATGTCGATGTCATTCACTCACCTGGTCACTGTAATAATACAATATTCCTTCGAAATATTAGCTTTAAATGTTTTGAAACCGTGTTTATGAGTTTTATCGGAAATCAAAGTTTCTGAGCAATTATGCATGTTATGAGAAATTTCAGAAAGGTATTTATTTTTATCCTATACTTGTTTTTCTAAATTTATGTCTTGACGTGGCGGTGTTGAGAAAAGTGTGCTGGCAACCAGGGCGCCAAGATTGGCGAAGATGGCGCCGGCGTCTCTGGAGCTCGTTGCTCGGTTTATTTCGCCCGTTATTAAAAAAGTTGATGAAATAATTACGAAGAATATATTTCGAAGTTCCCACCATAATATTTATATCATATTGCCCAATGTGTGAATATATTCTTGATTTTAGATATTGTTTTTTTTTGGGGGTTTTTAGACAGTAAACAAACTTGCGACCGTGAGTTTGCGAGCACTTCGAAAAGCACGAATATTAAAACTGCTCTCGAAGCGAATATCGAATAGCGTACTATTCGAAACCACTATTCGAAAATTCAAATATTCGCACAACACTAATTAGCGGAAGTCAATTTCTGACTGGTTGCTGTCTGCTTCAATTTTCTGCAGCACACTAGCACCAGTTGAACCTCTAGTGTACATTATAATAACTCCATGTTTTTTCTATGAAATAAAAAAAAAAACATTATGAATATTATTATTAAAAATAAATACTGAAAACTTTCATGGCAATTATGTCTATGATGCAAATGCTTGCAGAAAGCTGAACCATGAGCAACATCCTGCATCATTGATTCCACGCCCTCAAACTTATTCTGGACAGACAAACAATAAAGTGCAGGGCCACAACTGCAGCAAGTCTACATCGCATGATTGTAATAAATTTGGAAAACGCTCGCAATAGCTAATGCATCGTCAGTCTCCTACCTAATGGTGTTGTCCACGACTCCAAGGCCGTCATGGTTTTCGTCGCAGCTGTCCTGCGATTGCGCCTCCTTTGAGTACTGGAAATAATGTGAGCAGAATACATTAATGCCTTAAAACCAAATCAGTCTGCTCTTCCTCTAATAAACAGCAAACATGTCAACTTGGCAATACTAAAACTGCATAGCAATCTGCACACACGCGTGCGGCATAAGAAAGGTGTTAGTACTAAAATAAAATAAGTTGGTGGCCCTAGTTGGTCCACCATCATAAAAATGCTAGCTTGTCCTGTACTGTCCTTTCCTATCCTTTGTCTTTTGCACCAATATTTTTGTGGTATTAGTACTAACGTGGACACAGCTGGCAATAACATGCAAACATTGACTGTTCTGTGCTCCCATCTCTCCGAGGGGAATCACACTTTGAGATTCCTCTTGGAGATTCATTGCCCTTCCAGTTTTTCATTCACACCCCCACTTGGTCGCGTGCAAGGCATGAAGCAGACGACGCCTCAGCGTTTGAGGACATTATAGCCAGCCGGCTATAAACAAAGTACCACAAATACGAAAGAAGCAAGCATTTGGCTATATCATTCATAGATGCCCACATCATTCCAAGTGGGAAGAAGAGCCCATAAAACATATTACTGTAAAATATTTTAACAATGTAAGATCAAGGTGTAGTACCTCAGAAGATGACTTTTGAGTCAATTATATTGTTATGCAGGACATGTTTGCGATGTCAAAGGGTGTGCGACTGACACCAGACGGTGATCAACTGGCAGGGGTTTTAAAACCTGCCCATTTCAAAAGCGACACATATTGCACTCCAGTTTACATCTCTACATTCGGAGCTATAGCTGACTGTTAGAGGAAGTGAGGCTCGACAGTAGCCAATATCTGACTTTGTGCTTTTTTTGCGAGGGTAAGTATGTTGTGAGCAAGCTCCGAGGCAGCAGGCTCTATTTTTGAAAAGACGAAGTAGACGAAAAGTCACGAGTGAGGCACAGCTGGTGTTGTAAGCGAGAAAGAGAAACAGCCATGAAAGATAATTTTATAGGCGCCGAGTTTGCACGGACCAAAAGACGCAACAAGTGCATCAGAGATCTTTGAATCCCAGCTATATGCGCAACGATCATAAAAAACATGTAAACAGGTTTAACACTATTATAGAATTTGCTGATGCATATTTCGGTTGCATGTGTGCTATACAAGGTGGTTCACCAATAACTGAAAATATTTTTTACAAAAAAGGCGCTTGAAATTTTAAAAAAGTGATTCCCCCATGGATCCATCGAAGCAGACATCAGGTTGTGAAAGTAAAGCGATAAGTAGGAAGTCAATTACCTAAAATCCACTAGTTAATATTCACCTTAGCTAGCACATTCTAACAATGGCTTAGTTGGTTCAACATAGTACACAAAATCAGCGCAAAGGACGAACGCAGGAAGAAGGCGTAGACAAGACAGAGTACTACTTACGACTGATGTTTTATGAGAGGATAGTAGAAGACTAAGATAAAACTGAGACTAAAACCATAGAAAGAGGAGAATAAAGAACATGCTAGAGAAGGGAAAGGAAGAAGGCAATATCAGAAACGTTATAGAAAAAAGAAATAAGGATAAAGGAAAATAAACTTACTTAAAAAAAAGCACTAAAAAAAAAAAACTACTAAAAATTCAAAAAAAAAGATTTAAAAAAATAAAAAAAGCCTATGAAAAATAGTGCAGGTATTGAAGTTCCTTCATTGACAAGTTTACCGACGGAGCACTAACACAGGCATCCCCTCTGGTTGCTATGATGAAGGCCCACCAGAGGGGACGATATGTTAGTGCTTTCAAATCTTTTAGTATTTTTTTTTTTTATATATGTTTCTTTTTCTTTATCCTTCTTTTTTTTACAGCAGAGCTGTTAAGGGCTAGTGTCCCCAGTATCGTTTCTGCCAGCAAACAAATGATGACACAGAACTCTGGACAGCTACCACCGTCTATGAGCGACGGTGGCAACCAAACAACCGGATTGCCGGTTGTCGCCGTTGCTCATAAATGGCGGCAACCTTTCGAGCCTTTCCACTCTGGCTTGCTGACTAGCGGCCGGCCATTACTTCATTCCCACCATAGTACAGCTTTTCTGGTCTTCCTTCATCACCAGAGTGGAAAGGCTGAAAGTTTTTTTAGAATGTTTCTGGTATTGCCTTCTTCCTTTCCTTCTCTAGCGTATTCTTTCTTCTCCGATTTTCTATGATTTTAGTCTCATTTTATCTTTTTCTTCCATTAACCCCTCACAAAACGTCAGTTGCGAGTGGCGCTCTGTCTTGTGTTCGTCCTTCGCGCTAATTATGTGTACTAGTACGTTCTAATTACAGATCTGTTGCCCATCACCAAGATAAGCCACAGCTGTTGTTAGAATTCAGACAACTGAATTCTGCTCATGAGGGTACCGAAATATCAAAACGAGATGCCGAAGGCCGATGGACATCCCATTTGGAGGAGACGTAACCTTCTGCAGCAGGCGCGAGTGGGGAGTCGTAACAAGCCGACCTGACAGCCTTGTGTTATCGAAGGGTCACGTGACTGTACACCCTAGACAGTCATAACTGGCCATTGAATAGTGTGGATGAAGATTTAGTTTTCTGACCTCTAAAAACTACTAAAGCACACTTGGATGATGTGCCAGAAATCTCTGACTGAAACATGCCAGATAAGGAAAATATACAAAAGCTAATTTGTGAATTCTAGGTAATTCGATTTCTAATTATCATTTTTCATTCATATCTGACGTCTGCTGCGGTTAACAATATAATTCCGAAGGAATAATTTCTTTACCTTTAAGTGTCTTTTATTTATTTATTTAATGATACTGCAGCTCTCGGCCGGAAGCCCTAGCAGGAGTAGTACAATGTTAAAATGCAAAGAAAACACACACAAAAAAAGCCGTCTAATTACAGAACTCTGCAGAATCCTGTGATTTCACGGGCAGAAACCCGTAGAGATGCCAAAGTAAAGCGCTGAGGAGAATAAAGGCCATCTAGGGAGAATCCTTTCTTTCTGTGCCTAACCTACCTGATTTTAAGTATGCCATTCTTTTGTACATAATGAATGTCTTAGATATCTGCATATGACACTGATGGATGAAAATCTTCCCATAGCAAAAAGGAGGAGCCATGTTTAATGCACCACAAGATTAGGAGATATGTCGCAGCATGGGAGGTGATATCATCAAGTCAGCAACGCGGCAGTGACTCTATAATAAGAAATTGTGTATCCGTTAGAGACAAAATTCCTTATCATTCAGTTTTGTCTAAAAGTTTTTTGATTAATTTTTCCTAGCTTTTTACAGGCACATTTTCTTAATTTGTTTTTCTGCAATTTTTTACAATATTGGGACACAATATTTATCGTCAGCTCCTTTCATATTTATTGGCAATGAGAGTGCTTTCTTTGAAATTCAGAGCAATAGCAGCAGGCTTTGAACTCTACTTGATCAAAGAACTAACAATAAAACAAAGCTATTAAGTTCATAGTTTGGCTTACCTTTGAAACACTCCCATTAGGTAAGTATTTGTCATGATGATGGCCTTTGAGACTCTGAGGAATGCTGTCCTGCAAAAGTAAAAAAAAAAATGATTTGATGCTTGGCTTTTTAGTGAAGCCCAGAGCTCTACACAACTGTTAGCTCACAAAGCTTAATCAGGGTCACTTTTTCTTTTGGAAAACACTTCAAAATTTCACGATGTTGCATTTTTATGGCGCATTCACGTTTATGGTCAAAGGAAAGAAATGCACCACCGATTACACAGTTTAAGCAAAACCCGAGACTGAGAAAAAGGAGCACAACACTTAGGTGCAACAGGGCTAACGAGTTCTCACCAAGTATGAAATTGAACAATATTAAGTCTAAAAATCTGCTAGGCACTGTGACAGGTAAGTGAACACATTTTGATAGAAACAGACTACTTCTTTACAACGTGCATTCCTGCACAGCTTCCAGAAATAATGCTACCAAGGTCATAAAAGCGTAAGCAAATGCATTTCCAAAAGACATACCTCACTGCACGTCTTGACTGAGCAGTCACGGAGGGTGCAGCGACCGTCGTCTGCCCAGAATGGGCAGGGGTGCTTCAGGTTAACCTGCATTGGAACATGTTGACGTCGTCTATCAACTTTACAGGTCGACTCAACAGCAGCCTGGTGCACCTTGATTGATTTATTTATGTAATATAGGAAATGAGGAAAAATTAAGAAGTAATCAAAGATACATTAAAAAGTTTGCCTTTTTTATATACTAAGAAAGTGTTATAACAGAAACAGTTCTATACTAAAAGTTTTAAAGAAAAAATGTAAGGACGTCAGTACAGAAAAGAACCAATGTTTACTGAATGATGGCTGCTAGCAATGCCTCCGATTCATGATTCCGTTGCTCATTCTAAAGAATGAGCAACAGAATCATGGGCAATGAAATCATGAGTAGCAGAATGAGCAACTGATATACAGACCAGTAAAAAAAAAATTTTCAGAAACATTGACATTGACTTATGACTTTGCTTATTGATAAAAGTGCATAAAAACAAGCATCGGTAAGATTTCAAACTAGTGGGCATTATCTGTATTCTCTACTCACCTTAAAGAACCTGAAGTAATCTTTCTGCAATAAACTCTTGAGGATGGGGTAGATCTTGTAGTTGTTGAACTGGTCAATGGTGTCAATGTTGCACAGGCAGTCGTCAACTTTGCCTTGTAGCTGGAGGCATTCAAAAAAGCACACAAATGAAGCACGTCAAAGCTAGGGTGCCCCAGGTTTGACATGTTTGATATGCACCCTGGTCAAACCATGGGCTTTCAAAAAAAAAAAAAAGTTAAAAATAAATAGTGATTTCAATGCTTTTTTGGTGGATTGGTTATTTTATGGATTGTGTAGGAAGATAATTTTGTTTTGCATATAGTGTTTGTATGCTTTCGAGACGTCAGTGTGTGTGTATCGCCCACTCCTGCCTCGGCCCTAAACTGGGCTGCCAGCATTGATAAATAAAATAATATATATACGTATATCATGTACAAACGTTTTGTACGGTTGTGACAATCCTCTTGCTAGCAGGCATAAATTAAACAGCTGTGTGAGGGAATCATTTCACAGTGAAGTTAGATGATAATTTTAGGCCATATGCCTCTCTCCATCATCGCATTAAAACGATTAAAACAAAACGTACAAATTAAATATAAATTTAAAAAAAACGCGAAAACTCGCAGTCAACCTACCCGCCTGTATCCGCAAGCCAAGTTAACCAGAAGGCAGCAAACAGAGAAACAGCAGCAGCACCAAAAATCAACTGTCATGGCGGCGGTCGCGCAACTCTAGCAGACGGCTAACCGCTAGCAGACGACGCCGGCGATTTCTCTGACAAAAGGCGGTCCATAAAACCGTCAGCGCTACGTCCGACGAAAAGGTTGGAAGTAGAGCCACCTGTCCACGGCGCGGAGAATAAATAAAAACAAAAACAAAAAAGCTCTACGATCGCGAATATATTATAGGGTTTCTAAACAGACGTCTATTTCGATTAGAAGGCGTTGCTGGGGGGAGGCACCGCGCGCTAGGCACGACGTGAACCCAGCTGTCGATATCCTGACAGCAACAAAAAAGAAACATAAAAATTCCGCGTTGTTGTACATTTAATTTCATTCCGCCGAGACAACACATAAAAAGTAATCAATCAACATCGTACGCTTCCCGCAAAAAAACGGCGTTAAACAAAAAAAAAAAAAAAACACTATGAGGAAACAAGTGTATTTATATTTAAATAAATATGTAAAACCAATTAGCCACGTATTGCATCAGACTGCGTGCATAGCGCGATAGCATGGACAGCGAGCGACGCAAACGCTCGCCGAATAGGCGAAGGACACGTAGAGCTCAACCCGACCGCGTGGTGATAAATGCCGCCAAGACATGTCAACGGGACATTATTACAGCAGCTGCGGTAAATCTCACGAGGCATGCGTGTATTCTTGGACATATGCGAGTTTGACGTACTACTCGACCTACATAAAGTAGGCGACGACGCTTTTGAAAGATTGTGGCGTATTTCGATCCCCGCAAGCTGCCTACACACAAGCCAACCAAAAAAAGAAAAAAAAAAAAAAAAAAACCTAGACAGGCACAGACCACCAAACATAATTTACGAGCGTTGCGAAAGCGTATTATGTCTGCTACGATATCTTTTTATAAGAAAATAAAAGGAAAAACGAAGAGAGATGTCAAATTATTTAAAAGATGGGCCTCGCCGCAGCGCTCTGGAAACCCGCAGTAAAACAAACTTTACGTTTGTTTTAACAATAATAATAATATTCACACTAGCACCACGTCACACTAGTCACTACATCACAAACAGATGCTGCTACAAAATCAAACAATACGTTATATATATATAAAAAAAAAATTTAAAAAAACTAGACTGAGCAGTTTAAAATGTTTTAAACTATTACGTGGTAGGTATGCAATGAACTTCGTGTGCCCAATGGATGTCCACGTAAAAGTTTATTTGCTGACAAGGCGGCGTCTGCTTTGTCGGTGTGACGTCTGCTATCTCAAGCTGTGTTCTCCACAAGTGACGACAAAGAGGTTTGCTCTTGGTGGCGACGTGACAAAGCTCACGTAACCCTGCATCGGGTATACGCTCTGCATAGAGTTATTATAATACATACAGAATATGAAAACTCTACGGCACTCTGCAGTGTCAGTGGATAGGCGGCCGCATAAGAGGCAGCGAACTTCGGGACAATAATAATATTTTTGTCTGTTTTTCGCTGTTGCTTTTCTCTACGCAAAAAGGACCTGCCGGATAAAAGATGCGCATGAGAGGAGCAGGACAATGACTCGACCTGCACGAGTGCTGCCGTTTTTTTATTTATTATTATTATTATTTTTTTTTTTATGTTTGAGGCAGGCGTAAATTTTGAAAATGCGAGTGGCGAAAGATTTAAAAAATGCAATTAGATTTTTTTTTATTACGTTAAAACACGATAATTTTTTTTTTTTTATAGTTTACCATCGTCAAGGAAAACATATCTAAATATATTTTTCTAACATATAATATTCAAGGATCTTCACACAACGCTCTTCGCGTTCTGCAGTTGGTGAGATGGAGAAAATAGAAACGTCCAAATCGGCTGTTCAAAGTTGACCAAAACACGGACAACAAGGAAACAGTTTGTTCGCAACCGTATTTCCGTGTTTTTCCTCTTTTTTTCTCTCTCTCTCTCTTCCTTTCTTTATATTTGCTTTTATACGAGCTGTTATTATTAGAGTACGCCGGATGGTCAGCCACTGACAGTTCAAAAAAACGAACATCACTGCGTCGCCGCGCGAAAAATAAAGAAAGAAAGAAATGTATAAATACGCGAGTGTACCCGTGCGCATGTAACTGCTACAGATCCGGTTACATCATGATATGATCCAACCTACTGCCCGAGTAACGTCGGTTCACAATATATTCGGCTGCGGCAGTGCTGATTGATCATCATACACAGCTCAAATTGGGCTTTCAATGAACTTAATTGCTATAAAGTTATACACAACGACGGGCCGAGTACAACCTGGCCCCTTGCAACCGCGGAAGCAAACGGTATACGTACTGTTTTCCTTCTCTTTGCTTGTCTTCATCTAGTTAGTACCTTAAGGTTTGTGATCTTGCCAGTATAACACGGTAGTTACGGTAAAAAAAAAACACCGTACAAAGGGCACATGTCTCACCTGGCAAAAGCAGGAGTCTTTTTCGGAGGCGTCCAAAGCCGCTGTCAGAGCGACGATCAAGATCGCCGCAGCCGCCGTCGCCTTCGCCACGAACTCTGGAAGCATCCTATAGTTTTATCTGGCGTTGGCCCTACTTTTGAGAACGAGGAAGACAATACCGATGTCTGCTGGAGGCACGCAGGCGACCGCTAACACCGAATACATCGTACTACACACGACCGGGCACAATTTTTTTCCTCGAACGGTGCAGAAATCTTCCAACCCGAACGACACGACAGAGACTGTGTTCGGTTAATACAGCCACAGGTAAGGGGCACTGAAAGTCACGTGATAATGGCCGACTCGATTCGCCTTCTGTTTCATGAAAGGCAGTGTCTGCGTCGACCCGGTCTACGCAACGCCCAGCGTTAGGTAGACCCAGAATTCTGATTGGCTATTAAGAAAAAGTCACGTGTCTATATAAATTGAGTGAATTATTTTGTTAAGTTTATTTATATAAATTTTAAATTAGTAGAAATGAAATTATATTAGATATATTAAATACATTCTGAGATAATTATTATATGCAATGTCACGTGTTACATTTGATGAGAAGCGGGAGAATCCCTTCGTTTCCCGCGTTTTGACCGTTGTTTACCTTTTCGGCTCTCCTGCAACCTTCGCAAGTCCACCTCCATTTGTCGTGAATCCCCGTTTCTGAGCGTTGATTTTCCCTTCTTGGTGTCTTGTTGATTTTTTTACGTATGTATTTCTTTCGCGAGATTCCGATTGCCTGTGTATTTAGCCCAAAACTCGGTGTACCACGTGCTTTGATATCTGGGAGTTCCGTGACTGGGGCAACTGGGGTTTCTTGTGGAAAGACCTTCGGCATTTTCCTATTGAAACCAGACGTGGCTGTCGAGATTCAGTCGATTCGTTCTTTTTGCGGCGATTAAGCGTCTGTTCGTCATGACTGCTGGATTGACGGTCATCCTCCCGAGGCAAAGCAGCCCGCGGTGGACGTGCCGAGGTTCTGCGGGAAAGAGCAAGGATGACCGGGAGACCAACACTTTCTGCAGGAGCCGCAAGGCAGGCCATGGTTTCATCGAACAGCCGGGAGTGGAGCGGGATGCTGAAGGATAGCGGCGCTCACTTCAGTGAGGTCAGTCGATATGTTGAAGTTTATTTCTTCATCTGTCATTTGATTACTGCAGCACACCAGCCTCGTTCTGGAAATAAGGACGCAGGGGTAAACGTTTGGCAAGCAGAGGCAGTTTGTGTGCTATATAGATCGACATGAAATATTTGCAGTGGTATGCTCATAGGTTTAGCCTCTTGTCCAGTTAAGACCATAACATGCTCTGCATGCTGACATTGTTGTTATATCTTTCTTATGTTGACAGCTATTTTGCTTAACATACTCTTTGTGCCATCCCTACGAAAGCCCCGACAGAAGGGTGGGCCAGGTAATGGGCGAAGTCACATAGATCACTTTCCCCAAGCCCTTAATCTAATGACTAACAAGCCTACCTTCACAACTTTGTGCTCGAACCACAGTTTGCTCTTGCAACAGCGGCCACGGGGCAACCATTGCCAACTGCACCACCTTAAAGCCCCTTTATGTTTCAAAAGTAGCGCAAGGTGCGCCGATGCACGAGGTACGTGCTACGTGCAGCCCTTAAGAAGATCATGGCAGCACAGCGCAGCACTGAGCTAAATTTCAGCCACCATGTTCTTCCCAGAAGGTGGTGCGCGGCACAAGTCTCGAGCATTTCCACAACAATGAATGGTGCCGCTTTTCCCAGGATAGAGGGGCTTTACACCAGCTACGAGCCATCGGAGCCAATCCAAGGCCCTGTGAGTGTTAAGGCTGATCCACACATACAGCAGAGCGCTCAGTTAGCGCTTCATGAGCGCTGGAAGCAGCGCTCGGTTGTTGCTTTAGCAGCGCAGTGCAAGTGCGCTCCTTGTGCCGTGCTTGCTGCTGCGAAGCAACGCATGCACGGCGATTCCGTTGTTATTTTTCCTTTGGCATTGAAAGAAGAGGAAGTAAAAGAGCCGCTCTCCAAGCAAAGGGTCGGGCAAACAATTCAGAGTCATGGACTCTGAGCAACTAATTGATTGGGTACGACCTTATCACTTTCTATTCAACATGCGTGATCCTGGTTTCAGAGACACACAGTTAAAAAATAATTACCTTCTAAAGAGCTCTGTGTCCCGGTCCCTCGGCCTGGGAACGAGGTTCACCGGATACCCGTCGATATCTCGGTAGCGAAAGATTTCGTGCACTCAGAAGGCTCTTCTGGGCGTTAAGTCGTCCACACACATATGCACTAATTGCGTATGTAAGGGCATTTGTCGCCTTTCTATTTCAGCATCCAACATGTCCGTCATGGTACTGTTGCACACCCAACCACAGGAACCTAACATCAGTACACATGTTAATCTGCAGCAATAACGGTCGTACAAGGAGCGCTACTAAAGTGCTGATTGCGCGCTAGCTATATTAGAACTAAGTCACGTGCAAGGAAGCACCACATGAGCGCTCTTTGGAGCACTCATGTAACGCTAACTTAACGCTCCGCTGTATGTGTGACCAGGCCTTTACTTGACCTTGAAGAGGGTGACATGCGTAGAGCATATCAAGTGCTACGTTCGCAGAGCTGGGTTGGCTGAGGCGGCTTGGAGCATCCGCTGCGGTGGGACGTGATGTGAAACAGAATGTAGACCTGTTGCAAAAATACACATTGATGCTATAGTTGTTGAAATAGGGGAAGTACTCTCACTGTCAGCGGACGATTTTGCAAATGTGGGTGCTACCAGTAAGCACTGTAGAGAATGGACCCTTTTCCTGTTTTCCGGTTCGAGAGTACAAAATGCATGTGTTGCTAGGCTAGGTGGGAACAAGGCTGCCATTTTGCTTGAAGCAAGGGCACTGTGCGATTCCCAGTGGCAATGCCAAAGCGCTGTGTTGCGTTCAGCTGACGGCACCAGCCGGGGGAGGGGACGAGTTTTTTTTCGGTTTTCTTCCGAGAAATTGAATCTTGATGGAAGAGCGGCGTGAATTTGCACGGTTATAATGTACTAGATTCTAGTACACCATAGCATGGTGAAGGGGATTGACTTGTCAGGCCCTACAAAGGCTTGGGAGGCAAATAAGCGTACCCGACTACTGTAAACAACTTAATTGTTCGCAAATTTCTTGACTTAAAAATTTCTGCAAAAAACGCATCCCACCAATATATGGTAAAGAATATATAGCTCACCACTCCTCGCAAAATTTTCTGCGCATGAAATATTCTCCAAATTTGCGAAATATTGAGGCCGCAAAAATAAAGTTGTTCACAGTATGTGGAGCTAACTAGTCGTGGTTCAATAACATTAACGGCACTTTAGAAAAGCACTTCAGAAAGTTACACAATTGTTACAATGATGATTCATAAGACAAGAGAAGCATAGGTATAGACCCTTTCAGGCAACATTTCATGGGCGCCGGCATATTGACGTCACGTGACCCTGCCGCCATAGCCGACCTTCAGTTTCTCACCGTTCCCCCGCGTTGTGTGCTGCACAGGCCACTACCGGAGCTTTGTTTTCGTGTTCTTTCACGTTCCGTGTTGAAATTGTGTGTCTTTTCAACATTGAAATTGTGTGTCTTTTCGATATTTCGGGCTTTTGTTTAATCATTTGATATCTATATTTCAACACAGCTCTTGTATTTTCGTATTTATGAAATGGAATCGGACAGCGAATGGATCGACGATTAAAGATTATGATTTCAGAGACCATATAAGTTCATCCCGTTTTGGCGTTTTTCTCGCTAATAAAGGGCAGTCTACACCATTGCGACGTATGCAAATTTCAACTGACGCAGTAAGGCTATCCAGTCGTGCTTTCCGCTGCATGTGCACACTTGTTTCTGTAAAGATGACCAGCATGTAAGCGATTTAGCTTGCGACGAGACGAGCGGTGGCGACAACGACAAGAGTCAGCGGCGAGCGACGGAGATTTCTTACTGTCGCTTGTCATGTTACTCGGTTTTTGGGTTTCTAGAAAACGTCGCTCACCGTCCTGGTCGCTTGCTTCGTCGTTTCCATGCGGTTCGTCTCGTCACACGACTGACCCAGCGACAGCGAAGCGGGTCACCGTCGCTTGTCTCATTGCTTGCCAAATCGCTTGCATGCAGTTTATACTTAAAATCGAGGCACCAATGGTTCAACGTTGTGTGCTTGTAAATTAATTGAGTATAAACCACATGTAAGCGCTTTTGCGAGCAACAGCGACCCGCTTCGCTGTCGCTCGGTCAGTCGCACGACGAGGCAAACCGCATCGAAGCGACTAAGACGGTGAGCGACGTTTTCTAGAAATCCCGAAAACCGAGCGATGCAACGGGCAACCGTGAGAAATCTCCGTCACTCGTCTCGTCGCACGCTAAATCGTTTACATGCGGGTCGGCTTTACGGAAACGAGACGAAACAAACATAGTTGGAATGCTACCCGGTCGAAGTCTTCTCGCTTGACCGCTTGTGTCAAAGCAGTCATCTTTGAAGTGCGCCGAACAAGGGACGTCAGTATTCTTGTGCAACCAACCATCCCCCCGCCGAACAGCATGCTCCCTCGCAGCATGCAAAGTATTGTCTTTAGGAAACCGGCAACGTGCAAAGATGTTTAATGTTTTATTTTTCCATTAAAGTGCATTTAATCATCTAGCATTCTCCCGTGAGCTTGTTTGTTTGTTTATTGTGGGGTGTCGGGAAGGTGGGGGGGGGGGGGGAAGCTAGGAGAAATGTGGGCCTCCGTACAGGGGCAAGTCGCTACCTAGCTTTTGGGGAATGGGAAGAACAGAGAGGAAAGGGGGAGAGGAAAAGAAAAGAAAGAATGATTGAGGCGTTTGAATGGGGCGTTGAATCGTTAGCTGACAGACGAGTAGCGTGACTCTGAAGAGCCCCATTTAAACGGGCATCCATACTTTGTTTAGAAAGCAGATCTGGCACAATTGATTAGTGCGTAAATACGCTAGAGCCGGCTTGCGAGTCCACTTTCGCGCAGATAAGCCAGGAGAGCACGAAAGGCCTTCTCGGCTACTCCTTGAGTCCCATTTGGATTTTGAAGGTCTTCAAGATTGGAGTAGGAGAGGCCGGCCGTCGCATACCGCTGAATCAGAAGCTTCCGATGCTGGTCGTGGCTTGGGCATAGAAGAGCGTGCGCTGTTTCTTCAGGGTCACTGCAAGATGGACAGTATGGGTCTGACTTGCGATCATACACGTGAAGGCGTTTGGAAGTATACGCACATCCAGCTCGAAGCCTGTGCAGCAAGGACCTCCCGTGAGCCTGCTCACATGCAGTAGTAAGCTATTGGCCTCGGGATCGACCTAGAGGTGGCGCTGCTGTCGTGCTATCATCATTATCAAAGCGGGGATGGAAGCATTGCTGTTCCATAGGCTCTCCACGTTCGCGTGTGAAACGGTGTAAATTCTTGCATATATTTTGTTGCACAGTATCGGTGGGAAAACAGTTTTAGCGGAAAGTGGTGCGGTACCGTTCGGTGCGTCAGTAAAGATTGAATTGTCTTACCAGCGTGCGGCTTAAGTATAAATAACCATGTGTGTGGATGAGTCGTCCGCCCTAGGCGGGCGTTGGGAAGCATGGCTCACTACGACGGATGCCTGTCTTTGGGTAAACTGCACTATTTATGTTAAAAATTTCTTTCTTTTAAAATAGTTCTATCGGTTCACGAGCGTGGGAATTTAACAAAATAATTAATTGTGACCCGGATAACATAATATGGGTACTGTGGACTGTGAAATGGCAGGTTCTATGCATCTTTGTTTTTGCAATTTTGAGCTTTTTCATTAATATAAATATTTAGGATGAAGAGAAGCTAGTGCTGTATCAGAAATTACTGTGCTATTGAGTTCTGCTGCAGCCTGTTGTCCTTTTCTGTGCCATGGTGTGGGTAAGCTTTTCGGAGTCGGAACAATTTTACTATGTTGCAATAAGGAGAGAGTGCCTCTTCTAGTTAACAATCCGGAAACTGATCGTTGGCAGGACAACTGAAGCAAGTGAAACAAACTATTCTAATATATCTGCCGCGATAGGAACAAACAGGTGTAACCAAGCAAGGCAGTAGCGTGCGTGCTATTAGATGCTTTTCTCGGTAGTGTGGGTTCACCCGCTTCAATTTTCTCGGTGAGGGTTGTGGATGTCAAAAAGCCAATATTATAAATTTCTGACTAAATAATCTTCTATTTAAACATAGTAGACACTGCAACTTCATCAAATGACCCGCACCACGACGTCGCCAGCATCGGCCGCAGCGACAGTCTTTTACTGATGAGGGCTAGGGACTCACGAGACTTTGCGATCACCCTCTGCCCTCACCTAACACATATTGGGACTGGGCAGTACATTGATTAACCTTCAGATTATTCGAGTGATGCTTTAATTGTGATATTTTGTTTTGCCGTTTAATTGGAATCTTGTGCTAAAGGAAGTCATGAAAAAGTGAAAAATGCCTACTCTATAGACCGTTCCATTAGGGTCATAGCAAAGAGGGTAATAGAGAGAAAAAAATGCCCTCACCCTCTGTCATCTGCTGCGCCGAGTGGGCTGTACCTAGCATCCGGCTGGCGTACAAACTCTGTTTAAAATCGCGTCATTTTGGGAATTTCAAGCGCAGATGCGCAGATTTTGGTATGCCAGATCTCGTGTAATACTATGCTAGATAAAAAGACTAACAGGGTCCAACTGCGTTACCTGTGTGCAAATAAAAAGAAATAGTGAAAACTGTGTCAGATTTGCCGGTCTCTACGGCGAAAAGTGAATCCGGTGGCTGTACCTTTTTTACTATTCAAAGTTCATACTGGTGTAGGCCTTTAGCGATCATGAGTGAGGTCCGAAATAATAAATAGAAACATGCTCTCGTGCCGCAATAAACGCAGTAGCTGAGGGTAGTACTGCCGGCTGACTCAACTGCTATTTAAGTAACGGAAAAAAAGATATGCTAGTTGATCACTTATTGAAATAGAACAACAGAGAGCTATAGGCTGATTTTGGAGCAGCCATAACTATTCTAAGAACGCGGACCACTCCACAACGGCAGCCACGAGCGAGAGTTCGATGTTCCGTACAGCCCGCCGGTACAGCGCAAAGATGGAGAATAACAACCTCCCAGTTTGTCGTCTGCTAGTGGAGTCGGGCGTGTGCCCTCTCTCGTTTTACCCCACCAAACCCGCTGAATTTTCCGGATGTATGGAGAGGGCACCGCTGTCGAACGAAATGGTGCCGCCCAGAGAGCACTAAATGGAATGGTCTATATTTCTGACATTTTATTTCTTTTATGACACAGGCTTGCACGGTAAACCACTTCAGCATGCATGTGATTGTCATAGAGGGTGATTATACTGTTTAAATAATAACTTAAAAATTACTGCACATTAAAAGGCTTCCAGTGTTTATATTTCTGTAGGCGTCACAACGTGAAGTTTAAAATGGGAATGCAATATGCCATTTCTGACATACTAAAAATACTAAAAAAGGTGTAGTTTTATTGTCTTACATGCATAATGACCGGTGAAAAATCGACTAACAAATTTATCAATTGATTTGTGTATTAAACGGTAGTGATCAGTAGGATTAATTTTTAATCAAACCACAGCCCCAATCAACATTCAATGTTTTAAGAAACCTATGGTTTGTGTGAGATACCAAAAATATATGGGACCAGCTGTCGTATACAAACCACAACACTAAGATTATGGAAGCATCCGACTTAATAATAATCGCTTTGCTGAATTTCCGTGCATGTGAAATGATACTCCATAACTAGGGTTCTGCGTTTTCGGTGTTGTTGTTGTTGTTGTTGTTGTTGTTGTTGTTGTTCATATTCATATTAAAAATAGCGCAAAAGAGACGGGACAAAAAGACGAAGAAGCACACAGGACAAACGCTAACTGGCAACTAAACTTTATTGAAAGCTTCCAACTTTGCTATCGCCATGCACGTGCTTAGTCTCGTTCAACAGAGACAGGGCGTACCGCCAAATCCGCACAATCATACCGCCCACCGCCCTTTCCAAAAAGTCAGCAAAACAGCTACATCAGTTGTTGTTGTTGTTTTTTCTAGAAATTGGGGGAATTTTGGGGGGGGGGGGGGGGGGGGGGGGGTTTCATTTCTTTTACAGATTCACTGTTTTTTGTGTGAATTGGTGTAGTCATAACCAATTTAAACAAAAACCACGGAATCTGCAGGAAAACATTAAACCCCGAAATAAAATACCCCCGATTTCGAGAAGAAAAAAACACAGAAAATGCGGAACCCTAACCATAGCCTTTAGTAGGAAGAA